TACGCCTTCATAACCCACGTCCCCACCAGGCTACTCAATTTCATCATTCATCCCACACACAAATATGTATGTACGAGTCATCTATTTATGAACATGCATCATCTCGATAACCCAGTTAATTTCATGAATTTATTTCATGTACATGGACACATGTCCTCGCCAACACATTTCTGTTTCCAGTGTCACTTGATCAGTTTTTAGAAATATAATCTGGCGTAAACAATGAGCGAGTAAAGCATGGAGAAAATTGTACGTGAAATCGTACTTTCCAGTCGCATACATACTTATAAATAAATATATGCCATCCACAAAGTCCAAGTTGGACTCGTAGAGCGAGGGAGTGAGTTGACGCGAATATGATGTCGTTTCCATTTGACTTCCAGCCTGGTTGAGGCTCACGTCTCTTTTCCACCTCGTTGACGCAATGTCCAAGGACTTTTAATCCCGAATGCCAATAGTGGAAATAGAATGCCGGGCAGGGAAGTAAGGAAGGAAGAGAAAGCAGAGAGAGAGAGATGAAATGTGTAATGCATGCAATCTGTCAGCCTCAGAGTTGTGTGTTGTCCACCCTGCTAACCAAACCTGCTTTCTCTTCTCCTCTCCTCTATCCATTGATTTCCCTGCCCAGCATCCACCTGCACCTCGTCTGGGCGGAGAAGGAGGTGAGTTCGGCTTTTCGCATTTCTCCATTTCCAAAGCTTTGAATTGTACACCAATCCTCCTGGGAATCTTAGAAATAAATCCTTTGAACTGACGTAATGGAAGGATAGATGACTTTTCAGAGTGATATCATGTTGATGCTCCACTCTCCCCACAAAGTTGATGGAGAAAGTACGTATTGGAATGAAACACACAGAAAGAGACAATAGGACAGAGGGAAACATGACATAACTTTACATTGTCAGCCAAGATAGTGGCAGTGCTCCTACCTACATTACACTTTGACCTTCCCCATATCAATATATACCTTAAATTTCGCCCCCATTTAATTCATCCCAATTTAAATTGGGATAAACTGTCTCAACACGGTGATGCCTGATTTTGGGTCAAGGTTTGTATATATATGATTTATTACCATACTAAATAATATCGCTAATTACCCGTAATGTCAAACGATCCACACACCAAGATTAGTATTAGTCTGCAGTTTAGTTAAAAAGGAATTCGGCAAAAAGTGCTTGTCAGGGTGTCTCTCGTGGTAAGATGTGGGGTTAGTTTGTGGATGGAGGTGACTCAAAATAATCAAGGCGCAAAGTTCACATCACATGCATAATTTGGCTGAATTCTAAAACAAGTGGTTTTGTTAACATTTTCCCACTTTGTGCACCACCACTCCGAGATGAGAAACGAACTGAACGAGCCATGAACACTTTCCTAATTGTATCAAATATTCTCACACCTTAAACTTTAGTGAAATCTTAGACTAGACAATAAATCTTGCGAGTGAGGCAGAATCCCGCATCTGAGGCTTTCTCTAATGAGAAATGCAGTTCCTCTGTGCAGGATAAACTTTAGAGTATCCATCTAATTTGAATATTTTAAGAGTAGATATATGTAAGAATGCCAACTATTTCACCTTGTTGTCTAACACTAGAACCACGAAGCATTTTATGATACAGAAACCCTGTGTTTACCTATACAGACGACGACGTGTAATCCTTCCAAAGTTCATACACTTATTGAGATCAACGTTGACACCTATCTAAATTAATTACATCAAATCTAAAGTTAATTAAACTTAGACGACGCACAATTTACTACTGTCAATTACTACACAGAGCACACATACACACACCAAGAATAAAAAATTAAGCTCCTACAACAACGAACTGAGTCTACATTTCCTTGTACAATATTTGATGCCCTTTCTGTAATAATGCGTATAGCTTCTACAAATCTATGTTCTTCCTGAGATCTAACTTTTTCAAATTATATTACGTATGATACAACAACAATAAGTAAATACTTGACGTTAACATTATATGCCTTGCATCCCACAACACATTCACTCACATCCCAGAAAAGTTGAGAAGATTAGAAACGCTTTAGCCAAAATGGGTACACACATAATAGCAAACATCGGAAAATAGACTTAATTTAATCCATCTGCACGTGTGAGCATGCAGAAGTCATCACATGTGTAGCAGAGAAATAAGTCATGAGAAGCAAGTATTTTAGTTGCACTTCTTGTGGGATTAAAAAAACAATTTCAGGGAGATCAAGCTGAGTCAGCAGAGTGGATGATAAAATATGATATTATTTCGATAAGATGTCCATACGTCGTTTGTTGTTGCACAATATTTCACGTGTCCTTGGGATCTCTCGACAGGAGCGTCTCGATTTGGGTGTACAGTTGCATTGAATGGATTGACTGAACCTCATCCCATGTTCAATGGTAATCAGTTTCAGCTTACTGGGAAAACCTTCTCCAATTCGATGTCGCATCCCCGCTTTGAGAACAGCAATGCCCACCACTCGCGGAGGAGGAAAATTGATCCAATCTCTTTGCTTGGTCGGTGATCTGTTCCTCATTTCTGTGAGTGAGTGAGCGAATAAAAGAGAGAAGCGCACATAATGGTCGGTCGTGGTGGTGGTGAATGGTAACTTGCCCCATCATTATGCAGTTAGCGAGCTATTTGTAGAATGAAAGTGAAAGAAAGCATCCAAATTTGAAAGGATTAACCATTCACAGCCACCACCACCAGCACCACCGCGACGGAGATATACGCTGCCCAGGAAAGAAGAACCACTGTCTAATCCCGTCCAAAAGGGTTGGATTTGTAAATGAAGGAATTGAAATTGGAAGTTTGAGAGAGTCGAACCACGTTACACACAGATGAAAGGAAGGCTAAGGATTTTTAGCACAACTCAGCGTAAAAGAGCAAGAACACCTCTTCAGAATAATAAGGCTTCCACGGAACAAACCAGCCAAGCAAGCGAGCAAGGCTCCCCTTCACCACCACCACACGACTTTCTCTGCTTTCACCCACCATTTGATTATATGGTGGTAGTGGATGGATGGATGGATGGATGGATGGGAGGATGGGACTGAGAATACTTAATGCTATTCCACTCTCTCCTTGCGTAGTCAAGTCCCATGGACAGCCTTCACTTCAACTTCTATCTAAACATTTCATTTTCACACATTTCGCGTTTGCACTTTTTTACCCCGTGGGATGAGTGGTACAAGTTGCTCCCAAACCACTTAAAACTTTTATACGAGGCTTCCTAGAGCATTAGATAAAGGGCAGTATTGGCTGGGGCGATAGGGCACAAGTGACAGATTCATTGGGCAAGTTAATTAATTTTATAAAGGTTCAGATGGTCGTCTCACCCAAAGCTCACAAACAGATCAAACTTCAGCTCACATAGATTTCCATCAAATTAAAGTGCTTTGCGTAAAATCTCCATAATTTAGCCCTGATGATGATGATGATGATGATGATAATTGTGCAATTGGAGGGAACTGACGCGTCAGAGATTTAATCCCAGCTAGATGCACAAGAGAGCAGTGATCTCAATCTAAATTCGGTACCAAAGATCCTGAAATTACATGGTTTGATACCCTATCTTGCCATTCTATTCGGTGGAATTTTGTCACAGTTTTAAATCCTCTATCTGTTGCATATGAGTTTGAGATACGTGCACACGTGCTTGGCTAGACGTGTTCTTGTGGAGAGAGAGGGAGAGAATATTTTCATTAAATTTCTTCAAGCGCAACTAATCAACTAAAATGGAATGAAAAATGGTATTCAATATGAATACGCATTTATTTTAATTGGAAAATGTTAATCCTCTTGAAGGACAATGGCACACTAACGAGTAACAATGACCCTGAAATTATTTTGAGGATAACATAACGGCGAAATTGTTTATTTATGATTAGAATTCCACATAACCTCCGATCGTCTAATGTAGATGATAGCGAAAATAAAATGTTTATCTGGTGAGATTTTATGCCATCTTGCACTATTGGTGCTGGCATTAAAAGCTGAAATTGCAGGCCGTCTGAAGCTTTAACTCACACACTTTTACATATCTATGTACATACGTACACGAGCTTTTCAGTATGAAAATCCCAATGGGGCGAAATGAGGAAAGTCTTGGAGTATCAGTGGAGACTTTCTCCACTTTCACCTTCATAATGGCAAGACTCTGACTATTATTAGTGAATGTAAACGGTACCTAATTTCTGAGAGGTCTTGCAATCCCGATTGATCAAGGAGGTATAATTTCTTCATGAGTTCTCTCCATCGAAGCATTAATAATACTGACAGTAAATAAAGTTGTTTGTTCCAAAATTGGCTTTTTTGTCGACGTACTTTGGCAACTCATCAGTCTCGACTCAATGGCGTATATCTCGAGAGAGTGAATGGGTGAACCCAGTGAATGGACTCATCATTAGTTGACGGAGAAAGCAAGACTTGGTGGATGAGAAGTTTCGATGAGAAACGCACAGGGAAAAAAGTTGTTCACATATTTCTTCCGAGGAGATGCGGACCCACCAAAATCACTTTAAAAATCTTTTTAGCTGAATTCACTCAGATAAAGTTCACAGTTGTGCAACTTTCAATTAAGGATTGAATGTGCAAGGTGATCATGTCTTGAGGATGAAGTAAATTTAGGAGTGGGTGGAAAAATAATGATGCGTGGTTCGAAACATTTATGTACACAGAACATGAAAACATTTTTTACAATAAAAATCGAACGAGCCCATCCGTTGAGATCATGATCGATCATCTATTAGATATTTATAAGGATAGAAAGTTGTAATTGACGCTACGGTTGTTGTTGACTGCTCACATGGTGGTAAAATCTATTAAATAACTTCAAACCAAAGTTTAGCAACCCATCATCTCTTTGATTGTGTAAAACAAGTGGGGAGAGCAGGACTGATATTGAGCACCAAATTAGTAATCCATTACATGCTATAAATAAACTGGAAATTCAACAAGAAATACTTCTTGCTGCCCAGATTACATAACAAAACACGGCAGAAAGAGAGATCAAAGTCGAAGAGACAAGATCATTATTATAATCATTTGCAGTTACATACGTATAAAGTTCACAACATAATACAACCGTGACGTATTTTGATCAAAAGCTTTCCATGAAATGACAAAGGGAAAGAGGAGGAGGAGAAGATACGTATATGTCAATTTCAAGCTACCTAATATCGACAGTGCAAACAATAAAATGACATTGAAACTTGTGGATGCAAAACGGGTATCACAAAAGTGAATCACAATAAATACGGCTATCAATATATTTATTCTTCATAAATATTTCCTTAACTAGCCAAATAATTTTTTTTTGCTCGTGGAAAAGAATTGTTCGATTTTTTTTTCGCATGTGAGGGATTCGCAACTGGGACGAGGCGCAAATCCAGAAAACAAAGGATTTCATAATCAAACAAAGTCTTGAAATGGCTCAAACCCTTTTCATGTCTGTGTTATTCCAATATTACGAAACGAACAAGGCGAAAACAGCAGAATTGGAATTATTGGATAAGAGAGAGCTTTTTTTCTCAATTGAAAATGAAACGACGATATGAGAGAGATGGATCCACAATTGGCTGGATGGATGCTAGTGAAAGGATGACGGAGAATTTATAGGAGCAGAAGCGTATTCATTTGGATTTGGGAGTTCCTCACTTGACAAGGAACGGGTCAAATATAAATCGAATTTGAGGGAATTGGAAGGAATGGATAAAGGATAAGAAATATATCCGCAGCCGCTACTTTTATTTTCCATCCTCATTCGTTGACAGCAATTTTGAGAAACCTTTTCAAATGGATCCCATATTTATTCCTAGGATGACGACGATATGGGGAATGGGGGCGCTCGGGAAAATTCAATAAGCGGATATGTGATACCACACATGCATATACTCATCACATATTTTTTCCCTTTGTGCACTTTTTCATCTCGGATACTGATATGATTCAATAATATGTAGCGGTTCTCCGCATCTCCATTTCCATTTCAATGCGAAATATGTTGATCATTTCCTTTTGACAATTTGAGGGAATGCTAAGGATCTGGCTACAACTTTTAAACCAGTTCTAAAAACGAAATTTCCAAAAAACCCATTGTTGCTCATCTGCCACATAGATATTTACCGTCAGGACTTTGGGAGTCTAATCTACACATGGATTGTTATATATTTTGTAATAATAGTCAACTGTGTTCATCTAGCACCTCAATAAGAGTGACATACATCGAGACCACTAATATACACAGATTGCTAGTTCAAGTGTCATTGATGAAGCTCTTTTCTACCTGATGGACAATCCGTAATGTTCTCCATAGAATATGGGAGGGCAAGGTTCTAAATATGTGTACATATATAGTCTTAGTTCTACATATGTATATTAGTCTATATGGCTAGAAGGAAAATAGACTCTCATAATGTATCTATCCATGTAAGTATGTGGTACCTCAAGCGAAAATATGGGGATTTCTCATCTACCTAATCGTATTTAAGTATGTTTCAATCATAAATATATTTACGCTCTACGGCGAGCTTATATACGCACGTCTACTACTGGCTACGTGATTATTATTACTTTACATCGAAATTGACATCTCAACATTAGACCGTCGCGTCGATATAGTTAGCAGTTTCAGGTTTGAGAGTTGCATAAGTTGTAATGAAATTATTTTGTTTATTATGGCTGTGACACTTTAAATCGCATTACGCTCCTGGTGAAAGTTGATTCGACAAACTGTGCGGTGGTCGTGGTGCATCTTCTTCTTTTGGTCGACTCCCTCCCATTCAGGGCTTGTTAATTGAGCCAAAACTTGCGAGCGTTGACGGGCTAGAGACTATTAGCCACATGGGTTTCATGGACGATCACCCCACTGCGGAGAGTGTTGTCGCCACGATTCGTCTTCTTGGCTGCGACAAATAAACAGGATAGTGAATACGTGGTTGGGAAAAATGGTGTGCATGGACGCGACAGTAAAAAAGATGCCAGTTCGTCCGAAGAAATGCATGCAATAAAATGGGTTTACTGTCATTTTCTCCTGTTGCCTGTTGAATACTTAATAGGAGTTTTTTTTCTGGTGAGAAGGATGTCTAACTGCCCATCTACTTTCCTTATACTTATCTGAACCTCAGTAAATATGATGACTCTTTCGAATCTTCTTCATATGGGATGATACCTATTAGGATGAGTTATTTCTACGTACGGGGTATCTGATGGAGGCTTTGTGAATTTAAATTGGATTTAAAGTCGTTATTACAACCTTCGCCAAGTCTTAACGATGACATATATTCGTTCGGCGGGTTTATGGAGAACTATTTCGTCGAAAGGTTATGCGAAATGAGAGCTAGTTCCGAATGTTCTCTCAACTGGAATGTCTCAAAACTATTCTAAAAGAAATTATTTTACATCTGCCTACAGGGCCTTGGTATCGTTATCGTGTAATAAGTAATATGTTTAGGAATGAAGTTATATTGGAATGAATATGCAAGCGGTGGCAATTTATCCGCTGACGATTGATGATGCTTTACATATGCATGTAAAAGTACAAAACTATGTACTTGAGCCAAAAGTACACGAGTTGGAGTAATCCAAGTATTTTAAGGGTGTGGGTGGGTTTTTGCTGAAATACGATATTTTGCATTGAAAAGCATAAATAAGTTTTGCAACTGCAAGTAGGATTGATGACGACACTTGTTAAACCTGCATTTCCACCCACCTCACCAACACCACACAAATAGAACCACATGACCTTATGTGATTGTTTTGCGTCATTGTATTGACTTAATCTGCTGGGTGTCTTTGGATTTATCTCGGTGACACCACCGTCATCACCTTGACATCTTCACCTATGCTTCATTTCTCTCGTCCTGCCCTACTTACTCTGAGCGACATACACATGCTCGAATCAAAATTTATATCTCTGTTCATATAACCTACTTGACATCTCCGTTTTACATAGCATTTGCCGGTGACAGACACTTAGCCTTTGTTTTCATCAATGCACACTTCTCACACTCGGAGGAGAAAGAGTTTCCAGTAGCATTTCCTAAGTATCTACTAGGAGATATTTTTTGATAAAAGTCGTCGAAACCTTTCGCTGATGCCAAATCCAATTATAACAAAATGAAAGAGCGTGTTAGTGCTGACTTACGCTTTTCGAGCTCGATTTCTTGCTTCAAATACAACATCGCGGAACGATTGCACCACTTCGGATGTCCCTGTAAATCAGAACAAATAATTACGTTAGTTATCAGACAGACTGGCTTTTTCCTTGGAGCGCACTTGGCCTGAATTTTACATATCTCTTGCAAAATAGTCCAACCAAGTAATTTCATTAGGAGGGGCTTTCGCTGGCGTCAAATTTTAATCGACTTTTTGACTCGGAATACATACCCAATCTGCCACCTGGTCGTACGACGTCCTAAAGTCGTCCTTAGGATCTCCTAATGTCCGCCGAAAAGTCGTCTTTAGGATGTTCCCCTATCTTAATAGCATTGGGAACATCCTAAAGACGCCTTTTCGGCGGACATTGGGAGATCCTAAGGATGACTTTAGGACGTCGTACGACCAGGTGGCAGATTGGGTATGTACGTACGGTTTACTGTAGTGGCTCTAACCCTCTTTCAACTCACAATAAATTATAAAACATAATTAAATATCATTCCAATTGCATGATTCTTAGCAACTGCTACAAAGTAGACTCGAGTGAAAATAGAGCACGTCAATTTGAAGCAGATGTAATAAAATATATGAGCAAATTATGTCCAAATTGCTTTTGCTGATTAGCTTGAAAGGAGGATAAAAGATAAAATACGACATTTCGACTGCTTTCACACTTTGGCGACGACAAGGACCACCACCACCACCTCTACCACCACCACCACCATAGAACATGGATCGAGAATACTTCCTCCCACTTGTTGTAATAATAATTGAATTTATTTACACAACTGAGACGAAAGCACTAATGTAGCTTCATGATTTGGTTGCAGAACTCAATCAAGCTTTCAATATTCCGCAATATGGAATTTGAGACTTTATTAAATTCTCGCTTGGCCTGCAGTGACTGGAATGATTTGATCGCTACCGAGGTTCTTCCTTACCGAGCAAGTTTGAGGATTCAAATCGACAAGTCTAAAGTGGCAAAAAAGTTCAGGAAAGGGGAGTGGGACGCAAATCTTACTGGTTACTGGGACGACATTACGGTGCACTATCCCGAAGACCCTGCACAGTTTGCTCACATTGCTATCTTCAACTGGGGCTCAAAGTCGTCAAGTTTCCGCTGCTTTTCCGTGGTCACAAAGGTGATCTTATTCGAATGTGGAAAGGCAACATTCATAGATTTTGTTCACAGCATTTTGGCCGGACTGCCACACCTTCGTCACGTCGAAATCAAGAGCCAGCACTGGGCCAGCCACGCCCGTCTACGCTACCAGCCCACGACGAGCTATCGTACGACCCTCAGCAGCTGGACAGAAGGGTTAAAGCGAGCAGCTCGACTACTCACATTTCGAATTGCAGTTTTTGGGAAAAGAACGACCATCAAGTACTTGAACTTGCTTTCCGTGGTGGATGCTCCATTAAAACTGGTGACGCTGGACGTAGATTTATCCAAAAACGCAGGTCATCCCCTTAACTCCATCACGGTCGACGAAGTTGGACAGTTGCTCGTTAAAGTGATTCAAAACTGTCAAGAAACTTTGCAAAATTTGCGCATAAAATGGGACCATCGGGTTGAGGGTGACTTGAATCTGGTTCGATACTCCAGAGACTTTGACCCCTATGCCCTTTTTATTCTGATGGTTGCCAGCAACAGGGATCTGTTCCATGGCCTTTGTCTCAAACGTCTTTCCCTCAACTTTCCCGTCATGGCTTTTGTTCCCGTCAATTTGGTGAATGAGGTATTGGTCCCCTTCATCTGGTCGCAAGAAGCAACGTTGGAGAAACTCACTTTCTCCAGAGTGAGGTGGGAATCCAGCGTGAGAAGCTTCCTATCAAATTTCACTCCTCAGTTCACAGAACGAATTGAGATGGGGGTTTTCATGGTGGATGTTGACACTTCGAACGGGCTTCGACTTGTCAAGGGGGTTAGCAAGGTGGAATTCCACTCACTTGGAACCACCGTTTTCGACCTCAACTCTATGAATGCACGAAAAACACGGTGTCGTCGAAGCGGAACGGTCAAATTTAAAAAGCACCTGTTGACGAGCCTCAGATTTCAAAATTCCGCAATGAACCCAACTCTGAACTATATAAACATTCATGATATCCTGCACAACTTTCGACTACTACAAGATCTCGAGCTCATTGATCACAGCGACAACAGGGAAACGCGATCCTACTCAAATAATGAACTCAATCACATATTTCTCAAGCTGCCTCATCTCAAATCGCTAAAAATGACCAACTTGAGAGGAATAAGCGACGCTGGACTGACGCATATACCCGACTGCGAGATATCCAGAATGACCGAGACTGGCGTCTTGTATATGGAGCAGCATCCGTTGCGATCGCCCCTTATTATTCAGGCCGCCAGTAAAACAACATCCGTCCTCACCATTTATATGACACATTTTTTAATGGTTTGATAATTGTCATACTATTGGGTTTAACATGTTCCAGATTTAACTTTTCTGGAGTTGCGAGATCTGAGCTCGTCAGTAACGGACATCTCGGTGTATTTTGCATTTCAATTTATCCCAAAAATAGATAAAATTGCACTGTACGGAAACCACCAGGTATACAAATCGCTCTTTAGGGAAATTTCAAAAGATGACGAACTGCACATGATGTCGCTTTCCTATTCAACTTCCTACATATTCAATTGCAGATCACAGATTGGGGAAAGCGCGTCCTGCAGAGAAGATTCAGTCGAAATCCACGCTTTGAACTGCATTTGAGGAAAGAGACGCTGGACGAGGATTTGGCCCATTCTTATTTGCTGGATTTCCCTTAAAAACCTTAGCCTCATAATTCAAATTATTGAACAAGTCAGCCTATGATATGCTACCTACTAATCGAGCTCAAATGAATAAATGTGAAATGTTCATACAAATAATGTAAAAAAAATCAAGGTCGGTCTTACTACACACATAACTTCGGGTGTAGATTGTGGCTTGAAAACTTTTAGTTTATATCTCCACTGGTGACCACGATTACATTAGCATAACAACAGAAATTTATGCAGCACTATCGTCTTGCGTATGCCTCCAGCTAGAGGAAAAGTGAAAGCATATCTCAAGCCGCCATAAATGTGTAAACTTACAATGTGAATAATTTACTCGTGGTAAATACTCGTGGTACTCAAGATGGCAGATGCTGACTTGACATTGGAAACGACGACGACGCCGATGCCCCTACGAGCCTGTCAAGATTCGTCAGAGGACCAAACAGGCGAACCCAGCAGCGGAACGAGATCAAGATCCAATAAGGGAAAACCTACTTCGCTTCACAAAAGCCTCCATGATGATGATGACGGCTCTCGTCATCCACAATTTCCGTGCAAAAAAGGTTCATCGAGCACTGAAGCAAAAGATTTCCTCGAACCTGTTGAGCATATCGATGATATGCCCGTAAGTGAGGCGTAGCAATTTCCCCCTAATTTCTAAGCCAGGAATGTCATGCAGAGCGTAAAAGGTGAGGACTCATTCGTTGCACATTGCAGGCGAGCCTGTTCCAAAAAATTCTGAGTCACCTCCGAGTATGGGAGCAAAGCCCGTGTCGACTTGTGAGCAAGCGGTGGAATGATCAAATTCTGAACCACACGCCATACCCTCAGCAGTCCTCCATCCTATTGAACCACGAACGCGTAGCTGCCACCCATGACTCGCTTGCTGAAATTCTGGATGAATTTGATCCAATTTTCCAAACGGTGAGACTGATACGTATCCAGCAGCATCAAATTGGGGCGACCTGTTTGTTGTCATCGTCGTCATTCGCAGAGAATATTGCACACTTGGACCTATTTCACTGTGGCCCGTTTACATGGTCCGTTTTCCTCGACCTGCTCATATCTTGCCCTCACCTCGAGGAGCTCAGAGTGAGGAAATGCCCTTTCAAATGGTAATCACGAATGTGTCTCACGCCGATAGGAATTAATATGTGCATTAATATGCGTAACTCTGTGCCCACATTTGCTTGTATTAATAATTCACCGTTCATAGATACATAAACGACCAATTTATACCAAAGAGATATCGTTCGACTTTTGGTTAACAATGAATTAATACTGCTCACAGGCCTTACGATGCGGAAGAATGGAAAAATAAGTATATCGAGTGGTTGGGACGAATTTCAAAGTGTGGGAACCGCTTCCCAGACTTCAAAGCGTTGGAGTTTCGAGTCAAAGATCCGCACGACGTGCTGTACATGGTGAAGCTCGTGTCAGCATACTCAACGAGACTTCAAAGGATTTCCTTCACTTGCAAGACTCCAGTTCAAGGTCTCAAGTTAAACTCAGGTGTGGAAGATTTGGATGAAATGTACGAAACGGTCTACGAGTTATACGACGTCTTGGTGGAGATTGTCAACAAATTTGCCGGAAATCTGGAACGTTTCCACTCATACTTGATTGATCCCCTGCATCATCGTACCACGACAACTGCAACCACTGCCGCTGCTGAGACGACGACGACGACGACTGCTAACAGCGTAGGGTTCCGATCAAGGGTGAAGTTGGGAGAGACAACGATCATGAATCAATTTTGTTCTAGTGTCCTGGCTAGACTCGAATGGAGCAGTTTGAATCTCAACAGCTTTTGTTTGTACGGAGGAGAGATATCGGGGAGCAACATTCCCAAACAAACAGACATTCTTCGAAATTTCATAAAATCTCAGGCAAATCTGGAGAAAGTGATCCTGCCTCTCATCAAGTACGCCACGCCCAAAGAATTTGAGGACCTTTTGCTCAGCATTCCTAAAACAGTCAAGTGCATTCGAGTCCCAATATTTGGGCGAATGCCTGACTGTCTCTCCTTCGAATTTCATCGACTTCGAGAATATTATGTCGAAGCCCATGGGACACCTGACCTTCAAGCAATAATCCCGCTAGAAACAATTCTCCCAAATGTAAAGACTTTCTCCTTTTACAACCGTTCAGACTGGATTTTGCACACGGTGAAAATTATGACGATTATAAACTCGTTCCCCTGCCTCACGGAACTTTTGATTCGGGACGATGGGCCCCACAAGTGCACGCGCATTGCTGACTCGGACGTACAAAACATTTGCAGATATCTTCCAAATCTCAAAAAGCTCCACCTGACAAATGCGAATTGTGTCACAGATTTTGGCTTCACAGGCATATTTGAAAAAGAATGCAAATTAATGAATGAGACCGAAACGTACACTCCGAGTCCAGGAACTAAAATTGGGTACTCGTTTTCCGCCCTGCAAAACTTGGAATACCTCTTTCTCTCTGATCTCGGATTTCGAGTAACAAACGTTGCAATGATTTATGGATTCGTGTTTCAGAATTTGAGATTTATGACCCTTGAAGGCTATCCAAAGGTGAATGATACATGGAAAAGTGTTGCGCATCAATATGCATGCATGAAATACATGGAGGTTGATAAGGAGGACGTTGTTTTTGTGTCGCAGGTAACTCCGTGGGGAGTTGAGCATCTCCGAGATGGCAACTCCAAGCTCAAACGATGGAACATCAACTTTCACGATCCCCACATTTCTCAAGTCGTGGAACGCCTTCACAGCTTTTCCAATCCTCAGCGTTCCTCCAAACCGAATGACGCTCGTGACAATGAACAACCCAGCAACTCGAAAGCTTAAGTCATCATTTATTACCCAATGTCCCGTTCAGGGCATCATGCATTATATGTACTTTTATAATGATTGTCGCTAAAGTTTGGTAGTTGAGGCCCAATAAATAGGTTAACATCCAGCTGAATTTAAAAAATCCTAAATTGTAAACTATCCAATTAATCAAAGCGTAGAGTAAAAGTTATCAAGGGAATTGTAACTCGTGCATGCATAGATTATCGATTTGATCCGTATTAAATTTACTAAAACGACATGCTCGTATTCGAAAGTTTAAAATACATTCTTTCCAACACAAAGCAAAACTCCAAAAGGTAAACAAGTCACAAGAGTTGGAAATAAAGAAAGTTAACGTCATAATTCAATAAGGAATATGAAGAGCGCACGTAGTCGCCTTCTGGCTTCTGCTGCTGAGGTTGAAGAACGACAGGTATGACATATGTGTAGTTGTTGAAAAGTTGAATAAAACTTTGCGTTCAATTTTTCATGGAATTTTATATTACATAACTGACTGTTGCAAGTGGTGATTTCTGGAGTCGATGTTTTAAAAATTTCTGTACGCCCTGAATGCTCTTTTTGTACAGCAAGGAAAGGTTGAGACGCATTTTTGTAGACTTGAAGTCTGTAAACTTGTTGCAGAGGAAGAAACTGGAAAAGTTAAACACAAAAAGGGAATAAAGTTTCCTGGTAAATCTTCTTCCTCTCCTCCTCTGTGCGAATTTAACTTTCACATTTTGCATCAACATACATAAATGCGTGTATAAAGTTCTGCTGGTGAAAGCAGCACAGACAACCACGAGACATTTTGTTCCCTACTTTGGCTAACGAAACCAACCATACATGGTGTGCCGTAAAGAGTAGCGCTTCTGCATATCTGCCGCAGAGACCATACAAACCCTATATTGTGGATTGAGCTTTTTGGCATGTACTCCTCATCACTATTTAATTTATGCAGACTTCCTGAGATGTGTGCTTTGGGACGCACTCGAGAGATAAAAATGTATTGTGCAACTTACGTCTAGGTTGATTTTGGATGGCTCGAAGGGAGTCTGTTCGCTCAAACTGGCTTCGTCGATCAAACCCAACTTCTCTCGGATTCCAGGCTGTGGAAAAACATAAGATTAGCAACCGAAATAATTACCGAAAGAATGTATGAAGAAATACTTTACGTCGTAAGAATTTTATCCATTGCGCATAAATTTATTTAAGTATATCTTATTTACTCATGGGCTGTATGGTGGGTAAAAAAAGCTACAAAATAATTATAGAATTCCGTAATGCACAAGGCCAGACGTTCCCCATAATGAATTGTGTTTTTAAAGAAAGCCTGGGAGTGAAATGTTTTCCTCCCTCACAGTCGATAGGCGACAAACATAACATTTCGGTGTCTCAAATAAACTGCGCTATCAATGTTATCGTCGTCGTCAACACTGCTGATACCTGAGTTTCTCCTGCTCCGCATCATGGAAGGATCAGGACCACCACCGTCTGGAATTTCTGGTAAGTGACGTATGAACATGTCAGGCACTCGTTGTTGCTGATACGCAACCGATCCTGCAAAGTTTAAAAGGAATTAAAAATAGAATTTGCAACACTAAAGATTCTGATGGAATACATGGCGGATAAAATCATGAAAAGGTTTCCATTTCAGTCTTATTTTTGAATAACATAAATATTTACTTGCATAAGTTTGGCTATGTATTTATCTATACAACTAAACTTGTAGCTAATAACTGCGTCATATTGTCGCTCCGAGAAAAATAAGGAAACCTTGAAAGAGGTTTATTCCTCTTTTTCTCCGAAAAATTCATGCTATGTTAACAATATTATGCGCCGTACTTGTGTACGAAGTTATTACTTATTACGCAAGTAAGACCGTGGCATATGGATTTGTCCACTTCATTCATGTCAATGTACATGTGTATTTACTCTTGATTTTCCTCAAGAGGAACTTTATGGCATCGTTATTAGCAAAGATTATGCAACTTAAGAAGCAGGCGACTCGCGACTCACCCCGGCGAGTTTGGCTGATGACCTGCTCTACTGCAACGGCAAAGGAGCCTCTTCTCGACGGTGGAAGGGAACGAGGCAACGCTGGAGTGCTGCAAAAAACCAACATGAAAATTGGTGAGCTCATCGAAATGCCGATACGTATTTGTTAAGGTGCTAATTCATAAAATGTCTCTAACCTCGGAGCACTTCCTCTTCCGTCGTCAACCTCCAGCCCAATGGCAACCCGATCAGATTGAGCACTATTCAGACAGCGGTGTTTAATTGGTGTTAATAAATATTTAGAAACTTGTCCCTATATAAATACTAATAGATAGCTTACCTTCCTCGTCTGGAGGTGGGAGCCGACCTGGACGTCAGATTAGCGCTTGGTGGTCCTAGTGGAGTGCATGCCATTAATGATTAATGTACATATTCGTAAATGAATTTTTTTCCCTAGTTTTAGACTGGTCGCTGCTAATACTGCGGAATAAAGTTGCTTACCTAATGTCCCCAAAACCTCCCATGCCACCTCTGGACGAAGCAAGGACGACGCACAAGGGCTAGATTGTCCTGAACTATCATCTTGTTCTTCTAGAATAAAACGGAACCGTAGCATTTTCTCTTATCGTGGAGCGCAGCTCTCCCCAACAATGTGCAAATGTCTGCACCAATATGTATGCAGAATGGCATCTCAAAGATTTAAAGTTTAGAGGGTGGAACCCCCAACAATTGTAATACACGAATAACAATAATTACACTGTCAGAATCAGGTTGCGCCTGATCAAAATGAATTTCTATAGTTGGAGGGGGATGGCATAACAGGAAATCACCCGAGATCAAGCCATCCTGCATACATACGTGTGAGTGCATGAAAACGTGACATGTCAGGATTAAATTGCTGCATCTCTCTCAGATCCATCCTGGCCTTTGTCACATTCTCAACTGTCCAGAATTTCTTACCGGATTGAGACTGCGAGCCAGCAGCCATTCGCATCCTTAATCTTCTCGCAATATCTCTAGCCCCAGGTGGCGTAGAACCACCCGCATTGATTATTTGACTTATGGAACCCCGATGACTCGAGCTTCCTGTACACACATAGGTAAATATAAATGTATATATAAATAAATCATTGTCAGCACTCCAGCAGCCAAATACAAAGTAAAGTTCCTCTGCATATAATGTTACCAAGTAAAAAAAAACTTGCCTTTGGCAGAGAATGGAAACCACACAGGTCTGTCGTCCAAGGAGACCCTTCCCATATCGATGTGACTTTCTCCAAGGAAGGTTTGATCTGAAAAATGTCGACCAAAAATGCGACTCTGAATCTCCTCGCAAGACTTTTCTCTTTCAACATAATCATCATAATTTGAAGAAAAAAAACTAACCCGAGCCTCGTGCCAGTTCGAGGATGAGCCACGAGTCGAATAAATCTTCTGGGCTTACTTTGGTGAAAAGTACACACTGATTCCACCGGGTATTTGCTATTTTCTCTCCTCTGTGCCAAGTAAATAAATAATTAATTAGCCAGCTATTTCAACAGCATTCCAACTTTATACGCGTCATTGTCAATTGTCACAAAGTTTCAAGGACAACTAATAATATCGAAATTCTTCAAATTGGTTTCGAGAAAAGTTATTTTTACTTTAAAGTTTCTTCATCTTGGAAGCTTTTCCCCATTTCAGGAGCGAACAAAGAAAACAAGAAATTTCTCTCATTTGAAAAGTCAGGAGAATACAATCAGCCAATAGAATGCTGCGAAATAAAGTTTCAAATGACGCTGATGGTTTTTTCCCGAGAAAAAAAAGACCTGAGAGAGTGAAAGAATGTCTTTCGAGATAAGGAAAAACGGGAAGGTGAGAAAGCACAATTTCAACAAAAAGTCAAAAAAGCCCATTAAGTCAATTCGAGTTCTCTTACATTCTCAAAGTAATGATGACATCATTAAGGTCGATCGTTGTGCAATCATCATTTCCGAAAGCAATGTTCACCACTGCGATTTCTAGCGTGTTGTGCACTTCGTCGTTAAATAGACGAAGCTGTATTCTTCCATCCGTCTGTGCACAATAAATAGCAAATCAACTTCATTTAATTTTCAAACACAAAATTCGTCATCCAATAATATGGGAATCTAGGTGGAGGAATCCGCATTCTTTCCACGCAGCCTGAATTTCTGTCGAAGCGGTTATTGAAATTCTTTCAGCCTTCATCCTCCCACTTCAAAAATTCCTATGCTACAATTTCCATCAATTTCTAAGTTTAGCTGCAATTCCAATTTCTGGATAGATTCGAAAAATCACAAAGATGATAAAAATCATACCAGTAAAAGGAATATGCAAAATTCATATTCGAAAAATATTGCAAAATGTGACAAATGTGACAGAAATGTCAAAGAAATGTATCTTTCATAATAAATTAACTGCGCATTTACATAAGTTTTGTTTTTCTCGAGCTCGAACGTTCTACAACTCAAATATGTGCAAGCTAAAAACTTATCAAACAAACTTATCAAACTTAACAAGCTTGCTAACCGGAAGCCGAGGAAGTTGTCTCCTGGAGGGTGAGGTTGCACTGTTGTATTGATCTGAAATCAGAAACATCAAATGTGAAATAGTTTCATAGAGACGCGACGATACATATCCGAGGCTTTAGTTAATTTATAGATTTTCTGCTTTATGTCAGCCAATTAAGGTTAAACTGAAGATGCGTAGTTTGAGACACACTTAATTGCATAATGCAATGAATAACTGAATAATACTGATTTTGGCGATAATAGTGTCCAATTTTATTCATTCAAAACGTCATTCATTGCGACTCCATGGGTTGATGGCACGACGCATTAAAATAAGTTAGCAGAAGGCGGAGGAATATTTATGGAAAATTGATTCAACTTTGACATATACCTGAATTAATCCCCAGACTATCCGCTTCGTTGCCCATGTCAGAATCTCCCCATTCAGCAGTAGGTTCGTTTTCAGTTTCAATTACAGTTGCAATTGGCATTTGATCACTGTGGATAGAAAGAAAACCGTATAGAAACTTCTATAGAAATATGGGCACAGGATTAACCAGCATTCAACCACTTTCACTGTACTTGAGCACTTCATGATTCATCAATAATATAATTCCTTTAACCACAATTGAGTGCATCTTCAAGAGCTTGTCCAGAACTTCATCACAGGGAGCACGGACCCTGCACATGCATGGCGATTGGCTACATATGCCATCAATCAAGTGCGCGTGGGTGGAAATTAAATTCATATAAATAAACGAACCACAAATGCTGGTATTTAAGATGATTATACAAATAAGGCATGGAAAAAGCTCTCTTATCTGCTCGTCTATTGAGTTGAAGCTTCAGAATGTGTATTTGTGTCTCAAATGAAGACTCTTGGACTCTTCCTCTCAATTTGGCAGTCATAAAAAATGTCTAAGTAGACACAAGTAGCGAATTCATGCTTAATGAAAATGTAGTTTTACTTTTCAACCATTAAAACAAATTGATGTTGAGCCAAGGCATTAACGAGGATTTATGACTTTCTGTATGCCGTCGTTTGTCTGCACTTTTGCTGCTGCAGGAGAGCAGTACGACTGGAGTTCCACCTGGAGAGCCTAATTTCCTGAACGCCACTTCAAATCACAAGTTATAATACTGTTCGAGAGGGCCTTCGATTTTGAGCCGATCCGTAAATACTCATTAAAGTCAACCCCACCAGCAACTGAGCGACATATTATTGGCTTATTTTGCAAACTAACTAGCATGCCTTCTTTTTATGTGCATCCTCTGCTAGCTACATAAATGTGTGTGTACGTAATTAGACAAATTTGAACCCTTCGTTTGAGTAGGAGAAAAAATTCTGTTTTTTCTTAAACTAAACAACTTGAGCAACTTTCATGAAACCACAGTTTACGAGAAAGTAATTTCAATTTGTTGACTCCAAGTTTACGACTGTGATTCAAGTGCTTTATTCCTCGTATAAAAGTTAATATTGGTTTGATGCACTCCAAAGCTCATCCCCCCAAACTCTCTCAGCCAACCTATGCAGCCAACCAGGAAGGGATCATTTAAAGACTGGATGTACACTTTCTCCGCGTCTTCTGAGCAAACAAACTGGCGGATGCAGGGTATATTTATACATAACTTCCAACTTTGGACCAAGTCGCGAGACTTGATTAAATCTGAAAATAATATTATGTCCGTAAAAGCTCGAATTTCATTACATTTCTACTTGCCTGTTCCCTACTGTGAGAGTCAAGGAACTGAAACACTGACTGAACTACAACGCAGACATAATTCGATAAAGGAAATCGCTGTGAGCATTAAAGAGAAAGAGTTTTTAAATAACTTTATCCACTACCAGGCGAAGCTCAAGTCTCATTCATAGAACCTACCCACCTACATCATATGCGAGTACGGTACCGTTGGCTAGCAGAGGAAATCACTGCATAACTGAAGATAATAACACCATTTGACATGAGAGTGACTTTTCATTCGCGGTTATAATTCACGCCTCCAGACAATCCCAAAAGTTATTTGTCACGCAAGAATTTCAAGATGATTTGCTAGGTGTGCAGTATTAGTAACTTGCAATCTAACTGGTCGAAGTCTTGAAGAACTCCAAAAGAGATAGGGCACAGCAAGGGCACCCATAGAATCACGTAGCATCAGCTTCACTAGCCTATACTGATCATATAGCAAGTGCTTGCTACGCCATTAGCACATGAATAAACTTTCAAACGCAATGGTGCAATTATTAGCTTCGTTATCCAATGGAAATTCGTTCCATCTGACAAATGATAATCTAGAATAAAGACGTCCGAACATGAAGGATGCTTGTATTTACAAGGTGTGCCAGAAGGTCGACTAGGTTTACAAACATGTAATCCAAGGGGTGTTAAAAAAGCATCTCAACTTACTTGTCCAGTGAAGCTATTGTGATCTCGATGGCATCACCTGAAGTGTCCATTACTTTGCAAACCTCTTCAAACGTAAGATTTGTCAACTTTATCCCGTTCCACGTGAGCACAATATCACCACGACGAATCCCAGCGAAGTCAGCCCCACTGCCAGGCGTGACACGAGCGACCTACAAGCCATTTAAAAAACCAAGTGAACATATCCCACTGTTAGGTGGTCATCAGCACGGTGGGAAAAGGCTTATTTGTGTATTATACCCGCGCTCTCAGGTTCCCTGGCTTTCCAGCCACGCTGCACCCTCCAACAACTCGGAGTCCAAATCCTCGAGCTGTTTTTTATGGATATTTTGTCCACGTTTTATCCAGCAGGATTGTCACCAGAGGTTCAAAAAAGCAATGGCGGTGCGAGTAATAGTTTGAGGAATCGATTTTAGCGCACGTACATACATACATTTCAGGTGATACATTTGGTGTTGATAAATTTGATATCGTTATTGCCGTGGAGTGGTGGCAGTGAATTGGCGTCGTCCAAGCAGAGTGGGGAGCACACCAGTTGGTGGTTCACAGAAGACATAAAAAGAAAAATACAAGAAAACAACTGAGTCTTTTGTCCTTTCAATCGGATTGTGTGCTCTGCCTCTGAAAGTATCGAGTTCATAAAAAAGAACTGCTCTCAACCTACAAATAGTTAGGGACGCATGTACATTTGTATCGGTGGTTGGTGTGTATACGAAGCGTCTGGCATTACATACATGTCGATGGGGGGAATTTACTTTTATGCTTCCAACGCCACCCACCATGCGGCCCTGTATTTTATGCTCTGAAGTAAATCCATGGAATGTTTTGGTGGATGGATCTGTTTGATCTGGGAGAGAGAGAAAGTAAAGTGCACAAAAAGGTGGCTTTCCCCGTTGCATATGTTATTTTGGCTAACGAAAGAATAAAGTGCACACTATCCACCTCACTCACCTTGCCAAACAACAAAATTTCAAAGGAAATACTCTAATGCAGGAAATAGGGATTTAATACGCGTGATGCTCTTTTTGGATTTCTTGTGGTTTATGCCAACGGTATGATCAGTTTCTTTTTGGTAATTAGGTAGTTGGCTATCCAGCAACAGCAACTTGTACTGATGCGAATTTCTATATCTAAGTAGTTCTATCAGGGTAAAAATAACATTTAACATGCTAAAAATATCCTGGTCGTCAAGACTGAAGACTGTTGCTGCTTGGCAAGGACTCGGTTAGTCGGTTAGCACATTTAATGTGAACAAGGTGAAAAATAGATATGGATCATTAGCGAGCTACGACGACGACGACTGAGCAACACGTGGGAGCTTTCCCAACTTTCTTTCTCCCCTTCACAGCTATTTTTATGCAGCGCCATTAGAATTAAGTGTATTAGAGTTTACTGCACTGCTGGCGGGCGGTGGTTCTCACTGGTTCTTAGTGAAAAAGTTAAGCCGTGGAATTTGATTCGGATTCAGATGAACGCCTATTGGAAGCACAAAGTGGACTCCAACAAGCGAGTGAATAATGAACTGACATGAATCATGAATATTGATCGACTTCCGCCGAGCTAGCCTTCCTCCCATCCTCACTTTCCTAGTATCGTCGTAGTCGTCGTCGTCGTCGACCAAGTCTCTTTACCCGGCTTCATGGGTCACGCTTTCCCTATCTCTCTCTCTCTCCCTTCCTAGGTTTTTCTGCAGGTCGCCCGTGTGGCTCGCAGCAGTCTCGGCAGTTGTGTGTTGTTCGACTAACAAGAAACCAACAAATTGAAAAAGAGGAAGCATATCCTTGTGCACACATACTTTGGTATCCTCGATCCTGTGGATCCCTCCGAAGTCGAACTACTCTCGTCCGAAAGTCGGCCGCCTCACCGGAATTTTGTGCTTTGTTATTGTCTATAGCAGCAGCCGTGGAGTCGACATCGTCTATCACGATTTTAATAGCCTCCCCATCCTGCGAAGACCCTTGTCTTTTTACCTCGTGGTGATGGTGTTGCTGCTGCTGATGCTGATTATGATGCTGATTATGTTGTTGTTGCTGTTGCATTTGTTGCTGTTGTTGGTGTTGATGTTGCTGTCGTTGCTTCATGTCCATTCCTTCTTGGTCCTGGTGGAAAAATTAATTATGCAACTGTGATGATCAAACTTGCTGATTATGTATCTCAATACACACATTTGCATTGACATGACACATTGGGTCTTGGGTTCCCCCTCCACCCTCGACCAAGGGTTATAGACATCGTAATTATTTAATGTGACATAATTTTTACTAGTAAAATAGAGTAAGAGGTCAAATACCAGAGATGCACACGAGCGTGGTTGTGGGGACTGCTTGGTCGTCGAATTGTAGCTGTAAACAAAATCCAAAGTCAATAACATGGTTCATTAGTCGCTTCTCTGTAGCACGGGGTTCGTACACACTCTTCAGCACGTATGTATCAGATGGATGAGCAGTAGATTTAGAGCACAAGTCTTTCACTTCACCAATTTGCTATGCCTCGTTAGAGCTGCATGCACAATTTATTGAATGAAAGCAAATACTAAAATCAGAGTTACACACAACACTAATTAAATTGAATAGCCAGGCAATCAAGCGATTCATGCATATGCGCCATGGTATTTTACCCCGTGAATGGAATAAACTCGTGGAAAATAAACGCTGAAATAGCAACAAGCTGGGCCGGAGTCTGGAATTAACAAATCAAACATTAACCAAATCCCAGAAGCTCAATGTTGCCCTACTTTATTCATACACAGCTCTGTAAGTACATTGATATTTGCAGTGAATTTGAGAGGTAGGTGTGCACAAATTGTGTCATATCTTTCAATTGATAGATATATGTGTAGGAGTATGGTTGGCGTAATAAGTTACATACGGGGGTTCAGGGTTCACACATAAAATAAATCAGACACCCAGGTGGAAACGATGTGCTGTTACTTCACTCTCCGCACGTTTGGCGAAAAACCTGGGGTAAGGTAAAAGTTGGGTGGTTATTGCACGGGAAAGCGAAACAGACGTTACATGGAATGCAGGAGAAAGCGGAAAAAGAGAAGGCGAGTTAAAATAAGACCGGCAAAATGACTTAGTTATGTGACACAGCAGGATCACTAACCACGGTAATACTGCAGCAGGTGTATATACGTATATAACAGCCTCCGAAATTGTGAGCGAGAAATCGGTTGTGGAGTTGAACGGGGAAAATGGACAGGAGAAAGTAAATTCTCGGAAAAGCCTCGAGCTCAGTTAGTATAAAAAAGTCAATGAGTCAGGAATCTGGGGAAGGCAGTTGACAAGAGAAAGACAGGTCAGGAAGAGTGGGAAAAGGGACAAATGACATTTATCGTGCGGATGAATCAAGTGCCTTCGTTACTGGGTTCACATACTTATCGAATCCGTATTTCAATGCCTTTGGACATGAATGAGACAGACAGGGGAAGCTGAACGTCTTGGGGCTAATAGCTGCCTGTGCTGGGAGAAACTGACAACTTGATGCTTTTCTTCCATTGTCTCGTGTACTCATTTGAAGAAGTATTAATTGTGGTGCAAGTACAATGCTCTGATATTCTGTCATTCGTAATCATTGAATAAGATAAATTGGAAATCCCATCTATTTATTTCGGAATATACAAATACTTCCCTGCTCGCATCATTGAATTTCAGAGTTGTAAAAGCAACCATCCGTATCTAATTCCAAGTATTTCATATTAATGCGAATTGTTCAATGATTAACCCATTAAAAAGGTCTAAAAACCACCTTAACGAAACTTAAGGGAAATTTTAGGAGAGATTATGTATCATCAATTTACGGATTTCGATGCCCATTGGATATGTTGTAGTCCCCCATGAATCAACAAGAACAAGAAACCCCCAAGTAGTTTGATGCCGTGGCCATATTTGCGCCCGTCACACCCACCCAAAGTTGCTAAAAAAACGGAGAAAGTATTGCTTTCACTCATTCAAATCCACTCCAAAAATCAAATTTTGGATTTTGAACATCCATACACCATTATACTCCCAAACGGTTGTTTTCTTATATCCAACATCAAACTCAACTTTTTGAAATTTTAGTGATTTTAAAATTTAAAATTCTGAATGAGCATTGTTGTAATAATAAACAATTATGCCTGCGAAATAATCATCAAAAAAGTTTAGTTTGGTGTTGGATATAAGAAAAAACAACTAATTAGGAGTATAATGGTGTATGGATTTTCAAAATCCGAGTAAAATTGGATTTTTGGAGTGGATTTAAATGAGTGAAAGCTGGAGTGAAAGCGTTTTTTGGACACCTTTGAGTGGGCATGGCGGGCGCAAATCTGGTCATGGCATCAAACTATTTGGGGGTTTCTTGTTGATTCATGGGGGACTACAACATATCAAATTGGCATCGAGATCCGTAAATTGATAGTACATCTCTCCACTTGGCTGTTCTTGTTGATTCATTGGACACTATAACATATCAAAAGGCATCGAGATCCATGAGCTGATAGTACACAATCTCTCCTCCTTGGATGACTAAATGGTGTTAAAAAGTGTTTAACAAGATTCCTCCAGAGCAAATGATGTAAAACCTATTTGTTTCTGTACTAACAGTAGCCTAATCTAAGAAAATAATTATACAGAAGGCAGAGGGAAACGGGAAAAGCAAATTCTGAATATCCGTCCGTACGGAATTCCTCGGATATTCTGAAGGTGAAAGTCTAGTTCCGTAATTGCAAATGAATATTACATCACAAAGGATATTAATTATACTTTCAAGATCATATTGTAGTCATGCATGTACATATAGCACTCAACGAGAAAGTGTTGAAAAATATGAATAGTGTTGCGTTACATTTGTACTGATCTCCGTCGTAGCGTGTCAGTGGAACCGATGGCCAAGTCGGATGGATGGGGCTTTCTCGGCTGTTGTTGTTGTTGTTGTTGTTGCTGCTGCTGCTGCTGCTGCTGGGGTGGTTGATGTTGCTGAGAATGCTGCGAATGGTTCGAAGATTTCTGGGATGGCTGATGATGCTGTTGTTGTCCCTGCTTTGCTTGTTGTTGCTGTTGTTTTTGAAGGTATTGCTGATGGGTTTTCTGGAGGTGTTGGAGATCTTTCTCTGAGAGACCCCCTCCTTGTCCGCCACCTCCAATTGACGGAGTATGGCCACCAACCCCACTCTTGCTGTCACTACCACTCGTCGACACATTATTATTGTTCGCACCCGCGTCAGGGTCAACGGTTCGCATATCACAAGAAGCTCGTCGCCCCCGAGCATTGACGGGCAAGTTAAGAGCACCTTCACTGGCTCCGCGTTCGTACGACCTTTGTCTTTTCATTGAAGCAGTTTTAGGGTTGGGTGGTCCTTTTGGTTTGTCGTCTTTACTGTTCTGGTGCTTATCTGATTTAGAAGAAGACTGAGTGATACTCAAAGTTATACCACCAGCAGCAGAACTACCACTCTCTTGGTCTCTATCTTTCTTCATTAGCTCTGTGCTACTTTTAGCCTTCTCCACCGGCATGACGGAGAGTCCCAAGTCATGTTGGGACGTGGCGTTGGAAATGGCTGACTGCTGAAATTTCAAAATGTCTCGCAGTGGAACGTCTGAATGTCTTCGAACATCGGAAGGTTTGGGGGCCAGCAGGAGCACCTCGTTCTCAGAGTCAGCCCTGCAATATTGAAAATGTGTCAGATTGCACTTTTAAAGCGGGAGACCCTTAGAACTTTCATCTCTTTGTTGTTATTTGGATAACTGTTTTTATTTTTTTACGGATCGTTTTACAATGATAAGTGACAGTGAGTTACTCCGTACGGTTCCCAAGGTTGGGACCGATCTTTTTTTCTGGAGGGATGACAACGACAACATAAAAGTTAATGTTCTGACAGAGTTGGACATTAAAAGTACTTTTAATTATTTAAAATCTGAAAATTTGAAACCTGGCCTTAATTAAATTGTGAACCAAACGTGATTTCTTTGTATTATTTAGAGAAACTAACTCAAGTACACTTCTCTCTTCTAACTGACGGACATGGTGATATGCGGGATATGACCGTAAATAAGGGAGCTGCGGGTTACTGTCTTGTGAAGAGTACGACTTCGATCGTTAAAATGTTTAATAGCGACGCTTTAGACCTTGACGGTTGTAAAGTAAAGTAAGTGACAAGTGGCTCGCAATATAAAATGTCATTGTATAAATCAAATTACAAAATGAGCAATTTACAGAGAACTAGAGGCACAATGGGGATGGAAGGTGAATCCTGAGATGACCTACTCGTTCCATATGTACACTGATGATGACTGGGTTGCTGATCAACTCAAATACCTTATCCGAAGAAAGTTCGGCGTTGTTTGTGCCAACGCACCGTATTCTTCAGAAGTGGTGTTAGCCGAACACAAGGAGAAAATATATGATCATTTGAGACAATTTCTTCCTCGTCTCCCTCAAATCAGGGAAGATTACTTCAACAACCCTCCTCCTCCTCCTCCTGATAAATTAGAAAACGCTCGTCCTGCCCCACCATTACAAGAAAAACTCAAGTGTAATTTGTGTGGTGCAGTTATTTGTCTAACTTTTGCGGAACATATGAATGTATATATTTAATGTTGTTATTATTCAACAAAACCTTATCGCTAATAATGTGCTTGATATTAATTTGCCTAGGTTAGCCATTACTCTGGTCCCAATGCACTAGATTGTGATCTTTGCCCTTGTACTTTTGAAACAGTTACAAGCATGAAAAATCACCGATCCCGAAACCACGTAGGAGCAGAACCACAACAACGGAGTAAGTTTGGCATTCGTGATATGAGTGCTGAGGTCAAACGAAAATGTGATGCCCAACTCGAGCGTATCCCATTGGGGGAAGGTACAACCAAAACAAAATATGGATGTATCTGGGTCCGAGAAAATGGACAAAAATGCGGACAAGTGTGTGTTGGATCAACCAATTCTCGGTACGTCAATTTGATTGTCATATGAAGTATTATTTTAATAGTTTTCTTGTTTTAATAGAGAACACGTGTGCACCCATTTACGACTAAAGCCGTATACATGCCCTTTGACAGGATGTTCGTACGCCTCTGCGTCTTTCAAAGGCGTTGTCCGCCATTACCAAGTATATGCCCCACTATAATTATTTATTAGTGCTTACTATACCGAGCATTTGTTTGTAAAATAAGCATGAAGGAGAAGAAGAAGACGATGAAAAGTCAGAGGATCATGAAGAGGAAAAGTCAGAGGACCCTCCAAAGAAACAGAGGAAATGTTAAGTTTAAAAAAAGTTGATTATCGGAACATTAGAATTTAGTTTCGACATATATCAATCACATAGTAAGTAGCATATTTAAATACCTGTTCAGCCCGCCTTGAAGACGTCGCGTGTCGGGCGATTTTCTAATCGTCGTCTCACAACCCAGTCCTGCAAGTTGAAATTAGTGTTACAACATTCACCATTTAACGTAAGCAGACAGGAGGGAAGAGTGGGACACAGATAACAAAAGTTTATTTTTAAGTTTGCGATATCATACCTTCAAGCACTTCGCTTTGTTCAATTCCTGGTTGCACGCCACGGGCAATGATAGCAATGCCTCTACGTCTGCAGACACTGCAACGCCAGGAGACCTGCAAATATTAAGACTTGTGTCACAGTTTACACTTTCTTTTTAGAAATCAGATGATTCTTTCGTTATGAATAGTGTTGCACGAACGATGACTCTTTGATTTTGGACGTTTTTTTAGCAGCAATGAAACGAACAACAGAATGGAATTTTTAAACTTTCTTCATTTTTATAATGCTTTGTCTCAATTAGAAGTTTATAAATACATACGTTCCCTACCTAAGAGTTTACCCTTTCGATCAAATGCCAAATCTAGCCTCCATTTTAATCAGATAATATGTATGCATGATCTTGCGTCACAATGTGTTCAATTTATCTCATCTTCCCAGAAACAAATTTCCTCGTGTGGAAAATTACCCAATCCTACACAACGTGGGTGTCGAAATTGGTAGCTAGCTATCAAATGTCACACATTTTTAAGCAGTGGTGAAGATTCTGTAACGAACGAGCCCACGAGGACTTTCTCATCATCGCCTTTGAACTTTCTATTTATAATCATCAGTCATTTCTTTGGGATGAAATATAAAAACGTGAACCTTGATGATGCCAAGATAAAAGCTCACAAATTTTTTACAAGCTTGGCTGCACAGTGACGACCATTCACAGAAATTACGCATATGCCTCATACAATTTCAGCAGAGGGAAGGCACAGTGAATGGAGAGGAGAAAGCACTCCTGGAATAAGACGCTCGTACAAATGAAAGGACGGGGAACGCCTTTGGCTCCTTTCTCCTCAAGTCTTTCTCGTTACGTGGTGCGAGTCTTTCCTGCTCGACGTCCAACAGCATCTGCAGCAGTTCATTTCAGTAATTTACTCATCCTCCCGTCATACATAAGTCGCCCCCTCAGTCGCAGAAGGGCAGAGAGAAGTAGTGGACATACATACCTCGTATGTAAATACATATTTAGTTCTAGGAATAGACAAGGAAATATTAGTATTTTAAGGAATGAGTCTCTCAGTCAGAGCAGAGTCCGAAAGCAGAGAGAGGCAAACTCTTGCTGGCCTTTCCAAGCTGGTGCAAAGATGAAAGGGGTAATTAATTTAGGAGTGCACGAGTTGTGAGAATATTAAAGGACTAACTAAATATGATTAATATTCTCAATTAAAAGTCCACTTCAAATCATATTTACTATTCATTTCTGTCCGAGATGAAAGCGAAGCTGATGTCTGCAATTGCTCAAGAACCGGCTTTGAAACGAAAATGAAATTATGTAGAACCCCAATTAAAGACACCCTGAATATTTATGAAGCTAGAATAAATAAAATAAAATGCTATGTTATCTGTGCTTTTAATTCAATTGAAAATTTACTTAGGTAGGGTGTGCACCAAGTAGAATCCATAAGCACCAATAAAGTGACCCTTGCGCTGCAATATGTCAACGTGTCAAATAAATGTCTGCACAAATTGGAGAAGCAAAAAATTAGATACTGGCAACATTGCAAATAAACCGAGTCGTACTGTGAGTTAAAATTGAAAGATATAATTTAAGCAGTTTGAATCTCGACGTCCTTCACGGTTGGCAAATAAGGAGGATCAGCCATCCATGAGTAATGTCGTTCACCAACTTAAACTAATGAAAGCAATTAAATATTTTAATGGAATATTTAATGAGGTTGTTGATGGATGGATATATAATTGCAGTTGCGTTCACAGGGAGAAACTAGCTGCGAATCACACCAACAAAGTGGAACCTCGTCATTGTGTTAATTCCTCTCTTCCGCAGAAAGCAGCAACCGGTAAAGAAACGAAATGAGTTTGGAATGAAATGATTATTATGCCAGATAGCGACTGCACTTGTCAGCGTGTGAAGTGCCCAGCGACAAGAGGAATATTGAGAATTGGGGGATTTGCAGAGGAGCCAATGCCGAACTATCCTGTATCTCATTTACGTCATCAGAATGGAAGTTCACTACAGAAGTAGGTATACTTCTGCTCCGTGCAATAAACGCAATCAGAACGATTACCCAGACTCGTTAGATTTGTAAAGTTAAAGCAATCGTCTCGAGAACTTTATTCCCTTCACCACACGCTGTCCCAACTTGTTTGTCAGGCCGTCTACTTGGCCAGACCACGTCAGAAGGGTAACGGTGTCCGCATATAAATATGTAAGGTCGACGACGAGAATTGAGCGTCTGTCGAATAAAAATTGCGTGAAAGAATTTTCTCATGAATGAGCTGAAAAGACGAATTACCTTGAAATATTTCAGACCCTGGTCACGATCAGTAAAGATCCATCAGCTTCTAAATTATCTCCTCTCGCACTCCTACCCAATACCCAAGTGCCATTCGGTAAAAGCTGTATTGATATGTTCTGCGTTTGTGCCTAAAGAATTACTTGTGTTTGGAAACACAGAAATACTTACATCCCGCATTCTCAACTACATACATGATGACATTCCTAACAACAAATAAATAAATACGAAATGGCGTTTTCATATTGATCACATCCATTTGTGAAATCATTTATCATCCGTCGACTCAACACCTCGACTTTTTGTGTGGCTGGGAAGGAGAAAGTCGAGCGCAGAAGCTATCGTATCGTGTGATCAGACTACACTCCTCAGCAGCAGCAGACAGTGGTGTTACTGGTGGTGGTGGTGATGGAGAAGGACGAGACGAGAATAGTGAAGAAATGATAAAGTTGTTGGCGAGGAAAGTCATCATCCCGTGCGTAAGTCGTTTGTTGAGGAAATCCTTCTCTCCTACTTTCTTCGACCCAATGAATGTAGCCGCCTAAATTTCCTTGCGTCAAGGCCAAGGCAAACTGTTGAATGCATTCCGGAATTTAGATTTCTGCCAGCACAACACGGAATTGGAATTTGGCCAAGAAACAAATCAAGTCTATTTCGATTCGGTGGGTGCTGCTTGTTGCTTCCACGCGTGCATGTGGCTCTGACTGTCAGATATGCTTATGTATTTTCTTATTTACTATTTCATCCGGCATGACAAAGCCATTTCTTAGGCAAGGATGAATCCATCAAAATTCTATTTCCTTTCCAACCCTATCATAAATCTCTCTCGTCTTTGTGTGTGGCAGGGAATGAGCAAGTCGACGAGGTGTGAGAAAAATAGGGGGAGCTCTGCCATGGATGGAGAGAGGATGAAAAGGAAGCTCTTGCCACTATTAACTTAACGTGTTCACCTTGTGTATAAGCTGTCCCTTACCTGGCGATCTCTGCCCTTCTCCCTCCACGACTCTCTCTCTCTCTGATCCATATATCTCAATAACCATACATCTTTTGTTGGCCGTGCCCCACCCAAGTGCAGAGAGTCAAGTTGAAATAGAAGCTGGGATGGAAGTAAGTGGAGTGGCTGGAGAAAGTGAGAGTTGCCTCTCCTATTATCACAAGCTATGAATACAAAGCTGGTCTGGTGGGAAAAAGGAGCTGTGTTGTGGCCGTGCTTTATCTGGTTGAGCAGGAGAGTTGAGCAGAAAGCAGGAGAGTAACTTTGCAAACCACAAGAAATATGGGAGTGAGGCTGCTGGGATTGAGGTAATAAAGGTGCCTAAAAGAGGAGGTGAGGAGGACTCGAGAAATAATTTTGTTGCGTAAAGCAGAGCTGCCACCGTAGAGAAGTTCGAGACCCTTGGGACAAAGTCGTCGTCATCATCATCGTCCCCGCTCCATATGTGTGCCTGCTTTCCTTCACCAACCTCAAACCAGCCCAACCAATCCAAACTCGCCTTGTTCGGAAAAATAATGCAATTCAAAGGTGACAACTCCATTTTGACCTTCAACATTACGTGATGATCGTGTTTTTAGCACTTGCATTTTTGTTTCTTTCCTATTCAAACAAAAATATTTCAGTGGAGAGTTCAAACTAAAATCTAATCTTAGGTACTTTCAAAAGATGTAGTGGCAGAGAATGTACGTATCAAATGTGTCGAAAGGAAGAGGTGTTGCTTCCTAAACTGTGTGAAACTATTGGCACTTTTTGCAGCGAGCAAATAGAGACGAGACTACTTGGAGAAGATTAGAAATTACGTACAACCACACACCGCATAATTCGGTTTTAATTAAAAATTACTCATGCATGTTGAATGGAATAAAATTAAGGGATTTGAATGCAGTCTGTGGAGAGATTTGCAAAATCTAGCTTAGCGTTTGAACACACAAAGATGGATTACGGAATGGGATTATATAGTTATTATTGAAATTAAGTTGCCATTTAAATAGTTGCAACGTTTTCAATTCAGTTTTGGATTTCAGGATTTGCACATTTATTATTGTAAAGCGTCATATACCAGACATACTACATCACGCAAATTCTCTGAAATTCTATATTTATACAAAATAAATATTCCATTTATTTCTAAAGGATAAAAATAAAGTTTGTATGTTCATTTACTTAAAAACGATCTCACATTGTTTACAATTCCCAACTCTTATTCATTCCCTGCTTAATAATAATCAGCCTATTTTTATATATCTACTATCCGACTCGTTGTATGAATAATAATGTTGTTGATAAAACTTTTTGTTATCCTTCCTGTTTAAAATTGACCTTTGAATCCTATGGTCACAGTTGAAAAGGAAGCAAGAAAAACGGTGTGGAATTTCCAACTGGGGTGGTAAATACTTGCAATCCCATCTCTTGTTCAGGCCCAAAAATATTCAAGTCACGAACGTCCCTTTGCAAATTTTCCAAAGGACAGTTCAATCATACAGGAAATCATTGGTGGTTTAGAGCTTGTAAAATGAATTTGTGAAAGTGGAACGAATTTACACACGACGATAATATGTCCAACAAACTGACTGACACGGACAAATAGCATTCTCCTCTTCAGCCAGATATTTGTCATCGTTTTGCATGAGTCAGCCAAACGGAAAACAGATAATCAAGAAGTCACTCAGTCGAGTCTCGAGTCGCACTCACTTGCATTTCGTCCAATGCACGAAACATATATTTTGGTTTATGGTAACCTTTGAAGCTCTGAATGGCAAACACGCATTGGCTCGTTTTCGCTTTCACCATCAACCGAAATGTAATTTCAATGTCAATTTCCTCCCCGAAAATAAATAGAATGGCAAATGTGACCACACAACTCCGTGAGCCTGATGTATGAGCTTTCACTTTGATGTTGACTTTGATTTCATTAAAATGTGAAGTTTGTTACAATCTTCAACCGTGAAGAACCATGAAAGGATTATGAAATCACGTCGTTTGACTCTCATGCGAAAGTGTTTACCACAAAAATTGAGCACGAATTGACCGGTCAGGAAACTAATACTTTATGATAATAAGCAATAATCAATAAAGTACACACAAGGACGTTTCATACTAAAAACAATATTATGAACGGTAATCGGGAGATTATGTACATATGAATTTTTCATCATATACGTCAGATAACGGAAGGAATTTTATGAGACAGAAATATGAAATGGACCAGTATCTTCTACAAGAATTTGCATACACCGCATTCAAGCCAGATCGTCGCGTTGGGTTGAATTTGCTTTGGTGTTTAATAACTGTCATTGTGAGGGATTTCCACACTTTCACCACTTCCGAACCAACAAACAACAAGGATGATAAAGTCGTGTTTCGTTTCGTCACTCGTATGAAAGCAACCGTCAAATGCAGCATGTCGGAGATCTCCACGAATGAATAAATACAGGTGGGCAGACTTGGCCAAATATTAAAATCTATCAAATGATGAACTCATTTAATTTGTTGGACTATAAATTGCTCACTCGCTCGACGTTACTTGAACCATTGCAATTTCCTTTAAGTCCAAATTGTGCAGCCGCCGTCTGCGAGCAGCTGTCTTGAGAGCATTTCCAAGGGTAATCGAATGATCTTTAATTATCCCCCTCTGCCTGGATGCTTAGCATTCGGGAGATGTGCCCTTAATGGAGTGGAACTTGTGCAGTGCTCCTTCCTACCAAGAAGGTGATAATAAATTCAATGCGAAAGTCATTTGGTGAATGCAAATGTCATTTTCAGCGTGGAACCTTCGGTCTTTACTGCAGCAGGAGGAGGAAGGCAGATGGTAACATAATGGACCCACGACGCTACGCTATTTTTGCTATGATTCACTAGTATTTGAAACATGGCGGGCAAGTGGGCGCCAGAATCTGCAGAAAATGTAATCATTTTCATAATCTTGCAGCAATTGGGCTAAAGTGGTGGAAGGAGTTGTTATTCTGAATTGGTAGGTGGGTATTCGTACCATATATTTTCTGATATATGTGGCTTACGTCTACGTAGGAAGTGTGTAGTTCTTGGCAATTTGGACGAACGTAGTGCTGCTGAGTGAGCAGGTGAAAGTAAAGTGGCGGCTGGAGGGTTAAATTTCATTTCAATTTCCAAGTGGGTAAACATTTTTAGCAATCGATGCCCTTCCCAGTGTTTCTCGGGGGATGTGTGCAGTGAAAATTGGTGGTGAAAAGTTTGCGAGCGGTGGTGATGAAGAGTTTACTCTTGCAAAATGCGGAAAGTTGTGGAAGAGGACTCTCGAGTAATAGAAAGTCCAAAAGTTAAGTCGCCAAGTTTAGTATCAAAATTGAGCCATCTTTCATCCACTGCTGCTCATGTACTATTTCGTAAGTTATCTCATCCCCCCGTCCATACAAACACATAAATATACACAAAGTGTGATAATGCAAACTCACGGTTTTCACAGTCTAACGAAGCATGTTATGCAGTAATGGAAAACATAAGCTTTCTCCTCGGACGTACGTATGCATGAGATAAGTTTGTGAGATATGTACGTATTTGCTAACTTGCGCGTCTTACGCTATAGAGTCCAAGGTATAGGAAGAAACGACGGCATATTTATTAGACCAAGTTCACAATAAATAAATTCGATCGTCACATCAATTGAATATAACATGACGAATAGATGACATTGTATGATACACATACGCCAACGCAGCAAGAGAAAATTTCCAAAGATCAAAACCTATTTTATTTGCAGGGGTAGTACATTGAATAATTCATATCGAGTTATGCCATTCAATTTGAACAAGAGTTTAAATAAAATTGTGTCGAAATGGATAAATTGCATTGCTGGACGACTCTGCTCAATTTTGTATTAAATATTTATATAATACGTATTTGCAACCAGCCTTAACTTTTACCTTCGCTTTTTACTTATGCATGTAGAGTCTCATTTAACGTCTCAAAATGTAGACGTGAGCGTCTGTTTCGTATCGAAGGTATAGAACCCCCATTGGATTACTTTCTCAATTTTCAATATTTTATTCCGATTAAATTAATTGTTTTCAAAGTAATTTTGTAATTCTATTACGAATCAGAGGAGGCTAGCACGCACGATTAGTAACACGCAATGGAACATATGTCGTGTTATGCATGCACCTCACACACACGCCTAAATTGACTGGATTCTATTTAAGAGTCTTCGACGCCACGCGTTTGGACTACTTTGGAACTTTCTTGGCTCTCAAGATAACCCGTGCGGCATGGTTAAGAGTATTTTGTTAACATATTATTCGTCTCGTCGAAGTGGACAAGTACATGTAAATATTTGATATGGAAATTTGAATCGATCATGTGATCGATGTTCATCACCCAACACTTGAGCAATATCATGCCGTCATAATAATATCCCCACGCAACAAACCTACGCAAGATAAAGTTCAACACCCCCCACACACACGTCCATCTATAGAATTGAAACATGGGAAATCGTGCACGTTCTGTATTGAGAATCGCCAAGACAAATAATGGTGCACGGAGGGAGGAGTGAACATAGTTAGCTCGCCATGAATGATACATAATGCGTACATCCATGTATGTATGTGTAGTTGTGTATGTACAGCCATCGAGAAAGACACGGGTCTTCCCCTTCACTAACGATGAAATAATGTCTCGTAATAACAGAACGTTAATGGTTTATCCCAACTTTCTCTATTCAGTCACGCCTCACCCATTCCTATCTATTTCTTCTCTCCCCCACGTTTTTTAGTATTATTATTAGAGTCTCAACAACTCAACACCAGTTGAACATGTTCTGCCTGGCAGTTTTCTCTCCCCACCAACACCCAGCATCAGGCTTGAACTATTTATGATCAGCGTTGTTAAAGTTGAAATGTTGGGAAGCAATAGTCTCGAATGTAATAATAAATTGATTCCGTGGGGAAAGGAATCGAATTTGGTTTGAACCAAATAAAAAAGCTTTTATCCTTTATAAAGACCTGGAGACTATGAAGAGATGATATTTCAGCAATATTCATCCCGAATTGGCAATAAAGAAAAAATCTGGAGAGAATAAACTGGGAGTGAGCAAGTTGGGCACACATTTCCCATTTTGAGCCAAAGTCCATCTTTCTCCAATTCCTCCTTCTTGTTCTCCGTGGTGGTGAAGAAGAGGACAGTAAAAGTGAAAGAAACCTCAACTTCAGTCAGACCCAGACAAAAAGCACACACAGCACCACCGCCACTTTCTACGAACCATATTATATATCCCACACCAACTAAAATGACAGCTTTTCTGGTTGAGTAACGAGAATCATCCGAGGAAGACCAAGAAACCGGTATGGGAGTGTCTCTCGAGGTGGTTGTAACATATTGTAACTGCCTCTGGAGAGCTATCTAAATGGTCCATACTACATATGACGAAGACGGCGGCGACGACGAGCTGCAGCAGATCCGCTGCTACCTCATCCACCCATCCAATATTTAACTCGAATGCGTAAATAGTGGTGGGTGGGTCAGTCTTTTTTAGCGATTCCTTCGTCTTTTGGTCTCGTACAAAGCTGGTCTTTTTGAGCATGTACGAGTCGACGACGGGGACGACACGAGAAATATTCCGGTGGCAATAAGTTATGTCTTCCATCTCCGTAATGCACCCTTTCAACCATCTGCAAGATTTTCTCAACTATTTCTCTATACATCATCTGTCTCATATTTCCAACTCTACTTGGTCCAAAATATGCCAATGCGGTGCTCCTGCAACCAGTCCTGCACAGAATAAGAGTCGGTACAACCCTTTCTACATGTTTCCTCAGGTTTCTTTCCCAGTATTTGAAAATCGAAACCGCTGACGGTTCCTGAATATCCAATTTGAAAATGGATTGTGTCTCCTTTTCTGCGCATTTGACACACAGGCAAAATCAGATTCGCTTTTCTCAACATTTTGTACAGATGGTCAAAATATTTGTTTATCGTAAGCAGAAAATATGGTGAAAGTCGTTGTTCATATTTTTGTTGGCATTCTTGCTGTTATCATGTTTGGAATGGATTCTCTGAATAGAACATTTGAATAAATACTCGCAATTGTTTCCATTACAGGATGGCTAATAGTTTTTGACAAGTTATCTCAAAAACCTGCTATTTAAAGTGAGGAATGTCCCAGGAATAAAAGCTACGAACGTCTGTAGACATCTGAAATCCTACCTGACTCTGTCGGGATAAGAAATCTTAAGGTAAATCCACACAAATGAAAGCTCTTTCAATTTTAATGGGGGAGTGATAAAAATCGCAATTTTTTGGAATTGCCCAAAGAAAGTAGAAAGTGATGAAGTATAATATTTCCACTGCTGCTGCTGCTGCTGCTGACGCTGTTGAACTTGTTTGAAATCGGAGTTAAAAGGCGACCCGGGGATGGTCTGGCCTTGCATGATGATGAAGATGAAAGGAAGGAAAAATAATCTTCTTGGATCTCCTCCTAAGACGGCCAAAGATGAGATCTCGTTCGTTTTCACAGCCGCTAAGCACTCACACTCCGTCGTTCCGTCCTTCGTTCGTTCGTTCGTTCGTTCGTGGCATTGGTTGTGATGGGTGCTTGGTGTAGGGATGAAAAATTCGATATTTATAAGAACGTACCTCGTTTCCGTCAGCATTAGAATAGCTATTGCAGTCATCGCAAACCAGTAAGTGGCATTCCGTACACATTACACTTTTACTGTACTCCTCCGGCTTCATGGCTTTCACACACACGCGGCATCTCCCAGCACTTCCAGGTCTCCTGTGCATTTAATAAGAAAAACGTAATCGTCTTTTCCACCACACAAAAAACACAAATTCATCAAAATTTCTCTCTTCCCATTCCATTCTCTGCCTTTGTGACCCATTTCAGCTCCACGCGAAACTAAGATTACGCTCATGTTGTATATACGTACGTACGTGAGTATACATCAAGTAGGAGGCAGGCACACGTACCATTATGTCTGCGAGTACACATATAAGTATATACTTACATACGGACATAAGAATATTAGTATTATTGCCCCCAATTCAACCAGGTAGAGCTTTTGAATGAGGCCTGGATAGGAAAATACATAAGGTAGGTGCGGTGGACATTTGTGCGAATAATGCACTTTTTCAACGCCCTAAACGTTCTGGATTAGGGCATGCAACTTCTTCATTTTTGGTATCCAGAATCTGGATAGAAAAAGAAAGCACGTCAACACGCGTTCTTTTATTTTATGCATGTATGTACATGTGTGAGTGGTTTTGTGGAGGTGAAGACAATGAGATGCAAGACATTGATGGGAAGAGGAGTTCCACTCCATCCATGGTTGAGGGATTGATTGTGAGAAGTCACAGGTCATGAATTGCTGTGAGACGTGGAATTTGACAGTGCTGCTTCGTATCTTTGATTTAAGCTGATGTTGGAATTGAATTGGAATATCTTTCAACTATTTGAGGGAGAGAGTGAGAGAGACCATTTAGCAGTCTCTCTGGGGAACTTTCCCCATTCAGCAGGACGGAAACCAGGAATCCCAAAATTACAATGTTGCAAACATTTCAAGAATATTGAGATTATATGCTCAACTGCCTCGGAGAGCCGAAAATGAAATGAAATATGCAAACAGACTGAGACTCCATTTCCGATTAAATGAACCATAAATTCTCCTCTTTTCCTCGCTACCAATCCACTTTCCCGATTACACAGATTTCATTTTACAGAAAAGACTCCATCTTTCAGCTCACGAGTCACTCACTCTCATAACAACCTGCTTTGATCCGCTTTCCTTTGTGATAGAGAAATTATTTCTGCTCAAACAATCTCATCAGTCCAACTCTACTACAATTATGTACGTAACATATATGTAGAGTGCACATATGAATGCGAACTATTGCGAACATCACACACACAAAAACACGCGTATTTATCTCTATCGCAAATTGAGACTCAATACAACGGCAATTCTGAGAATCACATTAAACTGTTTTACCAGTGGTCAAAATAAACATCAAACCGTCCGATAATTTATTTTCTTTTACAAAACAAATTAAGCATTTTCACAGCATGAAATATTTTAATGGGTTCAAAAAGCCTGTGATGAGTTTGGAAAGAGCTTGTTTTCGGTTTTATATAATTATGTACATATTTGGACTCATTCGTTTGAATTTATGACACTCGTAATGCCAATTCGTAACATTATACGCAAGGCAAACGAGTCTGGTTGGACTAATGACATGCACGGGTTATTTTTGCATGCATTTTAATAAAGAGGAGAGTTCTGCAAGTAATGTCTCAATATTCCTGCCATTAAATCGGACACTCAATTTTCTTTGATGACGCCAACACTTCACGTTTCTTGGTTTGCTCAAAGTTGGTTTCGCCACTAGCAGAAAATATAACAAGAGTATCACATTGACAGTGATACGTGTTCCGGTGGCGAGATTATCTTACCAACTTGTGTTTCACTTCTCTTTGTCCTTTCCACAAAAGGGAGGCTCGCTAAAGTCAGAGCTCTACACAATAAATCGATAGCTTTCACTTTGGCAGTACCATCCAAAGAATGGCAACAAGGTGTAATCCACTTTTGTCCCCTGCTCTCGTGCTTTCCCACCCTAAACTTCAATTCAATTCAAGCAGAATCAACTTACACATACAGCAGCAGCTGTATTTATATATACGATAACCGAGCCAACCCACCCACAAAACGACGATACAACTGAAGTGAGATGCAGGTGAAGTATCCTATGTTTGTAACAACAGCAAAGGAATCAACCCAGCAATCATCATCTATTCAGTGCATATGCATATCCATGTATGTAAGTACTTTCGTGGTTTGGTAAAATGGAAATAATTTATCAGATTGTGATTGTGCGTGTGCGTGATTTATCAGATTGTGAGCAATTATGAAACTCTGTCTCCTTTGCTTCCATGTGAATTCTGCTCTGTGGTGCTCGCCTTGATTTAGTACAAAGTAAGCCATCAATTTATTTGGACTTGCTCGTTTGCGGTCTCAGAAAGTGGTCAGACCAAGATGAAAGCGGTCCAGACGCTTTGCTCCATGTTGTTTAACCAAGCAGCACCAGATCCAACTAAATAAATACGTACGTACTTCTAGATGACGTGTCAAACCCCAATTGGTTATGTACCAACTTGGACGATTATGCAAGTATGTAGCTAGCTTACTATAATTATATCTTGACATAAATAAACGTGTCGTTCCAAGCATTTTTTAAAAATGTCAGACAAAATCTTATTTACAAAAGCATCGAACAAGGAAGGTCTCATTAGTGCATTAACACACGTTCATACACATATTTAAGTAAATGCTAAACATAATCTCAACTTTGGCTTGAGTCTATTGTTTCCATTCCTGAATAGCACGGGTCAGTTTATGTAACAAGAATTTTCACGTAGCAATATAAGCGTAACACGTAGTTGAAAAGTTGAATTATTTCCCACACTATGTACGCATTTACAAGACCGAACTGTTCCCTGTTTTCCCTCGCCAGTGTTCAAAGTTAATTGTGCTTGCCTGCCAGTGATGTGGATTTACGAAAACTTTCTCTCAATTATTTGCCGTACGTGATCTCATCTAGTTTGATTTACTTGGGTTGCTCTCATTTATTTTAAGTTGGGAAACCTAAGGGAGCTTAAAATGGCTGAAAGGAAAGTGGATACACAAAACAAGGGTCATGCAGCCGGATGGGGCACTATTTGAACTCCACTTGGGGATTGTAAAAATAAAGTGAAATGCTTGCCCTCCCGTCACCTCTATTACCTCTCAGCAATTAAAGGCAGTGTGTATCCATGCATAAAAAGTACATGAAAAAGGGAACTTGGCTTGGAAAGGGTTGAAATTCTACCAGTGGTCAAAACCCAGTGTTGGCACAATATATGTACATTTGTATTTATAATAAATAAATGGCTATTTATAGTCATCCTAAATTACTGGTCTAAATCTATTTGCGAACTTGAAAAAAGCAAAGTCCAGTTACTTATATTCCAAGAGTGACCACATGTCCATTAGCATTACGCAACAAAATAACAACACGGTAGAGGGAACCCAAAAATGAGATTTACTGGTTGCAAAAAGTTTTCACTGTTGTTGTTTTTTCTCTTTCTTTTCCTCCTCGAAGAGCAAAGTTTGTTATTTCTTCCAAGTCTCAAAATACCAGCCAGCACGAGTTCAGCTGAAATTTTTGATCACGTATCGAATTTTGAAACATTGCATTATGTAGAATGTCAGAAGAAATGTGCATGTACTTACACAAATCGAGTCACTAATTCTTAAATAGAAAGTTCATGGGTTCAACAATATTGCGTTGTTTCCATAAAACCCTTCACATTACGGAGTGCAGAGGTATTTGTGAAGTGTGCACGAGAGTTGGGCACAAAACAACAAATCATTAAAAGAAAACGAATTTAGAGTCCCAGCTCATTTCAGTTGTGAAGTACATAGTTCAATAAAACGAAACTTTCTTTTACCGCGGTGTCCTCCCATCCCGAGAGCCAGGACGCATTACAGGAGAAAGCAGAGGGGAAAAAGGTTAGGAAAACGTGAGGCTGCATCAGCAGAGGACCAAGTACTTATCCAAATATTGAGCAGGAGTGATTGCATTTCAACTTTTGCAACCATTTTCCTCTTTCTCTCTCGTACATCAACCTTGGAGTGTGTGTGGGAGATGTGTGTTGGCTGGGAATGGGTTTTATTGTGTGCCACTGAGTGTTTTTACTTTGCTCTTATCATCCTGGCCCTTTTAACCTTTTCTCCCAGCTCGTCTCCCCTGCAAAGAAATCAGTGAAAGTGTCAACCCAAGCGTAAACTGTTTCTCTTTTACGAGTATTGAATTTTCAAACTTCCTTTTCTTCTAAAGAGCATCCAAGACGTTTTCACTTTCCCAGCCCCTGCAATACCTGAACTCTCTGACGTCGCAAAATGAATCTTCCTCGCACACAGTCCAACACTTTAACTGTCCTCCTGCTCCCGAGTGAGGAACAATGCAACAAGCACGAGCATACACGTTTATTGCAGATATTTATATACGTATACGTGTGTATGTCCAACGTTTTCAACTGCTTCCTAACCCACCTTTCTTTCTCCCTTCCATATAGACGCACATTCGAGATGTACGTACGTACGTATAAGCAATCAGCGCTTACTGAGCCATGAACTTCTTCAAATTTGTTCTAGTTTTATGGCTTCGAATTACTCGAGGGGCATAATGGTGAGCCTGCGATATTGCCCAATTCTCGAAAGTTGTTGTCAGTTTAAGTTTTGTATTTCAGAACGGGCCCATTACGAGATGGATTGGGAAGAAGAGAGATTGTGTTCAAGGGTGAAAATCAAGTAAACGGATGAACTCACGCAGCTTCCTTCTCTTCGACGGGCGTGGAGACGTTAACATTGGGCACGTTGTCCGTGAGACCGTCGCCACCTTGGAGATCGGATGCTTGCTGAGGTGTTCTACTCTGCAGCCGGGTGGACACGGACTCGTGGGCTTGCTGCAGAGTTTGGCGAAGACGCCCTATCGCACCTGCCCCGGAAGAATTGGACGAACTCATGAACTGATTGCTGTTCATCCCCTCCGTGTTGGACACCATCTGAAATTTCGATACAATAAATCCTGATCCATTGCTTCAATAATATCTGACGAGCATTTTTTTACGTCTCTGTGTCTTCTAAATAAATACTCATACATAGTTTGTGCATATATTCAAGGCATTGTTACTGCTTAACCTATGACAGCTTAATAGAATGAAGCACATGTTTATACATTATATAACTCGGATCAGATTTTTGTAAAACGAATGGAAATGGAGGCGTAAAAACAGGAGTAGATTGGGAGAAAGCAGGCTAAGAGAGGAGAAAGCACGGAGTCGTGAGATAAAGGAGTCATCCTTGTCCAAGCGAACCCCAACCTTCCAGTTACGTCGTTGATTAGGTTCACTCGTCCGATGTGGAGTTGGTGCGTGGTGTGCAATTATCATTTTTATTATCCAGTTGCCCACCATATCGCTCGTGTGGTGTTGATAAATGTGAACCGCAATAACCTATAATCTGCCAGTTCTGCGAATTAAGGACGGAGTGGAGTGGTGAGTAGTGGGATGGGACTGACTGGGATGGGCGAAAGAAAGTCAGAGAGATAGAGAGAGAGAGAGCAGGAACCACTACATAAGAGTCAATCCATTCCAATATAATGGGTGCGGTGGTGATAGTGGCGGCGAGGTTGAGTTGATGCCCATTGTTTCCAGAAGAATATTATCTTCCCGAGTCGTGGAGAAAGGAGAGAGGCGATAATACACCAAAGCAAGCCACGCCAGATGGTTGACTTAAGTAATCTTCTAAAGTTTCACTTACTCTGATGATCGTGCCAGAAGAGTAAGTCTATAGACTGTGCGAGAGACTGGACAAAAGCGGGTGTGTGCAGCAAATAAAATGCAATCTACCTCAACTTGGGTAGTTCAAGATACAATTTTCCTGAGTGGTCCAATGCCTGAATTTTTTTGACATTATTCGATCACCGCTTCCGCCCAACGCACATGAAGTGATAACACAAGTAAAGAATATCAATTAAGATCCCACGTGGGAACATGCCAAGGGATAAGAGGCTGGAAGATGACGATTTAGTGAGGAATAAAGATATCAGTTACAACAACAATAAGATAAATATCTACAAAGCAACAGCTTAGAGTGAGCATGGAGAGAAATAAGTAAATGCAGCTTCATCCTTACCTTCTTCATAAACGACACGACATTAGTTGGCAACATTTTTGTAATGTGCTTGTGACTGACACGCACTTGTTGGCAATTTCTCCGTCTGCAAATAAATACACAGCAACATTAGTCAATTTCCACCATACCACGAAAAAAAAATCGAAAACCGTGCTCAAATGCTTTCACCAACAGTTCCAACCCATACAAAAGTTACATGCATACTTTCTCCAAGGTTATGTTGATTATGTAACCGTGCTCGGTATGAATATATGCATTTTGGGTGGAGGTGACGTCTGTCAGCTCGATAAGAAAGAATTCGCCGTGCTGAATGAGTTTGTTTGAGTAAAGACAGACTGGGGACCGTTACGGGCACTCCCATTTATTTTCCACTCGAGCATCACCACCTCCGCACAAGGTCGCGTTTGTTGACAGGATACAATCCATCATTAACATCGATCATGCATTTTCATCATCTCTTTGCTACTCATCCCTTGTCAGGAACTGCTTATTTTACTCTGTAGCAATACAGCCCACATAATTTCCATATTATACAAACATTAGTATACAAACATTCAAATGAGTTAAAATTTTGGGGAAATAATACAAACAAAATTTATGCATTTTTTTATCTGACCGCCAAGTAATTTGAGGTAATTGGTGTGGCAAGAAAATTGAATTATCCAGTTTACACCCAATAAGGCTGGTCACGTATACAATTGAAACTAATTTGACCTTTTATTGCGGTCATTAAGTAAGACATATCTGTGTTCAAGTGGAAATTAGAGTTTTTCGGAAATTGTTTAAATTTATGCTTGGTTTGGAATGAACGAAGAAATCTTGCCGCAAATTAAATCGTGAAATAAAACTACTCCAAGAAAGTTATGCAGACCAGGCTTTGTTGGCTGCCCTTTCTTCGTACACATAAATCCACTAATAATATATCTACACCACAAAACCCAGCAATTTACGTGCAAACCTTGTTTGTTTGGCTTATTTTGGGTTGCTTTGAGAGGTGAAAGGTGGGTCAACATTATTTGTTCCTCTGAAGACATAAAAGTTGTTCAACAAACCGTAAATCCATCTTGCACTTTCGTCTTTCCATTAGCCTACAAATAGCCTGTTTATTTCCTCGCAAGGTCTGATAGACTTTTCACCTTACCCGAACTTCACCCAAACTTCCAAGACTTCCTTACATCATGGGACAAACTAATTATCTTGTTTCCTGCTTTATCACATCAATATTTTGCTAAACATAAGAACCCATTCGATTCTGTTATGGTTCTGTTTTTGTGTCTGTCTGGTATAAAACTTGAGAATCAGGAAAACATTTGCATTCTCTGATATAAACACAAGTCTTTTTATTATCGGAAAGTAGGGAATAGAGAGTAAACTCCGTATTATAGCGACATTATCGGCGGTGTAGTCTATTATGTGTTGCATTAAAATATGCAGAGGAAGGGTTCTGGAAGTGCAGTTGGGTTGAATTGTTGTATGGCAGTACATAAGTAGTTGTAGTTGTAGTAACCTCATGGCGATGAGATTTGGCCATATTGTAGAAACCACACCCGGATTGAAGGAAATGCTCGGAACTTTGGAGACCATGGTTTGCTAACCATGCAGCCAAGCTCAGCATTTTCTTCCAGCGAGAATCCAGTAGTCTGCGACATAATGAATGGACGTAATGGATACAAATGGGGCTGTAGCCATGTCCATGAATATCTCATTAGTGGGTTAATACTGGGCAACATTAACATCTATCCATTCGGATTTATCAAATCCCTTGATATCGGAGTTTCCTCTCTGTCTCTGCTTCCTATGCACATTTATCCCCCGTCTCCTCCGTCCGCCTGCTCGCCAATGGCATCGTTCGCATGATCATCAAAACCACCATCATCAATGGATTTCATTATTTTACATGTATTTCACGATCACAAATGCAAATCAGCATTTTCCATCACCAACAATTCCATTCCATTTGTCGGGTTTTTGTTTATGCAGAAGTGCAAATTAGATCGTATTTGTGGTTGGCTCTTTACATCTTGGTTTCGTGATGGTGTTGGCAGCGATGTCTGGCATGGACTTGGATTGTGCGGAAAGTGAAAGTTAATATTTACGTGTTGTTTGGTATCAACACTTATCATTCACACTGACTACGATTTCTCCTATTGTCTCAAGTTGAACAGAGCCTTGTTGAGTCGTCCTCCCCGTTATTGTGCGCATTATTTTATGTAAACTCACCATTATCATTCAGAATTTCTGGGCTTTTGTTCAAAACTTTTTAGTATTTAAACAAAAGTAATTACAATTTGATTTTACTGATCGGAAGAGCCAGGAGATGATAAAATTTCTCCCCCGTAGTAAACCACCCACGATTAAAACAAACTTCATTTTACGCTCGTGGTTTCCTTCAGTGGGGATTAGCTCTCAAAATATGAAGCGGAAATAGGAGGTCAATAATATAAATTAGCTGTTGCGGTGTTGAACTAGTCGAACCGTGACTTGCCTGAAACCATTTGAACGTTTTATTCTCCTTCCATTCACGTTTTGGTATGCAAAAAGGAAGGTGGTGCAATAATAGATAAGATAAGAAAAGATAAGGAGAAGAGCGCACAAAGATGAAAAACTTTGGTCATAATTTCTCTCCTATGAATGGGACCAAAAGGATTGGCCACATTCTTAGGTGTGTATGTACATTGCTGGGTCTTAGAACTGGTTAGGATCGATGCGGCGAAATTATGTACCAACTCGTACATGGTCTTTAGAATTACTTGGTGGGCACACTACTTACTTCAGGTGAATCATAAGCTAGTCTAACATCCAGTCTGTATTCATTTGTGCGGTTGAGGAGTAGTATTTACGATCTTCGATCCTTACAAGCGAAAGTGTATCGACCAAGAGAATGGACACACTAAGCCAACAAAGTTGGAGAGAAAAGCACCATTGTCACGGAGCCCAGTTCACCGTAAAACTTCTACTTGGTTGGAAAGAAAGTGAGGGTATTTTATTTCGAGGACGAGGGAAGAGGCGGAAATCCGAATATGTATTTAAACATGGGCATACCTACATAGCTTTCTCCTTGCTGGACTTGAAGGGAACCACACGAAATGCTTTTCCTCACAGATTTTAATGTCCTTTTGACATTTTGTGGAAAAGTAAAAAAAAAACTAGGAATAGTTTCTCTATGAGCCCATATCCACTTAAAAAGATCACCTTCGAACCATAGCTAATTTTGACCAGATTTTGAAAGGTACTGCAGTCGAATATGTAAAAAATCTAAATTTTAAGCTACTTTCATCTGTATTGCATATTTACATGTCTCATATGATAACTACATATTATGAAATACATAGTATGAAAAGTCAATAATGATATCCATTAAAGCTAACCCAATCGTTTTATTAATACATATTTCTTATTTGTTTCATGCAATGATTTATGTTACCTGCCCATCAGAAAGACATTATTTGATTAAAAAAAATAAAAATACAAAAAACAGGAGAAAGCATATACTGCAGTTATCCACACATGTACATATGCGCAAGGAATTGGCTAGCTGAAAAAATTAGCTTGCGTTTCTTTCACATTGGACACAAGAGGGTTCGTGTTTTGTTTAGCTGACTTTTCGGTGTTTGTGACGACGACTTTTCCCAAAACAGGACTTTGAATTCGTGTAACAATGTTGACTGTCTCGAAAATTAAGCCCTAGCGAACTGAATAAAAAGCGACAATAAATCTTTTTTTGGGTTCGTGACTAGAATCCAGTTTCTTCGTGGGCAACAAAGACTGACACGATTAAAAGAGCAACAAGTTTTAACAAGACCAACGTACATATTAGTACTCACAACTTATGGCCATGAAAATGCAAACATATGATGTCTGCAAGTCACAATCTTTGTAATTTCATCAAGCTTCCCTGTGAGGAGAAAGGCCTTTATTGGGCACAAGGGCACACGTATAAATTTATCCAACAGAGACATTCATTTATGACATTTTGCTGCAGCCCAAGACCTCCACACTCGTCCGAAAGGGAAAGTGAGGAGCCGAGCTTTGTGGAGGGTTTGAGTAAAGCAATCAGGAAATCCTACGAATTCCATTGTACGTATCATGCTTTTACCATCCAAGTCAACTTGTCAGAGTTGTGTGCGGATATCCCTAATGTATCCTAAGCTTTCTTGATATCCTCTCACCCAACTGCTGCGAATGGCAAATTGAGCAAGTCCTGGAAAACGACTTCACTTGCTCAACAACCATCACAAAACTTCCGCTGTTGCCATTAAACGACTGCACTGAAGCTGCTTGTAAGTAGTAGTCAGTCAGTAGTATTATTTCCTCTTCTCCTCCGTGGAACCCAACCCATCCGTCGGCTCAACTGGGCGTGTAACCACAAGAGCAGGATATAATCCAGCACATGTTTGAAGAAAAAGGGACAGCATAACGACAAATTGTTACCTTTCCCATGTTAAAACATTGTAAATGCATTCGTCCTTAACATTAATAATGGGAACCCTTTATTAGAAATTACTAACAAGACTAACGAAAAATACAGCAAACAACAAAGTCAATGCTGATTTTTTTATGAGATAAGTTGTTTGTGGCAGATGAATGCCGTGAAGAGAACAACACGCTCCTTCAAAACTTCCTTCAAGTCGTCAACAAAAGATCAAGAATTTATTTCCCCCACCAGATTGCCAAAATCCTTCTTTGGTAGGAATATGTAGTAACAGGTTCAAAGCAACAGGTTTAATCGTCGGAGGCAAAATTTAGGGATTGAGAGCCCACCCTCGATCTCCTTTTCTGATCGTATTTTTAGGGCATGATGACATACAACGAATTGCGTTGTAATGTCAAAGGTGTGTGGAATAAGCTTATGCATGACAGGGTCGAATGGTTAGAGGTCAGCGGAAGCAGGGAAAGAAAGTCAAATCTGATGACGCAACTTGATGGACTCGACGCAAGGTTCATTCCATTATCTGATTAAAACATTACACTCCACGTTGTAGTAGAAAATTTGGAGATAACGTCTCCTCGTGTAATTGATGGGATCGTTTTGTCATTCTTGAAACAAGAGAAAGGCAGTAGATTTGTCAGGATGTCGTCCCAGAAAGCCATAATCGTAAAAACTAATGAATGCTAAATACATGATGGGCAAAACATGGGGCGTCTAACGTGCAGTTTAAGACGCACTTGGTGAAAGTCCAAAATAGAAATCTACTTGGTTTAAAGAGTCGTTCGCCGCCCATCATCCCGACATAATATTAAATAACGGAGAGGGATGAGATGGTAATGATAACGATCTGTAACGACTGTAACCCAGTACTTCATTAAATGAAGCGTCGTTATTCTGTGCATACGAAAACTGCTATATACAGTTTCCATCTGGCAAGACCGGATCGGGGGACAAATGGACGAAAGAGTCTCGATCGGGTTGTCATTTTCTATTTCTATTATGCTCCAGAAATTAGATCCACTGTGTAATTTAGCATAGCCTGCGTCTGTGGGCAAGATAAAAGTTATTTTTAAAGATTAATCATGTCTGAGACGTGCTGACGGAAGCTTGCTCAAAGATGTAACTGAATCCCTACTCGTAAATGTCAATCCTATAAATAATCTCGTCACGCTGTGATTATTAAAAGGATATCAATTTGCTATATTAAACCGCAAATCTACTTTTTGTGTCAATGCATTTAATCTGAAGTGTTAAATTTTTGGTAGTTTTTTCCTCAGTTTATGTTTGACGATCTGTGTAACACGTTTGGAAGGCAAAGAGTTTAAAGTTAAGAACTTCATACGAATGAAAAAGTTGTGCTTTGAACTAGTTATGTACATAGATAAGAGTAAAAAGAATAGCACTTGCTCTCCTTTTTTGGCACACATGCAAGTTTAGCTACTGCAAACGTGTGTATGTATATTTATATGTGCTTTATCTTCGAATGATAATAATGGTCCCCTCTATTTCTTGTTCACCTGCCCCTCTGCTCTAAATTTCCAAAATTACTCATTCCTGATCTTCCATCCAGTACATTGCCTGATCCTTCCTGATTAATACCAAACGAATCCTTTCGCTGACCCACAAGGTAGAAAAACTCCAGCAGGGTTATTATAAGCATGAGAATAATACGAACGTGAGATAAGTTGGTCGCTTAATTCAAAAAGTTTTGGATAATTTTAGTATCAGCTTGGCGAAAGTTTAGACGAGTAAAAGGGAAATTGCACGGACACGGTGACCGACAATGGGATTAAACTTTGAGAGACTTGTTGTAAAACTTTCGCAACCCACGCAATCTTCATTTGTACAATAAACAAAATTTAATTTTTTTCTCCGCTTACTCATCGTCTAAATTAAATGAATATTGTCATTGAAATATATTTTTGTTGTTGGGCCAAAATATGTAGGAGCGATATGATACTAAATTTTAATCTGGCTTAGGCAAGTAAGTTTAGAAGGTCTGTATAAGGAGATACATATGCCTCCAGAGCTGCGTTTTGTTGGTTAAGCAACCAATTTATACTCATGACATGTCTACATTGTTCCCTACTCTTCTCTCCGATCCTTTTCTTCATAAATAAAGCAAACTTCCATCCAAATATTCCCCGATAGCCGCCCCAGCCCAGCAGACTTGTACTTTTCCTATTGTTGAGGAGTACATATATATTTAATGTGAGGCCCTATATATTCCTTACTTAAAAGTAAGCAGACAACAAGGGAAGCCTGGAACAAGAGATGTAATAATAAGGATCTGCTCCTGCTTTCTTCCTCCTCGTGTAGTCCCAGTTTTCTCTTGGGCATTTTGGACGAATTCCATCCGCGGTGCACTGTGTGAAAGAAATCTTCCCAGAAACGTGATACATAGCGTAGGACGGGATCCTCTAAAACCAAGGTAGTTTCGTTGGTGTAGTTGTAAATACAATATCATTTCATGAATACTCTTTTCTTATTAGGTGCGCTTCATCTTCATCCATCTCAACCAAACACGACCACACATCAGCACCAAGGAGCACCAACTTGTGCTTACTGCTTGCGTCCTAGGGCAGGGATTCGAATGCACAGGCGAACTTTTGGCAGACGGTGTGCTGCAGTATATTTATGTAGGGAGCAGGAAGGAGTGGATTCTCAAGGCGAGAGTGGTTGGTTCACTGAAGCCAACAAATTCTGAAGAGACAAGAGACAGCAGATCTCACTCCTCTCAAAGTTTCGATCTGATTCTCAACATTCATTCCACTTTCTCTTGTCTCCACTTCGCACACCTCTAATCCCGCTTTTACCCCGTCTTGATACTAATGGGAAAAGAAGCGAGGGCCACGGCAACGCTTGTTTGCTTTGAGATGCGGAACTCGTACTGTGCAAAAGAGAGGAAAATCGTATAGTATGCTAAACAAAACTTGGGTGCGTAATAATAACTTGTTGTCTCAGTGCATCTGCAGGCGAGCCGTGTAAAAAGTTCCAGACGAACTCGAGCATTCTAAGTAATATCGAGCTTTACATGTCTCACTAGTGACAATGTACATATAATATGCCCCTTTCTATGCGAGTATACATATGCTTATATCGTGCATAATAAATATATGCATGCATGTATTATACATGATGCAAGAGTCTGCATAATGAGTCCCTGCACGAGAAGCAATTAAGGAGGGGGAGAGACAGAGATGTTATGGATGTGTTGTTTGTTAATTTGTTGTTTTTATTCAGCATTTTCCAGAGTATAAGTAATTCTACGAGGAAAGAAGAGAACTTGGCTTCAATAATTTAATTTGCGTTGTTTAAAGTTCACTCTCTTGCTAAATGGAGCAATTTCAATCTTGTGTGTCTAAGCGGCCGACTTTCTCCTGCTGAGGAGAAGTAGCCTTTGATAGGAGGCTGGATAGATGGATGGAGAAATGTCTCGAGGCTTTGTTTACTTTGCTCTTCTGTCCACTCTGACGTAAATTCAAATATAAATTAGCTGCCTGAAAGAAGATCCACCTAGCAATGCAAATAAAACATGGTTGGTGATGCAAGAGTGGAAATTTGAAGGTGATGATGCTCTCAGCCAGACGCCAGCAAGTGATGAAATGGATACGAGGTGGATGACGGGGGAGTAAAAATACACTGAATAAATACAAATATTCCCATATTAATTAACCCTTTGCTTTCAAGTTGCGAAATTTATAATTAATGCGATGCCTCTACCATTACCACTTTGTGCATATTTAGTTGCGCTGCTGGGGGTTAACCTTGCATAAAAAATCAATTCTTCCTGGAGTTGGCCGGTTCAGTTAAATATTGGATTTCAAATTGAAATTTTCAATAAGAGATAAAATTGGCTTACAAATATGACAAGATTAAAATTTGAACTCGTTTTTGTTTTTGAAAGACATAGAATGCACATGTCACACATGATGGATTATGGGACTCTGAGAAATAAATTTCTACCGTGTCACTCGATTAATTATTTATTCAATATTCCGATCATTAACCAGATGAAATTTTCACAAATGATAAGTAAATACATTGCATGTAAATTGAGCTAGGATTAATATTGCTTCAAATTCAGAGACGCCTACAAGCATACTAGTGAATCTCTAAGATGAATTTTTCAGGAGGCAACGTTACTCTGGGTAGTAGCGAAATCTTTTTTTCTCAGAAAGAAAGCATATGCATATGTGTAGCATCATTCTTTTATTGCATATCAGCAAAACTCGATGTAGCATTTGGTCTGAACTGTGTTGTAGAAGGAGGAAGAAAACCAGATTAATCTATGAATTCAACTTGACCACATTTTATAAGAAGGAACACCATTCCCCGTAAAGTGGGAAGCGTTAGCATTATAGAATTATTATATTACAACGAGATTTTCTCCCCACAGATGCGATTTACGAAGAATCGAGATTATTTTATACACCTAAAAATACTTGTGAATAGAAAATTGTGCACATCGTTTCCACAAAATCTATCGATCGGTCGCAGGAGGAGAAAGGATTACTTGTCTGATGGTGAAAGCATGAGAAGTCAAAATTCAATTCACAATAAATCTTTGTACTTACGCAATGTTGTGTTATGAAAGTGAGAGAGGACTGGCTCAGTGGCACGTGCTACATAAGGTGGAACTTTCACTCGGGAACAACGCCGCTGTTGAGGAGCATGGGGCGAGACGGTGGAATCAAAAAGGATTTGCACACAACCTTCCGCACTGACAACTTTCCTTCCACGACACTTTCCTCAGTTTCACTGTTTCTGACATTGACGCGAATGAAATGTGACGCAAGAAACATGACATCAAATGTATTGTTTACTTCCCAACATGTCGTTAGACGCGTCTTGTCGTCGTTTAGATACGCATTCAAACAAGGATGCCTCGTGTATGAATATTAATAGCACTTATTATTTTCTTACTCAGATAGTCAGCGTCCCATCAGTTAATTACACGGAGGTGGTGCGAGGGAGTGTGTTTTCTTTATGTGTGCGTAAAGGATTTTCCGCGGAAGGGGGGTTGCTGAACACGAGTACAAACTGCGTATAAGCTGACTGCCAAGCGAGTCGGTGGTTGTGAAAGGAGAACAGGTTGTGGTTGCCGTTAAGTCGTAACTCTTGTATAAATGTGGCATAAATGATGATGATGATGTAGTAGATATGCTCTGATGCTACTTGTTACTTGGCCATTTTGGTGAAATGTTGAATGCCAAGTGGAAGTAGATGATAATGGGTAACGCTGAACAGAGGGGTGATGATGATGATGATGTGTGAATGATGTGTCTCAGAAAATGTCCCGAACCGTCGACGCTAAATTGGAATATCTTGCGATGATCAGTTGGTTTTGATGACTATTTTAATGGGCCCTCATTTTGAATAATGGTGATATTGTTGATATTTGTTTAAATTTGATTGATTAATGTGTTTGTCTTTTATTCCAGAACTGGAGTTTCCAGTGAATATTATCAGCACCAATGTTGCATTTCGTATGAAAGAAATTCGAAGAATTGCACGCCTTATTTTGAAACCTAAAAACCAAGCGTAAAGTTAGTAAATAATTTAATTAATAGTCAAGAAAGATGGATATAAATTATCACTTTCTAAATTAACCAATTGTGACACGTAGTTTCTTCAGAATCGTGTTTGACCTTTACATAAAATTGAAAATGACATCCTGACAAACCGATGTGGCAAGAGAGTGAACCCAGTGGTGGAGAACAGTACATATTTATGCATGGTACACTCTAAGCAAGTTGGTAGCAATAGCCTGAATTTAATTGCTACCAACCAATAGTAAAGGCTGTTCTTACTGAAATTGTGTTAAAATTGTCACCAACATTGACACAATTTTCATCTTTGGTTGCTACCGTAAAAATAAGTATGTTTGTAAATAAACTATGAGAAGTTTAATAAAATTCTGTAGCAAATCGACCCCGTATTGTAGCATTTCGATTCATTACCGGCCCTCGTAACGATTTTTCACAAAACTATTGTGTTACATTCTCACCATGTTCTGTCTGTCTCACACAAAGTAGTAACAGTCAAAGCGTGGATTTTAGTTTCGTTGGCGGTTACTCTGCTCTTTATAAAGCTGCAGAATGGAAAAATTAATTCGTGTTTCCAACTCCCTGAGGGGGAAAAAATTAATTGTTTTCAGTGGGGATTATTTAGGGTTCTTGGATTCAGGTAAGGCCAACGATTATAACAAAGTACAAAGTTTATTGTGTTTGAATATAAGTTTTAAAATTAAATTTCTAATTTTTAGTTAAAAGGAAGTTTGATGTTGCTGCAGATGTCGAAATCAATTTGTTCGACGATCAAGGTGCTGAAATTGAAGAGGAAGTGTTCCCTATTTTAATTCGACAACAGGACACGCCCAACATTGTGTTTACTCTTATTGGAGAAATACAAACTGAGCTTACTTTTGAGGAAAACGGAAGCATTAACTCTCCGATGATTTATTGTAAGCTATAATTCATATTATCAATAATTTCTATTTTTTTATTAACTAAACGAATTTCCCTTTTTGTATTTGTACGTTCACAAGGTCAAACTTCTCAAGTTAATTCACCTCCTCTTCTTTTGTCAACTAAAAATACAATTGAAAGTGGATTTAAGCAGGTAACTCACAATCCCCAAAACACAAATTTTACAAAAATATTATCAAATATTGAAAACAAATTAATATTGCGTCATTATATTTTTGTAGATATTTGAGGAATTTGTACAAGGTGACGAGGAATTACAACGTTTGGTCACTGACTGCAATGAAAAAACCTTTGTCGACACATCCACGGGGAATATTTTAATAAAATCATTTGTTAATAAATTAATTGAGCTAAAAGGGTAAGGACAGAATTATCTTATAGAATGAATTTTACATCCCGGACTGAATATTATTTCTTGCTTAATAGGAATTCACCGTCAACAGCTGACCAGAAATTACTTGCTCATACTGTAATTTCAATCTTACCTTGCTGGAAGTATGCAGCGTCAGAAAACGGAATTGTAAGTGTCAGAATATATAATTTAAACATTCCACGTTTATAATACCTAATGTCAAGAATTGTCACATTATTAGTCAGTTCTGCTGGTCTGGTAATTTATTTAAAAATTCTGGGCCACAAATTTTTACAATGATGGTTGGAAAAAAATATACACTCTAGAATTGGACAGTTTTGTAGGAGGAGATTAAAAAAATTGGAACTAATTAGCCCTAATTAACAAACATCGTAGCAATTTAGTGAACATCATGAGCACAAATTTGTCCAGAATTTTAAAATCGATTCTCACAGCTGAAGAGTGATGAAAATTGTGCTGAATTTTAGTATTTGGGTGATGAGTCGTCGAGTCCTAGGTTAATTATTAACAATTTTTTTTGTTACAGGATATACTTTATGATGAGGGTAACCGTTCCGGACTTATCCAAGCTCGGCTAAGAACAATACATCGCCATCTAAATGAAACGAAGCAGCCAAAATCAAAACGCGTTTGCAAAAATCAAAACGCTGTATCAAATTCGGATGTAGAAGAATCCTTTGTAGATAACGAAGAAATAATTGCCAAACTTAATTCTACACCCATTAAAGATGAAGAAGAGTTGAAGAGACTGGCGTTGGAGACACTCGCTCACCGTAATTATTTACGGCTCAGAAGTGACTCATCCATTCTAAAAATTTACAGAAAATTCCAGGAATGGAAGTCTATGGTAATTTGATTTAATTACATGAAAAATAACTAAAATAACTAAAAATATTTGACCTGATTTATAGATCAATTTTGAGTTTTCTCAACTCCACCCTGAGCAAAGCGATAACTTCTTAAAATCTTGGCCGACCTGGGTAGACAAAATATTACAAAGGGCCGGCAGTATCAAAAAGTCTCCTGCGCTTATAAGATTTCTTGCACAGGGCTGTGGTAAAATATTTATTTAAATAATAGAAATAAATACATTATTTTAATTTACCACAATCAATACATTAAAAATTTTATAGGGGAATGGGATTTTTCAATTGGTGCGCTGTTTACATTACTCCATTTGATTCCGCCAACAGCACAAGGACAAGGGAAGGCAAATCATTGTACTTTGGATGGTGCAAAAACAAAATTAATTAATTTCTTCAAGGTATTTTAGAACACCGAAATAAGCTTCTATATTTTTTGTGCATTTAATGCACATACATATTAAATAGGTCAGAATAGTTATCTTTGATTAAAAATATAATTTTGGTTATAGGCCGGGACTCCATTGCAATCTATCTTGGATACTTGGAAAGCCGAATTGAAGCAGCCAAATCTAGTTTGTTTAGGAGTTGATAAGAAAAATTTGTCAAGCTTTTTCATCGCATGTGACGGTCAGCTGCTTCCAATTGCATCCAAAAATTCCACCGAAGCTATTGACATTCTCTTCAAAAGCCATTATGTATTTGGGACGGAGTACGACATCAGTTTAAGGGGTCTATGGAAATTTATTCAAGTTTACATTTATGGATTGGAGACGGATGCCGAAAATCTGCCTCGTAATGTGAAACAGGTTTTTAACCAGCTTAATTAAGAGTACATATTTCAAAATGTTCAATTGCACCTTATGCAGTAAATTGATGTTAGATAGTGCTAGTTTAATTAAGCACGTTAAGTACATACATAATTTTAGTCATGTATGCTTTAAAGAGGTAATATGTCCGTTTAGTAATTGTTTGACTAAAATTAATTCCTGGAGTTATTTTTTAAGGCATACAAAATCTCATGACGTTAAATCTGTCGATACAATTACTCCAAATATACAACCAAACAACGGAGATAATATAGAAATAATTAGTCCAAACAATTTTGATGATTTTGATTTTGCAAGTAATGCTTCAAATGAAATATCCGTAGATTTAGGAATTAAGGTGATGACAGTATCATTAACCAATTTTTGTTTCACTTTACTTGCAACTGGTGTCAGCAACTCCACATTAGATTTTATAGTTAAAGAGTTGAAATATTCAATGAATGATATTTTTAATTTGATTCTTAAAATTGGCGACAGTGCAATTCCATCAAATAATTTCGAGTCATTTCAAATACAAATATTTAGCTTACTTCAAGCATTTGATAAGGTCAAATCAGCTTATCAAAGGCAAAAGCTTTTTAAAGAAAACGATCATTTTGTTATGCCGAAAGAGTTGACTTTAGGAAATAGAGTTGAGCTTAGAAGTCACAATACAAAACGACTGCAAGTTATAGCTGAAGACACCTTTCTGTACATCCCTTTGTTAAAAACTTTGAGTTTTCTAAATATTTTTATTATAAAAACAATGATTCAACAAGTTATTCATGTTTTCAAAATTCCAAATCTTATTTAACAAACGAGCTGTTTTCCAAATTCCCCAATTCTATTCAACTGCAATTATTTTATGACGACTTCGAGACCGTTAATCCTCTTGGATCGAAGCGAGGAATACATAAAATAGGGGCAATTTATTTTGTACTTCGGAATCTGCCCGACTTTATTAATTCCCAGCTCAGTCAGATTCACTTACTTGCTTTATTCTACTCTGAAGATGCAAAAAAATATGGGATAAATGGTATTTTAAATTTAATCATTCCTGATTTAAAACTTCTTGAAAGCCAAGGAATCGAAATAAATGGTACAGATAGATTTTTTGGAACTATTTCCACTGTTATTTTTGACAATTTGGGAGGAAATTCAATTTATGGGTTTCATGAGTCGTTCAATTCTAATTACTATTTTAGATTATGCTGCACGAGTAAGGATGAAGCCCAAATTAATTATAAGCATTGCGATATGGTATTAAGAAACAAGGTAAATTATGCCGAGCACCTTCAATGCAAAAGTTTTGGCGTTCAGAGACCATGCGCCTTAAATGATTTACAGTTTTTTAATTTTTTAGATTCGCCATCAGTGGACATAATGCATGATTTGCTTGAAGGTGTTGTTCCGTACGAAGTAAAACTCGTAGTTCAAAAACTTATATTTTTAAAATGTTTTGATTTAGAAAAAATTAACCAAAGAATTATTTCGTACGATTATGGTTACTTAGATTCGAAGAATCGCCCAAGTCCTATTAGATTAGACAATAATAGCAACAGAATTGGCCAAAAAGCTGCACAAGCTTGGTGCCTCATAAGACATCTTCCAATCATAATTGGCGACTTAATTGTAACACATGATGCTAAGAAATTTTGGGAATTAATTCTCTTGTTATTAGAAATTTTAAATATTGCATTTTGTAGAAACTTTTCTGAAGCAATTCTTTTTAAATTAGATTCTCTTATTATTACACATCATTCAAAATTTAAAGAATTATTTCCTGAAAATCGGTTGATTCCGAAGCACCATTTTATGTGTCACTACTCTTATGTTATTAGACAGACTGGTCCCTTGATTTCCCTTTGGACAATGAGGTTTGAAGGGAAGCACAATTATTTTGTGCAATTGGCGAATCACACAAAAAATTTTAGGAATATTTGTTACACACTTTCCATGCGCCATCAGCAATATGCTGCAGTTATGTCAAAAAATATTGTACTAAACGAATTAAAAGTTGAGAATATTTTGAGTATTAAACTATGCCAATTTTCCAACCCATTTGATGCAATTGAACTCTTGAGAAAAGTTAATGGGTTTGAAAAATGTGATGAAGAAACCGAAATTTGCACGACAAATCAAATTTGGTTCAATAATTACAATTACAAACACAATTATATTGTATGTTTTGGTCACGACCCTGTGTTTCCAAAATTTGGAGTTATCGTTGAATTTCTAATTACAGATGAAAAAACATGTTATTTGCTGCTTAATAAATTAGAAGTACAATATTTTGATAGAAATTATTTTAGTTATAGAGTAAAGTTGAAACACGATGTTTATGAGTTATGTGATGTAACGAAATTAGAAATCCATGAATGCATGGAATTGATGCACAATTGTAATTCGGATGGAATATTTGTATCTGTAAGGCATCATATTTAAATATTAATATAGCTCGTTTTTTGGTATTATAAACTATTTTTTGTACAATTATATCAAATATGTATGTATGGCACAATGAAAATATATTAAAGTGTTCTATAATAAAATATATTATTTGTTACTAAAATTTGCTACCGTGGTTTTCTGTAATTCTTACCAATTTGTTACAATTTCATATAATATGGTAACGATAATGCTTCCAGATCAGTAGAAGTTTGCTAATTTCCGGTAGTGTTGATATAGCAAATGCGGATAAAAACTGCTACGACACGGTGAAGAAATTGACAAATTATGTACATTACTGCGTTAACAAAGCGGAGTGGATTTGCCACAATTTTATGTCAGATTGCTACCAAGCCAAATCAAGTCTTTCGTTACTATCCTGTAGCAAATTCTTACCATACCGGTGAGGTCATATATAGACACCGCCTGGTAGCGATTTTTTGACGATTTTGTTTTGAGTGTAGGCACTCTTACTTTTAAGTACTTTCTAAATGACTGATATCTACCGGGTGTCAAACAGTATCTTACAATTCAACATTGTCATTCACCAGCAAAAGTTACAACTTTCTCCTCATCTCAAGAGGAACAAGTCGGCAGTAGTTGAAGAGTAGAACAGTACAATGAATACATAAGCGAAGGAGAAGAGCATGAATAATAAAGTGCTAATGAAGTGCAAAACTGGATGATCTGAATATTGAGTTGGATTTAGGACTCATGAACAAAGAAAGTAATTTCGCTTAATAGCAGTATATATATATGAAATTGAAATGTATTTTCAGACTTTTGAGCATGAACCAGTGGAACAATGTTTCCCATCCAAACACAAGTCCACGATACAACACTTGATTACTCAACTTGTCGTCTGCTTTTCTGGTGGTGTGCTGTACTATACGGACGTACTCTGTGTGTGTATTATTATTATACTGCTCGTCTGGTCGATTGAATTGAATCTTCTTTCTCCAGCAGAAGAATCATCATTTTGCCTCCGTGTGTGCACAAACTTTTGAAGAGGTTTTCTGCCGTATTCGCCGTCGCAAATACCGAAATGTTTGCCCTGACTGCATGTTTTCTCCCTTGCTTCAAGAGATTTCACTTCAATTTTGGAAATCAACAAAGACAGCCGGATCTGTCTAAAGCTCCCAGTACGGTCCAATGGGGGTGCTACCTTGTGGTTTTGTAACGTGCAGGTAAATGATCCATATCTCTCCCTGTCTCCCCTACCTGGCTTGCTCTCTTTCCATAAAACACTCCTCCCTTCTTCCTCCTGATCCTCTAAGTGAATCTCAAAACTACAAACTCCGCCACTAAATTCACCACCACATCAGAGTCCTAACAGGACTTTGTGGAAAAGTAGTCTAATAAGAATAAGAGGTAAATTTAGACTGCTCCAAACTTATGAGCACGATGGGGACTGCACATCTACCGTCAAACCGTCAGTTCTTGTTATCGGCAAAAAGGACACTTTTGCATTAAATTGTCATCCCAATCCCATTTACGAAAGTTGGGATTATCTTAATCAAAACTCTGGATGAAGTGCTTTACAGATGGGCTCGAGCATTGCTGACTGCGAAACATGGTTCTCCCCAGGAAGACCGAGGAGGAGGGAAAGTTGGGAAAAGCAGGGACGTGAAAGTTTGGATTCGATGCATTCGTTATCCTTGATTGTGATAAATTGGGGCTGACATTCAATGCCAATAATAAATGTGTGCTGATGCTCTGGGTTTCACATTTCACTTTGCATGCATCGTGATAGATCTGTATCAGATATTGATGCTATTGAATGCCTCGGCTTGTCTTACATATTTACATTCACTACTCCCACTGTTCTGCTTTTCAATCTACCTCATGTCCAATCTACCTGGTGCCTGTTGGGAGTAGCAATAAAAATATCATGCATAATGTACGTGGAATATGCACATAGCTGAATATTATACGACAGGTTGACAACACATAACTTGCCAGAATACTGCAAAAATTTTCGTTGGTCTACATGCGTACTTTTGTATTTGCCAGTGGCCGTTTTTAAGCTGAGATGAGACATACGACAATTTTTCACTTATTACAGATACGTATCCCGACGACGCTGAAAGGAAAATAGTCTCACCACTCGATCCAACTACTTTTACTAACATCACGTTGCTCTCTTTCTCTGTCTATCTTTCTCGTAGGAAGTCATTTGTTATGCAAATGATTCATTATCACCCACGTCGCATCTCACTTTTATGTGTATCTTTAGTTCCTTGTCCTATACACCCTCCAAAAATACCCAAAAAGCTCCTCGCCACGGATCAACCAGAGAAGCAGAGCATGCAAAACATTTTTCCTCAGCAAAACATTTAAAAAGTTTTCAAACTTGCTATTTCTGACCAATTTCAATTGTATTCAATCTGCTCATCATACCCCGTAGCGAGTCTTTGGCTACTGAATAAATACATTTTTCCATACAAATCAATTTGCTTTTACCATATTCAACTCTAGTCTCATTGAAGAATTTGGAATTACTTACACTTACTTGGTAGTATTAACTGGCGTCGTATTTCCTTTGGCTGAAGATGCTGGTTGCGTTCAAGCCTATTTCCGATATGAGTCAACTATGTTTTTTTAATTTAATTTCTCCTTATAATTTATACCCACCCACATTTGTAGACTATTGAAAATAACGTAGATTGCACAGATAATAACAATATTTAATAATTTCTTATACTCGTTTACTTGCCAGGTACGAAATATTACAATCGTTGAGATGAGACGTAACCATCACATATTATTTTCGATAAATTGTTACTCAAATATACTAAAGATTTTTATTTTTGCGTGGATTTAATTGGGTGAAATGTGCAGAGAGATCTCATCAATTGGGTTGTTGTACTGTCTCACATGCCCAATTTTAGCAAAGGTCAAGAAACTACTGTTTGTAGTGTAATTGTTGGGCAATTATCGTCGTTGTTTTTAAAGAACTTTGTGAGAAAAAGTCACATCGTGGTCGGCTTGCAGAATATTATTGCCAGTAGTCACGATTCACTCGCAGCCAGCATGTTAGGGTTCCACTATATCTGAATGCGTGTAATAAAGCCATAGTTGTTCCACTGAACAATTAGCGAATCACAGTCTGGCTTTTTTTATTCTGTCCCCATCATGCAATCAGCTCGACCCTCCGTATCGTTGACAATTACGTGGCAGAAGCCTTCCAGCTCATTAAGTGAAACACGTTTTCTCTCCAGAATAAAGAATCTTCCCAAAAAAATTCTCGCTTTCTAGTGTAATTCTGTGTTTGATAAGTATGCATATGTTATTGTATCCAAGATCATCACGTTGGACTGGATGAATAGATGGGTTGAGTAGTCAAAGTCAAATTGAGACAAAATTCGTTCACTAGAAAGATAAGTATTTAATACAGGTTCCACATGTTTCGATGCAAAATTCTCAACGTGTTAAGTGTATGCATGAATGCAGCTGGAGAAACGTGTGCATGCAGGAAGAAAAAGAAGGGAAAGTTTGTCTCTTGTGTCTTGGTTGCTTTTTGCGAGGTGAGATGTCCAGTTCCACACTTCACTAATTGCCCTGGAATGGACTGGGCGGAGGAGCAGAGGAAAACTGGAGTGGGGGTAGTTCACAGAGCAGTCGGGTTGGTTGGGGGAAAGTTGGGATTGAAAAGTCCAGTTCAGTTTAGATGGATTGGAACGTTGAGATTGAAAGATTTGGGGAGAAGTAAATGAAAACTTGACTCTCGGTCGTCGGTGGTGGAGGAAGGAGTGCAATTTTTCCGGCCCCAACTTTCCTCTTTGTCTGTCCAGTCAGCGGAGAGAGAGCGAGAGCGGAATCGGGTGCTGCTGGTGAAAATCCACCTCGATCCACGCAGCAGCCAGTCGCTCTCGCCCTGGAGCAGCTCCTCTCACTTTCTCCTCCTGCTGCTCCCAGTAGTTGCGGAGTTCGTTAGTGACTTCCCCTGTCTCACTTTTCACCTTCCACTTGTTCGATTTTTTGCCTGATATTAATCACCACTAACCACGGGATACACACACCAGCAGAGTGTCACGACGAGGTGTTGGTCAACGTGCAAGACCTGGTCCCTATTAATTTGCAATTTCATCTCAGCCCAAGAGTGGGACAAAGAGCAGAGTCTGGTCAAGCAAAACACAGCAGCGAGCGAGAACAACTTTGTGTGTTTTGGCTGCACAAGACTTGGTTCCTTGATATTGTTGGAAGTCTATGTATGTAGTACGAAGCTATCACTGCAGTCCGTACTACATGTGCATGCCACGGTATAGTACTGATAGACTCACTAATTGCACCTGTACCGGAACTAGACATCAAGAGTTTCGCTGGCTCCATAGCTCATTAAATATTAATCGGGCAACCAACTAGAAAAGCGATGTTTTGATAAAGCCTTTTTCTCTGGCCAAGTTTACTCCATGACGGAGGTTTGCTATCCTCTTTTCATGATAATCAACAATATTTTTTCACCAACCTAACTAATAAATCGAATATGTAAGAAGAGCCAGCAGAATGTTCATAGTGTTAATTAATGAAACACGTTGATTCTGGATACATATGTCCAATCACTTACTTTGTTAGAAAAAGGAATTATGTATGTGTAAAATCCAATCACGCTTAGAGTGATAAATTTAAATTCAGAGAGTGGGATATTAATAAATAGTGTGATATTCTAAAACTAAGAACCTGCGTAATAAAAACAGAAATCGTGATATTCCATCTCTAAACATGATTATTAAACACGATAAAGGATAAAAAATAAAGGTGACAAGAGATGTCTGACATTTCTAAAAAACAGTTGTTTAATATCATTAAAGAATTGATGGAACTGTTTTTAAAACAATGACTAAATTTTGTACACACCATTAGACTTGATTGTCAGGCGGCAAGATAATGCATATCTTTCGTCGGTTGCGTACACATCCTCTCATCCGCAAATGAATTAGTAATTGGCAACAAGTCGCTCTGCTCCCTTTTCTTCCCTCTTCTAGCAATAAATGATTTCTGGACGACAGTAACAACAACAAAACTGAAGATTGAGAAATAGGGAAAGCAGAGGACGGAGAGGAGAAAGTTGCTGAATTGAGACAACCTTCACTTCTTAAATTGATCTGAAGACAGGCGATATCGCACATTGCTGAGATGGAAAACTCTGCGAAACTTCAACCCTGTTGAAAATTGATTTCCATCCTTGCACATTCGCATCTTCAAAAAATAATTACTTTCCATCCAACAAATTGTGCTCCCAACCGCATGTCTTGCTCCGCCACGACCAAAAACTTTCTCTTCCACGATCCAGCCAAACCATCCAACTGTACAACAAGGACTCTACAGACACCATCTCCTCCACACTCATCATTCTTCTAAAGCAAACATGTATACACACACAAAACAACTTTCATTTTGTAATGGTGGTGGTAGAAATTTTAATGATTTTGATTCTAATCTCTCTCTCGAAACTGGGTTTGTAAGGTAGGATTTGAGTCAGGCTCTATCCCTTTCTGCACCGTTATTCCTTCATCCGGCACGTAAGCAGGATTAGAGAAAGGTAACTCGTTCTTGCTGCTGCCACAAAAAGCTCGAACTTATGTACCTCGTGCGTCGTTCCTTCATTTATTCTTCTCCAACATTGGGCTTTCTTTCCGTGAAACAAGCTCGTACGTTTTTGTACGAAAACTGTGCATCTGCCACACATGCTGCTCTCCCCCATACCTTGTTAAATATGCTCAAGGGCTCGACGGGCAAATAAATATGTACAGCTCCACCAGCCATGTAATTCAAGGAAGTCCACATATATCATCATCGTCAAGTCGAGAAAGCAAATTTAAGGGTTGGCAGTGGTGGTGGTCGACCTCCAGTGTGTGTGGTGATTGGTGATGCTTTCATTGGAATGATGAAACTGCGGTTTTGTGGTTTGGACTTGAAACGATAATATGAAATAAATCCCCCTCTCCATATCTCATCATGTGTGGAGGGAAGTTGATACGAGATGATTTCAGGGAGAACGTGAAAGTTGGGGATTTTATGCTGGAGCAGGTATAAGAGAGAAAGTAAGGATAAAGTAAGTACGGGCAGAGGCAGGGGAGAGAAAGTAAGTGATACGAGGAAAACGGGCATAGAAAACAGGTCACTCAAATTAGAAAGCCGTCATTCCTTCCACCAGTTGACTTTAACAAGCCCCACTCCCATAATCATCCCATATGATGAATTTTTTATTAACAGTTTGTACGCTCTTGAGGAATCTGCTGCTGAAGATGGAAGTGGAGCACACAAGGTCACCACAACCCCTCAGGTTTGCTGCTCTTGGAAAATCCACCAGTCTTACTTTTTCGTCTGACCAGACTTACTCTGTTACATATATCTGTCGGTATACCTCCTCCTCACATTATTGTTTTACCACTCTTGTGTAATTGCCTCCCTACAAAAATGTATTGCACTTCTGCTGCTGATCGATGTCTCCTGTAGCAAAGCCCCACGGGAATGTCACTGACAAAAAATGATGAATTTGTGGCAACCTTCTCGCTCTGGTGTCGTTTAATGGCCTTAACTTATTTATTGTATTTGTGGTTCTGAACCAGTTCCAGTAAGTTGGTGGCCTGGTGAGTTTCGACATGCCTGCTGGAGGCCAATGCATCAGGAGGGAAGAGAAAGTGGAGAAAGTGGGGAAAGGCGTGGAGGGAGAAGTGCAACGTGGGAGCCATCGAGCGAGCACCTCGTCCACATCAACCACCACCACTTTCATCAGCTGGCTCTCATCTGTTGCTTCTACTGCTGCTTTCTCCTAATTTGTCTTTTGCGGATTTCTCGAAATCTTTAAAATTCTAGTATGTACACCTTGTTGTCAGGTCTTTACAAACATTTGACACAGCATGACGAGTATTGCGTCGTTATCCTTGGGCTGGACAATGCAGGAAAAACGGTACTTTACGATACATACTTTACAAATATTACGACTACAATATGATTGAATTTGTTTTTTGTGTTTTCAATTATGTGACCCTTGTTTACTAGACGTACTTGGAGGCTGCAAAAGCAAATTTGGATAAGAACTATAAACGAGGAGATCCCAAAAGAGTGACGGCCACCGTGGGGTTAAATGTGGGAAAAATCGATACTGCAGGAATCACGATTCAATTTTGGGACCTTGGAGGACAAACTGAATTGCAAAGCCTATGGGATAAGGTGAAAGTAGTGAAATACCTGACTAACATTGTCGTTTTCAAATAAATAAACTAACGTTTTATTTCTCTTAATGTTGATAGTACTACGAAGAATGTCACGGAATCATTTATGTTATTGACTCGTATGATCGTGAAAGGATTGAAGAATCAAAGGAAGCGTTTGGTGAGTATTTTTAGGCTAATAATTTAAATAACAATTTAAGCATATTGATTTTAATATATATATATTTTTAGATAAAATGGTACGTAATGAGTTACTATCAAAAGTTCCATTGCTGGTGCTTGCAAACAAACAGGATCTACCAGAGTGTATGGGTGTACGAGAAGTTAAACCAATATTTAATCAAAGTGCTCATCTAATTGGATCTCGAGGTAATCAACATTTTATTACGTCTCATCTGAACAAATAATAATATGAGAGACAAAGAGAAGTAGTAGTGGTAAACAATAATCAATCATAAAATATTTGTGTAATTACTTAATATAGATTGCATGGTGATGCCAGTCTCTGCACTTACTGGGTAAGAATGACAGAATAAAGTTTCAGCTAAGCATATGTACATATGTAGGTATTTGACTTTAAGGCGAATAGCTTTTTTTTACTATGCAATAATTGTCATGTTTTCAGGGAGGGCATTTCAGAGGGAATTAACTGGTTGATTGATTGCTTGAAAAGAAATTCTGATATAAGGCCACCAAAGTCATCGGATAGCTAAATTTTTCTATAAAAGTTACAAATTATTTATTTATTCAATCAGTCAATATCAAAATATGCCTCACCCACAGGCATCACCTGAGGAAAACTTTTTCATGCAACTCGAGAGCTGTGTATTAATTTTTTTTATATACAATCCTGTAATATACAGACCTGTTACCACTGGGTTAAATTGAGTAAAAGATTTTAAAATTGGCTGTTATAGGTTAAATTATACCTTCCGTTTATAAAGCGTATCAAGACAAGATTATTCAATACTTTATCGCTCTATAAGAGACCCAAGCGTTACCTAGATACTAAAAGTCACCTAATCATGAAGGCGTATCTTATTATTACGATGTGAAAATACAATACATGTACAAAATCAAGAACCAAGAAATACGCGACACTTCAGTCATCTCCTCCCCTGCTGATGCTGTAAAAATGATTCCTTGTTGGAAAATATGTATTCTGATCCTGCTGCTCAGTTACGTGAATAATGTTGATGCAGACTTCAACAATCAGTAAGAATCACTTTTAATAGACTGTCTGACTTATAATTATTTTAATGTAATTTAATTCTATTCTAGAAATCAAGAAATGAGGCAGAAACGTGAAACTCATTACATTGACGCAAGATCAAGATTGGGTAGACTGGACATTGGGCCAAGTTTTCGCAATAAACGCGATAATGTAAGCTTTCCTTATGTTTACGAATTCAAATATATCTATTATCACCACATATGTAAAGATGACTGACAGACTATTCTTATCGGTTTTTGTGTAAGGCTAATGAACACGCAAAACTATCCGTTGAAAATTCCTTGGATTCTGCTGCAGAAAGTTTGGCTGCTGCTGAAATGTCAATAGCTGCTGGAATAGAGGCTGAAGAAACCAGGATAGCTTTACAACCCGAGAAAATGTCAGATCACAACAACAGAATTGAAGAAATGCGCAACGAATCTTCGTACTCAACTATGCTATCTGATAACAACCCCCAAATTCCAAAAGGAGCAGACATTGAGTTCTCCAGATTCTTGAAGGAACACAAGGATGGTCAATTACAGAAGTTGATGACAGAATCTTCCGAATTGGGAAAAGAATTACGAATGGTTTTCGATATTTTATCGAAGCGGGAATCACAGCTAATTGATGAGATGAACCGGCTAAAAAGCTCACTAACTGGTGCTATTTCCGTTCTGAAGCACTCCTCTTCTACCGCTGAGAATTATTTCAACAAACGAAATCGACGTGAATTTGTGAATTTTCAAGGTATTTTAATGCAACAGCAGCACACATGCAACTTAAAGTTTTTATCTTAATTAAACCATGTTGTTCACTCTAATTTGTAGAACCTCCGTATAAAGCTTGTGTTTACATCGAATCATTGCCAAATCAAGAAAATGTTGATGAGACGATCCAATACCGTCCTCCAGAACCCCGAGTTAGGGAATTTATTCCAGACCAAAGCAACAATTACAATGATTATGATAAGAACGATGATACTCAGCATTATCATCAAGTTGACAGAAATTTAAACAAGGCTCAATATATGAACAGTGAAGCTGAACATGCAAACATGAACTCCATTACGCAAAAGGCGAGTCGGTTATCAAGACCTGGAAACGATGATATAGATTTGAGCAAAGTGTACTGGGTCAAACTTCCGGACAAGTTGAGTGACGAGAGCGTGCACGCTAAAGTTGAAGCTGTCTTTGGAGAAGTAGGTAGTGCAGGGAAGGATGTTCTGATAATTCCAGTGTCTCGAGATTTCACCTCTAAACATCAAGTCTCCCAAGGATTTTTAAAAGCTTTCGGACTTCAATCTAATGCGGCTGCGGCGCAATCCAGCAGCACTGGCAATAGGAAACATCCACCAGTAAAGGTGGACATCAAGGAAGTTAAAGTGTAATGTACAATTTCTCATATTATCAATGTGCACATCATGAATATACAAGCATAAGGAATCATAATAAATAAAATATATAATATAACATATTTCAATTCGAAGTTTCAAGCATTATGCATTTACATAAATGTACCATGTTGCATAATGCATGCATTGCATTTTACATTTCGCAGAGTCCGATTCCGTCAACATCAAATACGTTTTTGCAGCTGAGACACATTATGAATTGACCATCATATTTCGTGGTTATTAAATTAATCCCACAATTTCTCCGATGATCGGTCACTAGCTTCTATTTAAATTCTAACCATAGCCTAATTTGCACGTGAAAACAATGTGTGGCAGTCGGCTTGGTTGGGGAAACCGTTCATGTCACGCACCCGGGACTCCTCAAACCTCTGTCCAACACAACTTTGGAGTATTCAATTTGCAAGGTTTGCAAAGCCGTTTCTTCTTCACGTCAATTATAGCTGCACAGAATTTGCAAGACGTATTTGAACAGTATCCAGATACATACTGTCGATAAGCCTTCTTGAGCCAAGGTTGTTGTGATAAGACTACCGTTTTTGTTTTAGCACCGTTTGTTTAGTGTGGAATTTCACCAATCTGTCGGTCATTCATTTCTCCTGGAAAAAGGAACACAACAGCTGTACTTTTTGTGCCCTTTTGTTTCATTTTTTGATAATAGGTAATAATTTCCAGTATAAAAAGTTGTCCTTATATTGTAGTATGTAACCATTACCTATTTTTTTTTATTTATTTAAGGCTGAAGTTAAGTTATCACAAACATCAACATCCATCCATGATGCAAGCCTAGCGTAAATAATCTAATTGCAAAATACAGAATGAGTCATAAGTTTTGAACTATTATTTGTGGATTCAAGCCAATTTACATCCGATTATTTATCCATCATCGCCTCGCTCCAACCTGCAAATTTGTAGGTCATGAATAATAATAATGAATATTTGCTATTTCATTTATTAATGATTAAAATGTTTGGTAGTGTGCTAAATGTGCATGCTAGAATAATTAATAATTATAGTGTGTATTTGTTTGTTTGATAGTTCAGAGTGGTCTACAAACATCTTCACAAAACTTTAGCTAACGGTTTTTTGTGTGTGGAGCGTTTTCTGTACTAACATACCATCATGGAAATGGCAAATACTATTAAGCAGGTCATCAATGAAGCTGTTGAACGAGGTATTTTAAAATAAATAGATCGTTTGCCTTTACCGATTTGCAATGAAAACTATCTGTCTTTAACGTTAACGAATGCGTGGGTGCGAAAAACCATGCAAACGCGCAAACGCGTTCGCCGGGATCGGAGGGGGGCAGGACCTTTTTTTTTTAAGGGAACCTTTTCCATAAGGCCCATGTTAAAATTTCCGGGATCTTGTCCCCCCCGTTTCCCGGGATGAAGTGATTATGATTTAGAAGTGCAAATCTTGTCATTGACAAGATTTGCACTTCTAAATTAAACTAATTGAAACGTTTGCATTGCACAGTCAAAATGCCTGCTCCCCTGCGGCTTCGTGACCTCATACGAATGATACGTGCAGCGAGGACGGCCGGTAAGTACATGACAGGGATGCCTCATTTTAGTCATCACTTGGTTCAAGGAACTTTGAATATCCATTCTGAATAGTTGAATACTGAATGCGATACCACTCCATTATGACACACATACATAGTATATGCACATGCATATTATTGTTGATATGGCTTGAGAAACATACCTACCGTGTGTGTTAGATTTTTTGTTCCCCTATAAATTGATATCTCTCTAACGTACTATATTTTTTCTCCAGCTGAAGAACGAGAGGTTGTGAACCGAGAATGTGCCAACATTCGAAACACATTCAGGGACGAGGATTCAGTATGGAGGTGTCGATCAGTGGCCAAATTACTATACATTCATATGCTGGGTTATCCTGCCCATTTTGGTCAGTTGGAATGTCTTAAATTAATTGCGTCTCCAAGATTCACGGATAAGCGCATTGGATATTTGGGTGCTATGTTGTTGTTGGATGAGAGACAAGATACGCATCTTCTAATTACCAATGTCTTGAAAAAGTGCGTAAGAATTAATGGTCAATTAAGTGTAATTAATTTAATTAAACATGATGATACTTTATTAATTTTATATTGTAAGTTATGTCAATAATGTGATTCATTACAGTGACTTGAACGCGGACGCACAATTTGTCGTAGGACTTGCACTATGTACATTGGGAACAATTGCTTCAATTGAAATGTCCCGAGATTTAGCTCCAGGTGAGTATGTTACATAATAATTAATATGCTACACTGCTATAGACTTCATTTCATGAGGTAATAATTCATGTATTCGTATTCATACTTCTCAGAAATTGAAAAATTGTTAAAGTCCAGCAACGCTTATCTACGGAAGAAGGCAGGCCTCTGTGCATTCCGAATTGTGAGAAAAGTTCCAGAATTGATGGAGATGTTTCTTCCAGGTAAATTTTCAGGTTTCTTGCCGAGTATTATTATACATAGAATAAATATTTGTATTAATACTGTATATTATAATATTTCGTTATAGCGTGTCGTACATTGATTGCCGAAAAGAACCACGGTAAGATTATTGTTATTTTGTGATATGAACCGAAAAACGGTTAAATATACAATAAACATGAAAATAAATGAAATTCTATAGATGAGCCCATCATATTATGCAAATGCTAATATTTATTTCATTAATTGCAGCTGTCCTCATTACAGCTGTAACTCTTGTAACTGAGATGTGTGAAAAATCACCAGACACATTTAATTATTTTAAAAAGGTTAGCCCTGTTTGATGAATATTGATTTTTTGTTTGTTGGAATCTCATTTAGAATAATTATTCAATGCATTATTAATCTAAACTAACTTTTCATGACGCTAGTCTGGAAGAACAAAGTTGCAATGTAGCACTTTTACGTTGTTATTTATGGCTTATAATTGTCAAAAACATTTTATTAAATTGGCTCAGCCAGTCTTGCTTTTTGTGATTACTACACTCATGCTAATTTTTCTGTATATTATGACTGCAAATCGTTTGCACTAAACAGGACTCTGACTGGGAGGTAAGAAGGCATTATTTAACAAAGTTGTTTGTGAAACGAATGCATGGTGTTTTTATTTTAAAATTTTACATTGCTTCACACAAAGCTAAGTTGCGATCTTTCGTTCTTGTTTATCTGCATGCCTGATAATTAATAGCTTCGAAGTAGTTATAATATTGATTTATTCCAATTACTATTTATCACAACACAATTAGTTAAAAAAATACATGTTCGAACATTTTATATTTATGAAAGTGTTGTGTATTTTAGATGATTCCAACTCTTGTTCGAACAATGAAAACGTTGATTCTTTCTGGGTATTCTCCTGAACATGATGTGTCTGGAGTGAGCGATCCATTTCTGCAAGTGAAACTTTTGCGGCTTTTGAGAGTCTTAGGTCGTGGAGATTTAGAGGCAGCCGAGGCAATGAATGATCTTCTTGCACAAGTATGTCTATTTCTATCAACTGATTGAATATTAATTGATTAGTAATATGAAGTATAGTAAGAAAAAAATGTTTTTGTGCGTACACAGGTAGCAACAAATACGGATACTAGCAAGAACGTCGGTAATGCAATTTTATATGAAACCGTTCATGCAATAATGGATGTTCAGTCCGAGTCTGGACTAAGAGTGCTCGCTGTAAATATTCTTGGACGATTTCTTTTGAATTCCGACAAAAACATTCGATATGTTGCATTGACCACTCTGCAAAAGACTGTGCAGTTGGATCAAAATGCTGTCCAAAGGCATAGATCTACAGTACTTGAGTGCTTGAAGGCAAGTCTTGATAAATAAGTTTACACACTTCATAGTACACTACTTCTACCTGGATTAGGTCATATAATTATAAATGTATTGCCCGTCAGGATCCGGATGTCAGTATCCGACGAAGAGCAATGGAGCTTTGTTTTCAACTTGTTACAGGTGAAGTAAACACATGCGAGCTACTCCAATAATTACGAGTCAATTGTAGTTCTTGCATCATGTTCTCGTGTTTATTGACTCTATTATATTGTTTCTGAATATTTACATTGCTTGGTGTTTTAGACTCGAATTTGGAAACAATGGCACGAGAATTACTACAATTTTTGGCTAAAAGTGAACCAGAAGTCAAAACCATTTGTGCGTCAAACTTGGTGTCAATAGGTAGGTTTGGAAATTTCCTAGAAAAAGTAGCATCTTGCTTGGCAGGTGAAAAAGCTCCAGGTCCTGGAGTGGAGAGTGGAGTACGCCCCTCGCATAAACAACTTTTGTGAATAGTTATTTTTGTCAAACTTATAATTTTAATTTGTTTTTGGACAACCCAACCTCCCAACCAATATGCTTTACTAGATGAATAATATTTCATACTATTTCATTTATGATTATGACTACCATAGCCGAGCGATATGCTCCATCCCCGTCTTGGCACTTCCACATGTTACTGGAAATTTCTCAAGCGGTACTGTCATGATCTTTCAACTTTATGACATGTGTTTACTAGAAAATCCTTCATTTATTATATTTTGTTTAATGCTTCAATAACAACAACAGGCGGGAAATTATATGAGGGAGGACGTTGTATCATCAACTATTCAGCTTGTATCTGACAGTGCTGCAGTACAACCAGATGCTGTGTATTGTCTTTGGGAATCCACCAAGAACCTTAAAAGTCTAGAAGACTTTCAGCCTCTGGTTCAAGTAATATTTAATCTCAACATATTGTGTTTCGTTTGTGAGAACTTGTTCATGATGTGATATTTTACTTATTTAGGTTTGCTGTTGGTGTATCGGCGAGTACGGAGACATGCTATTTACCAATCAACACGAAGAAACAGTTACGCCTGACGAAGTTCTTGACTGCTTCCAACAAATTTTATGGTCTCCCCATGTTAGCTTAATTACGCGACAATACTGCTTACAAGCTCTGGAAAAATTGTCCAGCAGGGTTCCCGATCACACAGATCGAATAAGGTATAGAACTTGTCAAGAACGTAACAATTTTAACTAACTTGAAATTTAAAGTAACGTATAAAAATCGTCAATTGTTGATGCTTATTTATTTTTATTTCTGCAGAAACATTGTCGCTGCCTTTGGTTCTAACCTAAATATTGACTTACAACAACGAGCAGTGGAATTTGGAATTCTTTGCAGATCATACGATCATTTACGAGGACCAATCCTAGAACGCATGCCACCAATACCTAGCGACAGACTGAATAAACGGAGTACAACCAATGGCGACGCGGACAATGAACAGAACAATGCAGAAGATTTGTTGTTGGGAGACATCAATGAACAAACTCTCGGCAATGATCATGGAGATTCTGTATGTTGTTATTCTGCTGAGCGATACTTGTTAATAGTCGTCCATTTTTTCTATGATGACAATTTATTTTCAGAATGCTATTTTGGACTTACTTGGCGGAATGGACCCGGGTGATCATGATATCGTGCATGACCTTCAACCTGGTGGCTCAGTATTTGGAGGAGGATCTAGTGTATTAGATGATTTTTCGAGTTTATCCGTATCGACCACAGCCACCAACAACAATACCGGATCTAGCTTAGCCAATGATTTACTGGACTTGTTGGGAGGAAATTCTTTTGTTGATAATCATACTACGACACCGAATTATTCTAATTTACAAACCGGGCCTACCGCCACGTCCTCAGCATTATTCCCTAGTATTACCAACATGCCCTTGTTTTCAACGGTGCAACCTTCTGCCGTAAATGGTGTGTCGTCTCAACAATATGAGTTGATTCCGGGCCAGTTTTTCTCGTCGTCATTTTTTAATCTTAATAAGTCGGAGCAACTCCAAAAGCTCAGAGAACGCGCTGATGAGGACAGCATTATGTCTGGTGAGATATATTTTCTCAAAGGGTCGTGATATCCTGAATGGGGCTAAAGCTCTTGAATCTATTATGTTCTCTGGTTTATTTCTTGAGTCACAAACCATTACGTAAATGTTTCTTTATACATATATTGTCACAGAGTATGGGAAGTCCGTAATGGCATTCTCGGATGATTCTGTATGGATTATTTTTACGCCTTGGCTGGCACATTCCACAATTACCAACACTGTGATGCAAGTTCGAATTGGTAGTAAGAACTCCCAAAATCAAATTACAGATTTCATATTCCAAGCAGCAGTACCAAAGGTACCCAGCAATTTATACCAACGTAATATTTAATGTTTTGCTGTAACAATCTCTTGAATTTCCACAGTCGCTGCAGCTGTCCTTGGATCCTCCGTCTGGCACAAACTTGTCCCAAGGGTCTTTAATCACACAAAAGATTACAATAACCAATCAGTCTAAAGTAAATTAATGTTTATTAACATTAAAAAATGTTTGTAAAACTAATATTTAATTAAATTTTGTAGGTTCCACTAAAATTGAGACTAAAATTGACCTATAATTTGAATGGGTCCCAAAAAGAAAAAATACAGGAATTTAGTGATTTTCCATCAGATTTTGGGTCATCATAAGTTTGCTTATGCTACTGAATCCGTCCTACAAGAAAAACAAATCAAGATATACCAAACCGGCTATCTATAGTTTATAACCCCACGACGCTGAACTGCATGTGGATAATTTTAAGTTGGGAGAAAGTCCATATATTGTGGTTTTAGCCAACGATAGAAAAATATAAAGAAAGTCGAAACTTGAGGTTTTCTTCATTTATTGTTTGAATCCACATGTATCAAGTTATATGACTTTATATACATAAGCACAGTTATTATGAGCACAACTTTATACCAAATAACAGACTAACGAATGAATGTTGTATATCATATTAAATCAACAGGTTCTATTTATTCCATGTTATCGGGCTAGCTTTGTCTCGCATAAAACTAATAAATACATAGTATGAAAAAACATTCATGCCCAGCATTTAAAAATTCTATAATTTTTATCGAATTTCAACTTGCATACATATACTTTCAAGTAATTTAAGACGTTGCATTTGCCATATTTAATCAGTTTCATCAAGAAATTTGACTTTTTTTATGTATAAATTATGTCACTTAATAAATTCCGTAGTATTTTTTATTTATAAAGTTTAATAATGGATATATAATTTACACAGAAAATATTAAAATTTCTACATATGCACAGAAAATTGCGTACAACGTATGTAATATAAAAGTTTGTAAGACTTATGTCGATACAAATAATTACCCAAGTTTCGAAATTGAAAGCTATACTATAGTGTAACTAATCAAACGGTTCCACATTTTGGTTCCTACCAGTCGGTCATGGGCAAGTTTTGCCTCGGCTGCAAACAATAAGAGAGTATCGTCAATTTGCCTGTATGTTTATCATCAATGATAAAGTCACTTGCCTGGAGTGTCAAAGGCCACACGCGCATCTCCAGTGGGATAATCGGATTCATCAAAGCGCCGGATAATCTTATCTCTAAGCATTTCAAATTTCAATGTTGAAGGTGATTAGAATTTGTTACTTAATTTATGTTGTGCATGTATAAATGCATATACAACGGAAGATGTCTTATTAGTATAACAACAGCAGATGCATTATTTGATGTGATGTTTGTGTCACTCTGTTTGTACAACTTGCCGTTCCATGTCGTTTGAAGCGGTCGCATTTTTCAAACTAAACTTTATCTCATTTATTGGTGGCTCATCCTTCGACCTTCATATATTTAGCCGCTGCCCATTCTTCTTCGGTTCCCTCTGTATCAAATCTGATGAGGATGCCTCCTGCAATTTGTTATGAGTTATTCATTTATATGCGTATGTCAGACATCAAAATGACAGGTAAAAGATTTACTTTTTGTTGGTGATATACAACTCCCGTAAAAACATAGTAGGGTCTGCTATAGGACGTTCTCTAAACTTAAATCCCGTCATCAGTCGATATTGCAAGTACATATTCATGGGGTTTTAGCTTTTAGGTGATTTCTGTTGCCACTGGGTTTTCTCTTTCTCGCATATGAAAATCTCTGCTGCATTTGACGAGTGGTATAATTTCTAATCCTTCCATCAATTATTCACATTTAAATTCTTCAGATTTTCCACTTGAAACAAACCACTTGTCCAATTCTCTGTCACGTATCCACATTTCAAGCTTCCATATGTCATTTTGACACAATTTTACTTATTTAATTCAGTTGTAGCACTTAAACAAAAACTAAATATTCAATTCTGATTTCTTTGTTCGATCACTTTCCTCAATTTTCAGGTTTTTAGTGTACCCAATGTACTGTGAACCACTAATAAGACATCTTCTTTTATATATGCATATTCCCGTAAACGCTACCTGTAATAAGTGGGCGAGAGTTCTAGATGATGCAATATATCATCCATTGAAGCGGCATAAGGGACATTTTCCAATGATAAAACGCAACCTAAAGCACAACAACAAAACAAAACGAAATGTGATATAAAACAAAGCAAGCTTAACGAAGAAGCATTAAAAATATCGGCCGTGTATACCTTGCTTTCCAAATCCAGTAGCCGGTACAGTTGTATCATCACTAGACTCTTGATCTACATTGGAAAGTGGCCGACCTCCTCCTCCTTTGGCCCTTCCTCGTCCACTTCCTCCTAATCTGTCATCTCGATCCACCGCTCCATTATTAGGTTCCCCAAGGCCGTGGTGTCTAGGTGGACCCCCAAATCGTGTATTGAACCCGCGTCCACCTCCTCGACCCCTGGGTCCACCCTGCAATGCCTGGACAAATGGATTAGGACCTGCAGGACCACCTCCTCCATATCGTCCTCCTGCAGGACTGGGACCATCGCCGCCACCGGGTCGAGGTCCTAGCAAAGATGGTCTAAATGGAGTTTTTCCCTGAATGTGATGGTGCATTAGATCTGGCATTCTTTTCCGTCCAGAAGGTAGTAACTCGACTTGCATCAGGCCACGCCCAAACATCTACACACAAAATTAAGTTAATTGTTGTTTTGTTTAAAGTCAAGAGCGGTGCTCAAATGACACAGATCTGAAGCCATGCAATATCACCTACCATTCCATCCTTTGTCGTAGCTCTGCGAGCCTTATGCGGGTCAGGAAATTCACAGACTACTTGTCCATTGCAGCTTCCGTCAGTGTCATACATGATTTTTACGTTCATCGGCATCAGACCAATATCAGAGAAAAAGTCAAATACGTCGCGCTCTGAAACATTGGATGGTGCACCTTTCAGCATAACCGAACAACTTTCGTCATCCTATGTAAAGTGCAAACCAGTAGGTATTATTAATTATTTATAATTACAGACCATTACACGCAAAAGTAATAGTGGGGATGTCTGATAAGTATTCAATGAATTAAATTTTAACCTTACCAGTCCAGATTCTAAATCAAAAATTGAGGTCTTGGTGTCTTGTTGCAAATTATTAGCAAATTTAAAAGCATTATCAGACTCGTTTGTTCGCCCTGGCCCAGCTCCTGTTCTCATCTTTGCCATATTAAACTCTTCATTTGTACTGATTTCCACAACCAAATGGCTTCCGTCTTGAGATCTAACGATTTGGTCAATCGCTTGTTGTGCGGCTAGCGGTGACTCCAATTTGATATGTGCGATTGCAGTGTGCCGACCATTGGCTGTGGGTCCAGCAGACACGTTAACATCCACCAAAACAACACCAATTAAAAGACGAGATGCAACGTCGCTACGTGTAACCGTGGGTGGAAGGTTCCTAATCACGATGCAGGACGACTGAGGAGCATTATTGAAACCTATAATATTAAACGGCAGACAAAAAAAAATTAGACCTATCATAATATACGTAACCCCAACATTAAAAATTAGCTATGTATATTATGCATGAACGAACGGCTTGGTCTTGACTGTCTTTCAGGTCTTTCCGTTGAACTTCTGTCGTCTCTATCTTTATGGTGTTGTCTGTCTCGACCTCGTTCTCGTTCCCTCTTACTCACGTCAACGTCGCGGTCCATCCGACTTTTGTTCAGCTTGTACTCGTCCACCCACCTGCAAAATATTTTTTCAGTCATCATAATTATAGGTCACATATTCACAATACACTGATTTAACGTAACATGGATGATTCAAAATTTGGGGAATATAAATATCGTACGTAACTAACCGCTCAATTGATATGGGTTCCATCGAAATTACAGAACTTCTTATTCTTCTTCCATTTGAACGGAATGCTTTTGGAAAGTCGGACGGTCTTTCTAGTTTAATATAAGAAATGCATTCCTCATACAATCTAACAGCCCCGTCTCCACCTCCCATTATGTCAACTCGTAAAAAATCCTTGATCTGAGTGCAACAAAACCAATTTTTGGCAGCTTAGTTGATTGCATATATTATTTATAATAACGTCTCTGTACATACCTCTCTGAATGAAGCGTCCGAAGGAACTCCAGTCAATTTCACGGCAGCATGATGCTCATCAGTGGTGTTGTACGGTGTGGCAGGAGGGTCAGGGGCATCTCTCGAATCCCTTCTACCACTTACACGGATTTTATCCGAATCCTTTTCTCGAGAATCTCGACGGTTGGAAGAAAATCTCCCTTTCGGACTTTGAGATCGACTTCTTGAACGCCGACGTCGGTCATTATTCCGATCACGGTCTCGACTGCGACTTCTCCTCCGCCTAAACAAATAGATTAGTTCTTACGTCATAGCATGTCATTTTTGAAATCATCATGTAAGATACAACAGCACGTCTATTAGATACCTGTCTGGATCCTTCCTGAAGCCATCTCTATCTCTATCGCGTCTTTCGGACGGTGAACGACTGCGCGCACTCATATCTCGATTAAAATCAGGTCTCACTGAAGCAACGGGACGCTGACCCACTGCAGAATTCGGGTTTCTTCCTCGCATTGGAGGAACAGACTGAATTAGGGAACCGTTTTGGCGTGGAGGCATAATGTTGCCCACAACTCCACCATTGCCAGCATTGCCACCAACCATAAACGCCGGATTCATTCCTGGAAAACTATTTGGTCGCATTATATTTTGATGTAGTAAATTAGGATGCATTTGATTATTATTTCCGGATAGTTGGTTAGGATTATGAGCGACAAGATGGTTCATTTGGTTATTAGCTCCAGATAATTGGTTTGGATTATGAGCGACAAGATGATTCAATTGATTATTATTTCCAGATATTTGGTTTGGATTCTGGGCAACAAGATGATTCATTTGATTATTTGTCTGAAGATGCATTTGATTATTTGTCTGAAGATGCATTTGATTATTATTTGTTGGAAGATTCATTTGGTTATTACTTCCTGGAAGATTTGTGAGATTAGTTCCCGTAAGGTTTATTTGATTATTATTGTCCAAGAGACCCATTTGCTGGTTGCTGAGGCCGGGATGGTGGTTCATTTGATTCATTGTTCTCGGAGACGAAAAGGCGTTGGACCCTTGCAAAGTGGACGTCACATTAATCATATTAGGTGGAGGAACGCCCATTCCCATCATGGCAGCAACCGCTTGGTTTTGATTCATTGTTGACATTCCCTGAGACGATGAAACAGCAGTTTGCATTAAATGATGTGGGAAAGTCATCCCTAACCCAGCAGCCAGTGGAGGAGGTGGCACTCCGAATGGGTTAGGGTTGTTGGTGGCTGGTATCATCGACATTGAACCACCCACTTGTTGGGAATGATGTTCACTCGACCCCATGGAGCTTGACATGTGAGAATGATGAAGAGTATTTGAACCAATTCCCATCGAAAACGGGTGTTGTTGCTGCTGTTGTTGGACATTATTATTCATGCCACTGCCAGTAGTCATTGATGATGGTGGAACCATCCCTGTTGGATTCTGCCCAATAAAGTTTGCTCCCGTCATTCCTATTCCTCCTACAAACACGATATGAACATGAACTAAGAAAATCCTAATAATAATCGTGTCATGATAAAATCATCTCGATCCCTGTTTAGGTCGTACCACTTAGCATTCCCATTCCGGCGAGAGTACCAAAGTTTGGCATGTTGGAAGGGTTCACAACATTTTGCTGGGATACTGCTGCTGACCTAGCTGGTGGACTACTCGGACGTGGTGATGGCAAAGTTATGCCCGACCGATTTGCAAAGGGTGTGTCCATTGGTTGAGCTTGTTCGGGATTAGCAGCTACTCTAGCTTGCTCGATGATCTAAAATCCACACGGATTTTCATATATATAAGTCTACGCCAATTGCCTTTTTCCAACATCAGAGAGTAAAAGAGAAGTGAAATATAGACAAATCATATAGACGTCGTATAGTAAAAGTATAGTATTTAGTTTGAGAGTTGACATTGCATTATCATAGCGTCGCTAAAAATGATGGACGGTATTATTCAGCATTTGGTTCCGAATCGTCCGATTACATAGCTATGTATGCATAGTGTAGCATGTTTATCGACAGTAATGTTCATTTCATAGAAAATTAATTTGAAAATTGCAATCGCTTGATATCCATGCATCTATACGACTGAGCACAGGATAGGTGTACAGAGCTATTGGTGAACAGTTTTCACATTTTTAAATAAAATCGTTTCAACGTAACGTTTTAACTATTCAAAAAAATTCAGTGACGATGCAATATTTTGAATGAATCAATAAGGAGTTGCAATTAATTGTTACACTTTCTAGTTTGCCAACTAGTGAGTGATAACAATTAAGATGGGAAATTGCTGGAAAAGGAAATAAGAATCAAGCTAGTCAAGTATCAATAAAGCACCTTGAACATTTCGTGTTTCGAGCTGAGAGAAAGTCGAACGGTCGAATCTTTGAGTTTTTCGCCCGAGAGCTGCATCGCTTGCCTGGCATCTTCGTCTGTTGAAAATGCAATGAAGGCGTCTCCTTCTGCACCGCCACATATGTGCACTCCACCATCCGGGATCGACAATCCATGGAAGAAATTTCGAATATCAATCGAGATAGCAGAAAGTGGCAGATTTTGTAGTCGAATGATCACACTCATTTTCAGCTTGTTTTTTTTTGCAGAACTTCAAGTTAATCTGTGAAAGTGCAGAATGGCGAAAGAAAATCAATAATTTTAAACTTGAAATAAAATCCAAAAGTTCTTCCTTATTATAATACCCAATAACAGACTCGAATAAAATGATGATACTCAATGCCAATGTGATAAGTTCCTTATTATGGTTAGCTGAATAATAATTAACCCCCCTTCGGGCTAATTACTTCTGTGCAAATTCCATCATCATATATAATAATACTGGATTGATTAATGAAATGAATATGCCATGAATCAAGTCTTAGAATCAGAATTGCGATAATCCCTTCAACAAGGATGCAATTCGTACTATGTTGGTTGTGACAGTTTAGTTATTCACAGTAACAATAATCATAATCATTGTATATAATAGACTTTATGAGCAACGTTTGCAAAATGAGCTGTCGCTTCTTAAACGAATAAAAAAATTACATAAATAGCAATACCCAATTAATTAATCCATTAATCAGTCCATTGGTAGAAGAAGGTGGAACTAAAGCTGCGGAGAGGGGAAATCGTACGGCAAATTTAGTAAATGTATAGTTTGAATTGGAATATTATTGGGATTTGGTTGTTTCCTGGTTGGTGGATCCTGTTTTTCCTTTAATTATTAGCTTGTTTCATTGATTGGGGATAAAAATTAAACTTGTATTTACTTTATCGAAGAATACTGAGCCGCCTCAGCATAGGAGCAACAGCGTCTCCAATAATTTGCTGGCGTTCATGTATATATAATGATTAAAATTGGTTTTAATAATAATTGTGTACGTTTGGCGAAGAGGGCGGCCCTCGATGACGATCTTCTTGATTTGGTGGTAGTGGAGGAAGATGAAGTGTTTATTTGTTCCCTGTCCCGTCAATATCAATTCACACAGGCAACAGAAGAGAATTAATTCAATCCTCAGGGTGGGTTCGGCTGAACGGAAGAACGACTGGAGGGGTTTATATTCATGAACAACTAATTCAAAATTTTTCTCGTAGAATTGAGAAAGGGGGAAGCAGCGTACGTAGAATATAGTTGTTGTCAAGCCAAATTTCGATCTTATTGAAGTCAAAGTCAACGTCTGGTTGAATTTGACATGTGTGGGGTGGAAGCTAGAGCTGTAATTTCTCAAAACTTATTGCTTTGGTTGAATGTATTTTGAATTTTCAGTCAAGACTTGGTCGAGTAGTTTATAGTTAGGAAATCAACAATTCAAAATTAAATATGTGACCAAATGAACTATTGTGGGAACTTGCTCTTTATCACTGGATTATTTATTTATTTATTAAACTTTAAAATGTGTCGATGAAGCTTGTGCAGTTTAACAATTAACTTAGCTTCAAACAAATTTAGTTTAATGTTTTTTTTAGAAATTCGCAGCTGACCACTCCGTTGAATGATTCTGGCAGCAGCAGCAGCAATGGTGAATATTCTGAATATGCATATTATGAGTGAGTGAGAGAGAGGGAGGCCGTCGTAAGAAGGGCACTGCTCGATGTTCACCAAAGTCATGCGGATCCAAACCCGCCAGCCGAGCAATCAAACCACAACCTCGCTTCAAAAAATACAATAAAAATGTGAAATGTGAATTTGTAATGTAAGAAGAAAAGGAAAAGATTCATGATTCAATGAAGAAGGTGATTCTATCTTCCCTTTTCAGCAAACGTGTGTTGCAAAGGCTTCCTCTACTAGCCAATAAGTTTACAAAATACGCGACAAACAACCTGGTCATTAATCTTGACAAGAATAAAAGGTTCAGCAATTATTCCGGAGCCGGACTCCCTTTAATCCCATTACAAATTTCTCACTAGCGAATTTCTCGTTGCAGTAGCAGCATATCCAAATCTTGGGCCTCTGCCATTCTTGCAGAAAAATCTGTCCGAGTCGAGGATAATAATCTAAGTATCAAGAAGAACAAGAATTCCACAGGTGTTAAGCATCCAGCAAATTACAGACGACGTTTGGATAACATGTCGTGGACAAAAGAACCAATGGATGATAAATTGATTTGGGTGGATTGCGAGGTAAACATATCAGAATGAATTTTAATGATGATGACGCCGTTTTATCATTGGCTTGCCATAAATTCTTTCTTATATTGTTCTTGTTTTAGATGACAGGACTGGACTACAACAAGGAGATGATAATGGAGATTGGATGTATAATTACGGACCGTTATTTGAATGAGATTGCTCGACAGCCATCCATAGTTGTGCATGTACCAGATGAAAAACTAAATTCGATGGATACTTGGTGCTTAAAGCACCACGGAGATGTATTTATTTAAGATTAAATATTCAGATTAATTAGATTTAGAGTATTAAGATTGCTTTAATATGTTATGTTTTAAATTCTGTAGAGTGGCCTCACGGATGCTTGTCGTCAGAGTACCTTGACGAATGAGGTGGTAGATGAGCAATTGTTTCATTTTTTACAGGAGCATACAAAAACTAGTAAGCTTAAATTTACCATGATATTTATTATTCATAATTATTTCAATCATAACAATCATCATTGTTTATTTCAAATAGAAGAGTGTCCCATGGCCGGAAATTCGATTTACATGGACAGAATATTCATTGCAAAACAATTTCCAAAGTTCCATTCTCATTTCCATTATAGAAATATCGATGTTAGCACCATTAAAGAGTTGGTTCGAAGGTGGTTTCCTGATGAATATAGCCAAACGCCCAAAAAGAAATTCTCACACAGAGTTTTGGACGACATACTGGACAGCATTGCTGAGCTTAAATATTACCGTTCTGCCGTGTTTCGGGATACAATTGATGTAGAAACGCCGAGTACCAATGACAAGTTAGTCCAATCAGAATAATTTATTTATTTCCGTTACTGGTATAAATAACATTTGGAATATGTAAAGACTGCAAAAAGTAGAAATAAATGGATTTATATTTAATACAATTATTTTGTGTTTTATTTGTGACGACGACGACATTCAGTTCACATAGACGTACAAAGTCATTTGCCCATGATTTGTAGTATATATATATTTACTTCTTGTACCTGTCTTTATACAAGTTATAGGGAAACAAAGAGACTGAACTTAAACATATATAGAGAACAATTTGTTCACTGGTTAACAATAGTAGGCGAAAGTACAATTAAATTAATATTAAATAATTGCATTTAATAAAGTTTATGCTGAAGGAATGGTGTCCACTAGTTTTAATTTTTGAGATTTGTTCTCAGAGTAAAAAAGCGTAATAAATGAAATCATATTTTAATAATAACATCTCGAAGGTATTTCTGCTCAACAAACACATTCACTTACACTTTACACATCACATTTCAATCAGGGACTAATCCATCATTCCTAAAGTTAAATATTACGATAATTGTAATAACTTAATGGGAAATATAACAATCTTTCTTTGTGTGAAACTAGCACATTGCAGGTTGACGATATAAAGCAATTTCATCCATCACATATATATAAACTATTTGTCATTTACACAGGTTATTTATTGTTATTATTACTAACAAAGACAATACAAAAAAGTCGTCTACTCTCTGCTTAGACTCTAATACTATATATATAAGTAAGTATATATAATACTCACACTCAAATTCTGATAAGCTGTTTGTCCATTTGTTTGTGGAAATGTAATATTGAGAGTATTAAATCCTTGTATAACTTGTAACAAAAATTTGGAACACGATCGTGCCTGAATTGGCTCAACTTGTTTTGTAATTAGGTGATTAGGCAGTTCATGTACTATTGTTAGTTGTAGCTTATTAGCGCTTATAGCTTATGGCCTTCAGTGTTGTGGGCGGAGGCGAGTGGTAACCGGTCGAATATAATTGAAAATGGATACTTGGAAATGTTGTAGAGTGAGTAAAACTTTTATGCAGCTAACAACGTTTTGATTTGTTTCGGGGTAGAATCATCCTAAATGCAAATTAATCACGTCATAATTCGGAATATGTTAGTTTTCTTAGGATTTTCTTACATTGAGGTGTTTTGTAGTGTATCTTAGTGCGTTCAGCAGTCCTTCGGATCTAGAAATGAGTTTCATTAATTTTACGCCAAGCTAAGTTATAATTATAATTTCCGCAATTCAGAAATTTGTGTATTATTGCACCTCACCTGGAGGTTGGTTGTTCCTTGAGAACTCGAACACAACCTTTAACCTGAATGGCAGGAAGGGATTTTTTAAACTTTAGGAATGGTCGTAAAAAATAAACTTTAAAATTAATCTACAATATCAGATCACTCACATCTACATTCGACGCTTTCACAAATGCTCCCACTGGATGGACATGATCATACAAAATCACTAATCCCACCATAACTCTTAAAATAAATGACTGAGTTTCTTCTCTTCGATAACGCTGGATAAGTCCTATAATTTTGTCATTTAATGAGTGACTATCACAATTGTTGTAGGATGTATTTTAAAATAATAACAAATGTATTTTAGTAGTAAAGTTTTACCAGGAGTTTCAAGCATGCGCTGGCATACTTGTGCCATGGTGCCAAGAGTTTCGGTGGTTTGCTGAACATCAATTTCTTTGTGTTGGGTTACAAATTTAGAGGTAACTTCGCTAAGAATGCAGAGCATCGGTGTAGGAGTGGCGTAGAATAGAGACATACAATTGGCAAGTTCAGAACTGACGGGCATATCCTCCGCCGTTGCCATAAGAGGAGAAAATGGACCGCCAGGGCTGGTTGGTGAGTCATCAATCCGGTGTCTGGACAATGCCCGGCGATAATAACTAAGATCATTCTGAATAGCGGGGGTTGTCATCTAGAAAAGTATATGATAATATTTATTATTTTTATTTTGGTGTGATTGGCGGATCGAGTTGAACTTTATATTGCATATATAAATCATTAACCTTGTATTCATCAAATTTTAGGGTAAACTCAAGTATCTCGGCAAACTGTTTAACTAAAGCTTGTTGGTTCTCTAAATGCTGGGTTGGGGTCATTGGTCCTGCGCAGATTTCGATGAGAATCTTTGGAACCAATTTCTCTGAAAATAATTAATAAGACAAATGTAACATATGTAAACTCTACGTGTCTTGAATTTAATATGTACAAGCAACCCTTTTTTAAATAACATCAATTCAAATATGACAATCAAGAAATTATGCATGTTACCCAATTCTTTTGAGAACAAGTAAAACTCCTTCAATTTAGTCACAAGAGGAAGCACTATAAAGAATATTAGATTTTTGTCATTATAAGATCATCGCCTTAATTAAATTGAGCTATTCTATTTGATCGTACCAGCCTCCCACGCCTGCTTCTCTGACTCTGTATCAGGTGTCCCGATGGCTTTACGTATCTCTTGCGATGCACCTTTGTACTCTTGTAGATCTTGCAAAATCCTTAAAAACGAGATTTTTAATGAAACATTCGAAATATGTCAAACAAAGCCTTAAGTTACATTTGAGCAAAAAAAACATTGCAATACGTACCTGTGAGCCCTCTCTAAGACGACTTGACCCTCGTCGAATACTTCTCGTTCCAACTCAGTGGGTTGAGCATCTAGTTGAGCATGATTGAGTAAATAGCTTAAAAATAATAATAGCAACAAATAATAAATAATCTCCTTTGCTTACTTTCAAAGTCCAGGAAGACGTCGTATTTTTGAGGAGAACAGCAATCTTCTCTTGACAAAAGACGCAACAGGTTTCCCATGTTTTCGAATTTAATTGAGTATTCCAAAGTTAATTAAGCAAAAAGCGGTGCAATTTGCATAAGATATAATTATCACTGTTATCAGGAACGGTATATATTTGAGCTTGTGCTTTCTTATCGCCTTGTTTGAGTTACTGTTCCACCAGTTGAGCTTCTATTGATATGCTTGTAATATTTCAAATTGGCAGCCAATTAAACAAGTAGGAACTCCGTCAACCTATAACATTAAAAGTATTGTTTAATATTGAGTTAGGTTAGTTAGCCAGGTTTTGTTTGGCATATTTTTATTGTTTCATGAAAATTTTCAAATAAATTGAATGTAAAATTACATTGATTACTATTTACATCAATCATAAAATAAAATTGATTATTTTTCAACATTATTTGTTAAGTGCCCCCTCTAATCTGTGGTTACTTGTGATCTGACAATGTAGACACTGATCGAACTCATTATTCCGATTCTATGAAACCCCCGAATAAGTCAAATCCAATATAAGCAATGTGAACTATGTGAGTTCGAAATGTTATAATTTGCACTTTTGACACTACTACATGATCCTATATTATTCTAACCTCTGCACGATTTCAGCCTCAACCAACCAGGTCCTAATAATGAACATCCAGTCCAGGTTTAAATTGGAACTTTAGAAAAATTAATTTTGGAAAACTTCCTGTTTAAGCTAAAGTCAGTTGATGAGTATATTGTAGTTATTTAAACCACAAAAGCTCACATTCTCACACAGCCGAGTGACACAATTACAAATTATGTTGTGCGACGAGTGATTAATTATATGTATATTTTCTATATCATGTTGCACGCAGCCACTAAATACTAGGAGATGCATAAGACCATTTTACATATCCTATAACAATATCCACGCACAATTATCTTTAAAAAGTGCTGGTTGGTCCACTAGATAAATGTTAAGCTCTTCTGACTCATTCTTCTTTAAACATATCCGATACTACAGAATTAATGCAAAATTGTATACAGAGGCATTATGGAACTTCCATAGTATAATACCATGATGTAAATACCCACATTAGTATACACTCACAATTGACGATGCAAGCTTCACAATACTTTACATAACTAATGACCATTGAAGGATAACTAAACTGTGTTAACTCCCTCATAAGCGCCTGTTTAATTCGTTTCAATGTCACCGTCTAATTCCAATTCACTATTGCTTTGCTGTTGGCTGGTGTAAAGAATCTGGATAAACATGCAACAATTCAAGAACAATTCTTGAATTGCCTTTAAGTTTCTAGTTGTGAAACTCTAAACAATTGATTAATTAGCGTCAGTGACAGCGTCAATTTAGAAGAATGAGTAATATGCAATGCAAGACTTACATTGCAAGTTTGCTAATTTGATCAAGTAACTTGACTAGAATGAAAATTGCATATGAAATTAGAAACGATCACTACAGGACAATGCTTATACTTACCCCTTCCTCATTGATCGTCTACGTGGGCGAAATGGTTTGATGTCCGTTCGACAATTCCTTTGAAATTAATTTCCAGTGAAATTATTGAGGAAAAACACGACTGGCCAACTGCACGAGGAAGAGAGAAGGATAGAATCGGTTGACAGCAGGGTTGGATTGGATGTCACTCCACCCCAACTTTAAGAAATTGCCAGTCTGCCAACTTTTACAAATCTGTTTCAACCAGGAAATTGTTATCCAAAAGAACAGTATTATTGTAAACAAATAATAGTAACTTTTAAGTTTAATCTTTGCTAAAAGTTTTGATCACATCTCACTTGGTGTCATATTATGTAAGTAAAAAATAATAAGGTTGGGATCACAAATCACAGGATTCCCCGAAAGTACGTAATCAAATCAGAACTAAAAATACTGAGTAATGATTGATTACTATTGAATTAAGTTATTGGTACATCCACAGCCCGTGGAATGATAACTCGAATAAAAGATGTGACCAGATGGGTTAGACTATGTTCGCAATAAATGAGGAGACATTGGTAAGCGTTAAAAGTTTGAATTTGCCTAGTATCCGTATTGCATTACATATTTCCTAAAGATCTTAATAAATGTGGTATATTATACATATTATTGCACATGATTGCGTGACAATGTGATATACGTGAGATAACGAAATATTTAGATTTTATTTAAATCTCTGTCAACATAGCGAAAATTGTTCAAATTCGTGTTCCTGTTCTTTATTAAAAGTGAATATATTTTTATCGTGGTTAAATAGAATAGTAAATATTTGGTCATGCTGATAAATCCTGACCTGATATTTCTGATTTAAACAACAAGACAGACAGACGCACAAGTCGGCTGCATATATTATCGCAGAAAGTCTGTTCCTCCAGTTAATATTGCTTGAGATTAAAACGATTTAAAAACTCGAGTCCATCAAAATTCTAATCATCTTATAGGCTTAGACAGGATTTATTTTGATATTCATTGTCTGGTCAACTTTATGGATTGAATTAACTGCAAGGAGCAATGTCAAGCAACTTGTGTTTCTGAGAAGTCACGTAATAAAACAGTGACTAATGATTACACAACGATAAGATAGCATAGAGTGTTAATGACAATAATAATAATGCCGTATCAAGTATGTATTATAGTCAATACAGATATTAACATTATCTTCATTCATAACACTTTTTGAGCGCAAGAGGCACATCTTCAATTTTGTCGTTTCCTAATAATACAGAGCATGCTTATGAGTTTCAGTCTCATTCATTTTCAAATTTAAGAATCGCAAACTGTTCCAAATTTTTTAATTTGACTAATACACACATTAAAATTGTTACTTATTGATTCCTCAAATATTCGTCAGAAAAAAATGATTCAGGGAGAGGAAGTTGGTGAAGAAATGGAAAGATCTGAAACTTTAGTAGGGGGGATTACAGAAACTCCGAGTCCATTTTCCCCATGTTGGTCTCAAGTCAATTACTTAATTTAATTATTAATTATTTGTAATAATTGATAAAGTCGCTTGGACTCTGATATTATGAATTTAAAAAATTATTATATTTCCAGTCGAGCAAAAAGTAATGGATTCTTCGTACGATGAAGACCTCAACGAGAACCCGTTTTTTCAATCCTTGTTAACCTCGTGTCCAGAGTTATTCAGTCAGTGTGTACTTGAACAATGGCTAATTTGCGTTCCCCGAAGGGATTCGTTACCAAAGTATACGTTCACTTTGGAGGATTTTACTCATCACATTTTGAGACCTGTTACTGGAACCGGTGGGCGACATTGCAGTGGAGAAAGCAATTGTAGCAGTATCGGCAGTCTCGTCCAAGCACCATCATCATGTGGGAGCCTGTGCTCTTCAGAAGATCAGAGTATGGTCAGTGGCAAAATTCCGGAAGATGAAGTGAAAAGCAAAACTGAAGCACATTTACTAAAAGGAAACTGGAACTACCAAACGCTGACACACATACTAGTAGAATTTAGTGGGCAAACATTAACTCTTGACGTCGAAATTCCCATCAGAGACTCTGATAACACCAACGATAATGATGATGCACTGAATGGGAACAGTAGAGGGTTTGTCCAACTGCGGAAGGAAATTTTGTTTGATGAAACGTTTTACACCAACGACCACAGAAAGTATAAAGCTTTGTGTGTTGCGTCCCCCCTTAACTCAAAAGTTGACATTGAGGACGAAGGGTTCGGAAACTCGGGCTTGGGGGTTTGGAACCTGACCAGTATTCGTGACTGTATCGATTTTATATGGGTCAAAGGTTCATTCAAAATTTTAGAAACCTACGATATGTACATTAAGCTTTTTTTGCACAATCATCCTGCCCTCGAAAATCTCCCACTCCCAATTCAAAGTAATCTTGTTAATATGTTGTTCCTAAAATGTGTCGAGTTTGCCGAAGGAACGGGAATGACTACCCCTGTCCCGGAGAATCATAGTTTATCTGATTTTCTACGTCAGAAGTTACGCATTGCAACTGAAACGTACGTAAATAATGGGGTATACAGATCAATAATCAGTGCCATAACATCCGTCACTGCTGCTGAAGATGCTTTCATCAATAAAATCACCAGAAATTTGCACGAGATTCACCCCCAAGATCTTGACATTGATCCGGCTTATTGGAATATTCTAGGGCGAGCACGGTATGAGTTGAGTAGAATCAGCTCTTATTCCTCGCCATTAGGCAAACTGGTTTGCATGAAACGAACGATTCGTCACATCCGTGCCAATTCTGTGGCAGAGTAAGTATTTTATAAGTTTATTAGATTTTAGAACTATGCACATATGTATGTACCAAAAATTTCAAGAAAAATCACATATTATATTATGTAATTACTTATTGCAGGAGTGGTGATTCGTCCGTTTTGACTACAGATGAGCTTATCCCTATTTGGGTGTACTTGGTCCTGAAGAATCCTTTAGGAAATTGGGTGGCTCAATTAGGTATGCAAATAAGTTCAGTGAAATATGGGATAGAGTTAATTTAATTAGTTTCTCATTTCCATTTAGAATTCCTTCGTAATTTTCGCTTCTCCTCGACTGAATCTACCAATGAAAACACCTTTTACATTACCACCTTAGAGGCATCATTGGAACATTTGAAATCGGGGAAAGTGCTTAGAATTTCAGACGAAAATGATAGAGACATTGGGTCTCCGTGTGACTTGGGCGAATCCTGGCTCTACAATTTGCATCAAGATGCATATGAATCAGATAATCCCCAAATTGCAGAAATGCTTCAAGCCATTCGATTAGGGAAATGTGATAGGCTGGAACAAATGATTGAAGAATATGAAGTCAAGAGATACGAGTTTAACAAAAATCAAAAGGAGCCAAAAATTGATTCAGATTCACTGTGTCACCCGCTATGTCACTGTGTAAAGTGTTTAGCGGTAGTTCAAAGTGCAATAAAGTCAGAACCTATGATACCGGCGGTGCATTTGACAACGAACGAAAGCTGCTTGACCTTGTTACATGTTGCTTGTATTTATGGGAGACCAAAAGTTGTGGATATTCTTATTGGAGCTGGAAGCAAATTGGAAGCAAAGGATTCGCAAGTAAGTGATTCAATTGATTGCACTATGGAACTATCTATTTACGCAACTGAAAGCAGCGAAAAAATAGCTTAGCCATGCGACATAATTTTAACATTTTAATAGGGCAATAGGGCTATTCACTATGCTGCAAGCCGAGGTCATCAAAACGCTGTACTGTTGCTTCTTCATGCTGGGTAAGTTCTACATACATAAAACACACAGACAGTAAGTGTGAAGCATGTGCAGCATATAGCATGGGGATTTTGACTTTTCGATTAAGCTATTTAGTTAATCTTTTGAACAGAAGCGATTTGTGAATATATTACGACCAGATCAAGCTGGTTTGATTTAGAAATTTGAACCAAGAAAATTCAACGAAACAAGTTACTCGTCATCTTTTCTTTATGATCCTCATCAAACTCAAATAACCCCCACATAATATCCCCAAAAAATTGGAACCATGATATCTTTAAAATGTCTTGATAAAGTTAGCAAACTTCTGACTGCAGTCATTTATATTCGAACCCAGCACAAATCATCAATATATCAATGGGTCACTTGTCGTTGGCTCATTTTTGCTAGTATTGATACCTCACTTTGATTTTCAGTCTGGCATTGTTTTGTTATTTCCAGATGTGACTTACAGCCGATCAACAATGATTTTTCGACCCCACTAATTTTGGCCGCTCAAAATGGTCACGAAGGTTGTGTCAAGGCTTTAATATATTATGCAGAACAAGTTGGGAAAAATATTAATCTGAGTGCTGGGAACAAAAAACGAGGTATTCGTTATTTCTTCGTATCCAGATTCTTATCCTTATTGTTATTCTTCTTCGTATCCAGATTCTTATCCTTATTGTTATTCTTCTTCGTATCCAGATTCTTATCCTTATTGTTATTCTTCTTCGTATCCAGATTCTGCATTACATTTCGCCTCGAGATACGGATTTATTGGAATAGTTCATCTTTTGGCCGAAAGCGGGGCATCTCTTACCTGCACCAATATTGTTCATGCAACACGTAAGTCGTACTGATAGATAATGTAGCGCTTTGTACTTATAACATAATAATAAACTTGAACTTCACAGAACCTAGAATTAACAATTTTTGTCTCAATTTATGTCTCATCTATCCGGTATAGCGATTGACTGTGCTCACGATATCCACATTCTCCGAATTTTGCAAAGATCATTGAGAAGACGTTCCCTAGTACAGACAGATCATGGAGATTACATCAATATTGAAATGATGCAGAAAGAGGAATCTGGAGGAATTGTGATGCTCATCAGTGAACCCTCAGACCCTGCTTCACCCAAAAGTGATGCCCCACCCACTGAATCCGATGGAAATAAAATAAAATCACATAATAATAGTAGATCCGTCAGTCGAATTTCCAGCCGTCGAGCAAGCAGCGCAACTGCTCCTCCCACTCTACTTACACAAAATTATCTCCCTCCTCCCAGAAGTAGAAAAGTCTCTGCTATGCAACTACCTGAGTCCAACAATGCAAGCATTTCAACTGAAAAGTGCTTGCAAACGGTTGTTCAACATTTAGAAAACGACCCCAGCAACCCTGACTTTGTACTCAATTATGGAAATAACAACTATGACCCCACCACGGAGCAAGAACATCTTCGACTGGTTCAAGCGGAAGATCTTGGTATCCTCGAGGAACTTCCGGAAGAGATTGAAAGTAAACGAGGTGAATTATAGGGCTTTTATTTATTGTCCAAAGACTCCCTTGACTCGGGGTTAGCTGACAGAAATATTTTGTTCATTTTGTATTCTAGAGAGGAACATACGTAAATTATTTACTACCATTGCGATTGGTGACGTTCCCTTGGCCTTGTTCTACCTTGGGATTCCAGCCGAGGAAATGGACATCCTTCAAGAACACAACGACTGCATTAATGTGATTTCTGCCTGTCACCCACTCTGTCCATGGTACTAACAATGAGGTCTCCCAATGTATGCTCACAGATTTGGACCAAAGTAGTTTCAATCGATCACAAATTTAATTAGTATGAAATTTGCAAATTGCACAATCTGCCAATGCGCAAGTTTGGCGGAGATATTTACATAAAAAGAAGATAAGACCTGCCCCAAAGTTGACAAATTTTGCACTTTCCAAATTTACTGCGCGTTTTCTCCTCTGCGGCTGCAAATATCTCCGCCAAACTTGCGGCAGATTGTGCCACTTGCAAAGGTGGTGACCGGGCTAGGTATCATATCCGGCCAATTACTTTTTCTCGGAATATTTTTGCGGCATCAGCAAGCATATGTATTGATGTTCAAAAATATATGTCGATGAGCTCCGTGGCATTCTTCGTCTAGTGATAATCTCTGTTCAAGTATGACCAATTTTAAGCCTAAAATTCACCATATATGAACAAAGATTATTTCCAAACGAAGAATGCCACGGAGCTCATCGACATATATTTTTGAACATCAATGCATATACCTGCTGATGCCGTAGAGAGTTCGTTCATTTATCCTTCCAAAGACAATAGCCGACACCCCAAAATCGAAAATGTCGAATTTGTTGTATCGACCTTCCTAGGCGTAGTTTGTGGCGGGATTTTACAAAATCGACATCATTTTGACGTATGATGACCCCATGACCATTTGAATTTGGTCAAAGGTCGAAAAATTTTCAAGCGGGGGGTCTTGAAATATATCATGTACATTCGAAGTTCGTCGGTGGCGTGTTAATGCGGGGAAAATGAGACGTGGATAGTGTGGGGTGATGTGATACAATGACAGGAAAGTAGCGAAAGACTATGTGGCCTGCCATATAGACAATTCCATGTGTTTTTACCCCTTTGCAACATTTTGGTTGGCAACGGTTTATTATTAGGGAATGGCAATTAGGATAGAGCTGTCATACATAGGTGGAATAACTAATTCAACCGTTGTGCCTTTATCTAAAATAATAATAAACCAAATCATGAGTGCGCTAAGTGCGAAAAGTGGAAGACGGCTTCGTTATGGAAAACCTGATTCGGAACTTTTGTTTTTCTGGTTTGAATCAAACTGACCCTAAAGATGGTGAAGAACCGGATAGGTCAAGATCTCCAATACCACCATTCTTATGAGGTAGTCCAGATTCCAGCCCATCGGTTCTTCAGCAATACTTATCAATACTACAGGGTGTTAATAAAGTCCGATCCCATTTTTCCTGTAAAAAAGTGAAGGCTAGTATAAAAAAAAACTACCCGTGATACTTACAAAAAATGTTCGACATATTTACCTTAGTATTTGGTCTTGTTACCATTTACTTTAACCATGCCCTCAACTCTTTGTTTAAGGCTCTGTGCTAATTTTTCCAATGTGCCTCTGGAAATCGAATTCCATACATCTTGAACTTTTTTTTACTAGCTCTTCCCTCGTCCGGGGTTGTGGCTCTTTGTATACATTTTCCTTAAGTATGGACCACTGGTTCTTCAGGGGATTCAAATCTGGGCCGTTAGCGGCCCACACCCCCTTGCTCCAGACCGTTGAAACTTGCGTCTTGATGAGACTCAAACTCGCTTTTGCTGTATGGGCTATAGCACCATCCTGCATGAAAACTATTTTTCTTTCATTCGGAAATATTTCCTTGTTCCCCATGCTATCGAAATAGATAGGTAATATTTTTTCCATATAATGCTTTGCATTGACTGATTGGCCTTTTGGTATGATATGTAGAGGGGTCACGCAACGTGCACAAAATCCACCCGCTACCATAACTTTAAGCCCGAATTTTGGGATCGCTCTTGATGGTACATCCGATTTGTTTTCTGTCCTGTAACGAACATTTTGTTGGTTCAATTTTGGATATAGTTCAATAATAGATTCGTCAGTCCAAAGGATGTGACTGCGCAATTCTTCACCAAGTCTTTTTTCACTCAAATGGGCACTTTTCTGAAGGAGTTCTTCAAATTTCAGACGGTCATCGATATATTTTTGTGACATGAGAGGTTTTTTTGGTTAGTTTGTAAGCTGTGTGACCCCACTTCGTAGTTTTCACAAATTTTTGCACGGTCACACAGTTAATTTGCTTCTTCTTCTCTTTATAGCGTTTTGAGTCATTTAACTCCCTTGCTCAATTACGTAATGAACTACCGGTTTTCTTGCAAAGTCTGTTTTTAATCATTCTTTTTGTGGTAGGTGACACCTTTCTGGGTCGCCCTGGTCGCTTTTTGTCGTGGACAAAATTTTTATTCTTCCATTTCCAAACAGTTCTGCGGCTGCAGCCCAATTTTTGCACAATTTCTGTAGGTTTAAGCCCCTGCTGATGCAATGTTTGTATCTCAACGCTAAGATGCTCATGACTTACACGTTTAGTTGTTCCTCCCATGGTAAAAATTTGAAATAAATAACTTCACTGGTTCAAAAGTTCCAGCTGAATTTGTAACAACCACGCTCCAAAAAATGCATGGGATCGGACTTTATTAACACCCTTTAATAAAGAGCCATTAAGACCGCTGGCTGGGACGTCCTCAACACAAGTTTCCCTACTAACTTTGAACTTGAGTAGTGTACGCTCCGGTTTATCATTGAGCGTACAAATGATTACTCTCTGCCCCGATGCTTCGTTCTCCCTCTCTCACAGTGCAAAATGAACAGAACAGCACTTTAGTTCCACGGACGTAAGGCAGACCGCCGGTGGAGGTCTAGAACCTGTACGGACCTCCACTCTAGTATACTAAAATAGACAACAACATCATCCCCATCGTTTACTTATTGGTTACTCATATCATCTTCAGGCAGGAGTGTGGAGTGTTGCTCCAGTGTCTAGCTCCAGTTAATCAATCCTGAGTTCATGGTCAACTTCTGTGAATACCACGGTCTGACGTTTCTAGTGGATTGTGTTTACCGGGCGTCTAATAAGTTCCTAACTTATTAGATTATAACTAAGGTTTAGTCCTCTTAAGTGGTTGTATTTCATAGACATCCAACAACGCATTAAGAAATATGAATGGACATGAATCTTACGGTTCACCTGACCTGATGAGAGTGGCTTCACAATTAATCCATCAATGGAGGTAGCAGGTGTACAGATAAAAATAGTAAAATGACAAATACAAAAATAATTTTTATAGAGAAGCTCACAGGAGCGTTTCAACGAATGGCAAGGGACATCAAACTCAAGACATACGATGTATATTCCTGACATCCGTATAATGATGGGATGCCACGCCACTTCGTATATACAGCATCTCATCTTTATTCTCTCTTCTCACGTCCCGCCTTATCTCTTTTGACCGGACATCTCTCCTCGTCTCATTTATTCATGGCCCGAGGCCAAGCGGCGCGTCGACTTCCTCAGAAGCCAACGCAGAACTTGACACTCCAGCCGAGCAGCAAGCAAGTCGAGGCATGAACATACGCACAACCCAGTGGAATCTGCTCTTATCAAAATAACGCCCACAATACCCTTTAGTGAAAGGTGTGTCAGGTGTTGGATTTGTCGTTTAACTTGAAGACAAAGTGCAATTCCACGTTCAGCGATCAAACACGCATGGAATTGAAATGGGGTATTTATCCAGAAGCAATGTTTCTCGGTGGCAGTCGAAGCGGGTTATAAACATAGCATTATGAAGATCTCGAGTGTAATTCTATTTGCATCTATGCCAAGGCTCTTCAGGATAAGAGATGAACATTCCCGCCTAGCTCCAACGCTGTTAGCTCGCCTGGAACTTCTTTTCATAGACCGAATTCAGTAAACTGGATATTGCACTACATCGAGCAATCAACAATAGCTTAAAGCTAGTCCAACAATATTTGCAGATTTTCCCCAGCTCACTTGGATGCAACTGAAGGGCGTCACGTTAGGAGTGTAAGATGTGCCTTGTTTGCTGTCACAACTTGAACCCCCTATACACTCAATGGGATTGCTTAAGGTTAGATACACGGAATCCTACACGACTGAGAGTTATTAGTATAAACTCTACTTCCATCGGGTTAAAAATACATTGATTCGAGATATACTGATTCAATACTAATCCAACGAGAACGAACCAGGCGGTATAGCGGGATATTACTGTACATGAAAAAAGGCAGAGCTGCAAGAAGTTGCAGTCGCATAGCTTCTGTAAGGGTTAATTACACGTCTTGTCTTTCTTGTCTAAGTTTTATTAACTTGGTTCGGTACCTTGGTTATCGGTATCTCGCATTAACTAGCCGTCGAAAAAAAGCAGTTGGATTTACTGACAGCCGAAAAATTGCCACACAGATGCCCAACTTAATATGCCCGAAGTAACTTCTAATGACTTTCATTGATCAAAGGGCTCTAATTAAAAGTGAATTACTGAGTTGGTGGAATCCAAATAGGCTGTCTGAAACAGCCTGTGCCTGTTCCCATCTTAAAGCAAATGGGATAACATGTAGAGGTGAGGTCACTATTTACACTTGTTCCCATGTGAGCAAAGACTAGGGGGTGCACGTCCCTTGCCCTGGGTGGATTTTAAACCGTCTGAGGCCTCTACCACTAAGTATTGTTTATCACTGGATCATGGCGGAGCATTGACTGCGGACTATTATGATTTTGAAAGCATTTCATTTTGCAAAAACAAACGGTGCAATGGGAAATCGATGGACAACTGTTAGTTTATCTTACCTACGCACGTATAGGCCATTAGAATTTGCAATTGAATTAAAATTACCAAAATATTTAATATGAAATAAATAAGAGTTGACAAAATCAAGCAGTTCGGGTCACATTTAGCCATTGATATAGCCAAACTGACCCTGCCATCGTGTTCTACGTCAAAAAATAGTTTAAACTGATCTTAGAATCATTTAAAAGGCATAATTTGGGTTTTGGCGCGTTTTGAGCGCACCTAGCGCGAGTTGTGCGCTAGCTACAATCAAACTGACCCTGCCATCGTGTTCTACGTCAAAAAATACTTGAAATTGACCTTAGAAACATTAAGAAAGCATAATTTGTGTTTTGGCGCGTTTTGAGCGCTTTGAGCGCCTCTAGCGCGCGGTGCGCTAGTTATCGAAAAACTGACCCCTCCATCGTGTTCTACGCTAAAAAACACTATAGAAAAACGAAAAAAAGTAATTGGCCGGAAAACATATCCTTGTACGGTAACCTCCTTTCATACTAATTAAATTTGTGATCGATTGACACCAGTTTGGTCCAAATCTGTGAGCATTTGCATACATTTGGATATCTCCATTATAAGTAGCTTATGACATATTTCAGTTTCATCAAGATCGCGTATTGATTGATATATGTCCATATTTCATTTTTCTAGTCCAAGGTGTGTCGCCAAAAATGCCGGGTTGGGTTTGGACCTCAATATAAAAAGTCCTGCTGAAGGCATATCTGTATTACACTGGGCTGTTCTTTGTCATAGTTTAGTTCTAGTCAAAGCTTTAATAAAATATGGTGCCAATGTTAACCTGCAATCAACCGTTGAGAAAAAGACAGCTTTAGATTTCTCCATTGAAAAAGGATATCACGAAATAGAAAATATTTTGGTAAAATCTCAAGGAAGGTCAAGTTTACAATTTCATTCTGTTTAATCCATCACTATAACGGAATTTTAACTGTGTATTTTATTTTTAACGTAACTTAATTCCCACGATGTATACCGTGGTCTATGTACGTCGTAACTTTTAATTAGTGAACACACGAAAGAAATGAACTACTGTTTAAAAAAATAAATTCTATATATTGTGTATGTATAATTGATTGGACTCGTTTTAATTCTTTAGTTTTTGGAATAAGGAAACTATTCATATCTGACTACGCATTAAAAATATCCAAGAAGTGATATTATTTAGATTTGACGAAGGTGACTTGTATAAAATAGTGCTATACATGAGTTATAGAAGTCCCGACATAGTTGAGTTACTAGGAATTACAAAATCACACGAGGGCTTTGGAGCTGGGACTCCAAGTCGTGATAGGGAGGTGTGGACATTATGTACGATCTGAATTCATTTTCCGACCCCAAAGGAAGCGTGGCTCCATTGATTGTCCCCTGCACTTGATTCTCCGTTCTTGGATGTAGTAGCTCACTGCTCCGTGAAGGAAGTCCAGTCTTATGTTGCTCTGGTGGAGCCGACACAGCAAGGGCTATGCAAAATGAGATCATTGCTACCAAGATCTGCAGTAGAAACACATTACGTGAAGTAGTTTGTGCCAGACGCTAGTTAATTCTGAAGGATTATGCTGTTTTATTTTCAATATCTCACCTCGAATTTGAGACCCATTATTATAGTATCCAATAAAGGCAACTTTTATAGTCGAGTGACCGCTTAATCCAGAATTTCAGGAACTATGTGCAAGCAACACAAAGTCATGCAACACACTGATGCATAATTCACATAACTGATTTCTCACGAATTCATTATCGTAATGCAGCCAAAAATGCGAAATCCGTCGTCACACAACCTTCAAAATAATTGAGGAAAACTTGACTTTTTTTAAAAATCCAGAACTCGGATGGATTAAAGCAGCTTCGATTCGTCCCGCATGTAAAGATCCAGCAGCGAAATAACTGAACGTATGCAGAGGATTACACGAATTTACGAAAAATAAATTGAAATCGTCTCGTCATTCTGGGAGCCACTCAGATTGCGTTGCGTATCTGTGTATGCATACGTTGCGTACTAAATACTGTCAACTCATGGTCGACAGCGTACATCGAAGTGCAAAATGAAAATGAAAGCATAGAATTCAAAAGTATCATCACTTCATGTTTGAAGCGTTTCATATTTGCAGCCAGCACTGGTGGTAGCGGTACTAATAATGCCATGCAGATATGTTGAACGTACATGTATTGCAGTAATGATGGTAGCATAGCTGCACTAATCCTAAGTCAGTCAGTGAGGCAAACTCTCACGACATAAAGTAAATGGCACTGCAAAAAGCCATTTGTTGCGTGCGACTCCCTCAACTTTAAAATCATTGCACGTTCTTTTCACACGTAACAACGCTGTTGGACATGTTGATGGCAGTCTTAAAATTAAATTTCTATGAGGTTAAATTGGGTAGGATTCTGGGATTTTAATGACGGTAACGAAACGGACTACAACAAAATTTGCAATTTGATACAATGACACAGTCGTCGCCATTTGTATAACATTTGGGACACTGCAAATTGAACAGATTCCGTTTTACAACAACCTTTCAAAAAACAAAAGGGGTGATCTGCAGTGAAGCAGAAATGGCTGAATTAAACAACGTTGTTATGTTTTGCACCTATTGAGTAAAATATAATATATTTGGCTGCGATAGTTGCTTTATTTTTATATCCAACTCTATGGGGATGCAATGCAATGTAGTGTTGTGGTTTTAAATGAATCGGATGTGGTGGGTGGTATTGCCTCACACACCATTTCTGGCGTCTTGAATAATGCCTTAGCTCAATCTCAAAATTAGGTAACATCAAATTGAACAATTGGTGTAATGTTCGTTCGATTGTTAACTTCACCAGCGAGGACGCGGAGAGTCCTTTTTTCAAATCCGGTAACCAAATCTACATCAAAACATATAAACAGTTGCAATGCAATTGTGACAAAATGCAACAAAATTCATTCTGTTCACTCTTTTTTGTGTTGCTAAAGTTGACTGATGTACAAACAAAGTTTGTCATCTCGATTTCAACGTCTGCTACAAAGCAGATCACGAAACTCACAGCGAGAACAAAGGTATAGATTTGAGAAAGAGAAACAATTTAAATTAGTCGTGGAGTAAGATAATAATCGGAATATACCTAGGAAAATACATACAATATCCACCCTAATCCATTCTATATGTAGATATGTATCGCTAAATATTTTAAACTCATTTTTAAGTAGTTTATCTTTCATCCAGTCAGTATTTGTAATATTTAAGACTTCAAAATTAAAAGTGCATATCACAAATCAGTCAACATTACGAAAAATTGCTAGACGTATGTACTGTTTGTTAGTCCTCTATACTGCCATATTTGAAGGATTTTTTTTCTGTCGTTTCAGAAAGGTATAGTATAGCTATCATAGTAATCCACAAAGGACAAAGGAACAAATTCCAATAAAGTACAAAATATTATTGTTTGTGGGTTGCGAAAATAGTTCAAAAGACAAGAATTTCATTTTTCGCCTTTACCCTCAAGGTTATACATATTGCTCCCATGAATTGCAGGTTAAATAGTTGAGGTCGTCGTGTTTGACTTCTGAAGCGTTACATTGTAGCAGTGTTGTCCTCGGTTTAGCTCAATGGTGAAATCACAAAGCAGAGCAAAGCAAATCGCAACAAAAAATGACAAATGAATTTCATTTTCCATCTAAATTTATCTGTTGTGGTATAAATATTGATACTAACCGCTGTATATTTGACTCGAATGATATGATAATAAAGTCACTTTATGCTAAATATCAACAAGAGGAGGATTTTTATTGTAGCCTTGATATTCTAGAACAGCACTATTTAATTTGGCATTGATGAAAAATAAGAGCTAAAGGATCGTCGATTAACTTTATTATTTAAATATATCAGATGATACCTTCTGTTTGATGTATGCTAAGCTACGTAGGTACGTATATATCTAGTTAGATTAGTGTCGCATTATAAATTTTATTCGTTTTCACCAGCAGTGTACAACATTCAATATTTTTCCACACTTTATGAAAATGAAAGTGCGTGAAAATAAAAAGGAAACCTTTCTTCCGGTTTGTGGAACCAAAAGTTCAACAGCCAACAAAGGATATTCTACGATGATGGGAAGCCGGATGGATGTTGTGTAGGCCATATGAAACTTAGGAAAGTTTTGAAACAAAAACATAGAAATGGTAAAACAAATTCCATTTAAACACGCACTAACTGCGGAAAATTGTAGATTTGTTTAAATTTTAAGACATGTGGCACTTGTCATTGTCAATTAATACTGACTTAAAATCCACATTTTACTTCATTACGCTTCTGAAGAAATTCATGAATACTGGATATAAATAAATAATTACAGAAACACGAAGGAAACAAAAGTGTGTCCTTTTCTTGTTCGTTTTTGTGAGAAGAGAAATAAAATAATACCGTTAAAAAATCACATGACAAGGCAAATTTTAATTAGAGAAATTTTGTAAAAGTAAGACTGATCTCATAAAGGTATGTAATGAGCATATTGCCTTGTTAACATTAATTTTGGCTGAAATAAAGATGTGAACTAATGTTGGCGTTAATAATATGCACATAATGACGACGACTCTATATAGATACGCATTTGTAATAATAATAATAAGGTTCATTTTTATGTAGGTACGTCATACAAAGCACCAGAGTCCATTCCACGATAGAAGAACAAACCATAAAGATTCCGCTTTGTTTCCTCTTACTTTCATTTTTAATCTTAATTTCTAGTCTTATCACAGACTTGGCAAATTGAAAACGGAATTAAGATGTGAGCGAGACGCAAAATGTGGAGAGGAAATGTGAAGGTGGTGGTGTAATTGCTGCAATAAGTGAGTGGCTAACTGTCGGTTGGCACGTTTATGGGATTTTTGCTTCAGATTTGTACTTTTGCAGCAGCAACAGAAATTTGCACAAAAAACGTCTGCGTTTTTCTTCTACGTGCAACACTCGACAACTAATACAGAGCTTTCTGTACTGGTTTTCTGCTAAATTACGTGGTTTTATGTTGATTGTTGACAGCATAGTTTATCAAATTTGGCACGGTGACTTTGCTGTTTGTGTGAGTGTCAATCGTAATTGCATAACTTTCGGCTACTTTTTTCTTAATAATTGACGTTTTTTGACTGTAAGGTGTTTGAATTTTGTATAGCATGCAAATTATTCCAATCTGAAAATGTGCGATGGATGTTTTAAACTAATAACGATTTCCCTTTTCTAAGTTAAACTAAACTTATTTATATACATACACTGTGTAATCCCAACTGTTTGGATTTCCTGAAGCCATATAAAAGTGTCAGTCACTTTGATGACATGATCATTGTGGAAAACCTTTGATTTTATTTGCATAGCATTTTATTTATGGGATTGAGGAATTTGCTGCGACTTGTCTGATGATGGTCTATACTCGTGCATATTCATAACTGCATTTTTTGCGAATGAAATAAAGGTCATTCAAATTTGTCATTAGTTACACAGCTTTTATTTGTTAAAAGATTTTAAAATGCAACTTTGAATGCAGGGTGTATGAAAATTGTTGGGCATATTTCCTGCAAAGAATGTAACGTTGATTATCATGAGTATCTACATATGGGGATAATTACTTTGCCCTTTCGATTTGTACGAAAAATAATTCTTGCATCGATTGGATTTTTTATCGGAATAATTTGCAGCCTCCTATTTTATGAATTTATAATTTGTGAAGCTGAATTTGATGAGCACAACAAGACAATATTGTTCATGGGCACTGCTATATTCTTGTCTGTGGGATTCGCATTTTCCAGACAGGTATTACATACCTACATTATCTGCCTGTGAACAGAAGTAATGCGACGGTTGTTAGAAATTAAATAACTCGGGTTTGATTATTTTTAAGGTAAGGTGCATAACAGTGCTGACCATCCCAGAGTTTACGACACGAGCAGGAAGAAGAACAGTCCAAGCTACGATTCTGATTCTCTTAATATCGGGCCCCATGCGAAATATTGCAGACAACGGGGAAGAGACGGTCCGATTTTTGAAATGCATCAAGGATATGTTGCTGGATATTCTAATTGCTGGGAAAGATCTAGTTTTTGCACCCATTCAACACATTCTTTTTGATTTGAGGGCAAGCGTTCTATGCATTAAACTGCCTACAAATTGTATACCTCGACCATATCACCGAACAATGTGATTTTTCCACCTCTAGACTTCTGGAGTTCAAGAATCTGCCGAGTCAAAGTACAACATGAGCGTGCTGCAGGAGTTAATGGCTCCAATCGTCGTAGAGGTGGAGGGTGACCAAGAAAGGTTCCAAATCAAAGATGAAAATAATGACATGGACGAAGCCATGGTTAATACGAAAATATGAAAGGCTTACCCATTAGTGTAGAATTAAAGTCTTTTTCTTGTAATGCGCACAGGGCCTGCCTCCCAGATCCGAAGAAGTTGAGGTGCACTACAAATTCCTGTCCTCTGATACTGCTGATGACAAGATTGAAAAATCCTATCGAAAAAAGTTGGCTTATAGATGTGAAGGTTGATTATTTTAGTAATCTTACGTATATGGGTTGAAGCTGAGCTGACTTTTTGCCTTCCTGGCTTGGCTATTTTCAGAGGTATTTAGTAAGGGCACCATGAAATGCGTAGAATTGTTTAATGGAAAGTACGAGGACTGCAATGAAGCTGTGACCAAAGTCTTAGGCTGGGCACTTTGTTGGGTAAGGTGTTGCTGACAGGCGTGGTCGAGATGCAAAATATTTAACTAATGTAATGTTGCATAAATTGGATAGCGCTTAATATGATAAAATTTGTCATAGGTAGCCTATGAAGCTTACGTTCATCTGCGACATTCTTACAAGTAAATTATTTCAAGCTCCTAAATTTATATATAATGATATAATTATAGATAATTTACTACATTCCAATTACTCATTAACTTCATTTCACATCACTCATCAGTGTTCGCCCAGGACAAAGTGTGCGAAATGAGTGATGTGATAGAGGCTGGATTCGGAGAAACCTATTCCGTTGCAATAAAAGGAATCGAGGACTTTAGCAAAAGTTTCAACGTGCGGGTGAACTATCAAGGGCTGTCCGAAATGGTAAGGTTCGTGGTGATAGCCTCGATCGCAGGACTATGTAGATTATTCTGGATGTGCTTGATAGTGTAATTGTGAACTGGTCCTTTGCTCCTGGGGGACACACTTTAGCATATATGTACTTTCCCCTTTTATTATTTCCTTGCAGATAAATTTGAGCGGTTTAAAATCAGCAAGAGATGAGCTGCTTGAGCACTTTTTGGGCGGAAGGAAGTACGTAGAGTGGTACTTATCCCTCGTTAAGCGTGCCCTCGCCCTCTCCTATCTGGTTGTCGTGTACGGGTACGGGTAATTGGAAACACAAGTTTTAATGGGCTCAAATTATTCTACATTCTCGCCAAAGTCATTATAAAGTCGCCTTCAATTTCACCTCCTCCAGTTTACCATTCATCGTCAGAATGGGCCCAGAGAAAGGCAGGGTAAACGAGCCGTGCATTAGAATGTAGGCGAAATGTAGTTAAGGAACGTACGTAATGAAATTGTGAATATTATGTATTCACTCTCGTACAAAGTGTACTACGCAATGCAGGCAAAAGCACTTTATTTCTCTATACGTAACACGCTTATTATTTACACAACAATAACTGGCAATTCTACTTAATTGGAGTGACTTTGTAATTATGCATGCATATATATGTAGCTCATTTAATCAATCTACTAATTGTTGAAGTAGTTTTAAATGAGATTATGCCAAGAGTTACTCGCCCCCTCAACTTAAAGTTGCTCTTGCTTTGAACACTTTGAAGCCAAAGCTGTCTAGATAACTATGTAACTCCATTTGGGAGCGACGATGAGAGAATTTATTTCATTGTACGTTTCAGGGCTCTAGAGTATCACGTTCAGTACTGTCGCAGTCTATCGGCAGATAACGTGTATGTCACAGCCTACTTCAGGGAAATTGATGAGCGAAGACGTGGACAATCTGGGAAAGAGACGCTGCTCCCTCTGAAAAGTTTTGAGAGGCCTAATTTCTCGAGATTAAACCGAATCAAGCTCACCGAAAAGGAGTGGAAAAAGTTTGGAGACCAATTATTTGCACTTCTCATCCAAGCAGGGGTTGTCTTCTCAGTGTTTGGTTTCGACTTTTTATACACTGAACTTCTCCAACTCGTGCAAAATCATGCAGACATGCACATTCGCCAAATTGGACACCATGTGCTGGAGATTCAAGTTGTTGGGGAAGGATTACTGGCTCAACTTTTGAGAGGTTAGCGAGACTTATGATAATGTCGCGTGCTGTTTATTATTTATTTATTATTTCAGTTGTTATCAAGGACTTCAGTATCAACGAGAAGATCGATATCTCACACTTTAGCAAACGTAAGTTACATGCGAGATAAGTTTATATATAGAATTTGCAATTTAAAGTTTACCAGTAGTGAAGTTGAATGTAGTATATTATGTACGTGGAGGAGTATATATCGGCACATATGTATACACACATATACTTGTGGAGAAAGCACTATACAGCAGTGTCTACAACTTGATTGAGACGAGGAGCCTGCTGTGCTTATTATTACAGCGTTTACTGTTTTCGTCAAGTTCGATAATTGAAAGTCATCTAATGATCCCTTGGCAGAGAGAAAGCTATCATCATCAAGCAAAAAGTGGAGTAGGAGAGAGGGTCGTATCATCATGATCATCATCGTGATTGTGCGACGAGGAGAACAATAACTCGTTAGGTGATTATGAAACCTACCCAACAAGGATGATATTCTCCTCCAGTTGGCTTTTGAACAGGAGCCAAGAACACTTTCCAAATTGTGCGCACTCTGTCCGTTTTGTCGTCGCGTATCCACTTTATGCTTTCCTCTCCAACTTTAAGTCATGTTCAAGTACTCCTCAGTCACAGTGTACAAGACGCAGTCATAGTATAGTTGTCGTCCTGTAGTAAATACGTACGTACGTAGAGAACTGTCTCAAGTGCCAACCAATGCATTTTCTTATTCCGAACTCTCCAAGGACTTTCTTTCCCATTGTCATCATTCGACTACGGCCGACAAAATATGACGAATTTGAGACAATGTCGAATATTTCTGATTTTTCTTTGCTTTTTTTATGTAATAGCCTGCCTCCCAGTACCAAGAGTGACTCCAAAGTCCTACTTCCAACGTGTGGTCGTCCTATTTCTCGTCCTTTTCACCAACGCCTATTTCGAGGCTCACTGCATACGATTTCGACATGGTGTAACAAACTACTTCTATCCCAAAGTACGGTACATTTTTAAATATCTGTTAATGTATGTCTTAAGCCATATTTTATGCCAATATTCACTGGTCACACACCAACAAGCTCTCCTTTCACCACAAACCATTTGTGCTCCATATATCTGAATATATAGGGCAGAGAAGGAGGACAGTGGTGGTAGGGATTTGCATGGTTGGGAGGGAAGAGAAAGCCATGCACATGATGCACACAGGCATCATTTGTAAGGGGAGGGAAGTGAAAGGAATCAGACATCTTTTTGCTCCACTGACTCCGCTTTACATACTGTCAAGTCCAAATGGAGAGAAATGTTTCATGCACTTTCCCGACTACTAAAGTATACATACACTTTCCGTTTGGTCGTGGTTGAATAATGGAGATGGGAGACGGTTGCCCATTGTTGGAGTGAGGCTTGGCTGGTGATGGCGATGAGAACAACGGAATTTGGCATGAGTAAAGCATATCATTTGTTTAACGATTTTCAGAGATCGAGGAAGCGAGCGATTTGGCTGTACAATGAAACTCTGAGGAGGCGAAAGTCGAAAGAGAGCTTTTTCAAAACGTGTGCACTGGAAAATGCAGACAAGTTTCGAACGCATGTAAGTGAACATGCCTTTCAATTTTCTACTCTTAGATATTCTTTCCAGCGTTTCAACATGACCTCACAATTGACGATGAACGCAATGTTTTCTCTTCGGCGCGACATATTTAATTATAAATACGGACAAAAAACTTTGCCACGGCAGATGCAAAACATTTCACTTTCACCCACTCACCAACTGCAGACGACTCCACCGACCGACTAATCCAAAAGAACAACCAAGTTCGATGAATAAATTATGATGCATGTCTTTCTAACTTTGGTCACTACAATGGATAAAATTGTGTATTTTAGTAGTTCGAGGTATCAGAGAAATGATACAAATGGCAGATTTTAGATGAGAATAATGCATGAGAAAGCAATGCACAAAAATAGTTCATCAATCTCTCTACACGAGAGAAGCATAGTCAAAGGGAAAAGTTGCTGGGTAGGACACTCCAAGACGGAAAATAATCCTAGGCCATTGAATATTCAGTGGTTCATCAAATATTTATGGTCTAAAAAGGCGATATTTTATTCACATGCAAATTCACGGAAACCCACGGTGCGTGGATAATCTGAAAGCTCGCAGCGGCTCTGAAGAAAGTTGTTTGATGAGAATCCAAATTAAATCGACAAACTACTACCTGCACTCTGTCAGTTAAATACGCAGAAGACTGGAGGACTAAAGTACCTCTCTCTCAGGTGCATATATTTCATGGATAGATTGTCGAGTGTATGTATATGGGCCGGATTTTGGCATAATTCAACGAGACCAGTTGGTGTTTCCCCATATTTACCAAGTAAATTGTACGCACATCAGCAGCATATATCACTGCACGGTTTTATTTCACGTAGAAAGGCGTGAATTTCGGGGTTGAAATGTTGAACAGTCAAAATTTGAAAGTGGTGACTTGGACCACTTTCAACCATGTGGCAGATGTTGAGAGAATATGATCTGTGCCATAACGCCAAAGGAATTCGGCTACAGCTGTGTACATACTTTTCGATGGATGCATCTCCTACACAGATACCTAGATTAATCTTGAATTGAATTCTGAATCCTTATTCTTTCCGAGTTGTTTGGGACTTTGGGACCTATTTCGATTCAGATTTAGCACATTCCCAAGTCCGCCACCATCGTCGTCATACCTGATGTGACGATATCGAGATGCATGTACATACATGTATGCTCACGAGGCTTGGAACGCCTTTGGTTTGTTTGGTTCAAGGGTTGCAACTGACATTGAGAGGAAACATAAAAATCATGTTTTATTTATTAGGTGTCGAGAAACCCACTGGTTTGGTTAGCAGACTCTTTTCCCAACCAGTGTCGCTGTTTGAAATGGTGGAAGCTTGGGAGGAGAAAATGCGTCGTTTGCACAGAAAACGGAGAAGTATTCCGATGTCCGCAATGTAACTTTTCCTACTGCCAAGAGTGCTACCAGGACCTCGTCATCAACCAAGGATGCCTCTACTGTGCGGCGGCTGAAGAAATTAAGGACAGACGTCTCGAATTGTTATCCGTCTACAACAAAGAAGACGAAATTGTGTGAAATCCCAATTCCACTTTTTATCCTATTCATGTTAAGATAATAAATCAGGAAAAAAGTGAATTGATTTTTGACAGAAATGTTGAGTCACGACCAAGAGATACATATATCCGAAAATTGTTTATTATGTAATCCACCAAAAATGTGTATCTAAAAGTTATGTAAAATATTTGCAAGCAAAACTGCATCTGAATGTCGAAGAGGAGAAAGTCAACAACTTTTAAGATTAATGATGATCGTTAACGTGTCTGCTTCCATGCAAGCATCCACCACCCTGAAAATTTTCTTGAACTGTTCACAAACGACTTTTGTTCAAGATCGCGAGGATGAGGATGCAATCAGTTTTGGAACAATAATGTTCCTTGCATATATACATAACTTATAAATCTAGCATTTCATAAGTCCATAATTAATCAATCGTCTCTGCCTTCACGGTTTTCCTTCCATCAGTGACACGTTCACAAAATCTTGCACTTCTCAACTGCGCCAAACAACACCCAATAAATCATTGATTATAAGCTCAACGTCCCTGTTAAGCTCAGCTGAATTGACTAATCCAAGTTTAAGTTAGTCCAGTTCTAAGATTGTAACTTTCACTAGCTTTGCAACACGGCCTCTTAATTTGCTCGTTTTCTTCTATCTGTGCATGTACAAGGTTCAATTCGATCGTTAGTGGCGCAAAATTAGATCAACTTCTTTTCCATTAAAATGCCAAAGTTTTATTTTACATCTCTCTTGCTTTTTCTAAGCGATCTTGAGACGTTATGTTTGGATGGTCTGACCTTGAGTTGAGCAAAGTGATTAAGATTCATGAACTACTTTTGCCCTGCATAGCTGTGAACTCGTCGCGATTCATGTGAACTTGAGAGGTTTCTGATGAAACTTTTCATCTTAGAGCAACAACTACGACTATGCATATGCATGTACTCACCTATGTATGAGTAGTCTGTTAGTGCGATACATTGGTTTCTTTATACCCACCACTTTTGCCATCAACTTTTTTCAACGATCTAATATTATCCCAAGAATTTCTTAAATCTCAACTTTGTCTTAATTAAAAAGGCGAGAGTGATTGAGTAGCATGAGCAGCACATGAGTTGAGAAAGAAATCTTCTGCAATGAACATCTTCTGGTTACACAAAGTGAGCCGAAAATTGAAATTCTTCTGAAACATTTTGTTCTTGTCAGAAAAGTTAGCAACTCGGGTGCGTGATTAAACTGCTGCGAAAAGTAGGTATGTATCTACGTACATATGTATGTATGCATGTAGGTAGGTGGCTGGTTATGGGTCGTTGTTTATGCAGTCGCCAACTTTCTTTTCAGGATCAGGCAGAAAGCACTATTCAAATTCTACTCAACTCACTATTCCTAATAAAGAATATTTAACTAAGAAAAGTTTCTTTTTCAGGAAACGTATGCATGTATGGTGGATGTGGTTTTGTCTCTCGTTGAGATGGTTTTAGTATAATAGTGACTGCTCGTGGTTTACATCCGGCAAGAAATCTTGCCCACTAAATACCATCAAATATGGAGGTGTTGTAAAGCACTTTACGAGTTAATTCTTTATTTGGCTCATAACATTTCAACCCTGTTAGCATTGCACCATAGTCATCAACCATGAGGTGTATGTAAATAGTTAGGAGAACTCTTCATGTACAGTCGTATGCTATACCTCTCCAAAAATTAGCATCTCGAGAAATATTTTCTAATAAGTAGCAATTTTGTGTGAGAACTCGTCCATGTGCGACTCCTAGAAAGCAACAATAAGAGTTGGCATTTGAAAAATATGAAAAATGTTTCCAGCCTTGGTGAGAACTCCTGCTTTCACCACCAGAATATTCTTTTGGGACGATCTTTTCACAAGAGAGTAAACAGGGAAATAAAGTTTCCAGTATGAATCGAAAATCTTATTTCTTTTGACATTCTTCACTGAATATGAATGATATCCGAGTCTCATCTAAATCCTTCATCTCACTTTCTGCACGTATTGCCAACTTTGCAATTCAATTCCTTCAAAAGAGCTTTTGGATTTGTATTTGTTGAAGCATATATATCCTCCACGTCCACGTCTGCGACTTTAAAAGTCGTTCAGCAAACCTATAAACCTGACAATGACATGGGATTCAACGTTCCCATGAACGTTTATGGAATCTAAAGCTGTATTTTAAAATGCTCTAGACACCAAATCTCACAAGACCCAGCTGATTATCATGAGATGAATGAAATATCTCTGTACACTAATTACACAGTGTTACTAGTAATCAAACGCAGTACTCAAATTTACATGCATATTTTGAGCATAACTTAAAATATGATCAATAACTAGACTTTAATGCAATGAAAAATCAGAGAGAAAATCAAGTTTATGGGGCTTTCCTGAGCATAAAGTCAGACTATTATTTACAGTAAGTGTTCTTTTACTAGGATTCGGCTTATATAGTCTGAATAGTTTGGAGTGAATAGAATTAATGCCAGCTCAACAGGGCCAGTCTGCACCTTGTGCTTACTTTCTCTCTGGTTCATAAGACGAAGGAAAAGTCTACATTTGATTCAAGCAGAAGGAAATAATGTTCTTGAATTTTGGATGCTTTTATAGCCAGTGAGAGTTAATCGAATTTATTCTTTCCTTGTGAATGTCTTGGATGAGAGTAGTTATTGCCAATCCACGTCGACTTTTCTAGTCCTCAGACGCTGTTATACACTACTCGAGCTTATTTGGAGCTCAACAAAGCAATAAAAAGTCAAACGAACGATCAATGAGTAGCGCGCTTCGTTGACTTCAAAAATTGGTTTAACGAATGGGTTTAACAACTTTCCTCCCTTATAATCTCCGAGAAAGTTTGCCAACTTTCACGTATTTCTCTGGACAACTGCTGATGGTTCTTTCTTCAATCCACAAAGATCGTGCCCGTGTGCAGTACGTACGAATGTACGTACGCAAATAAATATGTCGACAGGTTTGTCGAGTTTTATTTGATTTGAGGACCTGCGCCAGACTTATTGAGTCCGAAGAATTGTACAAGTGAAGAGTGTGGGGGTAATTTAGTGTACTATGTTTTGTCGAATTATGTAGAATTAGATTGGCCTTTTGCCATTGTCTTTGAATCTTTTGATGTCTCAAAGGGATTTAATTTCGTGGTTCGTTTCCATTTCGTCTCTCGACAACAAATCCTACGTGAATGCGATCTGTTCTCAACCACTGCTGCATACCCGGCCAGCCAAGAACAAAGACTTAGTTAGAGTTCTGTGGCAAGCTTTTGAATTTTTTATTAGACTGCAAAATGATACAATCTAATAGTTTTGACAAAAGTGTGCAAATTGTCGAAAATGGAACCATCCAACGAGCAACAATGTCCATAGTTTTGCTTTAATGTTATGTAGTTCTGTCGGAGGAATATGATTATTTGCATTTTTATGTTATTTAAGTTATTTTCAGATCATGTGGTTGATAATTTATATTGAATACGAAAATGAAATGTCAGAAAGTACGACGTAAGCATATTCATGAATGAACTTGGGTCAGTCAGTTTCAAAACGAACCAAACTTACCCAGCAAGCGGAGAATGAAATGTCAGAAAGAAAGTCAACAACTTGTGGACGTCAACGTGCTAATGAAATGGAAAAGTAAAATTGACGAAAACTTATTTTCCTTTTAGTCTCAGATCACCATCTTTATAGTTGTTTTATCTTGGCGTCACTCTACTTTCTCTTATCAATGTCATTCTCCAATGTCAATCTAATCTAGAGATGTAAATAATCAAAGAAAACTTTTAAAATCAAATGGACTCATTTCTCCTGAATTTGACCTTCTCACCATCATTAATTATCTGTAAATTGAGCAATTCAATTAGCGGAAAATTATAAGCTGAATTTGATAATACCATCTTTCAACGGTTTTCTGCAGAAATGTCACTCGCTAAAGATAGAACTGATAATACTAATACGTTGAAAATGCATATATGTACAACTCCAGTCTGCTTGTCGACATGTCCTCCACAGGAAAATATTAAAAGTGATGGGAAATAGCGTGAGTATGTACAAGTAGTAGTGAAAGTGTGTAGGAGTGGTAGTAATCCCGGCTTATTTCCACATTGTGCACGTCCGCCTGCTTGTTGTAAATAACCTTTCAGAATTTCTTTCTCACTTCTTCTGTGGAAAACTTGGAGGCAGACAGACAAATCACAAACCAAGCGTTAGTTTTACTCTTTATACTTTCTCACGCTACAATGGACTTTGAGTGGGAAAGTAATGAATGTGGAAGGAAGTAGTCCCAATCCAATTTATATATTGCAATGATTCCAAACTTTCCCTCCTGGTACAGCTACCTGCTGCAGTTCTTAAGGAAGAGCAGATTTCAACGGCCGGTGAGAGCCAGTCATGCTCCTCTCTCCGATGAGCAAGTCAAGCAAACTTTCCTTTTACTTCAAGCGACACAATTCACCAGAGACGGTGATGAGAGTGGAAATAAATGGCATGGTCGAAAGAAATGCATGAGACTACGACGACTCTCTGCACTTTCACTCTATTTCACTCCACCAGCCTTTGATTTTGTGGGTCGCACTGGACGCACAAATGGCAGTGGGCCATAAACCACCCAAAATAAGCTGATTCATCGAAATGGCCATAAAAGAAGGGAAATTCCTGAAGGACGACTTGTTGGGAGAAGAACTTGAGAACATCTAAAACATTTGTTCGACTGGAGCATAATGTTCAAGAACAAAAAAAGAGAGTAGGAGTTTGAGGAATAAAGCAAAAGTTTGAGCTCCTTCGCCATATCAGCCATCCTTCAACGGCACATTATTATATCGTCTCCTTTGAATAAGTTCTTTTCATGTCAACGATTCTGAATCGTATTTACATGTTTATCGCATATTTTATGCTTTGTTTGTAATGGAGCTATGTAGCAGGCAACTCATAAAACTGCATAACAATTGACTTGTTAGAGCGAAAGTCGGCTCCACACGCCTTAAAAAAGGACATCAATGACGAGTCTGAGCAATGGAATTTCAATACATTTTTAGATTTACCTGAAATCCCATTTTTCTCGGCACTAAAATCGATAATTATAGTAAGTTTATAAAGCTTTATAATATGTACTTCTGGTTGTCAACACTACATGCCTTCAATATTCAAAAGTTGTACAAATAAATTTGAATACATTTTATGTTTGTGATTCTGGAGAAAGAAGAAGGATGAGAAATGTTTTTAGACTGATGTGGTGACTGATTCGGTTCTGTCTTTTCGTTTCAAAAAGTCGACGTTAAGTATTTCGCTGATTTTGTCTTTGAATTTAGTTTGCCAACCTCGCACAAACGTGTATTAATATTCCTGATTTTGTCTTTTGCCTGATTTTGTCCTTTAAATGGAAGGTATGCCTTGCGCCTTATATTTATGACACTAATCAACCATGAAGGCTGCGAATAATAATGGGATGATGATACTGACTTTATCAAGCTAAAACTACTTGGTTTTGTTTTAGTAAAGGATAGAACGCTAAAAGAATCGGGATCTTGCCCACAAATTGGAAGACACCAACAACAGATTTCCCGGACAGCTGAACTAGCGTCGAATAGAAGTAGTACTTTCTTATCACAAGAACTTCCTGGTAAATATAAAATGAAAAGACCAAACCGTGTGAATCGGATTATCCACAATAAACCCATCCAAAAAAGTCTATGCAATCGCATCCAACATCCTTCTCCAGACTTTGTCGTTCGAGGAAAACCATTGATTCAAAATTTATGTAAGTAAAAGTAATCGACATGTGCACACAAAATCCTCTGGCGACTCGTTGAATCTGTTTCGGCCAAATGCATGGCTGTTGCGTAAATAAGTAAAGTAAATGTCCCCACTTTGTCATATGTAAGGCCAACCATGTGGAGATGGGCTGGATTGTAAACCAATGTGCTATATCCCGAGTTTGAGCGAGGCTAAGGAATCAAAAAATATTAGCACGAACAAGGGCTCGCCTTATGCTGACGAAGACGCAGAGGATCGTCATATTGATTCAATCAATGTAATTGTGCGAATACGACCAAAGAATAGGGACGAGGAGGTGATTAAGCCCGTCGTGTACAAGACGTCCGAAACTTCGCTCATATTCGACCCCAAAGAGAAAGATACGGATTTCTTTTACAAAGGGAAACGTCAAGTGTTGAGGAATGACTTTGGAAAGAAGCGACCAAACAAGAACCTTATATTCGGTTTTGACTATGTGTATGGGTGTGTACAAGACACAAAGCAAGAAAATATTTACTAATGTGATTATGTATGCCGCACTTTTACGGCTATTCTATTAATGAATTACTGCCTATTGCAGCCAGGATAGTACAAATGAGGAGATATTCGAAATTAGTTTGAAAGGGCTCATAAACAAGGTTCTGGAAGGGTTCAACTGTACGGTGTTTGCCTATGGGGCCACGGTATGCCAATTCTAAATTTCCCCTCAAAAATCTAAACTGTACAGCATAAGACTCTAGTAAATGATAACATACAGGGGTCTGGAAAAACATACACCATGCTCGGATCGGCTGAAGCACCCGGCATCACTGTTCTGATGGCCGAGGAGCTTTTTCGACGACTGAGTGACATGGAGAGCGATGAATTTACACACGACATAAAAGTATCCTACTTGGAAGTGTACAACGAAACGATCAAAGATCTGTTCAACCCTCAGAAAGAATTGTCCATTCGAGAAGATGGGAAACGTGGCCTTCGCATTCCTCAACTTACGGTTCACCAACCTGAAGGACCGCAAGAGTTGTTGAGACTGCTTCGAAATGGGAACGGAAACCGGAGTCAACATGCGACGGATTTTAATGCAGAATCGTCCCGATCTCATGCAGTGTTCGAGATCAGTGTGCTAATGCACCAGCACTCTCCCACGGATCGCTTCAAGAAGAGGACGGCAACATCTCGCCTCTTCATGGTAGACTTGGCAGGGTCTGAGAAGGGAAGTGTCAACATCGTTGATGGGATGAGACAAAGAGAAGGAGCCAACATAAACAAGTCGCTCTTAGCTTTATCCAATTGCATAAATGCGCTCGCGGATGGAAAGACCCACATTCCTTATCGCAACTCCAAGCTAACTCGTCTCCTCAAAGATTCACTCTCCGGTAATTGCGTCACAGTCATGATTGCCAATGTCTCCCCAGGCAGCAATACTTTCGGTAGAGTTTTATTTCCGCATTACGTGTATCATAACTTTTACTTATCAGAGGTTTAGTTTCCTTTATAATTTTTTCCTTCCACAGAAGATACTCATAACACGCTGCATTATGCGAATCGGGCAAAAAATATCAAGGTGTCGTGCAAACAGAACAGATTTTCTGAAGAACTCATCGAGGAGGTTGAATCCAGCAATAAAATCAAGGACCTGCAGAACGAAGTTCGTATTCTGTCTCAAGAGTTGGCCGATGAGAGGAGAAAGCATCAGGCGACGAGAGAGTTGTTGGAATGTCAAATTGGTGATAGTGATGAAGGAGATGGGGAAGGAAGAGGAGGAGGATTTGGCGATCCAGCAGATTCCAGACTGGAGAATTATGCTACTTTACTAGGTTCAGGTCAAAAGGGTCAGAAAATTGTGGAACAGGTTGGTGGCAAGGTTCCCGCTTCGGCGGATATTGTTCAAGACCCCGTTGCTGTGGATCACTTTGTGGAGCTGCTCAAAGAAAAAATTCGTGTCATGAAAAGTTTCACGGAGATGAGTGTGAGCTTACGCCTTCATGAATGGCGGATGAACTGGAAAAAGCTGGAAGTTGACAGTGCGGAAGTTGTCGTAGGAAGACCCGACACGTCAGATACGCAGCACTTTCTGTCCTTCACCAAGCTCATGAACAACCAGAGTGCTTTGGAAACGCATCATCCGGATCTGACAGGGGCTACAAAAGACCTGCAAACCAATCTACTCAATCTCAACATGGAGATTGAGAATGTGCACAAAACTTGTCTCAACAGTCTCGAGAAGGATGCCCCTTTTGTGAATCAGAGCTTTGAAGAGTTTTTACGACACAAGGAAATGGGCATGGAGCTCGGGACACTGGAAAATCTTGTCAAATTCCATCAACAACTGGAAAAATATATATTTCAAGAGTTGAAGAATTCACAACTCCATCGTTTCCATCTACTCAGGTTTACGCAACGCCTTGTGCGGACTTTGAAGGAGAAGGGAACACTGAACCAAGAGACTGAGAAAAAGTTCCAAGCTCTCCTCACATCAGTTTACGATCCCTCTTCTGCCACAACTTTGGAGCCTCCACCACTCTCACAAAAAAAGAGAATCGATTTGAAAGTGGATTTTGAAAAATTGGAAAATATTTTTCATAACCCAGTCATCAATTTCCCCAGAAATGAACCAATCATAAAAACTTGCTCCGTCCTAAGACTATCTTCGCCCACAGCAGGAGCAACATCGCCAAGTTCCCAACTCCTCGTAACCAGCAGCAGCGCGTCGGCATCCGTAATCAGAATTAATGAAACTTCTGCAAAGGACACAAGCGAATCCTCTGAAGAAGACGAGCAGCAAATGGTGCTTTCCATCAGTAGGAATGCTAAATATGGAAATATTAATTCACGCTCAGATGGTGACACTACATTCCGACTCGGTATAAATTGTCCAGACGGCATCAGTTCCCCACTCCGGGAAAATAAGGAAAATTACTGCGACGATCCCGACCCACCGATTTCTCTTGGATCCAGCATCGACAGCGAGGATGCGTTTCTAAAGGAGATTTCCGAAGAGGAGGAAGAGGAAAGACAACAGCACGCTGAGCAGATGAGCAACTCTGCCACTGTTGGAGGTCATCATAATGACCAGAACAGAGGAGGAGATAACCACCACGAGAATAATAATGGTAAATACTTTAGATCCCGTAAATAAATAATGCCAGCCGCAGCAAGTACTTTGGAGTTTCAACCTTTGAATTCTGTTGTAACTTGACTCAAGAAATGTGTCACTTTTCCCAATTTCAATTACTTTGATGATGATTCCCTTAGCTTCTTCACGAACATCGTTATCTTCATCATCAACGACGACAAGTCCTCCTCACTCTTCCGTTGCAGTAAAGCATAGAGGAAAGGAAACACGAAGCAAGAGCAACTCTGCTGCTGCAACCCCCTTAAATTCACTGCATCGAGGAAGGGCAACGACGGACTTGACGGTTGCAGAGAAGTCAATGAAATCTGGAAATGCAACCCGTAGTCTCCTTTCCCTTGGAAAAGAAGAAACGTGTCCTTCGGGGAAAGTTAGCTTGTCAAAGAAGCAGAACAACACTTTGAGAAGGATACCTCGTTTGATTAAAAAGCCACCAGATCCAGGTCGTCCCTACACTTTTTGTTATGACGAAACTAGTACGAGCAGTTTCGATTGCCCCCAATTCTAAAAATATTAATTGTTGTTCGACTATAGATATTTAAATCGATAAGCAAATATGTATGATATTTAAGATTGGCTGATCTGCTTGTCACGCAAATGAATCATTATTATGAAATCCCTCCTACGTACTCTGATTTTAAATAAGATTTATTATGTCGTTCCAAACGACGAACAACTCGATTAAAATAATTATCGTTCTTAAGACGTGTTTTTAAAAAGTGGTCGGAGGGGAAGTGCGGCACCACTCCATGGAGCCTCAAGCAAGACTGATGTCTAATAATAATGACCCACATAAATTCAAGGAAATGGGAGTCTCAACCGTTTCACGGGTTTACACACCACCTCTGCCATCCATCCAGCATTAAGTCCTTATAATGTCCTTATAAACATCATCCCACTCATAATGGTCCCTCCACGGGACGAGAATTCCTGGGGTGATCATTATTTTTTTGTATACTTGTCCCGATAAGAGCCTGGATCCATCCAATGGCATTTATGAACGAACACAATGTTCAGGTAGTATAGAAGTACTTTACACAAATAATGTCCCATTTGTACAAGAACGCACAGTTTTACTAGAATTATTGCTACTCCATTTGTCAAATTTGGTCAAATATAAGGAAAGAACCGAGGCGAAATCTTTCTAGCACATTCCATAAAACAAGATTTGGCCATTTGGCTACATGCTTACTTATGTAACTCTAATGGTGCATACATACTCAGATTCGGCCGTTATGTGGAGAAAGCAGTCCCCTCCAGACACACCTGCTACACACAAACGAAACCCGAAACAGGTAAGTTTTGTGGAGTGAAAGCATGACTTTTGAAAGCGTGATAGTTTTTAGCACAGAGTGTGGAGAAAGTTGGAAGCGAGTTGTTTCACAGCGATCGGGAGGGGTAATTTAAGACGACAAAAATTGACTACATTTTAACTGTTGCCTTTCTAAGGATAAGGGCTTTGATATCGTGGACTCTTGGTATCATGAATCGCGAGCTTTAGTATTATGTAGTTTTATGTATGACCATTTCGTGGTCAAATTTTGAGATGGGGCGGAGTGAGAAATTAGTATTTTGCACAATTTTCCAGTCATGGCGTCTGTTGCTTATTGCATAAATTTTCGCAATGTACTATGTACATGAGCGAAATGTATGCCCAACGGTACCAGAGTTTCCACATATCACTTACGTTCATGCCATGTTGCACAAGTATTCAATCATGAAAATATTATATTTTTTCCAGCCTCTCTTCTCGACTAGAGTTTCCTAAATTTGAGCAATGTGTGACATGAATGAATATCCAAAGTGGATATTACTCTCATTCCTTCTCACAAAAGCTCCGCAAAATTCGTTTATAGGAAATTGCAGAGTGTGCATGCATGGCATATCATATCATGCAGTGCTACAATATAATGTACAATTCAAAAAACTGTGTACGTACCTACGAGTATATAGGATAGCTTGAAAAAGAGTGAGTTTTTTTGTAATCCCTTCACCCAGACTGTGAAATGACTTTACTCTCAGAATACAAAGCAGTTTAGTAAAGTAAAATGAAATTCTGACGGGTTGATAAATTGTTAGTCAGTTAAAGTTCTCTCTCTCGTCAAAGGAAAAAATGTGCTTTTAATCCCAATTATGTGGGACGTGCCATAAATAAGGCAGACCAGCTTTCCATAGTGCAAAATTTAACCAAAATTGGTTAAGCCGGGCTGAAGGGATGATGAGGACGAGGAATAAACTTTCCATACTTTGTGTGCGATATATTGAAAGTTGTGGACTTATTTGTTCCTACATGTGTGCATGAATTTGATTCAGGCAGCTGACAAAGTGCCTTCCGGTCCACTAAACTTTCCCAGGCTAAAAACTACCATGCAAACCAATATGGAGGAACGCAACGCATGTATGAGTGCACAAATACATCGTTGTTGTTGTGTGGCTATTGAATTTGAAAATAAGTTTGAAGCTGTGCCGACCCGATAGCGTTAAAATCATTCTTCCAGCAAATTTTGCTTCAATTCCACGGAAAATAAATTTGATGCGAAGTGTGAATCTATTTGTGGGGATAGATGATAGTGGGGACGCATATGGTCACCAACTTGTTCAGCGTACGCGCTTAAAGTACAAAAAGTGGATATCGTAGCAATTTTATTGCTGTTGAAAGAATCTATTTTTATTTATAAAATGTGAAAACCAAGAACAAATTTTCCAAAAAACAAACAATGAATATACAACACGATAATGCAACCCCATTAGGAGACTTTGTACATATTTTGGCTCCTCTGTAAAAACCTTTCACCAGCAAAAATTACCTACATACAAAAACTCTACATACATATCTACTTCTACCCTTGCTACGTAAATTCGATTCAAATATCACCATAGGCGGCTCGGAGTGCACTCATGAGCGCTAGTGCCTGCAGGGTTCAAAGTTTAAATGTGCCAATGAATTTTGAATATGATCCAAATTGCGTCCTTCCAGGGCAAGTCTTGATTGGGAGACATTCCGAATTCCAGTTGCACCTGTTGAGTTTTCCTCTGCCGGCTTGAGGTTGTACCAAGCCAATACCAAGCTTTCTGGAGACGAGGCCCTCCACGTCTCACTAATTGAAGTCTCAGCGTGAAGTCTGAAAATTTCGATTTCCATCCCATTCTCTTCATCCCCTTTCATGTTCTTGATCTAGAGTAAAAACCGTCAGAAGTTTATAATTATTCCTCCACGCTTAAATTATGAGAACGGCAAAGGTAGCAACTCACTACAATATTTACTGCTGGTTGAGACCTGGACGGCATCAAACGCCAAAATTGGGATACATTTATCTTGTAAAATCCAGCAATACGGCCTCTCAAGCACTGGATTAGAAAATTCAGCACGAAAAAGCCATTTCAATTAGTTACATTAATATGAAATCATTTTTATCAAAATGATTCTTCTACCTGAGCCGGAATAAAGTTGAGATTTTCGTCAATTGTACTTGCTGGGATCAATTGGCTCTTAGAAACGGTGTCTCTATTGCCGAAATCAATGAATTCTACTTCAACCTGTCCATACACATATTTTTGAGTATTTTAATGATTGTTAATTACTTTCTCACTCTCTTGAGAATGTGCCTTACTTTAATTACTTTTTATAATTACCTTATTTCTTTGCAGCAAACGTGTCACCTTTACTCGATACAAGTCCTCCTCATATTGTGTGACAAAAATACTTCCCTTCCACGATATTTGCTTCTTAACTTCTTGCGATACCGAAGTTGAAATTGTGTTGTTGGAGTTGTGGAAACTTGCGAGGCTGCTGCTACGACTGCTACTTTCGGACTCACATTGATCCACATTGGTGTCATGCAGGCCAAACAGCTTCATTTGTATTTTTCTGGAATTTTCCAACTTCTGATACCGTTGCAGAGTTTGGGCAATTTTATAAGCTAAGGCATCATCGCTATATTGTCGAAACCATGCACATGCCTTGGAGTTGACATGAAAGACTTCTCCTCTGAACGGACATTCGAGCTAACAATGCAAAATAATAATCCACATTGAATATTTTCCTTACAATCTTTCTTAAAATTATACAATTTAGTTACAACAAATAATAAAATATGTGGAATACCTTAGGCATCGAGGGTTCACACAAGATTGGAATGAATTTTTGTATGGCATCTTTCAAGTCGGTTCCGCACCGAGTCATCTGGACGTAAGGAATGCCATTCATAGACCCCTGAACATCGACAACATAAAATTGGCAACTAAAAATTTCGGACATTTTGATCAATCTAAACCCCAACTCCAAGTGCGGAAGGCCATCAAAAATATCGAGACCCATCAGTTTGCACTTGATTGCCTGGAAAATAAATCAGCGTTGTCCAATATTAATACAATAGAACGAAGCACAAGCGCCCGAAAGATTATTCTAAACTTACAAAGCAGGTGGTACTCCGAAATTCGTCAGTTAGCGGGAAAATTTGACGAGGACACGCCACGGCGCATGTCCCTTCATCAATCTTGATGCATCGGACAAATCCCAGGTGATCCTTGTCTGTAACCTTCACTCGATGAAAAGAATTGTCTTCTTTAAGCACCACGTACGTATTTGGAACTATTTCATCCTCAGGTAACTGATTAGTCGCCAACTTTGAATACTGTTGATCCATTGTAAGTCGAAATTTGGTGTAGCGTTGCTAGAAAAAAAAACATTTAATAAAAATTGTATTTCCATTATTTCTGGTAATGGAACGAGGCTTGATTAATCAGGGTATTATAAATATAGTGGAAAATAAATACAAAACAGACTCACAAGACTAGCAGAATCGGCAGGCCTGATGTATATGAAATTGTCGTAATCAGACCCACAAAATTGGGCTTCAAACTGATGTTCCGGCATCCAGGCTGGAGGTGGGTCAATCGTCGTTTGTACTTTATTCATTTTCCTCAAAACTCTTCCTGTATTTTTTAAGGTGTATGTTCAAGTTGAAGTTAAAGGTGAAGTAAATTAAAATTCAATGTATGTGAAAAATTTTTTGGAAACTTTTATGAATTGTGAACAGCAGGTATCGTGTGGAAACCAGAGAGAGTGAGTGTGGAAACTGAAAACCGTCGAGCACAATCAGGAGAATGCAAAATACATACGCAGCGTACCCACGCGGCGTCAGTTTCTTATCTTTTCACAATAATAGAATGCCAACGCTGCCCAAACCACATATCAGTTATCATATTTTTTAAGTACTTTAACTTAAATAGGCGTATGAGAAGTTGAGTGCTAAATCAAGGAGGCTGTTTTTTTGTAATATTTTATTTTTTCTATCTTCGTATACCAAATGGAGACCGACTTACATGAGTATATTTCTGGACTATATATAAAATCTAGAATTGTTTAAATTTATCGACAGCGTAATGTTTACAATTATAGGACAGCAAGTCATAGGTTCTCGGGGTCTGTATTCGATTGAGTACTTCAGTCATTGGTAAATTGATGTTCTTGTGACCCTTTACGTTCGAAATAACTTTGTGATGCCCCCAACGTTTGAGAACTCCTGGAAGGAAAGCTAGCTTATAACTTATTACAATAACGGCACAATTAATGAATACTAACCTTTGAATGTAAACTCTGCCGTGAATTTTGTCACTCGTCCATCAGCGCACATCACGTCAAACACGATGGCTTCGTGGCTGAAGCCGTAGCCTCCCCCACTGTTCGTGGTGACCCGCCTCTTCCCAGCCTCGTCGAGGGGCATTTCCACGTGCCGAACAGTCATGGCTGTCCCGTTGTAGTCTATGTGGTCCGCACAGTCCCACTCGGCGTACTTGTCGGCCTGCATCCAGTCCTCATCCTCGTCGTCGTCCTCCTCCCCAGAATGACCCCCGTGGCGACTCTCACCTGCCCCCATGTCCTATGCACCCAGACACACGGCTTTATCCGACATGGATCCAACAAATAAGTAGTTAAACTTAATTAGTGTGCACTTACTCTTTTATGTGTTGTGAATGTACAAAAAGTTTCTCAAAGGTGCAGATTCCTAGAAACCTTAACCTGGTCAAACTATTTATTTTTGTACTACAATCTCAGTTTTCTACAGCTGAGGATGAATTTCACCTATGTACTAAAGTAAAAAAAAACTTTATCACTATTCGCCTTAAAGACTCATCCTCAGTATAAGATATGTACATGCAGGACGGATTGTTGATGTTCAGGTAGGTGAATGCGATATACACACACATGTGTACAACAATAACTAGTCTAACGTAAGTATGAGTGCCCTGGGGATATTTTATTCTGCAGTAGTGTTTTTGTGTTTTTCTTACGTATGAATAAAACCAAATTGCACAATTCTTGGCTTTTCCAGAACATCCAAATGTACATTCATAGCAAAGATGCTTTTCTTCCATGTTGGCGAATAAGTGTGTAACAACCAAAACCTTGGAGTTACAAATGTATATCTGGCAAATCGAAAGAAATTTAATATTAGTATTCTTCCGAGCAACGTAGTGCACTTTGATAAAGCTAAAAATAGTTTGTCCTTATTATTCTGCTGCTAGAATTCTGATGCGATAAATAAGACACATTTCTGGTCCAGAAGCTTTTATGGTAAATGGTTTTTATTTATTTAAGCTCATCTTGTCGAGGAAGAGAGAGAGTGAGTGAGCGGAGTTCTTAAAACTGTCGACCGTGGTGGAAGAGGTCGACATTAACTTGACATGGCGTTAGTAGAGCGAGCAAAATAAATGCACATAGTGCTCGACTTTATCCCTTTGAAATTGTCGCTGTGGTCTCGCGAATCTCAATGGCGTTTCTGAAAACAGAATTTTCACCTTTGTAAAATATGCATGCATCAAATTTTGAAGACACGACACTTGAAGTTGGACACAAATATTGGGATGTCGTATGCTTCGTAGAGAGATGTATGCATACGGAACCAATGAATTATGTATCTTTGATGCTGCGTCCAAATGACGCACAAGGAATCCAAGAAGCAAACGAATATTGTTTTACCATCCCATTTATTATCATTTTTAATTAAGTACATCAATTATTATTTATATAGGTATATGTAGATAGCAAAGTGTGAATGTCTCTCTACTGGATACTGACGAGTTCACAAAAGTGTCTATAAAGCAGGGCATTTGGAGACGCTTAAATAATGAACATTAAGATATTCGTTAATATTTATATAAATATTTTAGAGCTAAATAAATATAATCTATACCCAATGCTAAATAATTGTACTTCAATCTATTTTATTGTAAATAACATTTTAATGAATTTATAATTTGTTTAAGGTAACCTCAAAAAGAAGTCATCTTTATAAATTTATTTCACTCAGGGATAAATATCGGGACATTATCTATTTAGAGGACTTTTAGATACGCACATGCGATCAATGAGACAGGTACTTGGAATGAATGGATGCACAGTCACTTGTACAGTTACATAAATACGAAGTTATATTACCCCGTTCATTAATCTTTGGTGACACATAATTTTCTTTTGCATAAGGGCTTTGGAAGCAGGAGAGGTTTCCAACCCAAATTCAAACACACACAAATGTACTTATCTACAAAGCCAATATTTATGTGTGCATAATGGAATAATGGATAATGCGATCTACACATGTAACTATGCAGAAGTGAAGAATAAGGATGGCTCCGTGTCACATCATGCAGATTGAAGCATCATTCACGGCATCGCATTGGACAGGTCCAACCTTTCTCTTTCAGGATCCAATCTTGAAATTCTCGTCTTCTTCGATCGGAACTCTGCTTGTTGATGGATGTCATTTGTTTTTTTCTCGAGAAATGTGAAGATGAAGGAAAATGGGTGAGCGGCGGCGTTGGTGAAGAAATGAAGTACGGCTGAATGAAGTAGATCCTTTTAGGATCAGTCATACTCACTTCCAATCGTGATGCTTACTTCCCCTGGGAGAATCTGAGTCTGATGATACCACCAGTTCGTGTTGAGGGTTACTACAACAAAATGACAATCAAAGTATGAATATTGGGAACGGTGTACATCTTTTCTGCCCATAATGAATATAAGCAAATCACACTGATGCATCACTCTGAAACAAGATCGGTAAGGTTAGTCGGACCGTAACTTAATCTAACCCAGAGCAACCGTAATAGAGAAAATCACATAATACGAAATAACATCAACAGTTCAGTTCAGATGGAAAGTTGTTTTTTCTCGGTATCAGTTCTGTAGGCATGCATGTGAAATCATTCCCAGGAGGGATTATTAGTTACACTACTTTTAATTCGTCGGTGCTGGCTGGGTGAACGTCATAACACTTTTTCTCTCCATCTCCAGCAGAAACTGACGACTCATTTCGTTTCCAATTTAATCAGCCCATCTTCTTTTGATCTGCCTACACAGACAGACACGTACACATGTCATGCCATGCACGGTGCCACTCAATTACACTTATTTCGCCAAGTGATTTAGGCCTGGCCGATATATCAACTCACACAAAAATAAAATATGCTCGACGCCACGGATAATTGCATAACGACATCACAACGCATTACACATTGCGATCAATTAATGTCGTTTCCATTTCGTGGTTCTTTGCGCAATTCCCAAAATAGTATTTGAAAAGAGAGTTGTTACCTGATATGCTCAAGATGTATTGATGCACAATATTATGACAGCTAACTAAGCATAAGCAGCTTATCTTGTGCCCAGGGTGATGTCTACTTGCTCTAATGGCAACGTTCTACTGTCTACTTAGAAAGTGCTGCAAATTCAATGAATTCAATAATGATGTGATCTCTACAGTTTACGTATATAGAAGAGGATTTAATGGTGAAACTTTTCTTCCAAATACAAAAAACGTCATACATATTTCGTACTTTTGAGACATGAAAGGTATTTAATTATTTTTTGTGATGCAACATAACTTTTGTGATTTGAGTCAAATTTCAATGAAACTCGGTATGCACATGCAGCAATACTTTAGTCATAATATAACACAACTTCGGGCCTCAGGACAGACCTGTTAAAAAATTGGAGTATTTTCTCCTAATCATCTCTCCATTTTGGGAGAAAGTAAAGAAATAAATATGTAATGTGAAATCTCAATGTACAAAAATGTGTTTAAAAGTAATCGACCAGTCGGGTTTATTGATTTACTGATGCTTTCAATCTAACAAAATCACGAGATTTATTCACTTTCACTCCCTTTGCCTGACATGTGACGTTGTTAGTTTTGCAGCATGAGTATGAAATACAAGAAGTTTGTGACTGGGCATCGTGGACGCGTTGCCATTCCCTCTCCGTGGATTTGATGATGAAAGGGTTTACCTCTCAACTACTTTACCACGATGTATTTAGTTCCTCATCGCGTACCAACCAACCAATGAAGACGCATTAGCGTGGTCAGAATAAATTGCTTTCCGCGGAATGCCTAAGAAGATCTCTCGCATATCTGTTTAGTTGAAGATGAAGGAAAGAGTAATGAACATACTTATATCTCCTGGCTGGACATCGACGGAAAGGGACTGACATTCGTAAAAGCATTCCGGCGGAGGCTGGAGGAACCATCGTTTTTTTCCCTTTATTTGCGCCTGCCATGATGGATTAATCACGTGATCGATCTTTTGGAAAAGAAATCAGATTTGTTAGAGATTGGGTGCAATTTACCGAAATGATTCGTATCACAATTCGCTCAACTATAGTTTTAGATTGCCATTGGGGGAAATTTGTAATGAAACTTTGTACAGCTAATGATATGTAACTTTCACTTACGTGCATGTGCGCACCGTAGCCCGGAGTTCCCATGAATAGCCAATCAGCATGCGTTGACTCTTCAATTCAAAAAATCATTATTTTTTAATTACGCACAAGAGCTTGAAATTCATAAATATAATTTTGGAACAAAAAAGTTGTATTACCACTTCTCTCAGGTAAAAAGTATGGACGGTGGTAGTGTTGTCGAAGAATATGCGATGTGTCGGCGTCACAGTTGCTCCTGAAAATATGGACCAAATACAGAGTTCGTATGGATCATTTACCTATGCGTTTTATTCTAAACGAGTTCAGAGCAGATCGTCGTATGTATTTATCGGTATCTGTGCACAACTAACTAGAAGAGTGGAACGGGTACATGATGATGAGAGATCGCTTTCTCTTTACGTACTTTAACTTTGAAGTGTGCTTGAACAGGGTGAAATGAATAATATTCTGACTGGAGCGTTAATTACATTGCAAACTTTGTTAGATAACGAAAGAATGGATATCAAAGGCATCCAGAATTCCATAAGGAAACATTGCACAATATCTAGGTTCACTCCACGTGAAAGCCATATTATGCTGGTTTTAATAATAAAATAATTCCTAATATTGTTCATAATTTCAAGTGAAGGACAGAAAAAGTCAAAGTTCAAAACAACAGCAAACAATCAAGGATTTCTAACTAGAATTATAATTTGCGAGACAAAAATAAACAAAACAAACAAAACGTCTTTGTCCAAGTTTTCGAATCTCATTTCAAGTCGTTATTAAAGAAACTTTTCCCTCACAATAATTGTCTTATGATTTATGAAGACATTCGTCATTCTTGAAAAACTTATGCTCAAGTTAACCAACTACGTAAAATAGTTTAGAAAATGAAGAAGCAGAGGAAAATATAAATTAGATAACGGAGCACAACGCCTAATAGCCTTTCTCTTCCAGAGAATAAGCACTTGGAAAGAAGGAGTCGAAACAATTCCATAATTAGATCGTGTCGAATTTTTAGCTCAAGAGAGTGTGCTTCAAAAACGAAACGACCAGCCAAAACTTGACTTAATTGGATGTTATATATATCCCTTACAGATCACAATGGGAGCTGTACGAAAAGACCAAATAGTTCAAAACAGCAGAGACTACAGTTAAATAGTGGCGTGACTACTGCGATGGCTTCGGGAAGTGAAATTCCAAGTTTCTCAAGCAGCGAGTACACTTCTGTCTTTCTTTTCCCTCAATTAGGTTCGTTCTCAACTGACTGAACGGAAACTTGCAGACCTTATCTTTCGCTTTCTCCCCGCTTTGGAATAAATTACAAATGCGACAGGATTTATTTGGCTGCAGTGCAATGCGTCCTACGCTATCTCATTTTACACGTTTGACCGTTTTTTTACGAGTGGGTGTCCTACTTGCAAGAAACTAATTGGAAATTCTGTACCACCGTGCCCCACAGGCGAACAGGCCAGAGATGTGGAGCAAATTAATTTTATTTACTTTGTTTTTAGCAACATTTCGTTGGAACATTTGCTGGACGACGCGTCCCTTTCACAACTACGTTGCACAGGCTAAAAGTAGTAAAGCTGTGTACAAATAGCGACCCAGCGAAAGTGAGGAGAGCAAAACTGTTAGACTAACTTTGTGAATTTTATTCAACTTGCAGCCTCCGATCCCGATGGACCGAGCCTGATAATGCATAGGTTGGAAATGATTTTGAGAAAATCAAAGACGGACCCCAGAGGCAAAAAAGGAATCCAACGGTAAAGGGAAGGAAAGGCTGACGAAATATCAAAGCGGTGCACGGCCAAGCTGGAGTAGATTTTGAAATTGCTATGTCAAACGAGGAGAAGGCTGTAATGTTGAATGGACATCAAATCAATGTGTTTCGTCAGAGATCAAAGGACTTGGCATCATTTCTTATCTCCAGTGGGGCTGAACCTATAAACTGTTGCTTCAGATCCCCACCGTTCATCCATCTTATACTCCTTATACTACTCCCTCCTTGGACAAAAACATCCTGTTTACTCGTCACTCTGCAAACATCAAACCTTCCAAGGCACCAGTCCATTCAATTTTCTGACCAGTTTACGTTTAAAAAAATCAGAGGGAAAAAATCCACCACGAAATTCCAGGAAATAATCTCTACTTTGAATCTATGACCAACCATGCAGCTGCTCGACTACCGATCCGATTAGTGTAGGGACGTGATTTTATTTAACGCATATGTGGTGCATATTCCTGCCGTACGGACAGTATGTGGAACATTCTGTGCAAAGTTGTAAATATGTAATGCTACGAAAAGAGTGCAGATGAAGGAAAGTGGATTCCATCCTTTCACCATTCAGTCAGAGAGAGAGAGGAAATGCGAATCTTTGATCGAGTCATTGGATGCGAAGGAAATTGAAAGTTCGCATCCTGAAGAGTGAACGGGAAACCAAGTTCGCCACTTATTCTCACAAATATTCTTTCGCCTGCGTCAGGACCAACTTCCGTTCCGACTTTCTCCTGACTCGTCCCATTTCAGGCTTTATAGAAAGTCGCGTTCAGTCGCGTTTGCCCCTCAATGAGCTGAGCTGAAGCATTATCTTGGTCCAAGTAAACAAATAAAAGTTATTCTGATCAGGGCTGTATCATTCCTGCTCCTAGGGAATTTCGACATTCGTAAAATTCCCAATTTTTCAGGGGATTTTTAGGGGATTTTTGATTATTTTTAGGGGATTTTTAAAGTTTTAGTTCAATTTTCCGGAAAGTTAATTATGCGGGATCTAGGTACTGATTTAACTCTTTTATACAAAACCCTTAAAGAGGATTGCTTAGGTGAGACTGGGGTGTGTGCAATTAAAAGGATGAAATAACCCCGTCCTTCCTCCCACACTGGGCAGTAGGTGTTGGTTAAATCAGCTTCACCGCAAAGGGAAAAGCTGTAGACTCTCATCACCCTAATGTACGTGTAAATAAAGGCAGGCGAAATTATTCTCAATTCTCTTAAACTTCCCAATATTCCCTCAAAATTCCGAAAATTTATCTATTTTGGAATCTAAGGCACAAATTTATGTGGAATATTGGGAAGGAGGGAAAGTATTGGAGTTTATTCGCAGGGAATCGTACAATCCTAATTCTGATATAAATCACTTATAGCGCATCAGCAGGAGCATTATGGATGAGATAAGAGATGATTGGATGAAAATTGTCATCATAAATCAATATCAGAATCCGTTGATTTAATTTGTTTTATTATACGACCGAGTATCTTCTCCATCTGAGTTGATAATGCTATTATTTAAACTGGATTATCCAAATAATGCAAATCACATTATTTAGCGTTAGTGATTCTACATGTACATGTAGTGTGTACCTATTGTGCATACATACTTATCTGAAATTGAGCCGCCGATTAGTGAAATATTCCAAACTGAGGAGTGCAGAATGCGAGCTTGATACACAATATGTACAAGGAGATAACGATGCCATTATTATTATTTATTTCGGGATCTTCATGCAGGATGGTGGTGACATGGAATACAGTAAATCAACAAAGCCTTCAATATTGAATAAAACTCATCCAATTCGCCATTATATATCAAAGTTAACTGTGTTCAACTTCGCATTTCAAAGAAGATTCCAGAATCAGTACAACACTTTCTCTTCATTACATCATGTCCGTAAATGCCTTCAGCATGACCGTAAATTATTTGTAACATGGACAACCTTATTAGTTGTCATTGGAATAGGGATACGAATAAATCGATAGTTGCGACTCTCGTGTGTACATCGAAAGATGTGAAACACAACACCAACCGTAATGAGCATTATTTTGATGATATTGGCGTACCCTACATGCCATTCCCTCACAAAGGGAAAGACAAATAAAGTCTCTTCGGATTAGCACACAGACGCCAAATTTCCACAGCCAAACTGAGGAGCAGATAGGAGATAATGTACACTGGAGAACCTCGTATGATGTGGCTGTTGGTTATTTCTTTCTTTTTTTTGCTCGTGGCGAGGGAAGGAAAATCGGGAGAGGAAGTAAGAAAAAAGAAAGTCGAGCAAGTTGCGGCGGTGAATAAGAATGGAAAAATATTCCAAACAGATCTCGAAACACGTAATAAAAGAATGCGACTTGTCCCTCGCGAAATAGAATAGAATTCTCCCCGCATTTACATTGGCACGATGAGGATCAGGGATTAACCTCGCAATGTTATTTCAATTCAACCAACCGCACACATTTTTAGTTCACAGCTTTCTGGTGATCGAGCGACTCCTCCACCAAAAGAGAATACAAAGATAAAGCAACAACACAACAGAGCTGTGCGAGAATTTGGTGGTGCTGAAGCCAACAACAGGAGGATTATGGTTTCAAAGTTAGCCAAGCTTAACCGTTTGGCTCCAGTGAAAGTTTTTCGTTCCAATCTTAATGGAGTGGTCGTATCTGGTCTGGTTTGTGTACGTATAGCGATAATGATGCCCTGTGTGTTTGTGCATTCCGAGTTAAATAACGACTGAGGAGTGGGTGCCCTGATACTTTCTACTATCTCAACCATTGAAAGTTTGGTGGGTTCGTTGATTGCTCCAGATCTACTTATTTAGCTTTGGCTGCTGCTGAGATCGTTGAGCAGGAGAAAGTGGTAGTACGATTTCATAGTAAATTGTAGCATGTAGTAGCACTGCATCAAGAACATCAACATTTCACTTACCATCCAATGTACCAAGGCTCCTGATATCTTTCTTGGGACATGTTGAAGACTTCCGCGAGACTGTGGAATTCTGTGGCGTACGGGAAGAACAAACAGTCCTAAGAAATTTTAGAGATTTCATGATTTTCTCAAAAGCAGCTCAAAAATTGGCATTGTCCTTGAATAATATATTTAGAAACCGTGGACAGTCCTCTCACCTCTCCAAGGTGCTCCAGAGATCGACTTCCTTCCTCGTAGATTCCCTGCAAACAAAAAATCCCTGGAGATTACGAAATCGTCTTCATTCAGTCAGTAGACTTTCAGGGGGATCAACATTGCCAACAACTCTCGTCACAAACTGTGCTGGTTTTTATTTATATGCATTCAGTTCGTTGATAACCCCGAGGAGAAAGTGGGTAATGGCGAATGTTGGTGAGGACGAGTTGAGGATAAATGAGCAAAAAATTTAATTTTTTCCTAAACACTGTCCCTCTGAGAGCCAAATGATAAAGTTGGATAGAATCGTTAACCTTATTCTTCCAGTCAGTTTATGGTGGGCAAAACTCACATCTCTCTATTTTCGTGTGGTCAACTTTTTATGCTCTCTCACAAGTAAATCATTCCGGGAGTTTCGTTTCCTTGATCCACGATCATACAATAAAGTCTAGTGAACCATAACAAGTAGAGCAGCGGAGACCCTCCAGCTCAAAAAATGCCCCAAAATGCTTCAAATCCGGATGGAGACAGACTTTCACAAAAAGTCCTTCAGCAAGTAATGCAAATGCAATGCTACACTACTGCACGACCGTGCTTGACGATGGATCAAAGGTATTGCTGGGTGGAATTATTATTCCACATAATATAACTTAGAATATATGTATATTAGAATATTATATATACCTATATAGCTGATATATAGATATGAGCTGTCAACTGTAGCGTTCACCATAAGTCAATTCGTATTCTGAGCAAAACTCTGATATCCCCTTATTTCGTAAATCCGGGAATGGGACGAACTGTTCAGGAATGCAATAAATTTCACAGCTTTTTGTGAATTTACGTTCAAAGCAATAGTGATGAGACGCGAGTGAGTGAGCATTGTATGGATTTCGCACACAACTCTCGTCTCACGTGGCTTCCTTCCTAGTTCCTGTACACACGATACGAGCACGAAGTTGGCAGAGTGAAAGCGTGAAGCTGAACAAGGACATTTATAAGTGCTCGGTTGACAGTTCAGTTTTATTGCGGAGGCCACAGCCAAGGCGTTTATTCGAATTTTGTAGTGATAAATTATCAATCGGAAGATCAACGTCTTTGCAAAAAATGTTTCAATTGAGGTCCAAATGTATAATCAGTCGGTAAATAATAATTCATCAAGTTAAACGCTAAGCTTTATCCAAAAAAGTTATATGATTGGATGCATATACATACTCATTGACTTCTCAAACTGGAAGGCTTATTCTTACCTTGAAAAACCCAAAGTTGAAGGAAGAGGCGGCTGACCACTGACGCATCGCATCGGTGACAACAACTGGTGTTCCAGAGTAAGCGTATCTGCGTAAATAAGGTGTGTCATTAGACTAGTTAACAGGACTTCCTATCCTGCAAATAAATTTGCTATCATATTGTCTCAAATAAAGAAATACTACTTTACTTCTATGTACAGCTAAAAGCTCTGGGTTTCTAGAAATGATGGTAAGTCTCAAAGCGGGGATAATGAGATTTTAAGTGAATGGCCACAAAATCCGCATCGCATCGAACATAGCATTGTACTTTGTGCATGTAAAAGAATTACAATTTCAAGGCAACCAATCTTGATCATAATGTATAAAGAAATTCAAAGACCATGAATTAAGTTAATGGTCCTACACATATAAAGTATTTAATTTTGCACTAATTCACTGCTTCTATAGCCGTTTTAAAAAATAAAAACTTGTCTCACAATGCCCCTGTCCCTATAAAAAATTATCATCCATTTACCATTCCTAGTAAATACTGCTAATAAATTAGATTATGCAACCATTGACTTGTCCAAAATTATTCTGCTAATAGGATTCGCAAACTTCGATACTTCCAATTTCAACAAGCTCTTGAATATATATATTTATAATTAATTTATAATTAATCCACGCAACTAGCCCAGGAGTCATTCATTCTCAAACAATAAACAACAGCGGATAACGATTAATAATCATTTTGCGAACTCCCAAACTTTGAATCAGTTGTTCCCTGAAGGATAATCATCCAACCCTTTACGAAACATGCCTGGAAATCATTATTTTGTCGTTGCACCAACTGTGAACTACGCGTTTTGTGTGGTTATGCAGACTGCTGCAAATTATGTACTTCCTGTCGCTTACTTTCACCGAGTTGCACCCACCGTTCGGTCTTCCTGCCCAGAACGACGACTGAAATTAATTGGTGGTTGGTTAAGCTCATACAAAAGTAATGTAAGCCAAGCACTTCATGCCATGCACGCATTTGTACATGCACACATAAGAGTTCGTATACGTGAGATTCGGGCAGTTGAAATTTAAATTGGTTTCAGTTTTGCACAAATTGTTAATTAGAATGGGCTGAAACCAACTCACAGTCTCTCGAAGTCCTTTGGGGATATGTTTGAAACTCGATCTACGGAGGTGACGTTGTGACAAATGCTGCAAGCGACCGGGGGTCGAAAAAGCTCCATCGCCAAGTGAGGCGATTCTATGGTGCACTGGAAAATGGAAAATTAATTTAATTAGAGCGTCATCCTACTGTTTTTATCTCCATAAATAAGAGACCAAATAACGTAACATTTCTCATTCGTGGTCTTTGACTTGTAAAAAAAATTGTAACAATAATAATAATTACAACACAGTAGATACACGTATGTGCCAGTTATTTTTATTATTTATTTCTCTCACAGTCTCAATTTTCCCATTTGTTCTTCTTCAATAAGGAATTCACGTCTACGAATAATAAAAATATTCTTGCATGGTACTGAATATTGATTTTGAATTTAAGTATATTTCACGCGAATGAAGTTGATAGTGTTGAAAGAAATTTAATGAACTCAAGTCGAGCGTATATTTGGATATATTTATTTTCCGTCCACATATTTGGTATAAGGCTCACTCATCACCAGAAATGAATGCCAGTCAACGCTTATTATGTGAAAGTTGTTTTTCATGTCACAAGTTGTACACGATTTTGACATTTCCGATCTATTCAACAACGAACAACGCCATTCGCTGCATGATATGAGAATCTGATTCATTGCTCGTTCACTACATCACTTATGCTTTAGTATTTTCTAAACCACATCGATGATCCTCCTCCTCTAATAATAAGTACTTGGAAATCTCCTCTTACATACATATTTATTGTCAGATATTGTGTTTAAAATGTCAACTTACCTCCACAGAACGGAGCTCAACATTTTCCCATTTCAGCCACATTCTTGTAAAACCCGGTGTGGTGTGGAGCTCAAAGTAGAAGATGAAAGCAAGGATTGAGAAAAAGACACCGAAAAAATTCGAAGTAGATAATTTCCTGGGGTTTGGGAAAAAACAGAATTTGTCCACAATCCTCCTGCAAGAGCGAGAAACTTTGCTGAGGATGATGAGTGTCTTATCGGCATCACAGTCACCAGGTCTTACGATCGCCAATTCCTCTGGTGTTGCTGCTGTCCCACTTTCTCTCCTCTCCTCCTTTGTTGTTGGATCGCTATCCATCTCAGCAGCGGCAGGAGAAGCATTGTCTTTGTCTGCCGAAGCGGCTTCTCCTTCATCATCACTTTCTCCAGTCTTCCTTTTCCTCCTCCCCTTCTTCGTGGGCTCAACAACAATGTCCAAGTCCAAGGCGTGGAGCATGGACTGAATGCTTTTCAACCTCACAAACTCCTTCAAAGACCCCAATTCGTGAAGTTTTTCTGCCGCAGACTGCACGTTCTTCTTGGCGTTTGACGACGTTGCCCCACTGCCCACCTGCGGCTGTCGTCCTTGTTGGTGAAGCTTCCCCATTGCAGACTAAATTTAGATCTAAAACTGAATGGGTGGTGCGAGAGTGTGTGGTGGCTTCAGATTCTGCCCGCAGACTGCGATGTTTACATGTGCATCCTGAGTATTTATACATAAACGAGCAGAGAAACCCTCTTTCGCACTTTCACTCTGCCCAGCTCGTCGCTCTGTGCAGAGTAAATGTGGGAGTGAAAGCAATCAACCCCTGCTTCAGCCCTGCTTGCCTGCCCGGAGCTGATCCAACTTTCCACTTTTGTCTCAATTTGATCCGATTCGGGGCATTTGCTGTCTTGTGGTCAGGTCAGACCCTCATTCATCCTTTCACTCCCGCAGCTGGAATCCTGTTATTATACGCCATGCTGGAATCGTTATTTCATTGAATTTGTAATCTACTACCTTTGCTTGATGAAAATCCATGAATAGCTAATGCCGACGGGCCGCTCAAAGCCGTGTATTAATTATGCATTATCAAAGTCTAGATGAAAATGTAGGTTGAAGTTTATGTATATGCATAACCGCAGTTTCGACGTTCTGAATGTACATATCTTAATCACTAGTGCGAACGTAACTTGTGGTGACCTATAATGAGGGTTTTGGCAATCACTGTACCAGACAATCTATTTATAATTTAAAACACAGTACGTACGTACCACACGTCTTAGATATTAAGCAATACCTAATTACCACTAGAACTTAATATGTACATGTAATAATCAAGAGATGCAGTTCGTTTACTTCGTTTACTCATATATCGTAGCCAAATTTTTATTAACGTAATGCATAGTTGTCGTAATTAAAGCCATTGAATAGATTTTGTTACAAAAGTGTTTTGTGCAACAAAGGAGCCGAAGTTAACGTAACAACTTAACAAATAGTTACACCCATACACACACTGGTATATAATAATTACCAATAAATAACAACACGTACCACTGACCCCGGTTTTTACCACGTATCAAATTGAGTAACTTAAAAACAGACATTGTTACAATTCGTTCCTCATGTATCTTGGTTTCAATTCTTCAATCCGTTTGATGAAATCTGACTTCTCAATGCAACCTTCACAATTTTCGTCCCAATCGTTTAGAATCTTCTTTAAATCTCGAACTTTTAGTTTCTTCAAATCCACTGTCTTCAGATCAATCGTTTTCTCTGTGAAAATAAAGAGCCACCAGTATAAATTACACTTAAAGCGTGAATGTATCTTCTACTAGCCTTTTGTAATCAATTAATAATTACCGTATCGAAGTTCGCAGATTGCCGAGTCCTTTTTCTTCAACTTCTCACAGATCTTATCGCCGGGCAATCCCCACGACATGGGCTTTGACATGTCTCCTAACGTTCCTGTGGCAGACTCTTCCAAACCCCCCATGTAATAGCACTGTACATCATATACAAAAATTTTAACAATCTTCGAAACTCATGTTAATAAATCAAGATAATAACAATTTAATACCAGTCGGTTCTCCCTTCCTTTCGTACCCTTACAAAAGATCCTAAATTCAGTCTCAATCGCCTTTGGATCCTTCTTGACATCACTTTCTAAGCTGTTAGCGAATCTATCCATCACAGTTATACAAACTATTTGAAAAAATTAAATTACATTAATCTTACATTCTCAACAATGAATAGCATTTGATACACCACTTATGACGTACCTTCACATTCATCCAACTTGAGAGCTGAAGACAGATTGGTGACGACTAAGAGACCGAAAAGTATAGCTCCTAACGTGCTACAACTCAAGCGTAAATACGACCAAGCCATTTTTGAGAGAAAATACACTGCAATATTATAATATCACTTTTATAACGAGTTAATCAAACATTCTCGAAATATATTACAGCAAACTTACCTATTTTTTATCGTTCGTGAATAGAAATTTTCAGCCACCCACAGTTGTCGTCAACACTGCTGTTTCACTACAAATGAACCTAGAAATTACTGAATGGTGGAGGGGTTAAATTATAATCAGGATTAGGACCGATGTTCTATGTTGTCTTGAACTCTTGAAGCGTTGATCTGTCAGGTGGAAGTGAGGAGCCGAAAGCCGAAAAAGAGTAAAATTCCTAATCCATGCGTTTGCCTGGGATTGGTGCAGACGAGAAGAGACGTCATCATCCTTCTCAAATTGTGGCGCTTCCCAACTTACCCACACGACCGTGATATTCATCTCTGCTATAACACGTCGTTCTACAGTTTTCATGTGCAAATGTCTCAATAAAAATTATGCTGCACTTATGACAATTATGGTACGAAATGAACGAGAATCATTATATTAATAAGAAATAAAAAATAAAATCATGCAGTTCAGACTCATGTGAACCTCTAAGCTCGGTAACGTTTTTGGTCTCAAACCAATCTCGGTTACCCGTTCGAGACTCTAGGTGACAAAATGAATGCATCAATTTTATCCCACAAACTGTCATCTTTTTCTGACCAACTTCAAAGCACTTTAGGTCACTATGTTGGGCCCCTGTTACATATACATTCTTCACATTACACTCTGATTTACACCTGCGTCCTATGCCAAATTTCAGATAGGTTTCTACGACAATTTTAGCGTGTTCACATGGCCTCGGACAACGCAATTGTAGTTATGGCATGTCACTGTCCACGATTAACTGACATCGTTTCTATGGGCGGTGCCCCATAGAAATATAGAATGATAAAGTGTCAAATAATATTGGTCACTGTCGCTTCTCTAATAAACTAATAAAATTACTAATAAATTGTAAGTTTGAAATGTGTAAAAATGCCAAATTGGGAGCATTTTCAAGCTCAACATGTCTTGAATCCTGTAAAGATAGAAGGGGCACCTGGCTCGTGGGGACGTAGAGAATGGAACAACTTTCTCCAGAAGCGAATCGGTGCTGCTTTTGGTAGCAAAAACACTATTAGCGTTATCATTGCTTCGCCAGAACGGATCTTACAGGACTTTGAAACACTGAATGACCACGTTAGCCTGCCAATGATGATATGTACATATCTACTATGTTATCTTAAGGCTAACATACATACATAAATGACAAATGCAGGTTCAGTATGACCGGGGTCCAGATTTTTATTGGTCAAACTCGAGATATCCCATTTTTGTCATGACGCTGAACAAAAGTGGTACCACCGATGCAACCCGTTACGACGTTAGAAATCTGGGCGAGATGTATTTCCTTGCGAAGATCGAGAATGACCCGAACCGTCCAGTCCATTTCCATGCGCAGAGCCCTGATCGCGTAACGCGTGGAAATGTCAATTTGCCATTTTCAAACTACCCATTTGTACCATAAGAGAACCGACGCATTGGACAATAAATGTAATACTCACGCTTTGCACATCATAAGTACTTGTAGCATTTATTTCACACAAAAGAGGTTTAAAAGTCTCCAGGAATTGGGTCCTGTCGAAATGTCGATGGATCAAATTCATCTTCGTTCCATTCATCATGCTCCACTTGCACATCGGATCTCTTGAGCTGGTTTTCTTGTAGTAGTGCATCAGGCAAATGATGATGACAACATACTACTCCCACGGGACAATCCTCCTGTGAAAGTGTTACAAAGTAGCAGATAAATAAATACCGATAAGGAAAGGCAAGGGAGATGAGTTAACCTTTGTGATGTCATAACACGGGGACAATGGGCTGAGGACCCACAGTGCCACAGGAGTTCTGCATACTTGGCAATATTTTGTGGTAACCTGACGCGTAATATTTCTGTACATTGCTGGAAAATATATTGAGAAAGTTCCTTAAAACGAGCGACAATAATTGCTACAAGTTGTGAATACCTTCAATGTCCAGTAACGAAATGGGCACTCTAGAAATCATGTCAAAAAAGTTTTGTGGTTCTGCAGAGTAAACTTGCCTTTTGTTATAATTATTATTGCCAAACATTCCCACGACAAAACTTGCTGCGTCTGCTGTTTTAGATTTTTCATGTGATAAACACACGATGAATAGAAATGCAGGAATTCCTAACAAGTTTATGAATTTCGTGCACATGATGACTTTATTCCAGGAATTTTACATTGAAAATCTTTAAACTATTGTGAATCACAGCACACCAGAACCATCCGATAGAATTATTACAGGTACGCAAAACATTAATACTTCTTATTTTGAAACCTGTGTGTACGCACACGCAGGATTACGCTAAGACTTTATTAGCACTAGCAGAACAAGTAAGTACACCCATCCTCAGTATGAGACTGGCAAAAAAACTATTTCACCAGATATGACATTAAACGTGTAATTTTGAGCTTAGATTTGATAAATTGAGATCGTTTATGTCAGTAAGACATATGTAAGAAGAAAAAAAATTATGAAATTATCTCACACTGATGATGAAGAGGGTTTTGTATTAATGCAGAAAAGTAGAATAAACGCAGCAACAAGTTTACTTATTAATGTGCCCACTGTTGGTGAGGTATTGCGATTTTAATCATGTGAACCTTGACAAAATTAGATTGTAAAGATACATTTCTCGCACATGTACATTTGTAGCTTCAACAGTCGAGTTTTTCTGTCTGTGTCACCTATTTCTTGTAAATTAACGGGACTTTTGTTGTGTTGGGCATAGTCATCATAGTCTTCCCATTTATGTCAGCTTCTTCATTTTCATGAGGAATTGGGTTCGTTTAAAATCATTCCAAACCAAATCGGGGAGCTTTTTTATCTTTTGACCCTTGTTCTTCGTTCGTATTTTAGGTTCAACTGTCACTTTTTTCGATTGTGTTTTGGTACTAGTATACATGGATTTTATGCGGTTGTTTTGGATGGATGGTGCTCGCCCAAAAGCCTTTAATAATAAACTGTAATGCTTTAATTTATGAGCTTTCCTGTAGGTCATTTCTGCTGAGCATTCCAAGATAAACACAAAAGTTGCCATTCCGACACCTGCCAAGTAGAGAAAATATACTCCTTGCATGTGTTCTATACCGAGTTTCACGAATTTCTTCCCAATTTCAGGAACGATTATTTCAGGAACAGCGTCTACTTTGTCAGTCAGGTTGAACATGCTTTGTGGGATCTGAGAAGAAATTTATCCAAATTTCTTGAGCATAAGGTAATTTCAATACGTTAAAGAGTAAGTTAACCTTCCAAGCTTCGGGCGACTGTCCAAAACGACCACCTCGAAATTGACGCATCCAATATTGTACGAGTCCACCTTCGACAGCACGACTGATTATGTCGTGACGTACAATTACTAAAAACATTATGATAAATAAATATATTGAAATATGGTGAATAAAATAACCTGATTATGTCGTCAAACTTTGTCATCAGCGGCCAGTTTCGGTTAGCCGGCCAGCCCAAATTATCAAATTCTAGTATGCTTTCAGAACTGAGGTGAAATTTGATCCCCACTGGACCGGCAGCATAGCGATACCTGAATAATTCAGAGTTTGCATGTATGTAATTAAATTATTATTGAATATAACTTTACTTTCCAGAAAATTGTAGCTTTGATTTTGAATCAATATAGATCATTTTTCCTTGAACAACTTTGTCCATGGCTTCTGAGCTTTGATAATAATCCACAAGCTGGCCTTTCCGAAATATCTCACGAATTAAGGGACTTCCCGACAAATTCATGTATTCGTTCAAATGTCCATCATAGTTTTTGATTGAAATGGGAAGGCTGTTATAAATGCGTATAGATATAAAAAGAATATGTACAAAATATGCAAGTATTTTTAGGTGGTTACTCAATACGTCAGTCTGTTAGGCATTTCACAGAGGTAATAATGTACTCACTTTGCTGGTAAAATATCTTCAACTGCATCAGCTATTGGCAGAGGTTTGAAGCCCAACAATACAGAAATTAGGCAACTTGAGAAGGCCATTCCTGTTCCACATTTTAAAATGTAGATCATTCATCATAGGCTTCTTAATAGTTATGATTTTTCAGACCCAACAGAAACGTCATGATGGTTATTCCCAAGAAGACGGACTGCAAAGATGAAGTTTTTGGGAGATATCGGTAAGGTTTCTGGCATAACACCGTAATTACCAAACCACAATTGTTGGTTAGAGAGTTAAAGTGTGAATCATATTCATTTTTCATTGACCATTGTTGAACGAATGCCACAACTTTCATTGTTAGAATTCCAACTATAACAGTCAAGAATGTGCAAATCCACACTTCATTGCTGTAGATAAAGTTTAATAAGCATAACAATATGATATGTGTGTGCGACTTTTGAGTGTAATATTTTTTTGTATGTCGGTTATTACCTCAAAGGTCTAAAAAACGTGTGGAGAGCACTGCTAACTTTTGAGTTTAAGGGTGCAATAAAGTTATACGAGTCCGTATAGTATGTTCTGCAAAAGTCAAAATGTTGTCGTCTCTCTGCAGTGACGGACACTCCTCCAAAACCCACGTCGATTGATCCGTTAGCCAACAACCCCAACATCCCTGTATTGCCACAAAAGTACACAAAGACCATCAATTGAAGTATGAAAGCCAATAATATCACACAAAATTTAAATCAATAATAATCTCGTTATAGCTATTCTATTTATGGGTATATGCGTATTAAAGAAAGAATCAGTAAGAAAATTATGTCTGTATTAAATTCGTCATTTGTGGAAACTTTGCAGAATTCATAAACCGAATGGCGGATATGAACGGTAAAAAAATGCGTAAAAACACATAAAATATGTCCAATTACCTGTCCAAGTTTCTCCATCAATTCGATTTCCTGTAAATCCCAAGTTTGTGACCGAAAAAGTAAAGTTAAGCTTGTCCTTGCACATCACAAAAAGTCGCCAGTCACACCCGTCCAGCCAGGAGTCCTTTTTATTCCCCCAAATCAGGAACTGACAAATCCGTTCATAGCATTATTACATTTCATCCCAAAATATTTAAAGGTTATTTACGAATATATATGTTACTCATTACTGGCTCTTTCCATAAAAGCCCGAGACTGAGCGACGCTTTGTGTAAATTTTTAAATTTTTCTGGAAATAAGTTATTATTTTTTAGAAACAATTTCTCCTTGACCAACCATACGTCCATCTCTTGGGACTTTCGACGCCCATTTCTGTAGTATGGAATTACGGTGAATATGTTGACAGCCAAACCCGTGAACTCTGGTTTATTTCTCTTCAAACCAACAATGTTAGGAATCTGGTTCCAAATTCTGAGATTGATCATTGTTCTGTATCGCTTTGTAATGTGATGGACAAGAAGGATGACATGGTCACTCTTTCTCCACCCAGGATGATGATGCGTGTTTTTGTCAGGGTATAAAATTCGAGGGTCTGTTAGCCAAACGTAGAAAATATAGCATTTTCCTCTTCTGTACAAGTGATGCAGCACAGAATGAATAATATCCTCAGGTTCTGAAGCGTTGGTTCCGTACGCTAGTGTCAAATCTTGTAGTTTTCCTGGAGAAATGTTGACAATAATGAACATTCTCTCGTGGGATTCCATTCTCTGGTTGGAACATGTAGATAACATGTAGATGTGGTTAACATGTAGATAAACTTCTAAGATTTGTATTAAATAAAAAAACACGTGTTTGCACCTTCATTAATGTGTTGCTGACACTGAATTCCGGCATTTGCTCATCATAAAGTAGTACAATCGGACATGCCTTTTGGAATCGTCTTGATATTCCAATCATTGTTTCTTGTAGATCCACATCCTTCTCCAGCTCTGCATTTATGCTTGTTGACTATGGAGTTTTAATTAAAATTGCAAATTAAAAATGAAATAATTTTGATTTGCAATATTACCTGTCCATCAACCCGATGCTGTATTTGTGGTCCAATAATTGTTATACACAAAAACAACCACATATTCTGTGCTTGGGACAAGAGGATGAAACAATCCTAAATATGTCGAGTGAATATTTGCGAGTAATGATTACCGCAAATGTTATATGTGCTAAGGTTCGTGATATCACAATTTCATGAAGTTGCAAAACTGTATGTGTTGTTAACTTTATTTATTTCCCAAAAAATTTCTGGGCAGGTTTATTATTTATAATTGAGTTACAAACTATTGCATGTGAAGTCAAACTTTCATGTGCAAGGCTCTGGCTGCTTTTTCCAAGGCTTGAATTTCAGCTTCTTCTTTTGAAATTTCCGTCTCGCTTTGATTATCAATTCGCCGTGGTGTCCCCATTTCCCGGTACTTGTTTGTCAAAAGAACAAATAATTCATCGATGGAAGCTTCTGTGACGTCATAGCTGAAAATATACAATTATACTTTTAGCACATTGGTCAAGTGAGATTTATACAATAGAGAACATTCCATTTCCATCACCTGGAGAGAATGTGAGAATATTGAGCTACTAAACCATGCATTCTTCGAAAAACTTCGCCCCAAAATATTTTAGCATCACGAAGAAAGAACATGAGGAGATTGTCCTGCTCATCGAGCAAATCGCAATAACTGAAAAATAAAATATTTTTGGTACAAAAACATTTCATGTGAACACATTTCACGAATAAAAATAATAAAATGAGATTGAATGAGATAATGTTGCAATACGAAAACGTTTGTTGAACGGCTTTCTTAAATTCGACAACTTTTCCCATGGTCGAGGATACAATGTCCACTCGTGTCAGGGTTTCATGCCTACGGTAAATAAATATTTTTATTAAAAAATGACGGCAACCAGACGTAGTTCCAATGACAACTTTTTACTAATTTGATACGAATTTGGGTTTAGAACAACACCAAATTTCATAATGATAACAAAGCAACAAATTGGGCATGCTTCCCATGTGAAGCAGTGGCAATATGGTGCATTTAGTTTCAGTGCATCATCACTCTGAGCAATTTCATGTCATTTTACAGAAAAACCCGTCCTTTGGTGGCTTGTCCCCGGGGGAAAATAAACAAAATGGCAAAATATAAGCCATGTACCTTTGTGTTGAATGTAACCCTATCTTTTCGAGTAGTAAGGAATTAATATGTACGTAGTTCATATGAAGGCTCATTTTGCAGAAAAGGAATTCTAATGCGCATACCGGATTTCAAACCCGTGCATCCTTACCTCCGTAACGAAAAATAACCTTTAATCAATAGAATGTCAAAAATATATTAAAAAGATTGCCTCATTCTGAATGTGAGACAATATCCTCTAGCATATCGTTTCTGTATGTCATCCGGCTTTCCCAAACATTGAGCATTGCCTACAAATTTTAAACAAAATTAAGTTGCCATCAAAATTTAAATAACAACTGAAATAACTTAAGATTGGCTTGCCATCTGCGAGGACAACCAGTTTCGTAGACAATTTCAAACATTCTTCTGTATGGAAAGATGTGAAAATTATCGTGTGGCCCAAGTCTTTAAGATGCTCTAGCACTGCCCAAAATCGTTCTCTTCCCATCGGTCCAATCCCAGTTGTCGCTTCTGTTTTTATCAAGTAAATTATTAAACTACTGACAAGAAATATGTGAGACGCACAAGTATTCATGTACATGACTCACCATCCAACAAAAGAATCTGACACTGCCCGATCAGGGCCATGGCACAACACAGTCGCCGTTTCATGTCGAATCCATATAATTTGCAGAGGTCTTGTCCTGATTCACTTAAGCCTGCGCCACAATTGAACAACACATATTGCAAATGTAATCTCATTTTAAACGATCGTTATTTCGTTTGCATTTACCCACAACTTGCAGCCATTTCGCAACATGAGAACTTAAGATTTCCTTAGGAATTCCTGTTAAGTGAAAGTTACATAGATGAGGATGACGAATGACCATAGCAAACTTACGAGTACGTATCTGGTGTGAAATATATACAAACAAATGAACCTCTTAAACGACCCATCAGTTCCAACATTTGGATTCCGGTGAAAGTGTCGAATAAAGTATTTTCTTGCGGACAGTAGCCGAGGCAGGACAAATACTGCTTTCGATTCTTGACAAGGCTCGCGTTTCCAATGTAGCACATTCCCTTTGTCGGGGTGTCAATTCCAGCAATCATTCGAATTAGAGTGCTTTTTCCACTGCCTGTCGAAATTACAGTTTGTTTATTGGTCGGGATGTTAGTGTAAGTGATGGAAATAGTTTATTTTTAATATTTATAAACAAGATTAACCTCCAGCTCCCAAGATTCCAATGCAATCCCCTTTTTTCACTTCTAAACTGAATTCGTTCAGTAAAATTACATCGTCTCGGTATTTCGTCAGACCATAGATAATCATTGCTGTGTCCGTGGGAAAGCTTTCTGGAGATGTTAAATAAATGTCCACAGTTCAATGATAATACTTGGAAGGATAAGTATGGGTGTCTATAATTGTGTTACATATCGACATATATTGTTGACAAACCTCCATCGATCATTGATTTTACCACCAAAGTTTCATGCTTAATATCGCTGGAACCTACTTGAGTTTTACGCAACTTTTTTCCTTTTTCAGAATCTAAAAAGTTTGAAAAAACCTTCTGCGAAATCCGAGAAGCGATTCGCTTTTCAGCCACCAAAAGTAAAAGCCTACACCAATTAATTATCAAATGCGTTATGTGAAAATGGCTTGGTTTCAAGTGATTAATCCACCAACCAAAAGTAAATTTTAAAATTACCAATAAAGAAACCCAGTTAGCGTTAATGCAATTAGATCTGTAATAAGACCAGGATTTGACCAAGATTCGAAAGTGGGGCTTAGAATGCCTGGTTCTTTGAAGCAAGCGTTTCTTGGTTTGCATATCTTATCTGAAATTAAATTACATTGAATTTATAAAGATTTAGATACATAATATCAGCTAAAATTTTGTGCTAGTGTGTATCTCGTTGGTAATTACCACAACATTGTCCAAGTACAACGTTAGTTTTCATGATGTGGTCATACAAATGCTTCGCAGATGCAAAGTGCCTCACGCTGACTTCCTTTGAACCGACGCACATCTATCGTCATCAAATCGTTTACTATAGATGGCCGGCATTGCATAATATCTATTTACTCATGTACAACTGTCACGAACCTCTTTAACATGGGGTAGCAAGCCTTGGCAGAAAGACCTGCGTGAAATTGCATTGAACCAGTCTTGAATGCCACAGGTTACTGCAAATCCTGGGAATATCATGAGCAAAAATCGAAGTACAACCGCCCCCGTGGACGTTGTAGATTTTAGTACCCACTCAGAAAATATAAACAATATCAAGCCTGGAATTTTGAATAAAATATTTTAAAAATTGCTTGTTTTTTGCATATTTAGTGCAGCAAAATTGTGGGTAACTTACAGATCATATGTATTAAAATCATTGAAGTAAAGCCTCGAAATTTCATAGGAAGGACGCAACTAACGAAGTAGGAAAATGCTAACCCACTCCAGCCCAGATATAATACCGTGATGCACATGAGAACAACTGAAATCAAAGCAAAAGTCAAAGATATTTTGTGTTGTGGTGTTAACGGATATTCTTAAAAGCGTAATTTGGTTGTACAAATTGCATTGGTTCCAAACGTTTCCTTTCGATCCAAATAGAAAATTATTCCAACGATCAACGTCACGATGATCATCATGGTTGCATCGCACACAAAGTTTCCAAGCCAGTACAGCCATGGGCGCACTCCGCTCATAAATTGCATGTGCTTTATCTATGTACAAGAGATTTTCAATTGCATCTCACACTACCACCACTAAAACTATTGAAATATTTTTAAATCCAACATGAAATAAATAAAAAATGCTCATACTCCAATCCGTCGTTCTTGTCTGGGGAAGATTGATGTCCATCCAGAAATAAAGCCGAATGCAAAGGACAATATCAACGAAAATATGATACAAACCAATCCACAAGATTCATGTGAAGTGGACCAAGTTTCCTGAAAATTGTCAATACTTTTAGATAAAAAGTAATTACACAGCCAATATTTTAGTTTTATATTTGACGTGAGTAAAAATTATTTACGGTTGTCAGAGGTAGTGGGTTATTAACCGCAAATATTTGATACTTTGGCTTATCAGGCTCTGTGACCGCGCTGAGAATAACGTTCATCATGGTGTTGAGGATCACGGGAGCACTGTGGAGGGCACCGCTGGCAAAATAACCAATGAAATCGAACATTTCCTTGTTTCCTACGACACTTTTGAACTCGAGAGCGGCCATGTGGTTCTCCTTAACATTTCCCAAGTTGCTTGTCTGACCACTCAGAAGGTTATTCAAAGCCGTCAAAATTCGTTCACTTCTCGAAAGTTCTTTCATTCTGGACCCGAGAGTATTTTTAATGTGGGCTGTGTAATTCTAAATAATGAATACGTTAACAAGTGTAAATATATTTGTTTAGGGGAATATTTTAAGTTAGATTTATAAGCACTTATGATTATTGGCTTACAATGGCATCGTTGTCTGACGACACTAGTGTGAAGACTTGCATGTCACTAGAAAATGGCTCAAAGGTCATATTACGAAGTGGTGGGACCAACGGCGTTGCAGCAAATATTTTCGCCTCGTACATCACGAGAAGAATCAGACAAATTGGAATCAGAAACTGCCACACGAGAAAGTCGTGTTTCGACAATAAATACGTTATACGTTTCTGCAGAAGGGCATTAAATTGGCTCTTATAGTTTGGAAGATATCTGCCGGATTCTGGAGCGGTGGGGATTTGTGCTGAACAACAAGGGAAGGAAAATATTGTGGTAAATATTCCTTGTCATGCATATTTACATGAATTCATAAAGGGTAAGAAACTGTGCAGTGGGTACATGTCATTGCTGATCTGACATCACCGGCCGAGTCACGCCTAACATAAAGATCAGGACCGTCTTTGTCGATAGAAATGGATTCGCAAATTTTGATAAAAATGTCGTTCAACCCAATTTGCTTGAAAGTATATTTTTTGATTCCCATTTTTATCTGGTTTCGATCAAAATCCTCACAGAGTTCAGAGAACTTCAGGAAGTCGACGATTGGCAGTTCTATGATAAGGTTATCCACATCCTTGATTGTGCTGTTTTTCTGTTCTTCAGCATTTTCACCAACTCTGTTCCTCACCAGCGCCAAAATTGCTTGGGCATCTAATTTCACATCTCGGAAAGGCGAACACTTGAGGAAATATCCAGTATCGTACTGTTTCTTCAGGAATTCCACAGACCCATAGCATATAAGTCGTCCATGAGCTAGCAAGGCTATTTTGTCTGCCAAATATTCTGCCTCATCCATGTAAGTGCTAGTTAAAATCACAGTGTGATGATGCTTCAATATCTTTAAAATATTCCAGATTTCTCGCCGCCCGAAAGCGTCCATCCCCACTAAACGAGATGAAAATAATACTTGTAGACTAAATTGGTAAAGATATATAAATGTTTTGGATTTTACTTGTCGGCTCATCCAAAAGCAATACTTTTGGTGAATCAGCCATTGCCTATTGAATTGAATTGTGCATATTTTATGAATATTGAACCTTAGAATTGAGATTAAATTTAAAGTGACTGATACCATTGCAATATTTAACCGTCGGAGCTCCTCATTAGTCATCGAGTCTGGATAATAATCCCGAATCTACGAAAACAAGTTGAATATTCAAGACCATGGTCAAAAACGCACTGAATTTGACTTGCATTCCAAAGTCGCAGTCTTGTCAAGAGTGTAGACGTGTTACGAGTACAATCTGCTGCTACATATCCTCGAAGCTACACGCAGAAAACGACAAATGTCAAAACAAGCCAATCGAAATAAAAAAAGAATTTCTAAGAGAACCCGATAGCACAAGTAAAGGTGTTGTTTCACGTTCAGTAAGTTGAAGTAAATTAGAGTTTGAGAGCACAAGCCCACGAAATGACCAGCCTTGTTGGCTTCGAAGATGACATCGTGGTTCTTAATTGTCGCATATCCAGCGGTAGGGTTGAGCAGTCCAGCCAAAATGGAAACCAAAGTGCTTTTTCCACTTCCTCTGTTCAAACAATTATCATAAAAAAGTGAATTCGTAGTGCAGATAAGTGCAAAATATTTAAAAAATAGACTTTCAAAAAAATCTTCAACTCACCCATGTCCTAAAATTACGGTAATTTCTTCGTGCATTATATTCATATTGATGGTGTCCAAAGCCATTTTATGCTTCCCAAACCGTTTGCATAAATGCCTAACGCGAACATAGCACTTGTTACCTGAATTCGATTCTTCGTAAATTGCTGGTTTTTCAAAGTTGTCATCTTTCCCCTCCCTGATTTCAATTAACAATTCTTGTTGACGGCTCATGTTTTCCTTCCATTGCTTTTTTCTCTATTATTGTATTTGCGAAAATTGTGAGACAATCGGTCATTTTCTACAATATTGTGACAGCCCTACTGAATATTACGTACCCCAATGACATCCCACCATTTCAACGTCGGGGGAAACATTTTTGCCTGACTGGTCAAGTTGATGTAAGTGGCAAGGAGAAAGTAAAATATGGCCGACGCTCCCATTATCAACAACCCTTCGAAGAGGGTGAAATAGCTCGTATCGCCCTTCTGGCCTTTGGTCTTAATATTCGACCATAGGACACCTTTCTCTGAAATTAATGTGCATCCACATTTCACTCACGTTATCACATTTGGTCCTTCTTGTATAGGTTTGCATATATAATTGTACAGTCACCATCACAGTCAAAGTTGATGATATAAAAGAAAATATTGTACAGCGCCCAGTTAGGAAAAAAGAAAGCCAGAATTATGTTTCCAACTCGTTCGATCACGCCAAACTTGTAGAACGTGGTGGGCGCAATGAACGACACTAGGCCAATTAGTATTGCATAAGCTCCGACAAAAGTTGCTGAAGAGGAATTAAAAAATGTAATTAATAGTATAACTCGAAGACAAATAACGTGTATTATTTATTATTTTTGTTATTATTTATTTGCTACCAGAGTGTATCACTGTGGTTAGAAAGAAGTTAAAGAATGTGAGTGCAAGCAGATGCACCCACAAGAGGACGAATATTAGCGAAGTATCCGAAAGAGAGATTATCTGAAATTAACACAACATTCTCATTCAGATAAATGTGTCAAAATTTCAAATGGTGCATTAACTCGTTTTCTAGTTTTCTCGTACTTTTCCAAAGGTAAATTTAGTATGAAGAACCAGTGTCATCAAGATTGCAGTGATGCCCCGAAATAGAAGAGCATGGACGAAAAGAATTAGCCAATGTAAATAGGTCGGCATTCCATGCATGTTCAATATCTCCTGCACACATATGTACACATACATAAGATTTCGGTTGTAAGTATGTAGATAGGATAAAATTCGGGTTGTCTTTGATGTTCTATGTTTTTAATTATAGTTTTTTTTACCTTTATCCCGGACTGATTTTCTTGAACAAGTTGTCTCAAAATGAAGAACGATGTGAAAAGATAGGCAATCACGAGACAAAAGCAAACAACGAAAGTTATCAAGGTTCGCACATCCACGTTGTAAAAGTTTGGAAAGTAAAACATGTGCAGTTTCACGACCGGAGCATCATCAATAGTTAAGATTGTTGGCGATTTCTGAAAAATTGAGTAACATAACTGCGGGTCACACATACGTATATAGTCATATAAAGTATCAACATATGTATGTCGCATGATTGTGATTACGATTTTGGTACTTACGAGGTTCACAGTTTTATTTGAATGAATTTTTTGATGCAAATGTTGAAAATACGAATATTGAATAGCATATTGTAGTCCAATGAATCCAGTTTCAATGTACGGAGAAGCTGCATGCACAAAAATGCTTACGTAAAAATATGTAATGAAATGTGTTTGAACTTGAATTGGTGAGCAGCAATTGCAAATCTGATCATTCTGAAAAACTCTGATAATGCTTAATACATGGGCTTACTTGCGATGCGAGGTTTGACGTATGGGTAAGGGTCCAAGGTGTTGGAAATAGATTCCTCAAAGTGTCGAATGGAGAAGGACAAACGATAAGGAACCTCGGTGACGGGGTCGATAGCTTTGTGATTATAGTGGAACACAACACCGATCGGTTTCCCATGAGCGTCAGTTTCATCACGATGAATGAGTGTATTTTCAATCAACTCCTCAAAAGTTTCCACTCCCAGCTACGCACATACATATGTCCAGCATTTACATATATGCGTGTGCAAATGTCGATGACCATTTATTTATAATTACTCTGCTCTGTTCATTAATTCCATCTCCATTCACTTACAATGCCGTTCTTTATTGTGGCAGCTGGGTATGTTTCAAGGGGATTCTTTGCAAGTGACCTTTCGTCCAAGAGTAACACACGGACACGAGCCATGATTGATTCCGTAAATGAATTCACCGGTGTGAACAAGATGAAAATGCGGCCATCGTTGTTCGTGTACCTGGTCGAGAAATTAACCATTGCTTCTTGCATTGATACTTCATGGAATTTGTTGGCCAGCTTTGTTTTATCTAAATCGGAGAACAAAAGGTAAAACAATTTGCAGAAAAATGAGCTGGGGACGAAATACCAGAAGCGTCTTGTTTCTCGTAGTACGACTTCTTCCACGATATGCCAGATGTGAATGCAGCAATGATGGCGCACGTGATCGCCACCGGTACAAGTACTTCGATTAGAAGAAAAACAATGTTTCGGTGTCGCAGGAACATTCGGCTGAAAAACATAGATGAAAAACGTGCCCAAAAGCCACTGCATGATCGTTTTAGTCGTTGTGCGGGCTTTTTGCTTTTGTTATCTTTCCTGTGAAATGCCAAGCTTAGAATAAATTACGGCAAAAAAATGCAAAATAATTATCCAACTCGGGGCATATAGCAATGGTCATATTGTAACCTCTTTAAATTTGGTCGAGCAATTGACCCACTGCCCGCACTTCCCACGGACGTAGACGACGAATCGTTCCCATCTCTCTTTAGCGATGTAATGGAGGCTGCTGACAAGTGATGCGGATTTGTCATTGTGGGCTTTCCACGAACCCAACCACTCTGAGAATCTGCCTTTTGAGTGCTAGAGAAAGAGTTGAAAGCTCTTGACATTTCCGGATAAACTTTTGACAAAGTCATTTTGTAAATGTAACACTAAAGGTTTCGCAATAAGAGAAGGGTTGTAATTGACTACGATCAAACTTTGTCTGTTTATGACTTTGATAAGATCAAGCTTTGTGGAATAGATTAATGCAAAGTGACATTTGATCATGGAAAAAATGATAATGCATTACTTTTGGAAGTTATTCTTGCTAAACTAAATTTGTAGCGAAGGTTACAAATTTAATACGTGTGGTTCATGTGATGAGGGGAGACAGATTTGTAGCACACGGGATTGCATCCTCTGAAGAGAGGGGAAAGGGTTGACCGGAACTTCCATCCGACGGTAATGATGGGAAAATGACGACTCTTCTCCATACACGGTTCACCCACGCTGAATAACGAATTTGGGGTCTTTACTCAAATTTCCCTTTGTTGTTTAATGTAAACCTTTATTCGCTAATATAGTTTTATGCTGAATGTTTCGGTTGGATGCGGTTTATCCATCCGTTGAGTGAGAGTGCGTACGACAAACGGATTTCATGCCCCAGTTCAATTGAACATCTACATATTTATTATTGTAAAGCCAAATGTTTTATGTAATTCAAAAAAATATTTACATGTGCATGATTGGAATTTACTGTAAGCGGAGGAGATGTACATGTGCTCATTCGAATTCTAAAATGACTTGTCAGAGAGTGGGGTGGAATTTGATAGGATTGTTTTTTTGTGTATGTAGATATTTGTGCAAGTAAAATTAAACTCGAGGAAACTTACCCCTTGACACTTGGTGAGATGGATGATGGACATGCTGTCTGTAAGTAATAAGATATGCAGTCGGTGTGTCCGTCGGTATGTGGATGGTATCAATATCAGACAATACTCTCAATAATGAAAAATAAATTGGATACATTAACTCTGGAAGAGGAAATGAGTACAATGCAATGTGAAATAAACTCTCGTCACTTCCTTTTCTAACAACAATTCCAGTAGTTTCAGTTCCAGTTTGCGAATGAAATGCCAATCTGCCATACATACATATGCATACATAAGTATGCATCCATATATGCACTATCTACTTGCATTGCATTATTATGATGCAGCTACTCCATGGACTCCATGATATTTACCGATATGTACAAAGTATGTCTCCATATCTTCTATAGTTTAGTTTATATATTATCAGATGCTATTTTGAGCCAGCGTTGTGTGGGTGGATGACTAGTTATTGTTTTATCTGCGATATTCTAATAAATCTGTTGCATAAAATGTCTCAAAATTCGTCTGCAAACAGAAAAAATCATCATGCAAACAATTCGGCTGAAAAATTTGCAAACATGGACAATCTTTTAATTCTGGAGAAAGCGTTGGAGCAAAGTGGTCAAGACTGGATTGAGAACTTGAACATAATTGAACAACTTTTGGTTAGAGTAACCGATCGATTGAGCCAAGAAAACCCTTCATTAAGGTCCAAATTTATCATTCGGCGACTTCCTACGTATCTCGTAAGATTTAAATTTTCATTAAAACTTTCTTCAACAAAAATTAAAAATACATATGTACATATTATGCAAATTTGTATTATTATACTGGTACATATGTCTCGTCTTGTCAGGCTCCATTCACCAACAAGAACGAGTATGCTATTATGATCGAAGATATGCAGTTTACAATAACGCCCCCTGCAAAACCCAGTGGTTCCCAAGATCGGCCTGGAACTGTCAATTTTGGACAAATTGAAATATTCTACAAACCACGATCAGAGACTGAAAAATCAACACATGAAATTCATGCGAGTAATCCAAACGAGGAGTTGCCCCCTACGACAAAACATGAGAAATTCAATTTGTCAAAAGAGATGTTGAATGAAAATCAGGCATACTGCAGGTAATAATTTTGAAGTTACGCAAATCTTGGTCAGATATAAAAATATTCAGTACTTTGTAATCATTTCTCTAGCCACGAAGTTTTCAAAAGGTTCACGTCAGCGTTTGTCGATGCATATCAGTCAGAATGTGACATTGCAGCTTCTTCTGGTGAAAGTGAGACTTCATATTTGGGAGATGTTCAATTGGTTGGCCCACACTTACTGCTGGACCTCTTGGAAACTACAGAAGTTTCGAAAATATTTACATTGAATCAATCCCCGTTGCCTTTACCGAAAAATATAAAAAACAAATGCACCGTGAATGTGAATTACCTCAAGAGCATGGTAAGTGCTAAGTATACAATTCCTGAACTTTAATTAACTTTGAAATGGGAAGAGGCAATATGAGACGAGTAAAATTGTCAAATAAGCTTCCGAAAAAAGGGTAAAGCTACTTAACCTGATAATTTATGCAAAAAAATTTCTCCTAGCTCACCATTAATTACGAAGACACAGAAGTAATTGTTCGACCATGTCTATTTTACAACAAATGTTTTCCTAAAGTCAATGCTAATATTTTGGAAAGGCTTCCGCTTCATCATCAAACATACCTCCAAATTGGCGAGTCCTTGAGAAAGGTAAATGCATACTTATTACATAAGATTAATGCGTTGCATACATTTATGTATTAGATACCATGAAAGAATGTACATAAATTTTGAAAAGACAATGAATCGGTAAATATTTTTTAGGGCGTACTGTTTTTCCCGACCAGCTTCGAAACCTTGTGGACGTTGCAGTTTTGGACTTCAGAGTCACATATTTTATCACTCTACCACCCATCCAGCATAGTTTCACGAGTATTTAAACTGTATGCAGTCTTTTGCATAAATCCGCTTCATTTTTGGGAAACGATCAACTCCACCTTTCTCGTCGACAATATGGATGACGGGTCAATCCAATCTCTGATGGAAAATTCTAAAGGCAACCTACTCAATACTCAATACTTGGTTAGCAGTTTTCTGTTCGAGCTCGAAGATTTTTGTCAGGTAATGTATGACAACTAAATGAGTGTATAACAGAAGTACTGTACATTATGTGCCACAAAATTATATCACAGGTTGAGGATTGGGCCCCAAGAAATTTTGCAACGGTGAGTAAATATTTCAATAAGAATTCGCATTTAAATTATGCTCATGATTCACTGCTTTTTCAGAGATTCATGCACTTACTTAAAACGGCGGTGGATTCGTTCGAAAAGGGATTTCATGCACATTACTTTACAAAAATCAACGTTCTCAGAGGAATTTGGAAAAATGCCGACACATTCGAGAAGGATGAAAAATCCGTGTTGCGAGAACTGGATGATGTCACCGAGTCTCAAGAGAACTTGGAGGACTATGGAGAGAAGGCTTTTATGGCGATGAACGATTTAGAAGATGACTTTGGATTTCAGTTTGATGATTTGGCCACAATTGATGACGACGAAGACATTGTCCATCGGCCTACGTCTGAGACAATTTATAAAAATTTGAACCCCAGAAATTCTAGAGAATCCTCAATGCCCTGTGGGAGTACTAATCAACAGCACAATACAGAAAGACCAACGACAATTTCGAGAATGTTTGGATCTAATTTAGTCAAAAAATTGCACAGCAAACTGTCCCGTAGACACAGCAATGCCACATCACCTCCTCCTCCGCGGAGTAAAAACAGACAATCCATCACAGACATTGCTTCTGGGTTTGAAGAATCTGTGGCTCAGATGAGAAGGCCAGACAGCTTAAGACTGAGATTCAAGTTTCAAACTGAAAGCGATTTGACAGAAACGACATTTTCTCATGACCTGCAGAAACAATCTTCTTCTTCATCATCGTCCCCGGTAGTCGTAGCCGTTCATCCCCAGTGTTCCACAACAGCTCCGTATTCCGCGTCTGTCTTCCACAATGAAGGGTTTCAAAATCATGTGGAAACTATTTATTCGACTCTTTTGCTAAATCTGACTCAACTTTCTCCCTTCGACTCCCGTTCCGATCAAATCACCATATCAGACTTGGACAAGGTCAAGAGAGCCCTGGAGTCCCAAGAAGAACTGGTGTCAATTTGGGGCAAGGCGTGCAATGAATTTCCCAAACCAAAGTGTATTTGTCCTCACATTTTTAATCCACGGCAAATCCAATATCTTTCCTTAATCATTCAAACAGTTTCGAAATGCTCTCCCAACATGATTCAAATTGTCAAAACTTCTAAAATACCGGCTTGGGAAATCAGTGGTGATATCTTAAGGACAGTATTGCACCAAATGAGAATGGAAGTTGTTGAAAGTGAGTCTTTGAAGGAAAAGCAGCGTCCAAAGGGGCCCAATCTAAGGGACAAAAATAATAAGTCCGACAGCGGCGGTGATGTTATTAAACCGCGAAAGAAAAGGTCGGCCACCTTATCTAGATTCAGTTTAAAAAGACGACAAAATTCTTCCCCATGTCATCATGATTTTATGCGAGGACAAGAACACCATTCAGAGACGGATGCTCAGTTTTCTCTGGAGGAGCCGGAAATTGCTGCTACTCACCGGTTGCTGGAATGGCTCTGGAATTTGAGATGTTCTGAAATTGGGAGACTGAGTTTAACAGCTTATCATTACATTGAGCAACTCTACCACACTAGGTAAATAATTCGCAAGTTCGATACATTAGAGAAAATGAAGGACATTCTTGACGACGTAATTCTTCATAATTGTATATTTTCACCACCCCAGCCTCGTCAACTCTCACTTTTTGGAACAATTCTCAGACGACAAAGTATTTTCGACCATGGCCTTGAAATCCGCCATGGCAGTGACAAGAATAATGGGAGATCTCTCACTTCCTGTAAATTTTCCACTTTATGCTGCCAGCTTGAAAGGATGGCTTTGGGCGGAAATGATTCTTTCTCTGGCTTCCTGGAACAATGACAAGGGTTACGTGATGAAAACGACAATACCTTTGGAAACTTTGCATCATGCAGCAGTTGTTGATGATGACGACAAGACAGAAATATTGGAAAGGGTTCTGGTCACTGAAAATGCTAATTTGACCACCCTTAAAAAGAAAAATATTTGCAGTGAAGGGGAATCAGAGCCAGATTTGGAAGGTTATAAAATTTTACAGTATGTATTCGGTCCTTGAAGAATAAAAAGGGTGAATCGTATTTGACGCACTGAAATTTCAGTGTTATTTAAGTGTTTAAAATACAGTTCGCCTTTTCACTCTTCAACGACAACATGATAATTATTTTGACATGTGTAATTAATAAATATGTATAGCGGCCACCTTAGCATATCACTCTGAAATGGCCACACCCATCGGGTGGAATGACTTCGAAGATCCCAGACGTAAGAAATTTTACACATTATTTTTAGAGTAAAAAACGAGGGCATAATTGTCGTAATATTTTGAGCTTCCACGATTTTTTATTGGCGAGACTCGCTTCCCCTCCTAACTCTAAGACGTACAAGTCTCTTTCCTTTTATGCTAGGTCCTGGACCACTCGCTGTAGCAATTTTAATCTTCTCGTCCACAATGTATTACAAGAAATGGGAGATGTCCCCAGGAAATATTGTGCAGGTTTTGGTCAGACTTCAAAAATTCAGTGTATGATGAGAATGATTGTTGAAGGAGGTGGGGTCAACCCTTGGGGAGTATAATAACTGTGACTTCCATATTACATTTTCAGAGCATGCAACATGTTGGGCAAATGCTGAGTCCTCCACACAGAAAAACTGCTTTGAACGAAGTTCGCAAGCTGAACAAGTCATTGTCCATCCGAATTTACAATTTTGATGATAACGTCATGTCTAAAACATTTCGCCGGTAACTCTTTTTTAAAAATACATAGTTCGAACAACAAATAATCTATTGTGTCCATTCTGCAGTTTAAATAGCTTGAGAGCAACTAGAAGCAGAATGATGCGGCGAGAAAATGCTGCTCGACGGTACTTGTCTTGTCGAGATATAGGATGCGAAAACGAGACGGCAGGGAATGCTATCGTCACTTTGGTCAACGGAAATGAATTTGAATGTACCAGGTTTTAAATAATTCACAATGTAAATCATTTGTAATAATAAAATAAAATGAAACAGTATATGAAAGAAATTAAATTAGCAGTAAGTCGTTTTAGTAAATTAGTCACGTCAATCTCAATTTTCAAACAGTTTGTAAATGAATAAAAAGTCGTACAAACAAAATTAGATCAAACTGTACGTTATGAACAGCTTAGGCTTTCATTTATTTATTTACTATTTCTTGTCATACTTTAATTATAATAGTAGGAATCGTTTAATTCAATATAGATTTTGTCAGAATATACTTATGTACTACTGGTGGTTCAGTTCTGGCTGTGCATGCATGAAGTACTATTTTGCATACGGAATTTTAGAATTAGTATTAAGTAACAATCACTAGAGTAAGACTCGGTAAGAAACTATATCGGGGGAAGTGGACAGAAAAATTATGAAGGGATACAATATTTAATACAAATATAGTATAGTTTATCGTAATAATTTTGCGATTTCTATTGTAATTCGTTTACATGCATATCATCTTAGAGTTCATTAGGAGGTTGTACATTATATTGACTATTCTATAAAATTGATTGTGAAGAAATCATTATAATAATTATGAAAACTGTGCCAATGTCTATGCAGTTTTATTCTTGGACAAAATTTTCCTTGCTTCAGGCACCCCATTTTCAGCTGCAACTTGCATCATGGATAATCCACCTGTTATGTCACCGTCCTTTAGAAGGAAAACTGCACAGTTATAAGTAGCGAGTGGGTGTCCTAGATCAGATGCTTTTGAATAATACTCTCTGGCCAACTTGTTTTCTTGCATTCGGTCATATGCGACGCCAATATTGTACAGAGCTCGTGCACTTCCGAATTCTGCTCCCTTTTCCATAAGATCCATTGCACTCAATGGTGGTTCATCGGATGACATGGCCATGGGGTCAATGTGGGATCCAGCCTTATTTGGTTTGACACCTTTGGCTTCATTACTAAGGAATTTGAATGCCCCCAACATGCTCAGAAAATCTCCCGTTAGCCTGTCGCTTATATTAAGTTTTGGCGAATCGTCGTCCGAGTCGGAATCTATACTATGCTTTGTTGTTAATGGAATTGATGATTGGAGACGGGTGGTCGGGGTAAGCTTGTAAGTCTGATTTCGCTTTGTGTCTTTCGGTTTAATGAACTGAACAACCTCCTCCTCCTCGTCTCTTTGGTACAAACATCCATCTAGTCCAGACTCTAAGAACCTGTCTTCCTTTATGAAGGGAGTTAGATCAATTGATCCTTTCTGGTGTATTGGAGGGTAGGAATTTATTTCAAACACTGATTGGGTGAGAATAGGTTGCGTAATTGCCGTCCTGGGCCACGAGAATGGACATTTAGAGTTTTCATTTTTACCACTTCCAAGACTCTCAAGTATGGATTGCCTGGGATGCTCTTCAATTGCCAGACGCCGCGTTCTTCCATGTGTTAATTCGTATGCAACCACTAAACCCGCTGGAAGAATTTACAGAAAACTTTCAATTAGGTATAGTTCGTAGTAGTAGCAGTCTAAAGGGGGCCTGCTTTGACGTCATCAACAATCAACACTGCTTGAATGTGACGAATGCAATACAGGATCGAGAATTATAATTTAGGAATTGCAATTTTTGTACGCTATGCTAACTTGTGGAAGTTGTATTTGGGCTTATATGTTTATAAAATTAGTTATAAATTTACCAGTCCATCCAAGAGCGTCGCACAAGCTGTATTTCTGATCAGGCACAAACTTTTCCTCTTTCTTCTGTCCACCTTTTCGAACCTCTTCCCCACTGACAATGGGGCAGTCGTTTTCTCGCCATTTACGACAAGTCCGTCCAAAAACTCTTCCAATAGCTCGATGCATTGTAAAAGATAGAGGTGGTCTTGAAGAATAGTGATCACGAGAGGTTTAATTTGTGCTCCACAATGCAGTTAGAATAATAAATCTACAATAATAAATAATGAACACTTAATAATATTTGGACTTGAACCTTTTTAAATGACATAAACAAGTGTACTAACCCAAATTTAACATTTTCAATCCACGCGTAGATCCGTATAGTAGAGCCCCGTCTAGTTTGGTTATTTAATGCAGGTTCCGATTAGTATAATTATCATTAAACACTAAAGGATAATATACAATACGATATTTTGACGAGTGACTGGGGCATTTGATCTAATCAATGAGAATAGGCTATTTTCACTCCTGAAAATGGTGAAATCTGTAAAAAAAACAAGTGCAATTTTTAATTTATTATACACAACACAACTAAAATAATAAACTTAAGACTAGCACAATTTGCATTCTGTACTACTATATTCAAGGAATTGAGAAAACGGATTAAATGGCTTACCTCATTTTTCGTAATCACATTTCAGTCATCCGACTTGAAATCATCCACGCTTACAGTAAAACTTTTAAATTTAAAGTAAATATAGCGAATACTGGATAGTGTATAATATAGCTTGGTCGTTTCTTTGTTATTCTATTTATTCTATTTTTAAGTGCAACTACGATCTTGTTGCATTTGCTAAGTTGTAAGCGTGTTTGTGATACCACAACTACCCTAACACTAATCTAATTTATCTAATGATAAGTACTAATCCAGAAAAAGTTCATCCTTCCAGTCAGGATGAGGGTGGAGGATGTTGTTTTGTTCTCGTGACCGGAGAATGTGGAGTGAGGGGAGTACTGGCTGCGTAGAAGCACTTCACCATCTTCAGCATGGTGTAGAAGTCACGTGCTCCATCCAGCCGATCCTGCTCAAATGTGGATCAACAATGAACATATGAAATCTCATATCAAGACTTTCTCTCATCTGATATTTGACAACAAAAACAATGACCAATCTTAAAACTGTATTGATAGGTAAGCCGCTGATTTGATTAATTGATTGATTTAACTGCGAACTTTTCGCCATAATTTTGCAATATAATGTAATGTATGACATATTTATTTTTAAGGTGGTGGAACTGGTTTCATAGGTTTGTTTTTATTTATATCATTAATTAAATTATTTACTACTTCGAATAAATTAATGTGCATTTTAATGTTTCAAGGAACGGCATTAACTAATTCGTTGAAGCACAAGGGATATGTTGTCAAGATAATTTCTAGAAAGCCTGGCCCCATTAATATGACCTGGGTATTCAAATGAAAGACCTATATTTAATGAACTATAATGCAAAATGTATGTGCTTTTTCTGAACTTGAGAATTGTGTTAATTTTAAACGTCTACAGACAGAGTTGGAGAAAACGGGCATTCCTTCAAACACAGCAGCAGTTGTCAGCATGGCTGGACAAAACATATTCGACATGACGAGGAGGTGGACTCCTGGGTTTAAACAAAATGTTTGGTCTAGTCGGGTTAACACGACCCAGGGATTAGCTAATGCCATTAAAAAGGCTGCTGAGAAGCCGACTGTTTTTATATCTCTGTCAGGAGTAGGTATGAAAATTTAAAAAATCAATTTTGTAGTTCTTGGTGGAATTTCAAAGATTTTTATCAGGTTACTATAAACCATGTGATAAAACGGAATATTCAGAAGACAGTCCTGGAGGAAATTTTGATTTTTTATCAGAATTAGCAGCAAATTGGGAAAATGCATCGAAACTTGACACACCAGATTGTCAAAATGTTCGAAGAGTTGTTATACGATCAGGTATGAATACATACATCATTTTATATGACAGGTCGTTTTTTATCACAATGAACTTGTTATCTCGACAATTGTCGAAAACACATTGATATGACTTTTTAACGTTTAGGTGTGGTGGTTGGAAGAAATGGAGGAGTTGTGCAGCAAATGTATTGGCCTTTTTACTTTGGGGTAGGAGGACCCGTTGCATCTGGACAACAATATTTCCCCTGGATTCATATATCCGATATTGTTGGTTTAATAGTATTTGCGATTGAAAACAAAAATGTGGATGGGATAATGAACGGGGTTGCTCCTCAAGTTATCTCCAACAAGGATTTCGCATCAGCCCTGGGTCGAGCTATGTGGCGTCCTGCAATTTTGCCATTGCCGGCGTTTGTTTTAAATGCTGCATTTAGTGAAGAAAGAGCCAAAATAATGACAGAAGGTCAAAAAGTAATACCGAAGAGAACGGAAGAGCTAGGTTATAAATTTAAATATCGCGATATTGACTCTGCATGTCGAGAGTGTATCAGAGTTACCTGATTAACAATCAATGGTTATTAGACATTATTTATGAATACATGTATATTATGAACGAGTATAACGCATAATTTCTTATAGATATTTGATGATTTTAATTGTAGACAAAATAATAAACATGCAATTTTTAAAATACTGGCAGATCGCCAACAACATCCATAAGTTCATGCTCTTCTTCTAATAGTGAATCATTTTGTTGATTATCATCAACATCTTCATTATTACTTTGTATCAGTGTGTCACTGTCATCGAGGCTAATTTTTCTCTTTAGATTCGGCCTTTCAGTGCTAAGAACAGCGTCTTCTTCTGCGACGAACGTGGGTGCATCATCAAATTCTTCCTCAAAATCCCAATCAAATTTTGATGTTAAAAATGCTGAAAATCTTTCTACCTTGTTCTTTAATTTGCTGTCCACTTTTTCATGTTCTTTAATGTTATTGACTAAGCGTTGCATACAACTGAAAAGAAAATTATTGCTTGCAACAATGTCGACAAAAAAATCTTCTGGAATTTCTCGAATTTGAAAATAGAGATCGGACACAAAATCGTAGTAAAGGGATGGATATTTTAAAATGGCGTCATCACTGTGACATAGTAATTGCGTTAAACACTTCCAATGTTCAAAAGAATCATAGTGCTGTCCAACCAAAAATGTAACAAATGCAAATTGAAGCTCAGCTAGGTAATCTGACGGCCTGAAATATAGTAAACAGCTTTGTATTAGATTGATTACGAAAAATAATCAATTTTGTGTCAATCAATATAATATTGAAGGTAAAAAGTATGTTAATATTCAATATTACGTTCCAATGGTCTCAATAACTTGTTGCAATTTCCAACTGTGGTCCAACTGAAATTTACTAATTTGTTGTGGGGATGAACCGTCTGGGAAAGTTTGCGATGGGATGGAAGTATATTTAATCTTGGACTCAATGTTTTCAGTCATTCTTGGTAAAGCATTTTCAGCTTCTTCTAATTTTGTCATTTTCCGTCTGGAAGTGCTAGGCTTGGTTTGATCCGCGTCCAGTGTGAGTTCTGGTGCAGATAGGATCCTCCCACTTGGTGGTGAAAGTCTTTTTAGTGAATCCACTGAAACACGACACGTATAATAAATAACCAAGTCCTGTCCATCCTAATAATTATATATATATAATATATACCTACCGGTAATTCTATTGGTGAGAGATACCCAAGTCCTCCATAAATTGTAGGGGTACGCTCCTAAGTAGCGATCCATTTCTTCCAGTCCATTCTGCATTCTAATGCAGTCCTCATCTGCAACTTCTAAAACATTGACATATGAACCAGTGAATGATGCATTACATTATTTCTTCATTATTAGTATTATCCTTACTGTCAGGAGAAATGTCCTCTGCTCTTTGGTCGTACTGTTTTGCAAGAAACTCTTTCTTTTCGAAAAAGTGGAAAAACCCCGTCCTTGGAGCCGTATTTTGATGATCCTTACTCACTGCACTGTTATAATAATAATACAATATGACAAAACGTCAACTATACGAATGATGCGATAACAATAATTATTTATTATAGTCATTGGCTCACCTAAAGTAGACAAAGTGGAGGCCGGGAGGGATCATCTTAATTCCACGGAATCTTTCTCCCGTGTTCCAGCTCTCCATGTCGATGCCCACCTCAGTGCCGATGGGGACGTCCAAGAGGACAAACGTTGCTCCCTCCTTGAACAGGCGAAGGCTCACTTCCGGTGACATCTCCAACCCTCCGCTCCGTCCAGCACTAGCACCACTAGTTTGTGGGGTCGACGCTGAGGTTGAAGGACACTCCATATTCTCCATTCAACAATCTTAGAGGAAATAAATGAAGATTAATTAGCAACTAAGTTGACAATGTACATTGCACAAATTGCAATGCAATTCACGAGAGCAAACGTAAACTTGCAACTTTTCAGATGTCCGATTCCCCCTGAACATTTAGTGGCAAGTTTCCCCAGTTCTACAGAGTGCCCCGACAGTCTCATTTTTCTCCTTCTTCTCAATCCAGCCAGTGTGAATTGAATGCATTTCATATTCATCTCATTTTCCCCATCATATTTACGCTATTGTCGTATCAGACAGAATAAACTCAAACGAAATAATTGAAGTGCATGATATGTATAAAACTTGGTAATTGGCGATTGAAAAAAATGTATGGTTTGGTTAATGAGTTGCTCGTTAGTATTTCATAACTTGCTCTGCATGCAGAGCCGGTTGGCAAAAAGAATCAGCCTTTTGCACCCAGTTATCATCAACAGTAGAAGTAAGTCATTATTTTTAGAGAATCCACAGAATTCCTTCAATTTTGCAGACCGTACAAGTGGACACGAGGCACATGTAGACGTATCGAATCAATCCAGTAAAATGGTAGTCTAGGTACATGCTATTGGCTGGGATTGCATAACACTTGGGCACGTTTGGCAAGTCGTCTAAATAGTTGCCACCATCAGCGGCTCTCCTTGGTACAAGAAGCTGGACAATAATTTGTACTCTGCTGCTGGAGAATATTCTTTAACGCACTGGATGGCTGCCCAACCAAACCTGACTTTAACCAACAATTTAGCAGCCACGCCACAATAAATTATGTCTTGTCTTGGAGGCGAGGAGGCCAAATCGTCTTTTGGCATGACGCATCTAGGTATGCAGCCGTTTAATTGGGATGTAATGGGATATTCAACTTGATTAGCAATATGAACCTGCCTTTGGTTTATGCTTTTGTCATTTGTGGGTAGAATTCCTTACGGAGGTGCAAAAGTGGAATATGGGTGGCTGGGCTAGATAAACCAATATTTACGAATACCTAGGACTGCATGAACCAGCTCATCAGAATCCATTGCATAACACCTTTTTAACGTCGTATGCAGATGCGTCGGGACTTTCAATCGTGGTTCTACACATGAAAAGTATGTATAGAAATAAATAAAAAATGACGTACAGTGCTAATTAGGTGTATAAAAGTGTTACTTCTGGGTTGGGAACCTGAGAAATTGTAAGAAAATAATCCAAAGCTAAAATTAGCAATTAGGTCTTGGATTTTACACTTTATAATAAATTAAAAGTAATGAGCTCACATTGCTCACAAGAATATTATTTACGTTGATGCATGTGACATAACAGGTTGGTCTCTGTGTTTGTGTCTATGTTGTGAATGTAGATATTATGATATGTGATGACATCAACAAAGACTGAGAACCATTTTTGAGATCTATTATGGAAAACCAGAACCAGAAATACTTTTATTACACACACCAGCCAACTAAGGAAATAATGAAACAGAGATTTCGAAACATTTCACATCATCAATTCCATAATAGAACGAGCTGTTTCGTTTGTTGTATTTTGGTAACCTTCATATTTAATTATTCAGAGCTTTGTACATTTGAATGCTGGTCTAACCCGGAACAGTTGGTGCACAGTGTTTGCGATTAAAAAGCATGTTTAATGCTGCTTCTCATCACACTTGAAACTGTAGATGGATTCGTATGCAAAGTTATTTATGTGTATTACACATTTTAAACAGAACTTCCTTTCCAAGCGTCTGGCTCGTTGCATTGGTTGGTATTAAGCAACATGTTGAAAACAAAATATTTTTTTGAATTCTCAATCTTTATATTGATTGATTACTAAAACTAATAAATCACCATGAATGGGAATATTTTTATGTTTTGCTTTTGGACACATCTGGACATGTTGAACAGGACACATGAACAGGTTGACCCGCATATGTCATCATGGTCAGCAATTGTTGACTGTCAAAGTCAATAATGAGCACAAGGTTGATTTTGAAAATGACCAGGTTTGACCCGCGGTTGACATTTTGTACAATGTTTTACAACCACAAGTGTGCATTCATAGATATGTAATATTGCATAAAATGATTTCTAAAAATCATGCTCAAAAATTAACTTTTTGGGCAGGTTTGCACCAACAAAATTTTCATTGGTTGATTTTCTGCTTAACAGTTGCACTATTATTAACGGCAAGACACAAGACGACTAATTGGGAACAACAATGAAGCAGTGTAATGCAATATACAATGAATTAATGTTAATGAGTTTGAAATTTAGTTACAAATTTTCTCATGCAGTTTAATAACGCGATGAACAGCAAGTTCATGCCATAGATTCATGCATGCATTTAGGATTAGCTCAACAGCAATAATTCTATGATACTGTGGTTAAATTTCAAGTGACCGTGGAAAATTAAGCAATTATCAGTATCAGGGAGGACATTATAGCATTGTTTATAATTAGCCAACTCTTTGTTTCATAGAAATTATTTAATAATGCACCAGAGCGAAGGATGTGCATTAGATTATCAGTCTCATGTTATTAACTGTAAAATTTTTATAAAATTGCGTGTTGACCAAGTTAATGAGGTATTCATCCAGCTATTCTCCAAAAGGTTATGGGTATCATTGGGGACTGGGAGTCTTGTTCAATGTAAAACATAAAGTCATTCATACGATCACCATGCAGGAAAAGTATGTAAATAAAGTGAATTGTGATTCCAGAGATTGAAATTGGAGTCTTCTTACTGATATGCACACATATGCCGCAGTTCGTCATGTACAATTTATAATGTAAAATACACTCATCATGCTCCAGAACCTGGCGAAGACCAGGAAGTAAAACACAGTTAAGTAGTACAGTACAGGTGCCTTTTCATGAACCTTATCGTCCATTGACGTCCATATCATTGACGCCAAAAGTTTTATGCATAATAGGAATACTCGGTCCCAGATTCTTATCCAGAATGAACCAGAAAAAATACATTTCCTCGATGTCAACTGTCTTGGTCTAGTTTTCCATCTGATGTCTCAATTGCCGGTTTTCTGTACATTTGTAGAAAAATGATAATGTGTGTGTTTTCCAGAGCATATATATTCAGCATTGTTGTTGGTCTACCGTTTAGATTATGTAAATAGTAGTTGTGTGATGAAACTCGTATGGTTTCATCAGAAATCCAGAATATTTGTTTGTTTTGTTTGTTTTGTACGTTGCAGGTGTGCTTGTGTTGCGGCTTTCTTTCCTCCCTCAACAAACACCACATAAAAGTTTGTTTTGTTTATCATTCATTGGATTACTTAATGTGTTCACCCGTTGAGTACTTTTTTTGCCGATGAGAGACATGTATGTGTTAAGCAGTACTTTAAAATCTGCTGTGTGCATTATCTAATTATTGCATTAAGGATTATAGCACTGTGCATAATATTGCACTGACAATGCAATGTGATTCTTGCATACATGTTGTGTTCTCATATTACATTCCATGGAACTTGATGAATGAGGATTATGAGACTTTTTTTACTATTGAACTACGATTACTCATTCTATTCATTCCTTTTTACTTCATATTATCCAATTAATATTTGACCCAGTCCTTTTTATTTATACCTCAAAATACGAACCTGTTCAAGTATTTTTTTTATCAAGGAACCTCTTAGATTTTCCAGTTCGTAGGAATATACAAGCCACTCTTTTACATGCTGCACGGCGGATATACATATTTCTATAAATCCCAGCGTATTCTGCCTAAATGAGACTACTATAATATTGGCAGCCACTGGCTTTGGACCTCAGTCAGACTCTGGAATTGTTACGTCAAACGCTGAACTGAACCTGTCCTTGCAGAAAAGCAGCGTCGTCCGCTGAAAGTGAGACTGGTTTGGATGACCAGCATACAAGGCGTACGTGAGGTTATGCAATCATAAACGCGTGTGTTACCTTAAAACCTCGCACACCAGGGATCATCGATTGCCTACCTAAAGTAAAAGTGATAACAATACGAAGAACTCGCTTTACCGAGTAACGCGATTGACGCCAACAACTTTCCTCGTGAGACAGGATTACAAATTTTTGGACATTGGGTTTTAAGCAGGTTTTGGTTAAAAGTGAGATAAGTTTAGTGTCTCTGTTCACATTGATCAATTAATAGTTGATTAATTAGACAATAATATGGATTTCCAACACAAGAAAGATTTTGAAAATAAAAGAGAAACTGCCGGTGTCGTCTCTCGTCTGTTTTTCTTCTGGATTGTGCCCTTGTTTTGGAAGGGGAGGAAGAAGGAGATCGATATTGATGATTTGGCTAATGTACCAGACGTGAGCAAGTCAGAACCACTGTGTCAGCAATTACAAGAGTAAGGAAAATTAGTCATTAAAAATAAGATATGTCTTGTCTCATGCTTGATTCAGATATGATTATATGTTTTTTTTTCATAATTTCAGCACGTGGGACAAGGAATGTGCAAAATCTTTCAAAGATTCAAATAAAAGGCCAAATCTTTTCAATGCATTTCTTAAGACTTTTGGAAGACGGTACTTTTCATACGTTGCAGTATTTGCAATTGATGGATGGGTTGTAAGGTATGGCATGCAGACACATTTATTTACATACAAGTACATAAGAGTCATACTAAAATCAAAGTTACGTTCATATCGTTGTGGAAAACTGTTGAGAAATTTTCCGTGGCTTTTGTAGAATTGCTCAGCCCTTGTTCCTCAAGTATTTCATACGCTCTTTCAATGATAAGACTGTGACAATTCAATGGCAATGTGCGTACGCTGCCGGCGTATGCTTGTCCACGATCCTTCACATTTTGTTCAATCATCCTACTGGTAAATCACTTTTAATATCATGTTACTTTATTTGCATACGTGTGGTTAAACTACAATTAAGCACAATTAAACGTTTAATTTATAAATCACAGGTTTCAAACTTTGTGAACAAGGAATGCGTAAGAAGAGTGTTCATGCAATCATTAAATAAATAGTTTCATAAAAATTGGTACATAATTATTATTATAAATTTGCTTCCAAAGGTTGTCGTGTTGCGGTGTCATCACTGATTTATCGAAAGGTATGAATCTAAATATGTGTCTACATACACTAACCATACATGGATATTTATAAATATTTCTAAGCAAGTTCAAGTGCTATTGTTACATAATGATTAATAGGCACTAAGGCTCAGCAAAGCGGCTGAAGGAAAATCATCTGTGGGCCAAATCGTCAATTTGTTGAGCAATGATGCGTCAAGATTCGATTACAATCTGCATTTTATCGCGTTTCTATTTGTGGGCCCAGTTCAACTCTTGTTATTCTTTTACCTGTTGTGGGAGGAGCTCGGTTTGGCGTGTCTCGCTGGAGTTGGATACATTGTCTTGCTGTCCCCCAGCCAGTGTAATATTTTTAACATTATTCTAAAGTGTCATAGATGCGTATCTCCATGTATCTATATCGCAGAGCTATGCATTCTTCGTATGTATATATTTACATGTGTATGGCAGCACAAAAAATTCTGAAGTCGAGCCTAAAACAAAACTTTGTTCAAGGCAAAACACGGATTACCATTCAATCGATTGTCTCATGCTTTTAACAAAAACGAAATTAATGCTCTCCAGGTCCATGACAGAATTATTGAACTAGATTTTTCTAGATTTCATTGGAAAGCTCTCTGCCATTTTTCGTGTCCAAATTGCAAATCAGACCGATTCGCGGAGCAAAATAATGAGTGAGATCATTGTGGCTATGAGGCTGATTAAAATGTACGGCTGGGAAAAGCCTTTTGCTGCCTTGGTCAAGAAGATCAGACTGTGAGCCTCTTTACATTTGCATTATTGCGAACAATGAGAATTGAATGTCATTGTCACTGTATAAAAAACGGCATTGATATTGGACTGCCCTACATATTATAGGTTCGAGGTCAAAGCGTTGAAGAAGAGATCTTACCTGAGAGCCTGTTTTATGGGTAAAGCAACAATTGCCACCTCTCAATCGCGTCTCATGCATTTATTTATTTGTGATGTAATTCTCGTTTTTAGGCGTGTTCACTTCGAACTTCACCTTCGTTCCTTTTTTGACCATTTTGACGTACGGATTGTTGGGAAACAGTGTAACACCTGATAAAGCATTTTTTGCAGTCGCAATATTGTAAGTTCTTACCCACGTTGTTGCAGATTTATCTTTCTTGAGCATGCTAATAAAAATTATAACTCTTGCAGCAACGTGATGACTGAAGTGATGATGTATTATGTAAGTTAAGTTAATGACCATTTCTCAGCGTTTAGAAATTGCAACGAAACTATTTTCCCATGTACTGATATCACTCAATCTCTGCATAGGTGCCTAATGCTGCAGCCAGCGTAGGTGAACTTCGTACGTCAATTAAGCGGATGGAGGTATGTATGTATGCATATAAATATGTACATGTATACCAATATAAATACGTATGAATTATCACACTGCAGAAACAGCCCAGTCAATTATATTAGAATTTATCTATAGACAAGTTAATATCTGTGGTTAAATCAGTGATGATGGTTTGACTGACGAATGATTATATGTAGGATTTTTTGCTAATGGAAGAACAAAGTATCGGTAAAAACATTGACATTAAGGATTGTCAAAATGGAACCATACTTCCGTCCATTAAAATGGAGAATGTTTCATGCAAGTAAGTTTAAATCCACCATGACCTTTAAACATTTTCATTGCTTAATAGCATGTTTAATGGTGGCAGTTAAAATGACAAATACCTAGATAAATATACTGCTTTTGCACATTTGCACTATGATTAAACTAGATGGAACGAGAATAAAGCTGCACTTGAAAACGTATCATTTGAAATTGGTGGGGACAAGCTCGTAATGGTCGTCGGACCAGTGGGAAGCAGTAAAGTACGCCGAATTATATGAATATTAATGACCATTCGATAATGTATCAATTAAAATCTGATTGCTTAATTCTCCAGACATCACTCTTGCAATGCCTGCTCACAGAATTGCCGATTGAAAGTGGTCATTGCGAGATCAGGGGCAAAATCTCGTATGCATGCCAAGATGCTTACATATTTCCTGGCACCATACGACAGAACATTCTCCTCGGCAAGGAATTCGTCAAGGGAAAGTATCACCGTGTTCTAGAAATTTGTGCGCTGGAGGATGATCTCGCCCAATTCAGTAGCGGAGATAATGTTGGGAAATTTTTATTTCTACATTTTATTTCTATATTTATTTATTTTACCCATAATGAATCATTAAATGCCATTTTTAATTTATTTATTTATACCTGAACTTAGACCATTTGCGGAGAAAGGTTAGAATATAATTATTTATAATGCATATCATATCAGAATATGTATTTTTAACATAAATTAAATGAACAGAGGGACGGAGTTAAGTGGCGGTCAGAAGGCGAGAGTAACGCTGGGTGAGGAACTTTAAATTTAGTCAAAGTAAAACTGATTTAATTTCAATTAACTTTAATTTTATTTAAGCTCGAGCTTTATACCATGATGCGGACATTTAGTAAGATAAAATTATTCTCGTTTCTATTTTATTATTCACTGGTCTCAATCTCAACATGGATCTTTGAATTTTTGTTGTTCTTCTGAATCTAGTCTCCTCGACGATCCCCTCAGTGCCGTTGACGCGTCAGTCAGCAAACATATTTTTGACAAGTGTATCCAAACTCAATTGAAAGGACGCTTGAGAATTTTGGTTACACATCAGCTCCAGTATTTACCTTACGCGGACCATGTCATTGTTTTCGACGAGGTATGACTCAAATAGCTACATCTTAAGTCAGGATTCAAATTTTGAGTTAGTTTAATTTGCACACCTTGCATTAAATCTTTAATTTAGGGGAAAGTCCTTGCTCAAGGCAACTATGATGATTTAGTTGAACAAGGAATCGATTTCATACGGCTTTTATCCCGAGATGACCAGGAAGCCGAAACGAACGAAGTGGAAAAGAAAACCACCAAAGATTTTGACGAAGCTGAAATTGTTGGGAAGGTTTGAAACTTTTTTAACCATACTTTTGACTTAATACTATTATTAGTTAAATGAATGTCATAACCTTTCATTGGTCATCAGGAGTGCAAATCGGAGAAAGACGAAGAAAATGATAACAACGTACAAGCTTCAAAGCGTGAAGTGATGGCCGAAGGTGCCGTGAGTGCCAAGACCTACTGGGAGTACTTCAAAGCTGGAGATTCTCTCTGCCAGATTTCCTTCCTGATCTCAGCATTTTTAGTTAATCAACTATTAATCAGCACCACGGACTTTTGGCTCTCCATTTGGTAACTGTTATGTATCCTTTGAGTGTGAATTTTATTAGTGAAACAATAAATCTGTACATATTTCTAATTTTAATTTTAGGACAAATGTCGAAGAGACGAACTTGCCACGATTCAAACGAGAGTTTACAGCAGACACAACGACGGAACAAGACCCGCTCACCATGTTCAATGATAGCTCAATCCTTGACCCCACCCCCAGCAATTTCGAATACGAGTTGGGCCAAGATTTTTGGAATATTAAACAATGGGACCGAAACATTTACATGTACATTTATGCAGCTTTGGCGTGCATTGTTTTCTTCGTAGACACAACTCGAACGTTGTACTTTTTTGCATACACCCTGAAAATTAGCACAAACATTCACAATAAAATGTTCAACAGCTTGGTCCGAGCCCCCATAAAATTTTTTGATGACAATTCGTCAGGTATTTTTTAATTTTAAAGATATATTATCGTCTTTTATATTTTTGGTTTATAGTGTTAATTATTTGAAATAGGAAAAATCATGACTCGATTTACAAAAGATTTAGCAACTTTAGATGAATTTCTCCCTCTCAGCATGTTTGATTCAATTGACATTCAGTTGCGAGCGGTCGGTTGTATGGTTATCATCTTAATTTTAAATTGGTATCTGATATTCCCAGCCTTGGTTCTTTTGTTGGCGTTTTCGTTTATCCGGACGATATTTATTAAGGTAGACTAAATATATGCACATAATTGTATAATTTACTAAATCGTGAAATCTCTTTGTGATAATTGCAGACTAGTCGAAACATTAAGCGAGTGGAAACATGCAGTGAGTTCAAGTATTATTACCAAGTATTATTATGCAGTGTTAACTACGTGCTTTTTGAACAGCTCGAAGTCCACTCTTCACGCACTTGTCATCCTCAATTCAAGGGTTGGCTACAATTCGTTGCCTTAAAGCACAAAATATTCTCGTCAATCAGTTCGATGAGCATCAGGTAGAAAATTTACACTATTTGTAAAACTGAGGGACAATTTATAAGCAGTTGGATTTGCATTCGTAGGACATCCATTCTGCAGCTTGGTACCATTTCCTTGCAGGAACGAATTGGTTTAGTATTTGGCTGGAATTATTTTCTACAGTTTTCATAACGTGCGTCGTGTTCAGTTTTGTGTTCTTCTCGGGTTCGTATGCAAACTATTGGAAATCATAAAAATATCGTGCATACTTTCTAAATAATAATTATAAGTTAAAACTGTACAGATAACTCAAGCACCGTTGTTGGGTCTGTGGGCTTAGCAATTGCGTCACTTTTGCAACTCATGAACACTTTTCAGTTTGGTAGGTTTAATTGTGAACTTTTGATAAGTCGAGGATTGAAATACAAATACGAATTCATTTATTCTAGGCATGAGGCAGTCTGCTGAGATGGAAAACGCGATGATCAGCGTTGAAAGAGCTTTAGAATATACAAAACTAGATTCAGAGATTTCTCGAAGATCGAAGAAATGTAAGTTACTCTGAAATTCATGAAATCAAAATTCTTTTAATTAGTGTTCACATGAAATTGATTTATTAATGGATCACAGATTCTGACAAAAAAGCATTAAAGGATTTTGGAACACGTGGAACCATTAAATTTAGTAATGTTAATCTTTCATACGATGGAGTGACTACAATCCTGAAAAATCTAACTTTTGAGATTCAAGCGAAAGAAAAGATTGGCATCGTGGGCCGTAAGTTTCGCAAATTATTACCTAAAATGTTTCAGGAGAATTTCTTTGTGCGTGTATTTTATGGATTCTTATCACAAATGTCTATATTAACTAATGTAGGAACTGGCGCAGGCAAGAGCTCAATAATCTCAGCCCTTTTCAGAATGACCGAATTTGATGGAGAAATTACAATCGACGGATATGATATCTCGGGAATTTCTCTTCACAAACTACGGAAAAACATTTCAATTATTCCACAAGATCCTGTCCTGTTTTCTGGCACAATCAGATACAATCTTGATCCCTTTGAAATGTTCAGTGATGAGGAATTGTGGAAGGTTTTGGAAGAGGTATGTAAATTATTGGTCTACGACGATCGAATATTCACCCACGTCTCACATCCATCATGATCTCAGGTGGAGTTGAAGGACCTAATCACTGCTTTGGACTACAATGTTAACGAGGGAGGCAAGAATTTCAGCGTTGGGCAACGTCAACTTGTAAGATCTATTATCGTCTCTTATATTTTGGTTAATAACGTTAATTATTTGAAATAGGTATGTCTTGCAAGAGCCATTTTGCGAAAAAACCGCATTTTGCTAATGGAGTAAGTTTCATTTTATTATACAGGCCTAATTTTGAAAGACATTTTTTAGAAGTTTAATTTAATTTATTTGTTTATTTTAATTAAGAAATTATTAATTATTATTCAATTAGCGAGGCAACTGCTTCCGTTGACCCACGGTATGTACATACACTATGTATTTCGAATAATGAAATGATGTCACTTTATTGTCATTTGACAACGACAAGTGTGCACGTATCACGTATGTATCAAACTGAGTTGTCAACATATTCTTGCAGAACGGACCAATTAATACAACAAACCATTCGAACGAAATTCATCGATTGTTCAATAATCACGATAGCTCACCGGTTACAGAGCGTCATGGATTGCGACAAAATATTAGTTCTTGATAATGGCAACATTAGAGTGAGTGCAATGCTTAATTATTTTGTGTCGTCTCATAACTATCATGCTGATCGTATCGTGGTTATCATACTGATTAACCTAAATATTTATCTGCAGGAGTACGATCATCCTCACATACTATTAAAAAGGTCGGATGGGTACCTACAAAAGTTAATTTGTGAAACCGGACATGCAACTCAAAGTCATTTACGCCAAATTGCTGAACAGGTAGGTATCACAGGGTTCAGAAACTAAAACTAAAATTCTACAAGTAATTTAACGAATATTATCACTACAGGCATACCATAACATTACTTCTAACGGGGAGGAGGAAAAAACATTGCAAAAACCTTAACAAATTACTCAGCAATATTGTTATTATTTCTTACACACAACATAATGCTTATAAATACATAGTACATAAGTTCCAGAATAAAAGTGATATAAAATATTCTGACAATTTTTATTTTAGTCGTTCAAAGTAAGTATAAGGTCAAAGTACAGGGTCAATTTTCATAAATTATTAATTTTTCGCTTAAACGGGGTTTTCTCCAACCCTCAATGAGAGGCGAAGTTTTAAGCAGCTCTACTGTCGACGTCGTCCCGCATCACCTACGCCCACTTGACAAGCGTCTATCACTATTTGGTTAAAACTTTCGAACTGGTCGGCGTAAACGTGATGACCAGCGTCCAACATCTATACACATTTCAATAAAAATATTCAGCCAATAATATTCTGTTGTAAATAGTTTCTTGTATAATTAATTATGTTATTACATGAAAATTGACGTAAGAACCTGGTCTTCGATTCACGATTTCCTCTGCCGGATAATGATCCACCCATGATTTACCTCCATAAATTAATGTCAAAGGGATTTTATCGTCAAGAGTCTCCAGCCTCATCTCCATTGGGTTCTTGGCCCACCCAAACATGTTCATTAAAGTATAAAATGCGGATTCGCCCCTGGAAATGATCAATATAATCAAAATGTTACAAAAATGACAGTGATGCATTCAGTCCGTCCAGTCAGTTCACTCAAGTTATTACTGAAGTTCTTACGTTGAGTTTTGTGCGTTACTATGATATATGTAGTTCGAAATCTTCGTCTCTGCATCGTCAATTTGGGTCGAAAAGTTTTTTATGAGATCAGCCCTTATCATTTTCAAGACTCGAGGTCCTGGCGAACCAGCAATGTCAATTAAAACGACAATAAATAAATCAAATTGAGTGTTGTGGCTGAAGCTTAAGATGCTCACCTAATGGTCCTGCAACCCTAAGTGACCACAATGGATTGATGGGCAAAGCATGCAAAAACATTGGCGATATAACGGTGGTGCAGCGGAATGTGTTGTGCATCCAGCAACCCAGTTGGAGGCTGTTTAAATCCCTAGAAGAAATAATTGGAATATTCTAGTATCATACAACACTTTAATTATCAACCTTATCTGTACTTCTCATGCTTACCCATGGATCAGCCAAAATAATATGAACTATTCTGTAGAAAATAATTACTGATCTTAGATTTTGCAAGGCCTTCAAAGTAATAACAAGCAGAGCACATAAAACAAGACAATCAGGTTTAACCTCTCAGGATGTCGACATCCATACGGTTTTCAGCCTCTTCAGGAATGCAGCTATAATCTGGTCTTGAGCTTCGTCCGAATCCTGTTTACCAAAAAATGACATAAAATTATAAAAGTATCGCGCAAAATGCCTGAAAGTATGCGTACCGGGCATGTCGATGGCGTACACGGGTCTCGTTTGTGATTCTATCATTCCTTTAAAATTTAACGTCCATAATCCCAACCCAGATCCAAGTCCATGAAGAAAGACTATGGATGACCTTCCAAGTTCTCATTGCTACTAAAAGTCCATACGTATAGGTCATTGTCGGATAAAATTGGACCGACCTTGACATATTTTGTATTATAAGAAGCCCCAACGTCTGCAATAGTTGGCAAAATAATTTTTTCGTAATTTTAATAAAATCTGCATATAATTTTGAAATATACGCATGGAATTAGTATGTAAGTACGTTGAAGAAGACTCGTTTCAGCATTCTGAAGTCTAGCGGACGACGTTCCAAACCAGACCCTGTTCCAGACACTTCGAATCCATCTGCATCAAAATATTTTGCCTATCAGTAAAGTAATTTATATTGGATTTATAACACGTATGTATGTACCCAGGTTCATAGACTAGAGATGCGTCAGCCGAATCCTCGGGAATATCTTCTGCCATATTTATAGTAATCTTAAGTCATCCTGAGTTTTCAGAATATTTTCAGAAGGTTGTCCCATAATAAGCACGATTGCTTGACCTTAAGTATCTAGGTAACGCGTCTCCCTTAAGGGTAACTAGGCACTAAAAGTCAAGCAATCGTGCATAATAAGTTTGGTGAACAAAGGATTTCTATGACACAAACCCAGATTTATAAACTTTCACTTACTCGTTGTCACATTCAGAATTTGCTACTTTATCGAGTACAAAATTATTGTTGATGCACTATATTTAAACCTAATTATACTAATATTAATATAATTATTTAAACCTGTACATAAATCTCAAAGGATTACATACTTCATACAGGATCGCCTAGTTTTACATTTCAATCACGCATTTATGCTAATTCGCTGAAATTTGAAATCAAAGATTAGATTTTTATATTATATTAGTTAAGGTGCGTTTATGCTTCACGTTATCGTTATGTCCTCCTCTAAATCCGATTTTTTGATTGGCTGAGCGAAATTGTCACTACGACAATTAAACATTTTAACCAATCAAAAAATCGGATTTGGAGGAGGACGTGACAGTGACGCGAAGCATAAACACCACTTTAGAATATAACGATTCTGTAATGCTAACAGCTGCAGTTATTTGTAGACCGACAAATTTATAAGTCTGCAAAAGTCATGTGGGAGAAGCGGTAATCGTATGCAGTTGGTTGATGACCTACTTTCAGCAGTTTAGTTGTGTGAGTGATGAAGCTCGTGTTAATGATGCTCTTGTATACTGCCAGGCCAGAATATGTAAAGATTACACAAAGACAACTAGTATTTCCAAGTATAATTATGTTTTATTCTTTTGGTGGAATGATATAAAATGTAAATTTTTTACAAAAAACTAATAGCAATTATAAATGATCATTCATCAACAACTTCCTTAACTCGAATTGCATGAACATTTTGCGTCGTCAAAACAAATAGAAAATCGTCGGTAGCATGAGCGCCCAGTATTTCGAGAGGTGGTTCCAGTGAGACAACATGTTGTTTCGAAACGTGACTGATAATTTGTCCAGTTTTGCGGTTTCTCAAATCGGATCCAATTTCGTGTGGTTGACGATAAATGTATACATGTTTTGATGCATCGCAAATTGCGAGATACGAAAGGTCTGAAATGAAAAAAACACACAAAGTGTTATTCATACATACATATAAATGTTTTTGTGTAATAAATTTGTATTTAATTAGTTGATTTGAAATACCTGGAGGACATGCTGTAAATTTGCGTTGCTGTTTGGATGCTTGCACATACCCCATAGCAGAAAATGTTCCAACATGCTCCAAGGTCCAAGAGTCTAATAAATTATTGTCAACTTCAGGTGGCTGCCACAGAAGACCGTCAACATCGTGGCGAATACACATTGCGGGGATCGAAGAACCATGAACCCTTGCGCTAAACAGCCACTGATGTCCTCCAAGGCTTGCCTATTTTCATAATGTACACAAAATATATAAATACACACATACATACGTCAATAATTGTAAATTATGCATACCACATGTGAAATACATTGTAGATTTTTGTCTAATCGCATAAACGATGTGGTGTCTGCAGGAAGACAGTCACAATCTTCTAATTGCTGCGGGTCACAAATGTTGGTACGAAGTGGGTCGTCATTCTAAAACAATAAATAGCCTGATAATTAATTTGGTGTCGTATTAAATACATATTATGTATAAATGCTGCATTAAATGCATATTATAAATATATATACCCATTTGTCGGAACATAAATGATTCAATCTCTCTTGAATATTTGCTACTGCTTCAGGATCAAGGACTTGTTGTCCTTGTGATGAGGATGAAACTCCTTTAACAACAGACTCTCCTTCCCATCGAACTTCAGAAGCTTTTTGAAGGATAATTTCCAAACTTTGGTACTGGCTTTGCAATGTTGACAAATTTCCCGATACGAAGGGCTCGCTATCCTCTGTATTGTCCTCGTCAATAACGCTAACAGAAACAAAACGAATCAAATAGAAAGACATATATTTTTTAGGTGTAATTAAACCGCACACCTATGAGGATTTATGGTCCAAACTGATTCATCTGATTTCACATTTTGTAAAAGTTCTCCTTCCAACATTGGAGTACCACCATAAACCAAACAAATGGAAGATGGCTTTACGTCAACGGTGATGTCAGTTTTTCTTGCCCCAATTGGTATTTTAAACAATATAGTGATTTCAGTATTATTCTGCATCCAAACGTAGTCAGGTTTCTCGACTTAAATATAAAAATAATTAAAAAAGAATTAGGCAACAAATCGAACAAAAACGTAAATCGTGGCACAAAGGAAAGTACTACACTTTTGTAATGAAATTTCAAACTTCAATAACTCAAAAAATACTGGACACACATTCATGAAACAATTATGTTTCCCATGTTAAAAGAGTCGAAAATGATTAAACTCGTTCAGTGGAAAAAAGTAATTGACATTAAGTGAACGAGGGAATGATGCGATACTTTCTTTTTGTGCCATCCTTTATATAACGATTGAAGGTCGAAATTGCATGTTCATGTTACCTTCTGTTCCTTTAACGTTTTTAGATTTCTTTGTGTATCTCAAGGGCTCATTTGAGACGTGGTAGAATGCAAAATGATTTTCACTTGCAATAAGCACTGCACTACCTTCCCGTTCCAAACACGCATAGTCTAAGGCTGATGGCCCAAGTAGAGTTCGAGAGCAATCAGAACTCCATTTTCCAGCATCTATGTTAATATAATAAATTCCTTTAGTTCTATAAAGTCATTGCAATTTAACAACATTAACAAGTCACCTTCTTTGAAAGTGAGCCAATTAATCTTAGACACAAATGGATGGTTTGCAGACATTGCAAGAAATTCGCCGTCATGTTTATCCAAAAATTCAGAAATGTCTGTATCACTTTTGTTCTGGAGACGTAACAACAAAATGTCTAAAAATACTTCATGTGTGCTCGACTTGTACATCTTGGAGTCAAGAAGAGTGAATTGTCCTAATTTATGTATGGAGTGCTCTTGAATTTCTTTCTGTTCATGCACAATCTAAAAACATTACGATATATTGAATGATTGAACAAATAAATTAATGACGTGCCTAAATATACATACATACCTTCCATGAGGTTGATTCATTCACAGATCGATCTCCAGTCTCGACAATAAAAAATGTACTAAACCCATCACTGACCACGACATATCTTTCTGAGGGAAATGTAATATTCACATTATGCCTGCCCATAGTTTGTTCTGTCCGTGTTGGAATGTTCCAAACTTCCTGCAGTGGTTCAAAAGTATTGGCCTACAACAACAACAACAAACCAACAATGAACAAAAGCGGATTAACTTTATACACTCTTTTAATATGTTAATATAACAAAGATACAAAAAATGCGAGTCAATTTAAGCATGTTTTGCTTACTTCATTGCTAAATGCAACACGATGAACGGTCCAATTTCTGTCAACTACATAAGAAACGTTTGAATTGAAGGGGTCGCCATGCAGGCAGTTGTAGAGGCCGAATAGTTTGGCATGTTGGATTGAATATTGGTCATCTGTAGCTCCAACCCGGTCAACTCCTATACATTTCAAAGTTTAAATTTAATCAAACAAACAATAAACTAGATTAGTTGGTTTTGATTGCATTTAGAGTCTATAGAATTAATTTATAAATTAATAACCATTCAAAAATGGAGTGATGTAGATTGGGAGGGTGTCGAGTGACAATTTGTAACCGTCGAATTTCGAATCTAAAAGTAAACGGTTTGGCTTCAAGTCGAGAAAAATAGGATTTGGCATATCTTCAACCAACTTCATCTTCCTTTCGACCTTCGTCGTCCAGTGATCGGCTTTTCCAGCGAAGACCTCAAATTCCAGATTTTACTTTCAACCTTGACAGTTTCAAGAACAGATTTAGGAACTTTTGCGTACGGAAAAGTAAAAAGCACTCATTTTGCCTCCTGGAAAGAACTCGATGTCTCAATTTGTTCATGCAATCATTAATAATTTTTACATTTTGTTTTATAATGAAGAGTATTTCGGATTATTACATCCTCCAAAGTTATAAACCGGAGATCAAACCAATATTCGATATGAGATTAGACCTGTGGATTAGATATATCTAATGTATGTATGTATTATGTAATATTCATAAACAATATGAGTGTATTCATTCACATGTGTTTGATATTATCAAAGCGGCTGATTTTATTAATAAAAAGACTATAAACTTCATAAGTAGCAAATCGTGAGTACATTTGCATTGCTGCATATCTTTAGTTATATTCGGTCCAATATAGTCCACTTGTCTTTGGTAGTAAGTTCACATTTATCATAAGTATCGTTATCCATCGCATTAATTCGCATATGATTTCGCAAAAAATCTGAAGTTGTTGCTGTGCTGATCTATATAATTTAAGTATGCATCTAATAATTAGAACTTTTGTTAATTGTGTTCTGTATCATCCAATCTTTCAAGTCAAAGTCATACCCCTTTCGACTTTATTGGAGTGAATTCGACTGAATTGAGTGAATAAATCCGAAAACTTCCCGAGAGAAATCCGAAAATTTATCTATCCGAATCCTATACACAAAGTCAAATTCTGCTGATTCTGTTTTATATTTAAACGTAACCTTGCAGGTCTCCACGGTGGTTAAACTGTGCTAGGTTATTTGAACCATGGGATTTTGAAATAAACTATGTGCAATTTCCGGTGCTGCGGCAAAACTCGGGCAAGATAGGAGAGTTAGAGATTTGAGAAGTAGTCTTCTTATCTTCAGGAATAAACTAAGTGGAGAGTGCCAACAAAACACGTAAAAAACCACTCGTGATCGTGATCTATATAACCAAGCAAGACGATGGTGGTGAATGTGATGCGACTCCGTTATCCTTCTTCAGTCTCTCTTTGGCGAAGAAGTTCATCCGTCGTGGCGACCTTGCGACATTCCCAGCGCCAGCACTCCACCCACCGCGGTCGCCTCGCCACGATGCCCTCACTTTGCGTCAACCATGAAGACCATCATGTTTGCCCAGGTTTGTTTCTTCAGATTATTCCCCAAAGTAGACAAAATTTGCGAGAGAAAGTGGGTATGTACATATTGTACATGGATATTTCTCTGTCACTGCCGTAATAGAAGTCAAGGATGCGATGCATGAACCGAAGCAATTGCATCAAGTCATGAGAGTTACTAATCTAATTCAACTGAAATTGTCTAGGAGTAGGTAAAATATAAGCGTGCATTAATAGGCTAATAAAATTTCTGGCATCAAAGAGCTCTATGCACATACTGTATATGGGTATTTGGGTGTACGTTGACATGAAATTTCATTTCTGGGAAAATAAATATGCATATAGCAATTCTGTTAGCGTTTTATATTTTATACATGACACTTGTTTGAGAAGATCGATAAATCGCACTATATCTTTACCTGATGTATTAACCATGTTAAGGATCTCCTCAAAACCCCGAAAATAGAAGTACCATCTTTCCTACATACTCGTGACCAGGTTGTGAAGTTTTATTTTATATGTACAACGTAGATAATATTGGTCTTTTCCAATAAGTTTCTCTCAAATCTTTCATGGGCCAAATATTCTTGTTGAACAGAATATTGCATGTGTCAAGTTAAAAAACAATACACATATGTGTAATTAAGGGATTCTTAGGAAGTGTTAAAGTTATATACACAATCTTCCACTCTGATTATGTATTATCAAATGGCCTCCATATTTGTCATAGAAGACGACGATTTTTAATCATTGGTAATAAAAAACACGTTCTCAAATTCTCAGTATAATGAGACATTGAGAGTTTGAGATGGACATATGTAGGCAATATGTAGCAATTGCGACAGGTACATACATATGTACCAATGTCCATCTTGGCCCCTATGAAAAGGTTGACAGGCAGGATAAAAATTTAGAAAATTTCAAAATATAAGACACACTGTAATACATCCTCACCCACGCAATCCCCAAAGTGGACTGGTGCAAAGTACCCACAAGCTCCATGAAGTCATAAACAACATCCGACCACTTGTGATTAGTAGTGATGTTTTATGATTTACAACAATTAGCACTTGCATGCTAACGTTGCCCCGCATAACAAGTGCTAATGAAATTACTATTGTTGTATAACCATGCATTCAAAAGCAATGTATGTTTTTTCCTGCCGACCGACCACGAGATTCCATCCAGTTCTGATAGAACAATTAAAACAGACCCCGAGGCATGATCTGCACAAAGCTTGCCTGACTACAGAAAAAGTTTTTGGAAGCAGTTTGTAGTGCAATTCTACAACCCTGAATCTGATACTCGACATCTTCTAAAATCCAACTATTTTATCTTTAATACCTTAAAGTTCACTGTGCATCAGTCTCATTTTTATCTGCAATCTTGAACAGGTAAGGGAAATGTAGTGCAATCAATTATTGCAATTAATAGACAATAGAGAAATGGAATAATATTTGTATTCTACCATTCCACTCCACTATACAAATCCTGGTCGATATTTTCAGAGGATTATCGATGTGCATTGCATATCAAATAAATTGATATTAGCAAATATGTATGAACGAAATGTGTTGGTATAACGAAAGTAAATATGTACATATATATACAGCCAGTAGCTCATGGAATAGAATTATGTATGCGTTATCAGCAAATCATTATTCATTGAGATACATACATGGTAGACAGATTAAAATTTAACGAGCAATGCACAGTTCACTTGACAGTTGACATCTGTCCCACAATTAGAGTTAATTATAACAGTAACAGTCAGTTCTTGGAGTCTACTTGTTGAGCTACAGATTAACATTAGGAAAATACCAACGCCAACACCCACCCCTCCGTGTTTTGACAAGAAAGATTGATAGGAATCGGAGACTATAGTTTCTGTTAAACTTTGTATCAAGTAAGCTCAGGAGGGGAGCTTGCGAGGTTGATAATAACAGATCTCGATGCCCTTTGGATATGTGGTAGGGTCCTATGAGTGTACTAAAACCCTGAAGTGGTTTGACTCCATGGCCACATTTGCGCCCGCCACACCCACTCAAAAATGCCTAAAAAACGCTTTCACTCCAGTTTTCACTCACTCAAATCCACGCCAGAAATCCAATTTTACTCGGATTTTGAAATTTCTTTCACCATTACGCTCCCAGATAGTTGCTTTCTTCAATTCCATATCAAACTCAATTTTGCTGATGATTATTTCGCAGGCGTAATTTGAGTTGTTGATTACTACAACAATCCTCATTCAGAATTTCAAATTTTAAAAATACTAAAAATTTCGAAAAATTGGGTTTGATATTGGATTGAAGAAAGCAACTATCTGGGAGTGTAATGATGAAAGAAATTTCAAAATCCGAGTAAAATTGGATTTTTGACGTGGATTTGAGTGAGTGAAAACTGGAGTGGAAGCGTTTTTTGGGCATTTTTGAGTGGGTGTGGCGGGCGCAAATGTGGCCATGGAGTCAAACCACTTCAGGGTTTTAGTACACTCATGAGACCCTATCACATATCCAAAGGGCATCGAGATCTGTTATTATCAACCTCGCAAGCTCCCCTCCTCAGAAATGATAATTTTTAGATTAAATATAATTGTAGTAGATATTTTTGGGGCTTGTTATATGTATGTACATACAAGTTAAGTTATTTATTGAACCAGCGTGAATTCTTTTTTATCAAGATAAATATATTTAATATTTAATTATTTTACAGGTCTACTGTTTACTTCACCCTACAGGATGCTTCATACAACGGTCGTGGGGAATGGCTCGTCGAAGACAATCACTTTGGATAACATGAATCCAAACATTAAGACCATGGAGTATGCGGTGCGAGGTCCTCTCGTCATAAGTACGCCAATTAACTAAGGATAATTGAATCACAGATTAAGTAAAATGCTTACATTTATTATTAAGGGGTGAAAGCCCTTTATAAGATCGTTATGTCCGTCTGTCTGTCCGTCCGTCCGTCCGTCCGTCTGTCTGTCTGTAGCTCCGATAACTTTTGAACGAAAAGACATAGACACTTGAAATTTTGAACGTAAACTCCTAACGTCAATGGACAGGACGAGTTCGAAGATGGACACTGTGACATCGTCACCTGTGACGATGACGTCGTCACAGTGACGAAAAGTGACGAAAAAGTGTCACTTGTCAGTTTTGACATGTGACACATCATTTTTAACTATTTTTCAATGAGGAATTCGAAAATTCATGTCATTTTGCGGTTGGACGTCACCTGTGACGATGACATCGTTACGGTGACGAAAAGTGACGAAAAAGTGTCACTTGTCAGTTTTGACATGTGACACGTCATTTTTAACTATTTTTCAATGTCAAATTCAATGGTGACCTCCATTTTGACCTCAGAGGTCATGTAAAGGTCATAGGACATATCTATTTCAATTTCAACTGAAATTTAACCCCGAATTCATTGGTGACCTCCATTTTGACCTCAGAGGTCATATAAAGGTCACATAAGGGTTATCAACTGTTAAATTTGACACAAATAAGACACAAAAGTCGAAAACACGTCAGAAGTGTCAATCTTAACAAATTTTCGAACAATTTGATATTCACATTGACGTATGACACTCCTTTCACCCCTTGGTTACATGCGTTGTAACGGTTTATTACTAATTCGTAGGGGCTACGGAAATTGAGAAGGAACTATCAGCGGTACGTCCTAAACCTGACAACTTTACATACGCACACAAAGATATTGAAATTTATACAAAGGATAATCTTCAAAATTATGTATCTTTGTGTAGGGGTCAAAGAAGCCATTCACTGAAGTAATTAAAGCGAATATAGGTGACGCCCATGCAATGGGACAAAAACCAATCACATTTATTCGTCAGGTATTTACTAGAATGTACTTATTAGTTGGTTGAATGATTTGAATTCGCACTATCGAGAATAAATCCATTAATGTTGTAAATTGAATACTAGGTGCTGGCATTAATTTCTTTCCCCGAGCTGATTGACACGGTAAACTTTCCCTCCGATGTCAAGGCAAAGGCAAGATCCATTTTGGGAGGTAAAAATCATTTTATTTTTGATGGTGTATACGTTTTATCTTGCTCCGAAATAAAGTATAAAAAATAACTATTTTTTATAATCAGGATGCAAAGGAGGCAGTGCAGGTAAGTTTTTACTGCTTTCAATTCGCACCTCTTAATAAGTATCATTCATGCATATAGAGATGAATCATGACATGACTAAATTGGTAAAAATCTGTATTCATAGGGTCGTATAGTGACTCTGCAGGCATTGAAGTAATTCGACAGGTTAGAAAATATTGTACACTTCGATTACGATTGCGAATCTAACTTTAATCAACATGTTTTTGCAGCACGCTAGCGAGTACATTACAAAAAGGGATGGTGGAATTCCTTCTAATCCTGACGACATTATTCTCTGTGCTGGTGCTTCTGAAGGCATTAGGGTATCATGATAATCACAATAATTAACTATATGAAAATTCAATTAAGTGAATATTTTGACCTATATCAGATATAAATATGTATGTCCATATTTTTTATAACAGGCTACTCTAAAATTGTTCATTGAACAAGATGCTAGTCATCCACCCACCGGTTGCTTGATTCCCATTCCACAGGTCTGTAGACATGTATATACTAAATCAATACTATGAAGAGTTCAAATCCAATTCATCTCTCATAACTTAAATGAACAATTTCAGTACCCGCTGTATTCTGCCTCTCTGGCTGAGTATAGCATTTATCAGGTAAATTAAAATTTATTGCATTTAATATTGACTAGGGGGAGGCTGATATATTTTCTATCAGGCTGGTTATTTTCTTGACGAGTCCCGAGGTTGGGCGTTGGACATTAAGGAGCTGGAAAGGACACTCAAAGAAGCCAAAACTAAATGCGTACCTAGAATGCTAGTCGTAATAAATCCTGGAAACCCAACTGGTAATTAACTCCCAATAATGAACATATTTTTAATAGAAAGTTTCTGTATGTAATATTATATCCTTACGAATTAACTCTGTTTATAAATTCTTTACAACATAATTACGGACCTTTGCTTTTTAGGCCAGGTGCTAACCAGGGAGAATATAGAAGAAATTATCAAGTTTGCATATAACGAGCGCCTATTTATACTTGCGGATGAAGTGTATCAGGACAATGTTTATGCTGATGGAAGCAAATTTCACTCGTTTAAAAAAGGTATATGACCATTATTATATTATTACTAATTATTAGTTATAATTATTTATTGAGGTATACATTATTGTTCATGTGATTTGTTATAAAAGTTATGATGGAAATGGGATCACCGTATAACGGCATGGAGCTCGCTTCTTATTTTTCAACTTCAAAAGGTTGGTTCTTACTCACAAATTTTCATTTGAAAATGTAATTTGGCAGGTAATGCCATACGCGTTTTGAATCAGGATATATGGGAGAATGCGGCCTACGTGGGGGTTATAGTGAAGTCATAAATATGGATGCAAAGGTATAAACGTATATAGTAATATATATCACATTTTGACCATAGACGAAAAAAATGATGATTAAACTACTTTTTAAATTTGTAAATAGGTGAAAGCCATGCTCCTCAAGTCAATTTCCGCAAAACTTTGCCCCACGGTGCTCGGTCAGGTTAGGAATCATATCATTGTATCATTATTGCACAAAAGGGTCTAGTTATTCATATGTATATCGATCATTATTGTGTTTCAGGCCGCCATGGACTGTGTAGTTGATCCACCAAAACCAAATGACCCTTCATACGACCTTTTCATTCAGGAAAAGACAGCAGTTTTGAAATCCCTCGCGTCAAGGGCCACCATGATTGCAGACACTTTCAATTCCATTCCAGGTTAGTATCATAATCATTCTCCTCTCAAAAACACTTTGGAATAGAATATCCGATATTTTACGGCTTTTATTAAATCATTTAGAGACCTATTCGATTTATAAATTTAATTATATAATTAAATAACATAAATATTATATAATATTTATGTATACAGGCATAAAATGCAACCCCGTTCAAGGTGCAATGTATGCCTTTCCTCGGGTAAAAAATTTCCCAATTACAATCTGATCTGATATTATAGATACTTGTGATTTATGTATTTTTGGCGTATAGATTACAATTCCACAGAAAGCCATTGATGCAGCGAAAGCTAAAGGCCAACAGCCTGATGCATTCTATGCATTTGATCTCTTGGAAAATACAGGAATCTGCATCGTACCTGGATCTGGATTTGGACAATATCCTGGAACTTACCATTTTAGGTTTGTACTAAAACTATGCGTCCCATCTTAATTAAATAATTAAAGCAATTTAAATCATTGCATGTTCTTATATTTAGAACCACCATTCTTCCTCAACCAGAAAAGTTAAAAATTATGTTGGATAAATTCAAGGATTTTCATGTACAATTCGTTGCGCGATATTCATAACTTCGTGAAAACGTTCAGAAACTTTGTTGATGAAAGAAAAAAATTGGAAAAGAAACCTTAACCATCAATATATGAAGGGGTTTGGATTTACTGTTAAATAATAAACATCATAAGATGGGGATCTAAAGTTTTGGCCTTTTTATTCTTGATTCCATTAATAAATCTTTTAAAGTTTGGCCTGTCCATCTATGCAAATTACATGTGCTATTTTACTTTATAGAGACTTGAATAAATGTTTTATCGAGGTATCCATTTACACTACCGACCGCAGATTCGTAACTTTTTATATTTTTATTTCTCCGTCGACGGTAGTGTTGATAATAATTGGACATTCAAACATTTTGGCATTACATGACATTTGTGTATTATTACTGTTAATCTATAAATTCTGCGTAAGATCATTTGAGTCATTTGAGTCAACCCCATGCAAAATTTTGTTTATTTTGCATGGAAGTTGCTCCTTGTTGCCCTTATCCCAAGACCGGGAATGTGTGTTCACAACAACAATAACAACACAATCGTGACCTTCCTTGTAAAAAATCCTTTGTTTGGTTAATAGTTAAGAAAATTGTGAATTTCAAAGTTAGTTCTAGTTATTAATTGGTTTATTTAGTCAATTTAAGCTTCGATTATTGAAGAGGTAAAATGGATTATAAAAATCCTACTAAGTAAATATTTACCAATGATTCTTAACAAATTGTTCCTAAAATATATTCTATATAGGATTAAAAGTTAATACAAATCGGTACTTTAACTATTTGTGTAATTTTCTAGCCAACGCAGGACCTAAGCAGCTAAGAAGATATCACGTATTGAAGAACTAAATCAAGTAGCTATTTCTCTCTATTGTATTAGTAATTTTCATTAAATAAAATCCAACTACTGAACTTTAATTGAGCTTTCAATAATAGGTCTATCAAGGAATGGGCTTAATGACATCACCACGCCAGGTGACACAGTTGTTGAGTCATCGATGGGGTCCAAAATTTTTTACATTGTCCCAGAGGTTACAATTAAGTATTATATGACTATATCAGAGGACAACAAATAGGTTAAACTAATGGTACATACATTTCAGCGTCCCTGAATTAAACCTGTGGAATCGTCAGCTTTGCCGTTCCCTCAGCTCTGGCGAAGCGTTTACGGCATTGAAACCCTTTTTCTTCGCCGTTCATCCAGATTTATTCGGCCAGTTTCCGAAAGAAAGGGTAAAAACCTTAGACCCATCAATATATTGATTATTTCAACTCTACACTTTAATTTTAGCATGATTATAAATATGATTATAGGCAGTAAACGAAGACTCTCTGAAACAACTCAACTCGTATATCGAATCTGCGACTGTGAATAGACCGCTTCCATCGACGCATCTTACATTTTATTTGAGAACTGGGTCACCTCGTGTTTCACTTCCAACGAGTAAGCCAATCAATACTATTGATAACATAAATACTACATCTTAACTAAAAAATTCTAAAGCCTATGTAGTTACAAATTTTCAGTCAGTTAACATAACTCTGGGAAACAAAGATGTGCGAAAAACCATTCATTCAATCTTAGAAAGCTGCAATTTACCCACATCGTATCTAGACAATCTACCTCAGGCTTCATCAGAATATGTTAGATCACACATGGAAGCACATCATTATAAAACTGAAAATGAGATGAATAAGTATTACACGAGACCTGAAGATGTCCAAGATGTTGAGAATGATATTGAAGATGCGCTGAACGCTCAAGACTCGTTAAGGTACGAGAACATTTTGAATAGTTATTGAAAATTGTTATTAATGACTATAAATATCTGTAATAAGGGATATATATTCAGGGTATGGTTGGAGGCAAATGTGCTCAGTGCGAGAAAAAAACTACTCGACTGTTGGCCTATTCGAGAAGACGTTGTTAAACTAAAGCAAACCATTAGTGACTCTCTTGGTGTATTAGATGTAATATGGGAATGTGGCTGGGGCATAAAACATTGGTACGACTGGTTTCACCCTAAAAGGTTTCATAAGTAATTTTAGATTCAATTTGTTATTTTCGCCTTTTTATCTTTGTTCACAGTCGAGGATGCCTACAAAGTTTTTTGTCTCTTGCTCACCACCATCCGGAAAGTATGAAAATATTAAGAGGTACTGATAAAAAAATTATACGGTAGATTCATAATATAACATGTAATGTAATGTACCATGGTCTTGTGGCCCAAATGCAAATGTAGGCAAGACGATCATTTTTGGCAGAGAAACGGGTATAAATTTGGACGGGCACGTCATTTTAAATAGTGGTGAAGTACGTGCAAACTGGTTGGACAGCATCAAGCGAGCCAACAGGCATAACGTTATCATTTCCAGAATTCCCAGAGTTGAACTAGCCCTCTCTCGGGCTTTAAAGGATATAAACATTGTGCATAGGTATGTGAATGAATAGCTAACGGAAAGGATTATTAAAAGCTTTGTTAAACTATCAATAATAATGACCATACATAATTATGCATAATTTGCTTGTTACTTATGTCTAGAAAATTTGAACCGACTAGAATGGTGGATCACTACGAGTCGAATTTGACGAAACTAATCACTTCGATAGGAGATTATAAAGGACGGTGCACTTTTCCTTCGCAATGGCCTCGAAGCTTATCTCATCTAGAACTAGTGGTTGAATCGTAAGTGCTACTAATACTCGTATATTTAGTACTTGACCCTTTGTATTTATTTAGCAACATTAGGTTTACTACATGCATGTCTAATTATATTCACATAGGGATTCGGGACCGCTTATGTTGTCTCCAACTGGTCAGATAATTGTCCCATCCTCTTGCCCCCCATTTCTACTAGTAAACTTTATTACGGATAAAATGGAAGAAGCCACAAGTAAACTTGACCAATACAAGAAGTAAGTTTTGTATTCGTTTCCTATGAAAATGGCACATGCTTCTCACTTTCTTTGTGAAAGTATAACGAAACTATCCTTGGTTGGTTACAGAGAAAAGTATGAAGAGCGAGATCTTCACTCCAGGTGCATGATTGAACTGGGATTGTATGCGCTGGAGAAAGCCGACAATGTAACTCCATCTCTAATGATTGACTGCTTGAATCGATTACTGTAATATGCTAATATATACCTATGCTAATATATTTAGTAATTGCGCATTATGTAAACTAACCAGTCCTCTTGGAATTTTGTTGCAGTTGCCGAGCAGAAGAGTTAAATCCTATCCTCACAGGATGCCATCTATGGGTTACGACTTACTATTCTGTGCAGTCTGATGGAGAAATATGTATTCCTTGGAACTTTAAATAGAAATAGAAATGCGTCTTGGTTTGGATTGAACATTTTTCAAAAGGACAAAAAGCAATCCCTGGTGGATTGATGCAACATGTTCTTGTCCTGGCTAGTCTACTATTACATACATGGAGCGTACTATCTCACATTTTATGACCATTATAATGAGGTTAAATATCTTGTGATAATATTAATTTTTAAAAACAATAGCTTAGCTATATTCTTACAAACGCGCGACCTGTATTATCTATACAATTACTTAAGGTTATCTATATATCATTAACATCTAGTCATATTAACAATGTCAACTACTATTTCGAGCAAATAAAATATATATTTAATTCAACAAATCCTTGAAAACCATGCGCTTTGTTGCCTGAATGAATGTGCATATTTAGTCAAAACCGTTTTAAATTTAAATTTTGAAGTGTATTTCTTTTGTACCAACAAATTTTCAATCTATATGTATATGTATCTTCTTAAGTATGCCGAGTCATCATCGGGTCTGGACGAAAATAACATTCTGACAAGTGTGATGAATAGGCAGGTGAGGTAGTTGATGGGTTTCTGCTGCAAATAGGGAATTTAAAAAATACTAGACAGATGTTGGCAACATTTTTGCACGTAATTCACTTTCTTGGGACGTCTACATTGTAGTACATTCCAAAGTTGGCAAATAGATAATTTGCAATGTTTTGTCTAGCAGAATTATTCATTTTAGTAACCTGGTACTAACTGTACATACACTTGTACATTATTACATACACTGTCCTGTGCCATCTGAAGCATATTTTCCTACAGATTGAGGCATTTCATTATTTGCATATTGTCCACTGCTTACAACATTGTTCTTTGTTTCGTAACTTTTAATTCAAGATGCAATCACTCTGTACATCCAACTTAACAAGGACTTATCCCAGGAGACCCGTACAGGAGATGAAACAAAATGCGTTCAGATGTGTACAACTCAAATACTTATGCATACTTTCCATATTTCATGATCAAAGAAAATTTCGTAACGCTATCCAGAGCCATGCAATAGCTCGGGAAAAATGAGAATGTCAAAAGATATTACACAACTGCACCCGTTTTCACGAATAAATCTATTTAAGCACTAAACTAATTGGTGTTTTGTCCTGCAAACCTCCAACTTGAACTCCATACAAACATATTGCGTGGTTCAACCATCTATGTCAAGTGTCAAACACATATGTGTAACACGATTAATATTGGAAACATCTGCGAACAAGGATTGGTGTTGGTGGAAAGCAGATTACTCGTATCATTAAAGTTGAAGTTTTACCTTAACTCGAACAAACATTTGAAACCAAGTGCTCGTAAACTTGATAAATAACACACTTATTAGGCTACTGCAGTTCCCCAGACATACGCTGATTTATCGAGCATGAAATAAATCTTTTCGATTTCCATGCATTTATTCATTCTTCTTATATGATGGGTCATTTCAACTTTTGAACGTTTTCTTCTGGAACATAGATTTTTAAGTGCGTTCTTGACTGATCTTAAGTATCAGTGCAGATGCACATTCTCAGCTCTCGACTGATTTTATTGTCCATATACACATTTTAACTTAAGATGAGTTTCAGCTCTAGTATGCACAAAAGATAAGTTTATGTACATATGTACAGGGTGGTTAAAATGTCACGCCACAATGGAAAATTTTTCGATGGGAAAAATCCATAAATTTCCATTAGTTACCGAAATTTTGTCTCTAAAATGCAATATTTTAAGAATTTTGTCATCAGTTTTGATAATAATTTATAAAACCTACAGTGCGCAGTGTTTATATAGCCCGAGTCCTCTTCCAAATGTTTGTCAAGTGACCGGTACAAACCAACTACTAATAGTAGTTGGTACCGGTCATTATGGGGAAATTTTTGTCGATTGCGAATTATTCGCAATCGTCGCTGCAAAATTGCAGCTTCTTTAACCAATTCCAAAAACCCCACTGGGTCCTCCTGGCAAAAAAATCTTAAAGTTTACTTTACATTTATTAAGCTAATCTAACCCTGCAGGACCACGCCAACTTTTAGTCGTCTACGCCCGTTTTCCAAACCAATGGGGGTGACCAGTGTGTGCAAAAAGTCAGCCTTGTTGCTATTTGTTCCTATTTGCCTTTTTGCGTGCCTTTTTGAACTGTATAGAAAACGCAATGAATAGCTTTCACTTTAATTTTATTTCTTCTCATCTCGCCAATTCAAGTATGACCAATTTCTCGAATATCAGTTACCAATTTTTAAAATAGCTACTTTTAGAAACGGTATGGGTCACCCCCTAGGCTACTCTGGTTCCACTTTGTTCGCTTTTAACTTGATATACTTCCATACGAGACCATTAAGTATCACCATACCGAATTTCATCTTTTTAAGACAATTTATAAAAATCGGTATGGGCCACCCCCTAGGATCGCTCCACATAAAAATTTTACTAATTTAACTTCATATTATTTCATTAGGAGCTATTAGAAACGTCAATGGTAAATTTCAGCTCAATTAAATGATTTTCAAAAATCGATATGGGTCACCCCCTCGGGTCCCTCCAGATAAAAAATTTGACCAATTTCATTTAATGTTCTTCCTTAAACCCCATACGCAACCTATCTACCAAATTTCAACTCGATATGACGATTTTGACAAATCAGTATGGATCACCCCCTAGGGTCTTTCAAAATAAAATTTTTTCCAACTTAAATTCATACTCTTTCATTAGACACCATTAGCAACCTCAGTGCCAAATTTCTGCCTTCTATGACAATTTTGAAATTTTGATGCATAATACCCCATCCACCTATATGACCCCCACTGGTCAACCACTTGACCGATTTCGCCCATCTTCGAACTTAACTCCTCATTTGCCCCATACTACATGTGTAGCAAATTTCAAGTCGATAGGATGAGTTTAACGAGAGTTATCGTAAGACGGACAGACGGACGGACGGACGGACGGACATGATGGTTCCATAAGCCCTGACTCGGGCTAAAAATCTCAATCCCAAATCTTGTAACTAATGGAGATTTAGGGACTTTTCCCATTGAAAAATTTTCCATTGTGGCGTGACATTTTAACCACCCTGTATGTATTTGAGGTATGTAAAATATAATCGTTGTTTGCAGACAAAAATCGTGTGTACTGCAGAGTCCGCAAAAGTAATTTCATGGACACCCACATACGTGCACATACATAAACATGAAATTCGAAAATGCAGTAAAAAAACTAACTGCAATGAGTAATGTGTACATAAGTAAAGCCTTTGAACGTGGAGAAAGATTTTTTAGCTAATTAATACGGGTGTGATTATTAGATATTTAAGCGTCAATGTGGAGATGCCTGATAACCAACACGTGCTACACGTAGTTTGTTCCTGGATTAAAATTCAGGACGAGTTCAGGATACTTGACTCTCAACCCGGCCTAAAACAACAAACTTTTATCGATCCGAGCAAAATGGATTATGGATAAAAGATTTAGCTGCGTACCAATTATGGAGAGATTAACTCTGATGGTTTTTAAAAAATATTCGTAAAGTTCAAGCTGCAGAAGTTTAGGATCAACCCTTGCTGGCCTGGTAAACTCGATAAACCAGGAATACAAGCAGATTCGCTAAGATATTGCACGAATAATTTGCAAAATATTAGTTATACGATAATCTATTCCCAAAATTGAGCACGTCGGAAATGATTTTTATACATGTACAGTACTTTGCGTAAGGATTTCCGGTTAATACCCTAGCTTTAGGGTATAAACCGGAAATAATCATTAGGTAAATTTTGTATAGATAAACAAACTGAGACTTGTAGCCTATGTACCATCACCCTCATCATACGTGTACTTATTTATAAATATAAGTATCTATAATACGAATTGGATTGATACATACACTAATCGATTTTTAAATTGTTTCTTCCTTATAGCCTTGGAAAACTTACCTTTCACTGGCTAAGTATACCACTCTAATTTCACGGGATGTTCGAAATTAAGTAGGACAGAAATCCACATTCTCGAAGAATGAATGTCTACAAGCATATATTCTTAACTCACAAGATACGTCTGGTGAAAGCACTCATCCTCAGTAGGAATCATCACATATGTATCTACCAACTTACGAAATACAAGGATTAAGAAATGCCACTGCCAGAAAGTTGGCTTGGAGTGCAAAGGTCTGCTGTCTATGAAACTAAGTAGGTTCGATAATGCTATCTCGGTCTTAGTATTTATAATTAATATTGAAATAAGTGTAATGCTCAGATAACGCTTATTTATAACTTCTACTTCCGTATACTAAAAATCTCACCATACTCGAGCTGGTATTCAATTCTGAGAAGGATTACCTGAATAGAAAGTAGTGGAGAAGGAAAGAAAAATCAGACGAATGAGAGGATCGCGAAATTAATTACAGTCCTCAGCTTCACTAATAACCTCATCTCATACACATGTCTTACGTGCCTTTCACAACCCGAGGTAACTTTCTCCCACTAGCTTCGACACAGTCTGGGTCTGAAGCCTACATAATAAGTGGATTGCATTACTTCCACTCCAAATTTAAACCTAATATGTATATACAATAATTAAATTCTAATCCACGAAAACTTGTGTAGCTTGTGTTATGCAACATCCTCCCATGCTCATGTGGAGAAACTTTCATCTCATATTTTCACTTGCACGTAATTGACAAAGGTAGAGCAGGGAATATTGTTCTTTCACATGTTCTAAATTTATTTAAGCAGAGTTGGGCTAATCATGAATCTGGATGATAAGAAGAGTGGCTCACTTTTGTTTTGTAGTTATAAAGTATAGCCAAAAGTCAATCGTCCCCTTGGCTCGATATTCTTCAGGACAGAGGAATATGTATTTTTCGTGACAATGGAATTCAAATGAATGGTGTGTGAGGTTGTTTTGTTTAGCTCGGTTAACTTCAAATTTAGTCATTTCTCGCTTTACTGGGCATAAAATCTCTTTGAAATTCAAGGAAATCAGGTTACAAATACGAATCAGTATTATAAACCAACTTTTCAGAGATGGGGAGGATTTGCATGCAAGTGACATTTCAGTATGACGTTTGTATATTGTATCCGTCTTCTCTTGGACATAAAACTGTTTAAAATGATGAGCTGCGATGACAGTTCTGTTTGATTTACGATTTTGAATTTCTCCACGCTCAGTGTCAATGTCTACAAAATGCACGTTGAAGAACATTTGAATAAAAAAAACGTAAATAAAAAATATGATAATACTGGAAATAATAAATTGGTGAATTGAAACATGCGATGAAACAATTCGTTCACATTGATATTCACATTTTTGAATCTCTCGAGTTCATTCAAGGGACTTTCACTTTCACATATTTATTCACTCGTGTTTACAACAAATAAATTACGGACCAAGTAAACTACAAAGAACGGCCTTCAGGCCATTCGCATATCGTGCATTCTGGCACCGCACAGTTTGCAATCTTGCCATTTTGATCCTTTGTTTCTTCTCTCAACGGTTTAATAAAACATGTCCAGGAAGATTTAGTCGAGCAACTTATTGTCAGAAAACGAAACGGAATAACCATTATTTGAATTTAAATGCATTTTTGTACGATGGAAAATGCTAGCTTCGCTTGAAATAAAAATAGCATTGGAAGTCTGAGTGAAAGTGTTGCTCGGAGGATAAAAATGCAAAGGCCAATTCCTCATGAAATTCGCGACTTGAGAAATCCGGATTTAATCCAATACACATCCGCTATTCGACCACCCATCCGCCTGTCTGTTGATTTATATAATGTACACAAGCAGAAGGCTTCCGGTTCATCTGAGATTTCTGATGTAATTTACATACATGTCGAATTTATGTATCGATGAGTCTCGCACGAGTGCGCAGATAAATTGACTTTTCTTGGATTACGTAGACTTGGACTGCATAATATGAAATAAGAAAGTGATCCAAAATGAAAATGATTTTTATATTTCGAAAATGCAAATTTAAAGCCTTGATAGGTCAATGTTCTTTTTATTGAGTTTTGAGTAAACACATTTATTACTCTACACATCGATTTGTTACAGATTACAAATATAAATCCATTCAACGTGTCCAATACACAGCAACAACAAAGAGTTGACTAAATCTGATACCATTTATTTCGTGACATGATTAAAAATCAAACATTTCCCTCCAACCGGTAGAATCGAATAGAATCTTTTGATTTCACTGGTAATTTCTAAAATTTCATTTTTCACTTATTTTATTTCGAAAGCTCCAAAACAAAGGTACTTTGACAAGAGATCAATGAATTGAGATATGGGCAGGAGATACGCAATCTATTTACTATATACATTTAAGTTGCAATCACATAATAAGTAAGTACTGGTTAAGTCTCAAGTACACATATATTAAATACATGAATTAATATTCAACCATGGATAAGGATCCACATAGTCTCATTTTACGCATATCTGTTTCTACACATGCATATTTTAAGTCTAACATATAAATAAATATGTATATAAGCATGACGAGTAAGTTTCGAGTATTGAAACTACGTTTTTTTACACAGAATACATGACAATTCATATACGCATTTCGAATTTCATTAATATAGATCCATTAATATTATGTTGATAATGCCTATATCGAATAGCTAGTAAATATGTAAAGAAACCAAAATTACATATATTTTGCACAGTGTTACGTATATATCCAACATTCAAATAGGCATCATTTAACATTATACATACATATTTATAGAATAAAATCCTAATTCAACCATTCATGAGAATTGTATCCATTAACTCTGCATGTTATGCCAGCTCTTTCGACAGAGATATAATTTCTTATAATCTAATTGACGAGTTTGTAGACAGCTAAATAAATACACGTACATGATTAACACACAACTACGGTCAGTATGGTTATAATTAACTACACATTTAAAACGAAAGTGAGTTTTCAGATCAGGCCCTTCCAGAACGATATTTTTGGGTACCTTGTTAATACTTTGAGTGACTTCTTTATATGTAAATACATCATTTTACTTGTTAAATAGCTGGAATGCAATACTAAATTACCACATACAAAGAGATTATCGAAAAATTGTCACATTTCACAAGCAATCCTTCTGTTAGCACCAACGTTAGTCGTTTGAGTATAAGAAATGTTTAAAGAGTTGAAAATATTCACTTTGAATTTTTACAGGAAATCGATCTTCATCGGAAATTAAACGACACAATGTGCCGCAATTCTACATATGCATCTAATGCTATTTGACTATTTTTATTCTATGTTTTGCTCGATCATCCTGCCACACGAGTTTCAATATGAAGGTCTTTAATAATATTATAATACCAAATCTTGCTTAATCTTGTCAACAAAATATCACATCAACGGTTATTTTAGTAGTCATAATATTTACACTGCTAAATAAATACATTTAGCCACTGCTAATACTGAATGTAGAATGCGACTGCCAACGGTGAATGTTTAGCTGTATGAAAGAATGCATATCATTTTTCGAGCAACAGTCTAAAGTCTAATCATGGATGTATAGGAGTCTAATAGTCAAAAGAGAGTCAAAAGCCGGCATCCTGCACGTAACCAAATGCAAACAATGAGTTGAGCAGGATGCATAATAGTCGCCTATGAAGCAATCAAGACATCAAGAGAGTATGTATCTATGTATGCGTAAAGATAGTCGTAGGCCCCGCAATTAACCCTGCATTACCACGAATAGGTTTCCATTAAACTAAATAACTGTGCTACTTTTGACGTGGTCCAGCGTGTGAGAGTTTACAATACGGTTTGTATGACAGGAACGGCTGGATACAATGACACTTCTTTATGCCGGAATGAGTTCACCTTTGGCAGTCGCATTCTCATGGGTCATGCAGCCTGGCTCAGTTGGATAGCATTCGTAGATCGGACAGACAAATTGCGAGAGATTTTTAAAGATCTTCGCATGTTGCAGCAGAGCAAATCTGCAAAACTGTTTCTGAATTTGCGGCTCATGAAGGAGTAGAGCAGACAGTTGATACCCGACTGGGCGTACATGATGAGAAAAGTAATTGGGGTGAAGAGCGAGCTGAAAACACTTCCTGCCTCATACCCTTTCCCCCAATACTGCCAACATTTTCGAAAATGTATGGGAAAATGACACAGCGCAAATGCCACCACAATAACAATCAACATTTTGATGATCCTTCGTCGACACTGGAGAGCTCTCGTTCCATACTTTGAACTGCGTACAACACGCATTCTTTTTGGACCCTTGGTCGTCGCAGGATTCGAGGAATGCAACCCTTTGAGGCTGGAACATTGAATATCAGGAGCTCCGCAGCTCATGATGGGGGGATTAGTTTGACATGAAACTCCGCAGTGATGGCATGTACCGAAATGGATGAGACTTTGATGAGGTCCTTGGATGCTATCTTTCGACACCAGATGGGAATCTACATTCTTGTCACATCCATCCAGTTTAGTAAAGAGATCTTGCTGAGCCCGTCCATTAGCTGAAAGGGCGGCAGCCTCGCATTTTTCGCAGATTTGGCAGCTACTGACCATCGTTGCCGTGGGCTTAGTTGGGCCTCCGTACGAGCAGGAGTTGCTTCCGCCATGCTCATGAATCGCTCCACTTATGGTAACGGAAGAGTTGCTCATTCGACCATTGCTGCAATTTTTGCAACCACCGGTGATGTCGTCACTCGAGGGAGGAGTGCTTGCGGACATGGTGGATCTCATTAGTATTGTGCACTGGTTGCGTCGGCACTTCCTGAGAGAGCTTTTCTTCTCGAACTTGACTAGAACAAGGGGCTCCGTGTTAATTGAGGTGGGAGGAGGCGGAGGGGAAGAGAGTGGAGTCGAGTCTCGTTTCAGATACGGGGAGACTGGAACGCTTTCCGTCCCACCACCGCCACGGGAGGAAATCACGCTCGCACAACTACTGCAACATGCTTGGGCGTGTGGGACTTGGTTTGTGTGGTGATGGTTGTGAAGGATGTTGGAGGGACTTTGTGGGGTGGTGGACGAGGTGTTCTGAGTTTGAGAAGTTGACTTAATAATTGGTGTTAAGGAGGAGCCTCCATTACACGAAATGACCAGTCCGTTGAGATTTCTCGGGTTGACTTGCTGGTTCGCTGGGATGTTTCCTCCAGCACCTCCACCCAATCCATTAATCGTGGTGAGATTGACTCCAGTGTATCCAGCATATCCAGCGCGATCAGAGCCATAGAAACTCCCACTGCTTCGTCGATGCCGCTTTCGACTCGGACCCTTGACGCAAGGGAGACAGTGGTTGAGTTGCTGCACAATGGACCGTTTTCTTTCCCCTCGCCCATACGATGCAGGAGATGGAGTGGATGAGTTGGCATTTATGCCAGCAGTACTGTCACAACGACAACTGCTGGAACTGCTCTCTGCGGAAGTCGATGCTGACGGCATGTTCGCATTACTGCTTTTCCAAAGTGCAACTCCAATGCGAAAGTAGAGGATGGAGATTACCATTAGCGGCAAGAGAAAGAGAAGCGTCATGCTGACCATATCCACCAACTTTGAATCATACATGAGCCTGTTGGGCACACACAACACTTCCACTTTGCCATCCGGATAGGGCATCGACACGGTATTAAAGTAGTAAAATCTGGGGCTGCTGATGAGACCGCTTATCACCCAGACTGCCACGATTGTCAACTGGAATGAAAAAAAAACTTTTGTCAAACATGTGAAAAGTTGGGAAAGTTATTCAAGTATACATTTGCAAAATGCACGTTATAAATACTTTCAACTTGAGAGTACAGGTTTGCATTATCCACCTTTCGTTGTAATGATACCCGTATGCACTTTTTATTCGTCAGAGTTTCAGTAAAAAAGCGAATGAATGACATGAAAAGTTTAAACGGAAGAATTGAAAAATGTTCGAATATAACATCACGTGCTCCTGTGCTAAATTTTTTAACAAGACTAAATGTGATTTTATTCCAACAAAGCACAAAGGTACGAGTTGTCGATAAGCGACCTTGTGCCCAAAATTTAAAATTTATACGATATTCTGACATTTAACTTGAGCGAAACCTAAAACTGGCAGGTGTCATTGGACGTCGTATAAACCGTCAGTGTTAAGTAATTATCACGTCAGAATTTTTGAGCAGACCGTATGAATTTATTAGATAATTGTTCATCAAGTCAACCTTAAGAGGTGAAAGGTTAATTTGTAAACTACAGTGTAGCTCATAGACTACAGCTTTGGCGTACTTTTGTCCAATTAGCCTTGAGTGACACGTGCATTGCATTAATTTAATTCTGCAACTTGGATGATCGCTAATTTAATATTGAGCTCGGAACAGTATAATTGGTTAGAAAAATAGGGGTTTCGTGCGTTTTTGTATCGAAAAGCATATTACGACTGGTGAAAGCATCTCTCTATAATTCCAACAAATAATATATTGCATTAGAGCCTGTTATGCGTCACAAAGTATTCTAACAAAAACAGGTACTCGTGGCAAGGTCAGACACAAACTTATTTATTATTTTTCTTTTTAGCTCAACTTAGGTACATGTTGCCTTTTATGCAGTAAATAATTACGTCGATAATCGAGTAAACTACTCTCAATGCTATTTCCACAAATTCCCTAACTGAAAATGGTTTAGTTACTTCATGATCCTTCTCAAATTATGATTTAAATTATTTTCTGCTTAATGCATACTCATCAAATTAAAATGTAATTGATGTAAATGTCTTACCCGCAATCGATTTAGAGTCAGCATTTGTTTACAACGCATCGGATGAATGATGGCCAAATAGCGTTCAATACAGATGACCACAAGGATGAGAATCGATGCTGTTGTACTCAGACTGCTGATGAAATGATACATCTTGCACATAAATGAGCCAAAAATCCAGCTGCAAAAAATAAGTAATTTAAAACCTTTTAAATATGTACATATAAGTAATGCATAAGGAAGTTCAATCTGTCTAGACTTTGATTTTATTGGACAAATACGTCCTTCACGGCACGGCTCTGGCCAACTCCTCGGTGAATACAGAAACGGGATAAATTTATCAATAGTTGCATGTTTTAATAAGTACTTCATCAAAATACTTCCAGAAACATGATTCTGTTCAAGTCTAGGATCCTTAGAGCTCGAGTGGTTTAAACCAGCCTTCAAAACACTAAACTGCTATATTTATTCGACGGCATGAAAACGGTTTCATACATAATTACTTACTCGATAACGTCGACCAAAGGAACTAGTAAATACAAATGCATGTGCATAATCGAGTCAAGTGATGCACAGCAAGGAAGCTGTACACATGTTTGGTAAGACGAATTTCATAAAGAAAAACGCCCTTTTATTAAAAAGTTGGGCATACATTTTCTCGCTGGTGGATGTTCTAGTCTTTGCAAAACGTCAATGCTTATGCCTCGAAAGGACCCTCCGTTCTCCCCGGCGTCTGGTGTGGAGAAAGCATTCCCACTCCTTTCTCTCGTTATCTCTTCAAACCAGGCGTCAATGTCACTCGTTTCTCACCAATTCCGCACCAAACACCATGCACCATTTTGGAAATTTGAAACAAGGTCTTCCCTTTTCGACATTGTCATTCACTGTTTCCTTTGACCCTTGTGGAAATTGGGGTTTGAATTATTTGCACTTCTTTCCCAGCATTCCTGACTGACGCACAAGTTCACCATGATGGATAAATAATTACAATCTGCCATCTCAAATCCATGCAATAATCGGACCCTACATGCATATTCAACTCTGCCATCTTACACAACATTTTGCCTGCACGGCTCTTACTATGAAAACTTCCAATGCCAACACTACGTCGCACCTTTGCGCGTGTTTGTTTTTGTCATGTATGTACGTTGCACTTTGACAGCTGAAACCTGTCTGACTTGACTGTCGTCACACTACATCTGCAGAGGTGACCCTATGCAACAGTGTAAGTGGATAGCTTTCTCCGTTACCCAGAGCTACACAATACACACGTTGGTCAAGGATAAAACTGCTTGATTTAATGCGACAGATCGACATTTGCTGGAGGGAAGACAAAAGAAAGCTGAGAGCTTTGGATGACGATGATGCAACACACTCACTCTCACAACAAGTAAGTGTTCCAACTTGTGCATAATCCTTATCTCCACCAGCCCAACTTACGAAGCAACTTTCACTCGGTTTTTGGTAATGAAATCCCATTCCCTGCAAGTGATCAGCGCACTTGTAGTTTTATAGAAGAATCCAAGACTAATCAATTACTTATCTACACACACATCGCGGTGTTATATTTCCACCAATACTTTATCACTACTTTCACTACTGATCTAATACCTACGCGAGGATGATAGTTTGTTACGTCATTCGTAGAATGGATTAATCTTACCTTTCCATCATGTAGGAGATGATGTTTTGGTAAACGCAGAAAACCCCAACGCAAAAATCAGCAAACCTGTAAATCATTGATTTATTTTAAGAAATGTAATCATTAAAGAAGAATAATTTTACATTTAAAAATATTTATTTAGCTAATTAAAAGCAAAGAAGAACTATATAATAAGGAAAAATCATAAGCATCTGTTAAAAATTAGACACGAGGAAAAACTGTTACTCACGCGAGGTTAGCCAAACAGAAGTTCGTAATGGAGCGCATCCTCCAGTGCAGACATACGACAAGCATCACCATCAAGTTTCCTGAAATTAGATAAGAATGTGTTTTTATTAACTCGTGCAAATCTTTAGTATTTGTGCAAATGGGCTGATTCACAGTAATGTTTTTCACTCAATTCTGATCTTCGACGCTTTCCTCTCGAGTCTACTACAGGGCATACGTAATAATTTTTCGTAACTTAATAATCACGCTTTCTCCAAATTAGATTACGCATACAAATAGAAAACATCAGGCTGTCATTTGGAATGTTTTTATTTGTCAGTTATAATTTCTGGTCCACATGTTCGACCTGCATTAGCATTTTCTAGAATAATTAAGCAAGGTCGCCACCTCCTTTTAGCGTAAGATGCTGAATAACAACAAACCCCACATATTTCTTTATAGGTCGTTACGTAGATCAAATTCGCTCGCGGGGAAAATATCTTCCACCCGTTATCAGAAAATTGAATTTTTGAAGCCAAAGGATTCTGGGCTGGATAAATCAAAGATAATTCAAGGTGACTGCGTTCAACTCGTCAGATATTGAACCTTCCCTCATCAACGAGGATGCATTAGCAGAATCGATTAACTGATGAGCTCAACTTGACTGATTCAAGACTACCACGACATTTATAATGCTTGGAGAGAAAGCATTTATGGTGGCTGTGGTGCTTTTCTAACTGCTTTGTATTTACTTAACATGTCATCTGCATTCAAATAAACTAAAATAAACAGTAACGGTGCACAAGAAGCTAGTTGATGCCTTGTTGGGGCAAAGGTGCCTATGTAAATATGGTGTTAAGTAATACAAATCAAGAGACCATACTAATCCTGAGCACACTCTGGTATTAGTAGCAGAACGCAGATTTATTTTCACTGCTTATGTAAATATATGCATACATACATACATAAATAATTTTGTTACTTAACATTCGCATGTTTTCGCAATGCAAATCTAAAATAAATTAACATCTTTTGAAGATGTGCGAACATTTCATATTTCACATTTTAATATGCAGTAATGCAACCAAAGTTTGTACAAAATGACTCCACTGATGCGTTATCAACATCAAACTGGATTGGCTCAATTTCTGTTCTGCTTTCTCTCCAGAAAGAACTTTACGCAAGGTGAGAATTCTGCTCCAGCGAATCTCTCTTCGCCCCAATGACCACATTTTGTACACTTTTACATAAGTTTCATCGAAGCAGGATTAGATTGGGTTAGATTAGAGGATGGTGAAAGCTCCACGTGCTCGTGCATATAATGAATCTAGCACATGCCTCCAAATGCTGGTCTTGAGTTTGGTTATTTCTAAAAATACAAAGAAAATTATATACTATCAGGGATCACAACAGACACGCAATATTTCGATGCTAGAGAAAGAGAAAATCCGAATACTCGGATTCAACCGTGCGGAATTTGTCATTGTTTACGAATAATATAGGCATTCAATATAGGCAGGCATTCATACATATGTATATGCCATACAATTTCCACCCGTGAGACAATTTTAGAGATATCCAATAAACAGCACATTTACAATAAATAAATTATGAAATAGGTGTTACATAAGACTATCGTGCCAATTACGGAACGAAATAATCCTATCCGATATCCACGCTAACAAGCAATAAGCCTTTATAGGCCAAATAAATAGCTTCAAACTTTCGAAATTGCACCCAATCACACTTTGCATTGCAATGATAGTTGATGAACAATTCCTTTTGCGTATACCTATTCATTTGGACTTTTCACTCCTTTCATTTTTAGGAAACTTTGACCCCACATTCACGGTCACAATTTATATTGGGCTACAATTGTGTTCATTCCATTTTTCCTGCCTTATCATAGGTTAAAAAGCCACCATTATACAAAACTGAACTATAAATGGATATAAAATAGTTAAGCGATTAATGTAAGTGGCGGCATTGCTATAAATATAAGCTCTACACTTTCCTTTTCTTTTTGCCCTAAATTACATACTCTTAGGCAGTAAAAATATCGTTCTTGCAAAACTTTTATCAATAACAATTGCCAAGTTTAATCCACTTTTCGTCTGTGACATAAGCATTTGAACGTTTTTCTTTTCCGCAACGCTGCAAAAATTACGTTTGCCAGTGAAAGCCCTATAATCAAAAGCCATATAAATTTATTTAGAAAAAATGTGTTTAGTCACATTCAACAAATATGTCTGATGCTATGAAATTACATGTACCGTCAAGGTTTCGGGATTTATATTTATTTATGCACATGTTTGCGTGTCCCCTAATTGATTGTATGTCTAGATTGCACACGACGTAAAGGGCACAGCAGGAGTTGAAAAAGTGCATGCCAAACCAAAACAAATCAGTGAAAAGACTTGCTTACAACTAAAAAATTACGCAGGTGCAGTTTCAAGAGATGTAATCACCTTTGCCAATTACATGAACGACACGCCGCCGTCTGTAAGCATTCACCTCCTGTAATTTTAATTCGTACTTCACACTAATTTCTGCCTTGTTTCTTGAATCTTACAATGAAAATATGCGACCAAATAGTCAAAGATTTTATCTCATGGACGAAGGTAATTCCATATCCGCGAATACTGTGTCACTTATATTTATATACTCATATTTATCCCTGTGAGCTTTAGGACCTTGAAGGTTAAAGTGCAGAGTGGGCAGATGGATGAACTATATATTTATGTCGTCAACCATTCTAAAGGAGAAATTATTTGTTTCAGGCTTTGTGGTTTTGTCGGCTTTCTCCTAGACACACATTTTTGCCTTGGCTTTCATTGGTGCTGAGGAGCTCTGATTGATCCCGTTATCTGCGTGACATCTCCAGTTATTCTGGGCGTGCCTCAGAGTCATATCAGACAAGGACGGGGCCAGACGACCTATTACGTGACGTTGATGGAGACTTGGAGACATGACATTGCCAACTGAAATGACTTCATATTTGAAAAGTAGGAATGTCATCCAATTTTTACATCTTTCTGTGCGACATAATTTATCAAGCTAAAAGATCCCATTTCTGAATGAACCTCGTTTCCTTGGGCATTTTCCACTTTATCTTCATTTCCCTCTTGTCATTGTAATGAAATGTTCAACGCTTCCACTCCGCTTCACATTAGCACTTACACACATATAAATTCTACATCTACTTGAACGAGTGAAACAAGAATGCCTATGCGCAAAGTTGGTAAAATTATAATGTAGCTCTGTCAGACTATTCACTCCATTTCAACAATGCACTTTGTATATAAAGGCCAGCGTTTAGAATACCTTTCCACTCAATTTCTTATAAACGACGTCAGACAACAATGCGTGCTTTCACTTTATCTTTTCGTTCTGAATGCTTAGATTAATTAATGCGGTAAGTATTTATAACCAAATTTAACAAAGGAACAAAAAGGAGATTGTGGAGCTGGTCTTATTATTCCGCGTAATAACTATAATCATATCAGATTTTTCAGTCTAATTTCATTGCACCATTGTAGTTTTTATGTGGAACATTGAGCGACTGTAAATTCGAGCTTATGTACTGCAAGCAATTATTTATTTTAAGTTGAAGTATTTAGGAAACCCTTTATTTGATCTACATCCGCGCATATCTCTCTTATCACGAATGAGACCTCGAGCAAGTCTAAGCATAAGTCTGGAAACCTGAGACCTTTCAAAAGTTCTACGCAATTCAAGTTCTTATTGTCTTAAATGGGATTGACGAAATTAATATTTAATTAGTTTACTATGCTGTAACACAATAAATAATCAAGTCAATCTTGTAGCCAATTGTTCCAAGTTGAAAACCCTTTGTATCTAATTATAAACCGTAAATAAATAAACATTGGTTTATGCAAGAACCACAAATAAATTGTTACTTAAGCTGGAAGTTACATGTTACTCAACCTTAAAAAAAATAAATAAATACATTTATGTATTTTTGCACAGCACACAAGACACACCATATGCAAATGATGCAATAACCGAAAAATGTTTCCATCTGAATATTGCCAAACACTTGAGATAATCTCCCCGACATTTGAATGACAGTGCTTAAACGTTGAATTAAATCGGATTAACGTTAACACAAGATCCCATTATTCCTGCACTGCACATGTTTCCGTTTCTCCAACAAATCTCCCTGCCGTCAACAACTCTGTCTGGTTTCGATGAAAGTGCGGTCTATTGGTTCACCAAATTGAACTCCAAACACAAAAAACTCTTTCACTTGACAATCTTTAATCTTAACTCGAGTTTTCTAATATTCTGGTGACGCAAATATTTTCTTATTCACATATTTATCGACTAGCTTCCGGTTCAAAGCAATTGCATAACTGTTTAGCAACAATTGATACGTGGCGTTGCATATTTGTACGATATTATGCTAAATCAGTCGCTAATCTCCAATCAGCTTTGCGACAAGATTGTTTATTTTGTGTTGAGGAGGAGATCATTACATAAATAAATAGGAAATGGGTTTGTTTGCAGGTCCCTCAGGAGGTGATAGGATGCAATAGTTTGAGTGTTTTTGCAATGAATATTTCATTCGCTTGGCCGGATCAGATAATTTTCTCCGGTTTGGCGTTTTCTCTGTGGCATTAAATTTATTGTCCAATGATTATACAAATATAAGCAGTGAAGCTGTATCATTAATTTCTTGGTGAGAGCAGGCGACATTCTTGTTAATGGGATTCTCATCCGGGTGAAAGCCAGCCTCGTGAAACGAGTTTCCTCCTCCAAGAGAGAGTCTTTCGGGATTTGGATTTATTTTTTCAGGGGACAATGCCTTTTTCCCATCCCACACGTTAGTAGTGCATGGGCAAACGGTATTTTTAACTCGGGTTAAATTGTATCAGTTTCAGGTCCGGTCGTGGAATTTGCTCCGGCGAAATTTTATCTATTTATCCGTATTTATTTTTTTGGGAGTGCAACTGCACAAATAAGACTTTGTTTGAAAATACTTTACAGGCTTTATTAAAGAATTACAGTGGCAGTAGTATCCCTTTCTGCGATCTCTTGACTTTTGTTTTAAAAAGAAAGTGGAGAAAATCAAGGTTAAATAGTGGGAAATGAGGCGGCGAGTGCCTGCACATATAAAGCAAAGGAAAAATGCCTTTCTCTTCTCTTTCACGAATTGTATAAATAAACTTTGCTCGGTTTCATCTAGATTGCAGTAGTTCGGAACGGGGAGAAATTTCGGCTTCTGTGGTGAACCAGATTGGTACATTAACAAGAAACATAAAAGTTTTGTGCTGGTTAGCCCTTCGCACGATCAGAGGTGCATAAAACACATTGGAAGCACCTGCGCTGGTGCGGGCATTTCTGCAATTAGGAGTATCAACGGTCGATAGGTTTGGCCGATTCATTTGTTCCACTGACACAGTCATTGTCAAGAACAATAAGATGGATTTTTGGAGACAAGGCCAGCTTTCTCCTTTCAAGTCGACGACAAACACAAAAGACTTTGTAAAAATGAGACGTTTTGAGTCCAGGCCAAAACTCACGAGAAGTTGACAGCGTCTAAAACCACTTTGTCGTCTTTTGGATCATGCACATTGCAAATATCACTTCAAACACGCCCAGTGCTAATAGCTAATTCAGCCCTAAACCCCTTACTTATTTTTAGAGTGTCACAGTCGGGAGTAGGCAACCCCGCAAGATACATGCTGGACAAAGGAAATTCGGAACCTTAGGATTTGGAGAGGGTTGAAGGGAAAGCAGTTTGAAGTGGGTTTGTCCTCTTGGTGAGGAGGAATCAATGAGGAAGTGCCTTGTATAACTAGGAGAATGGAAACATTGTTTGAGATATTTTTGGTCCGCTGGTGGCAGTCGACCACTCCAAGGAGAAAACTGTTCTCGTGTTGCTGGTTCTTCTCTTTTGGCTTCAAGTCAAAGAACGAGAGCCGTCCTTGGTGGGAAAGGTTTTAGCAACAAATTCTACCTTGATGAACTAGGATTTCTTTCTTGGATAAATTTAATTCAAGGCGTAAAATTTTGCCAGCGACACCAAAAACAGGGAAGCATAAAAGCACATGGTCTCACATTGTCTCGCTCGGTCGTCTCAACGCAAGGACCGTAACTAAGCTATCCCTTCTACCACTTCCCTCCTTCCTTGGATACTTTTTCGTGTGAAGACGGAGAGAAAGTTGGCGGCATGAAATCATAAAATCCAAAGCTTTCACGTAAGCGATCTCATTACTCCGTCTCAGCCTCCTCAGGTGTAGAACTTCCTGGTTACCCATAGTCTACGATATACGCCTGGTAATTTAGCCACCGTAATACGTAACTCGTGCAACTTGAAATACAGCAGCACAATTTGGCTCCTGATGTGTCTGCATTTACAAGTAAAATGAGAATCCTCGTGAAGTATGGTACAAAAGATTACATTCTCTACACTCGTATGCGACTATATGTATTTTCAAAGCCAACTAAAGTGTCACATGAAATTCTCATCTTGCCTCTTCTCATTATTCTTTGATTTTTCCTGAAACAGAAATGCTGCACAAGATCAAATCGGTCACCGTGCGATGTGTTTATGCTACAAAAACGAAGTAGGAAATATGCGAGGATGGAATAACTTGAGATGTTTTTGAGATGGAAGTAAAGAATTTAAATATTTTAGCAAGAAAAACTTGACAGTTTTCATTACTGTCTTCATTTTCTCATTCATTCTTTTCTGCACGTGAATTACTTTTAAATCGGAATGTTGACGCAGTGCAGTATTTGCATAGTTCAAAAGAAGAATTAAAAGGTGAGTGTGTACATAATGGACCCCAACGGCGAATTGTAAGAGCTGAACTTTGGGGAAATGTTTTGCGAAAACAATTTCAGCTTTAAACAAATCGTCACTTTGCTTTGCTTTAGCTTTTGCAGAGCACGAGACAAATCATCGACAACTGTTTATTTTTACTCGGATTTTCCAACAAATTTTCTAAGAACCTTTGGCATCCGTGGTGGTGGAGGCTGAAAATGTCGCTCAAAACTCGCATGTCTGTATCTGTTAATCATTAGGCACGATTAACATATTGACTCTCGAAAATGTTTCGTCTATGCAGAATTTTAGATTCAATGTTGTTTTTCGTAGGAAAGATAATAATTTTAAGCCCGAGTATCAACAACCGAGTAATGGGTTCTGCAACAAATGCCAAAAAACTGAACCTCAAATTGCATGTGCAGAACAATGTGAACATGCACGTACGTATCTAATATCTGATGTATGTATAGTATGCATGTTGGGATTAAAAATATGTGCTATTTACAATGTGCAGATTTGGAACTCGGCATTGAAGATTATCAAACATGCGGAACAGGAAAGTCAGAACTATGTACGACAAATCGAAATGTGACATGATTTGATCAAAAACTCGCCGAATCAAAGGGAAGTCATGTCAAATCAGAGAGATCCTTGATGCGGAGGCCTCCTGAGCCCTTGCGTCTCCCCAAATAAGAAGAATAATAATAATGCTAATAAGGTGGCGGTGGTTGCTTACCAAAGAAACAGGAGCAGAATACGATGGTGTAGAGCGTGAGAAATATGGCCCTTACATCCGTTCGATCAAAAATGTATTCCGTGAGGTCGTTGAAGATGGTGGCGTTGTTGTCGAAGCCTTCTTCCATCCCGTGCTCCACCATCGTCTCAATGAGTTCCGTGGATGTCGCAAGGGACGAGTCTGAAAGTGAATTTAAATCACATTTCTCATGATGGAGACGCATATTGACACATTAACCTGGACCCATGCATCTTGGAGGAGGACGAGTCCATATATTTATTTATATACAAGTCGCAACCCCACATTTTCCGGCGGTAGAGGAGACGTATCATTACCATTTCAGATTTAATGCAAGATAAGCAAATACGTACAACATTCTAAATCAAGTCAATACTCGCATTATTTGTGACACGGCGGTGGATGGATGGATTCCCATTCACTTTCACCTTCCAACCCACGCCATGACCTTAAACCTCGATCGTCCCATCAAACACCACAAAAGCAGCAATTCCGTTGAACTGGCAAGTGGTGGAGTTGTAAGTATTTTGGTGTTACTAAAATATTCAAAAACGGCTTATTCTGTGAAACTGGAGATTAGATCGTCTAGAAGAAGACGGGATCTCATCAATTGTATTATTTTCCGCATACACAAGCTGCCTGGTTATCACTCAGTCATCTGCTGAATGAGTTCATAATGTGTTTACCACTATTCATTTAGGCCTCTCCTACTCTTATCACCGGGTGTTTATTGGTTGGAAAATACTTGCTTTCCTCAGAATTTTTGAATCTGAATAAATATACAACGTCTCCTAGTACATATTTCTTACACACTGACTGAGGAGAGCCTGTTCTTTGTCACAGTCTTTTCACGTCATGCTGAGTGCCCTTGTACAAGTTCATTTGAAATATAATCAGTGTTGCAAACTTTGACATTGACTCCAAGAAATGCTATCTGAGCAAACATATTGCATGGTAAATAAGTATGTTCAACCTGAGCGTGGCATGAAGAAAATGTGTGAAAACAAGTACATAGAACGCATGCAAATGAGTAAAATAATTTATCTTAACCATCTTAGTTGAATTACCTTTGTGTGAAATTGGATGATAAACTTTTTCCATATAAAAGTTGCAAATTATATATGCAAAGCTACTAGAGTACCCCAGCACCATGCATGCTTTTCAGTTTGCAGTGTCTTGCTCTTGATACTGTGTGGCTCGTAGCCTTAAAAATAAATTCGCTAAAACGGAATCCTCAGCTTATTTAATGTTAATGAGCTTGGAAGAAACTGCACTTTGTCAAGTGACCTTTCTAATTACAGCGTATTACATCTGAATAAGTAATTACCTACGCTTTGCATGTATGTACTTAAGCATGTTCAGTGGGTGAAAACTCCCGAAACGTATGTAGCCCGACCCACCGACCGTATAGCCCAATAACGCATGGTCGAAATAGATAGCGAGCCTTATTAAGGACTCCAACTCGCAGTGCTACAATTATGAAACATGCTGAAAAGTGGATAGAATTATCAGTCATCAACAAGTATAAATGGCACGCTGTAATTATTTTGATGAATGCACGAAACCAAACAACTAATTGATGACTTACTGGTAGCTTCCAATGCACTGGCAATGGCTTCATTTATAATTCTCGTCATCGTGTAGCCAACAGAAATTGAGCCCTCGTGTCCCGATGAATACCAATTTATTTCGGCTGTGTAGCAGTGGTCCACACTTTCCACCCGAGTTTCGGCTCAACACTTTATTTTGGGCTGCACACGGATACTTGCAGTGATAAATTGAGACGAATGTTATTCAATGCACGTCAGGGAAGAGGTTTATGAAAAAGAAAATCAGAGTTTGTCGTCGCACGTCACCACCAAGCTCGCAAGTGCACGGTGGCGGAACAATAAATTACTTTGAAAGTCAAAACCGGATGGTATTCAGAAATATATAGTTTGAAGCAAACGGGCTTGTTTCAGTTCACGAGTTGCAAAATGTACAGAGAGCGAAGAGTCAATAGCTCACGATTTCAGCTCCCTAACAAAACATCACCACTTGCCCGATTTGGGGAGGCGAATCTCTCGGGCTGAGATAGCGAGAAGGAAGCCGGAGAAAAGTTTCGTCTCACTTTGACTTTCTCTCCTCCGCGATGATGTGAATGAACAAGACGGTGTTAACGAGAAGTTCTTCCTTCCTTGAACCACAGCTCCTTTTATACAAACATAAAACAAATCCAGCGGGTCTGGAAGTTGTAAGTGTGCACAGCAACTTCCTTAATTTCCGCTTTAGACGAGAATCTTGATCCCAAACGTCTGATGATGGACCAAAAACGCCAACCACAATTATTTTTCTCGCGAAATAATTCTTTCACGGAATTCCATTCACAAGTTGGCGATGATTCGGAGGGCAGCGTTGATGCAAGAAGAATGTAGTTCTATTCACAACTCGAAATGAGTATATTTTCTGTCCGTACGTATATCATTCTCGGGCATCTATTACACGTCCACCTTGAACCGTGCCTGGTCCAAATGTATTTCTGTCTTAGATGTTTAATGCACATTCAACCATGAGAAATAACATCATTCTTTTCTTATTTTTCTCCCTGTCGGGCGTGTTGATTGTATTTCTCGTTTCGCAAAGTTTGGCGTTAAATCAAGTGAAAGTGGGGAAAACGTGCCAAATATTGAGAGAATTGCCCTGTTAACTTGCTCGGTATGATTTTATCATCATGCCAGAGATACCATAAACAGCACCCATTTCACTCAGCACAACCTTTTAGCAGCTAATAGTCTGCTTGTCCATTGTGCGGGTCGCACAACTTTTTAAAGTACTCCGCTACCCTCTTGACTCGACAAGTTCTGACACTCGAATACACAAAGCGATGTTATTTCATTCAACTATAAGTGTGCAATATCCGCGTGTGTCCTGCACCTCCAACTTCACGAGAAGCGTGTGTTTTTGAACCTACGTACGTATGTAGGCATTCACCTAATAATGCTAAGTCGGAGGCTCTGGAGTTGGATCCCAGAAGAAGCGCTTCGGGTTTCTCAAGCAAGACCCAAACTTTCGCTATTTTATTTCAATAAAGACGCCAGCGAACTTTACTACGAAGCAAACTTTTTTTCATTCTGTACAAGAGTTCACCGTCGTATTGTCCATTCCGTGACTGACACTCACAACTGTCAGTTACACGGAGAAGCAGAAGGTCCGTGTGTCAGTCCCTGGTGGACGAGATTAGCTTTGCAAGAAATTCCAACGAAACAAAAGTGCACAACGGCGAAATACAAGTTCAGCTATTATCCCGAGACGAGAAAGCTATTTATGTAAATAGAGTTATTATGTCCGGTTGAATAACCAGTTAGGGAAAGTCAATCCTGATAAGTTTTGATTAAAGGAATCACACCAAGCGAGACGGGAATATGTGTCTCGAGTCCTGTTGCTCTGTCCGAGAGCTGTAGACTAGTGATCTGATTTCTGGGGAATGTTGGAGTTTTCGCCTGCATAGCCGTATTGAAAACAGCTCGACCGACGCCTGAGTTTAGTGAGACGACGACTCTCTCGGCTCTACCATATCTCACCACGGGTTTAACAATACGCATTGTAGAAGCGCCCTTATTCTTGCCCTCGCCGTGTACTCGTACATATTTTGGGGGTGCTTCTAATGCCCACATTTTGAGTTAAGGAAGCGTACGATATCAATTTTTCTACTTGAAAATTTTGCCCTTACAAGTGAGCAAACTGAATTGGCTGATAACACACAATCCGGAAACGGCAGCTTTACGTATCCATGAATTTGGCAGCATTTATGAAAGAAAGTCTGAATTGAATTAGTTTGACGGAATGGTACAATTCAATTTACTATTTGCAACTACGCACGACGGGACTTTATGAATAAACAGAGCAGCGCAGTTGAAGTTTAGAAAAAAGTAGAGACAAATTCAATTATAACGAAGGCAGGAGGAGGAAATTGTATGCCGCGTCTGTAAAGTTCCTAAAATAACTGGAACGTACTCTCCCTTTGTTCAACTATCTGTACGGGGGACACAATCCGCTTAAAACACAACGTCTGAGAAACCTCTTCATCAGTCTCCAAAATTATTACCACTTGAAATGTCAGAGCTGTTGTCCTTTCACGAAACAATGAACGACGGTTCCTACTCATATAGCCGACATCTGCTCATTTACAATCTATAGTTTGTAACACTGCCTGCGAATAAATGTCTTTCCGATGATTGAACTGGATAGAGATTGACGACGACGATGAAGAAGAAGAGCTGGATACGTAGGGAAGGAACCATTCCATATGCGCTGGTTTCTCCGGGTTGTTAACTGCTAAACTAATTATGTACCACTTGTTTGCATTATGTCGTGGGTCGTGGTTGGATCAATTCATTCATTCGTTCATTCCGTGCGGTTCGTGTGTGTGATTTATTATCTGGCTGCTCCTCTCTGCCAAGCCACAACTGCAGAGTTGTACATATGCAGTCAGATATGTGCAGATACATACATGCATACACTATCTATGTCAACAAGAAAACTATTTTGCAATGGTTCAAGAAAGTGTGTATACCACTCCACATCAATGACGGACTGGATAAAACTTTGGTCTAACTTTAGCTCTGTTTGATATATTGACGAATCTGACAAAAGGAGTTGGGAAATAAATTAATGTTACTGGATATTCTTGCACCACAAAGTTCTGGTTCAGTCCGCGGTTCCACCAGTTAAGCTGTGACCACAACTATGTGACTCTGACATAAGCGACTGCCTGCCTTCGCTTCGCCGGAGCATCTCGCCAGCATCCATTGTCTGGCTCTCCATGCTTCGCAGAAGAACCTAAACAACAATGAAGGATGAGGAGCCCGGCCGACATTCCTTGATGGAATTTTATATATGCAACGAAATATATTTATGCAACTAACTGCGTGGGTAATCTAATTAGTCTACTTTCCCTCTTTTCCCTTTTCTATCAGCATATAGTAATCTTATTAACACGTTTTTTTTTGCTAACGACTGGCTCAAGAGCTCGTTAATGTTTTTCTTTCTTTAATTTGGTTTGCTTTCTTTTCTGCTCAGCAAGTATTCGGAACTTTCTCTCGCTTTCTATCTCTCGTCCTCCTCGGATCTGTTGTGCTGTGTTTGACTTGCATTAGTTCAGCCGTACCACCGAAATCTACGGGTGATCCAACTTTGGGAGGTCATGCAGATTTTTGCTCTTAATGGATAAAATATGTTCCTTCACTTCCATTAGTCGACTCCAATATATAGTTATCTCCAACCTTGGCTAATCTTGTTGCAAAAAGTGGTATCCATGAGTAAACTAACTGCCCAACCTAACAGTTTTTCACCATGAATATGTTTAACTTGGCTTGATTTGCAGTTCGTTTCTGGCTCTGGCTAAATATTTAAGTCATTTGCCAAATTTTGGTTATGTTCCATTTTCTTTCGCCGATACTTTATTGGCATGTACAATTAGGGTTATGTTCTGTAGTAAATATATCACGCAATGTGTCTGTCGAGCAGCATAAAATAGTAAATTTTAATCAGTTCCATTTAGTCCATTTAGTTCCATTTTAATCAGTTCCATCAGATCAATTGAATAAAGTCAACAACTGGTGACTTGAAACAAAGTAAATGTACCAAAGAGAACGCATTACGTTTTAATTACTAACTAAAAGAAAGCAAAACATACGGCGGGTAGTTTCAGATCATCTTTTACGGATGAACCGGAACTTGAGATGATGGTCTGCAGTAAAAGTCTCGTTAATCACTCAGTTAAATTTTAACGACGACGAGTGGGCAACCGATGAATGTTGGGCAGAGTGGTTCTCAATTAATCAGCGACTGCTTCAAGAACGGTCATGTCTGTCAACCGAGATGGCAGTCACCCAAGGCAGTTGGACGCCCAATAGATAGATACGTAGCTGTGATAACTATCTCACCAACACAGGATGGAGCAACTAATGGATTCCATTGGTTTCATTGAGGTCTTTATCCGACCGGGGTTGGTTCACTCTGGAAGCGGTGTCGCCAGTTCTGAACTTTGCGGAACATCGCATGACAGTAATTTGAGATTGTCATTATTATAACACAGACACAATAACTCACTGTAAATTTCTTGACAAGTTACGTAATGCACAAATGTATGTGCATAAAACAAGCTTTCCACTGATGAATAATAGTGGTAAGTCTGCGGTGAAAGTCTAGAGTCCAATTGAATTATGCTCATTCCCATTCACACCTCAAGGTATTTGGGAACCCATGAGTATTGGATTGGAATACGTGCATGTCTTACACAGTTTTCTTACATATGCACATTTGTACTCCCACAAAATCTCCATAAATTTCCCCAATTCATGCACCTTATTAACAAACCTAATTACAATCCGAGTGCAACAGCTGAATGCAAACTATATTATTGAATTTATTCTAACTAGATTCAAACAGAAACTGCACAAACAAATTATGGAGGTGCACAAAATTAAGTGACTGCACTCAATTTGGTTGACATTAATTGGGAAAACACAATGTGTCGTAATGCAGCATGGCAGATGGAGCATTATGATGACAGCTTAAACTGTCAATAATTAAAACATTGGATGCTGTTTATTGGGATAGCTATTTAATAAGAACAGATGACGCCTCAAAATTATACATCATTAGGGATGGTAATGAAAATCCGAAATGTGGGACAATTACGAATATTATTCCCATTGCTCACAATACACACAATCAGCTTCATTAAAACTGATCCTAAATTAAATCAAAACCAATATGTTCATACACACATATTACATTCTGAATAGTGGCTAAAATATTCTAGTTTTCTCCTAAATTGTCCCCAACCGCAGCCCACGCTAGAACATGAGTATTTAATTTATGCATACGTACCCGCTGCTTGGTGTAAACAAAAACCTCATTATTTGTCCAAATTAAAATTATTTGCATTCCTTCTTCTCCTGGCTTCGCATCCATAAATATGTGATACCATTTTCGCTTTCGTGCTACTGCCGTCCTTTGAATACACACATTTTAAGTGCACGCTGAAGAAAATCATAAAGTCGTGATGTTGATTTGGTAGTGACTTTCACTGAAATGAAGGTCTTTGAAATTTATGAATGTAGGCATGAGTAAGAGTGCAAAGCTCCAAAGAAGCATTCATCAAAGTTATGGAGGCGACGTGAAGAGATACATACTCGAGTAAATAAACTGGCTTCAGCTGCAATGTTTGGATAGCTGTGTGCATCACAAATGAAGGAATAAAAGCGAGGAAATGGTACCAGATCAACCTGTATTTTATGTCTCATGATGTTTTTAATATCTGCCCCGTGTAGGAACGACTCTTTTTTCCCAGGAGACTTCATCCGTCTCTGGACTGGGAAAACCGGCGGAGACAAGGAAAAGGAATATTCAGAGAGAGAGGAATTAAATTTGGTTCATGAATTTCTTCCACACAAGACGACCTGGTCCACAATTGCCTTGCAAAATCCAGCAAACTGAGGGTGATCTATCCACAAAGGTATTGAGAATGGGACAAAAGTATGTAGGAAATGGTTTTCGGTCTCAGCACTAAGGCGCTATATTCTTGAGGAAGCATCCAAATTTTTCTTGCACTATCGCGCTTGCCTCTGGAATGGGTTCCTCCATTCCATTTGCAAACGTCAAGAAAGTGGAAGGTTTTGGGTAAAGTGTAAAATGCATTTGAGAAACGGATCTGCTCCATGTTTGCCCAGCCTTTCCGACAAAATATCAAAGTGGACCAGTGGTTGGTCATATTTGGAGCAATTTTGAGCCAAACCGTTCAAAGTGTTCCTCGTAGACCGTCTTCTTCCCTCCACTGTGTTATTAGAATTCAGGACATGAGACATGCCAAACGCGCCGCTTTTTTACTGATTGGGATTCTTTCCGAATTTTCGTAGCCAGTCCCTCCTACATACTTACGTCCTTACGTACGTACGTACTCCATCTACCATACCACACACCTCTGATAATAAAAAAAACTATGTAGGAGGAGAACCAGGTTCGTTCCATCATAGATTCTTTAGATCTTTTGGTGCTGATGGTTTTCTTCAGTGGCCCTTGCGAAATAAATTGCATCCTCTTCTGCGCTAACAGAAATAGGATGGTGGGAATACTGGGACATTGCCCAAGGGATGGAAAGATGAGCAGCTCCATGCACTGCCTGTTTTCCCAAGCCATTTCCCACAAGGAGATGAACGAACGCCAACTTATTGGCAATGTCGGAGCTCCACAATGATGTAAACTGCAGTGAAAGCTGTGGTTACCCACGTGCCATCTCTACGTCCTCACAATGATGCTGCCACTACACACCAACCGCTTGTCGTGTACACCACTATATTGCAAAAATGGGACCTACATAGTTAAAGCTGTGCGTGGTTGCTGCTTCATTCCTGATCCTTGACTGGATTGGAAATTGCTATTTATATGGTTCAATGACGCTCAAGTCTTCCTCTTTTCGAAGGGAAACATGACTTTTTGTGGCTTGATAACCTGTCTAATATTAGACTTTGATTTGCTTTCATCTCCATTGCCTTCGACACCTCAAAGATTTGGTCCAGAGAGTGAAAGTTGTTTTCTGAGGCGTCCCAAAGTCTAGTTTTATGCATGCACATGAGGAAATCACATCATACGTTCCCTCGTTTAAATCGTGTGGGACGTTGTCAAATTAATTGAATAATTTTCACTAAATAGGAATCATTTACATAAGGTCACTGAAAGCTGTATGGATTGTATGCATTGCATGTGAGTAAATGTATGCATTTAGTTTGCTGTTGAACCAAAATAAATATGTACCGTGTACACATTTGGTCTGGCTATTTTCTTGGAAGCCCTATTTTACTCAACTCGATATGGAATGAAAATAAATGAAAATTTAGAAATTCAATAGCCTTGATTGAGTACGATATGTGTGCTATGAAATAAATTGACGTAAGCTTTGATAATACAATAGTTGGAATTATTTATTACTGATCAAATGTACAATTTAAGCTGAAATACACATGAACTTTTAATGATAAATTCGAGCAACAGAAATGTTAAGGTCACAATGTTTTTCATTAAAACATCTTTGTGTAGGAAGTTGAAAAGAATTTCTGGGCTATTACTGGCTCACTATTGTTTCAATAAAATTCATCTTTGGTAACCTGTCTAATGGCTTATCTAATGAATATAAGCCAATACGCGTGCACACTATGTGCACATACTTATATGTATATATATGGCTAATAAATATCTTATTCCGTAAATAGTTTGCATAACTAAAGTTACCTGCTATTATTCAATTTCTTGTATTTCGTCTTGTCCTTGATCGTCTCTAGAAGATGAAATAAAAAGAACACAGAAACCTGCAAAACAGCCCGTGTAGTTTTGATTTGATGAATAATTATCTTACACTCCTACATAAATTCTTAGTAAGTACCTATATAATTTTCTCTTGTGAACTATGCAAATGGAATTCAAGGTCTGGAAAAGGGGATCGAGAAAGAAAATTGGACAAAACATTATGCATGTCCTATATAAAACGAAATCATGAAAACCAATATTTAAATTGCTCTCGATATTCAATCATTTCGCTCGTATATATTCTCATTTTCTCCTTATACGCGAAGTTTCGCATGTTATCTCAAGTCGACATCAATGGATTCAACTTGTCTGCGCAAAATTAGACCCCCTTCGGCTCAAAAAGTCAAGCGTGCAAATGTTATAGAATGAGAATTATAGGTAGATGCAAGTAATTATGTAAGCTTGTTAAGACTAAGCTAATTTGGTCAATCGCAATATATTGCATTTCTCTTTATATTAAGTTTCTGTGAAATGACTGAATAACTTGTAAAGATGCATTATAAGAATATTAGCAAAACTGCAGACACCATTGATTTTAGCAGACCCTTACATTGCATGCGTATGATTACATTGATTAATCAAAGAAATGTGCAAGTTGGCATCTTTACTATTCATTCCGCTGTTTGATAATCAACATTCTTCTATTCTACATATTCAAATCCTCATAATTTTTTTAAAACTCTACACATTGCTCAAAATGTATTTATGACCTAACAGTGGTGGAAAATTGAAATTTTATGATTTCACATATGTCGCACAACCTGTAAAATATGTTTGACTTACTGTTGATTCTATTGCACCAGATTGCAAATTGCAACATTATCCGACTGAATTGTTCCTGCATATGCTGATCTACTATTACCATTAGTGGTGATTCATTCACGTCGCCATAATTCGCCGTTTGCAACATAAATCAATGAAAATGAACCCATTTGCTTTCGACGAGAGACTGACTCCTGAAAAGAGACATCGGAGACTAAAGCAATGACGGATGAATTCGATGGCTGCCTGTTCTTCCGGAAAAGTCGATCAGCCAATTGCTTTTGGAATCGGAGTAGGAGACCAATATGGATAATTAGGATAATCTCCCATGTCCTTCTTTCATCATGCTTCCCATCGACCGTTTCCACTTACCTGATACATTTGATGGCAGGTCCGTACACATGTTTTCCCCGTCGTTGCACAGGAAGCGATCCGTCTCTTCGAATATCTACGCGTCATTTAAAAAATAGGAACGCTTATTTTCTGCATCATTTCAGTACGCGAGACAATCATCATGCGAGCACAAAACCTTTTGCATTAGTGCGCACAAATCCATCCATTGGATTCAGTTGTTGAAAACTTTGAACAAACGGATCCATTGTGCTTCAGAATTGGGGAAAACAAGTTGTTAATACTTTGGTGCCTATGCAAACAGCGTGTACTAGAAAATATTGTGGAATACAAATAGTCAGCTTTAGTCCCATCCATGCATGGTTTGGTTAATTAGTCCTTGCATAACAGTTGGCAACCAACAATATTGAAAAAATTAGTTGGCTTCGCAAATTGTTCACGTAATGCTCTCTTGTGCAACATTGAAAGTGGGATTGTAAATACGTGGCTAAATTGGGATAAGCAGCAAAGGCTTCAAACCCCAGTCACGTGTAGTGAAACGTACGAGTGGACTCTCTCAGGATTAGCCTATAGTGCAAACACATAAGTGACTCCCTTTCACCAGATCATTTTGAAACCACGAGAAATTGTGAGAAACTCGGCTTCACACCTGCCCACTCTGTTCCCCATGTATTGAACGTTACGCTGTTCGGATGCGACTGTAAATTCCATGAATCCTCCCCTTGCCCTTGTGAGCTGTTATGCAAATCCCAAGAATTACTGACTTGCTCAGTGACAGAAGGACATTATCTTTATCCTAAAAACTAACTGAAATACTAAAATGGAGAGAAACAATTTCAGCCGGTGCCCTTAAGCCTACTTTGAGTCAAATTGACAAGGAAAACAATTACCCAAAATCTTGGAGTTTCCAACTCGCAACCCGTGGTGAAAATATGCACCCAAGTTTCTTTCTCCTTGAATTGTCTAAATAGGTTGACATGTGAGGATTTCCGTCTCTGAATTCTCTGAATTGAAGGGGATCAAGGCTGGAAGTGTGTTATCTAACCAAAAGAGGATCCCAACTAATGGATTCAAACAAAGAAAAGGAGAGTAGCGTGGAACAAGGTGGCGAAGAGTCGTCCGTCCAATTGCCCATCATCTCGATCCATGGAGAAAAGTCACCTTCAATATCCTCCCAATTTTCTCGACAATCCAGTGGAGGTCGTAAACTGTTGAGAGAAGATGCGATGGACGACAAGGAGGACGAACCAGACGTGGATCCTAAGTCGACAGTAATAAAGCGTCGAATGACAATGCCAGCCTCAACATCGGATTTTCGAAGGACTTTGAGCGAAGAGGCAAAGTATGTGTAAAAAGTATACGGTCGTCTCCCAATCTCTCGTGGAGACAACTTTTGGTGTGGCTGCACAATATTGTTGCGCTCAATCGTTCGTGATGGCCTGGGTTGATCTCTAATTTATTTGCTTTCTATCCAATCAATGACACTGTTCAGAGAGAAAGCTGCACATTGCCGAACACAGATGAAAATTTTATTAACCCAAGAACCCAACAAAGAACCAAAGTGTGTGTATAGGCAGCACAAAAAAATGCTCAAATTGATGGCTTTTTGCCCTGCAAAAGATGGCAAAACTAATATTGTCATTATTGAGATTATTATTATTATTATCACTCAAAGCATCTGAAGAGCATAAGATATTACATGAATATAGGGGCGAAAGATATATTTTATGGTAAGGACACGAAACGATGGAGTTAGATTTTAATGAATGGAGCATGGTTTTTATTGTACAAATGTTGATCCACGAACATCATTCGCTTTAATGCAGTCGTGTATGTGGTGCAGTTTTTATGCTTTCCCTCCCATCAAATCAGAAATAGCCAGACATAAGTAACCCTTCATATAATAAATAATTTTGTATTTGGAAATGTCGCTTCGCCAGTACAGTTGATTATTAGTGTTATTTGAGATGCTGGAGGATATGCAGTGTCGGAGGGTCGCATTTCCACATTATCGAACGTATGTAATTGGATGAGAAATTATCGAATGAGAGATTACAGGAAGTGCAGTCCAACAGACCATAAATTTCCTACCTTCTCGTCATCTCACAGTGATTAGCGATTATATGTATGTACATGTCTTTCCTCCCCAGGATACCTATATATTATATGTAGTTACATATGCACTGCAAATTATTCGGTAAGAAATTATTACCGGCCGGTGTCTATATATGACTCAGGAATTGGTAATGATTATCACCGTGTGGCAATACGCTAGTAGCAAATACTTACCATACACATTTTTTATCAACTGGTGAGAATACTACCAAGGGTATAAAATCAACACCATGCAATTCTTATCCCCGTGAGTCTACCAGATTACTAATCCTAAGAGTGTACAAATGTTTATGATGCATTTGTACTACATACATTCTTACATTTCATACGAGTTAATTCCATACTAATTAAATTCAATTGACCTGTATATGTAAGTACAATCATCCATTGGCGTGTTACAAAACCAAAGTACTTTCACATCCCTTTTAGCAGAACCATTAATCCTAAGCCGCAGACTTATTCCGTCTGTTTTTGACGAGTTTAAAATGTGGATACCTGTGCAGGATGGGGGTTGAGGCGGCCGAAGAATTGGAGCATCGATTAAAAAATCTCGTATCAGCTTTCTCCGCTCGGACCAAGAGAACCAAGGAAAAAATCGCTAAACCACCGACACCATCGGACTCTGAAGGTTCGTTTGTTCCTACTTTCATACATGTGTACGTGTACGCGTGACTGAGGGTGATTTCAGGGAAAACCTCTTGTTTAATGTCAGTGTAATTATCCCCCTTCTTCGGAGACATGTGAAATGGCACAGTTTTCTCAGATTTCTCAAATGATTTCTGTTCAATTCTGCTCTAGGTATTTTGTTGTGGTTTAGACTTTTTCATATTAAATAGTACTAATTTTTTGTAATGGTACAGTTGTAAAAGGATTTGAATTGACGCTGTCCCTGCACTTTTTCAGTGCAGTCTTTGATAAAATGGAGGGAGTACGTGAATCTGAATTTCGTTTTCTGGAGCTCGTGATAGGAGCACGTCCCATATTTATTTATATGACCCAATAAATGAGAGCCAACTTGGCTGGCCAGCAAGGGCAATCTCCAGGAGCAGCAAAAGAGCAGTCAACAGTTTACTAGCATTGATTGCATAAAAGGAGTTAAAAGGACACAGGTCTCCACTTCAGGCTGAAGTGGTTCACGAGATTCACAGCACTTCATCAGGACAATGACGATTTAATTAATTTATGAGACAGCGGGGCGTTTTAACTTCCAAATTCCTGGTTCAAATTCCAAAAACTTTCACCGGCAGTCACTCGCTCTAATCCGCGTAGAGAAGTGTTCAGAACGAGTATAATTGAAGTTTATATTAATTGGCATTTAAACCTTCAGCATAGTTATGAAGTTACAGTGAGCGTTTTATATTGCACAATAGATGACTTGGCGGTGGGCGAGGATGATCTGTTGGGCCGACTGCGAGAAGTTTGTTCTCCAGGGTCAGAATTTGAAGGAGAAAGTCGTCGGAAGTCCATTGCTGAGCGGATGAAAGGAAGTTGCACAAGAAAACTCAGGATAATGCTGAATTTCGTCACTTGTAGCTACATTCTGGATGCGGATGGCAAGTCCTTGTTTCTATTTTTGCTAGTCTACATTCGTTTCCTTCCTTCCTTCCTTCTTCCAGTAACGAAACGACGCGTTCGTGTCTATCAAACTTTGTTAAACTTTGAGTATCCACAAGTTTAAGGGGAAATTTGAGTATAATTTGACATATTGGTAAATAAGAATGGTGTGACTTATCGCAGGTTGGGCCTACATTTGGTGGCTAATGGTGGTGTCTGTTTGCTTCATGTATAATGCTGCGGTCATTCCTCTTCGAGCCGTATTTCCGTATCAAACCAAGGAGAATGTTCACATCTGGCAGTACTTTGACTTTATTGCGGACCTCGTCTATGTCATTGATATAATCGCGTTCAAGTCTCACAGGAAGTTTCTTCGAGAGGGCTTTTGGATCAAGGATCCAGTGGAAACGAGGAAAAGCTACTTTGAAACTTTACAATTTAAAGTAAGAAAATCAAATTTTGCACTTTCCACCTCTTTCAAACTTTGCTCCATTTGGCAGAAGATACATGATTATGATACGAACAAGATCAAGATCTACCAGTTCGATGGGAATTTCTCCATTCTGTAATACATTTCTTCGAACTATAATCATAAGCACGGGTAGGTTTTTGATGTTTTCAGTAAAAATGAGAGCCCAAAATACAATGAGGGTATTCATTATTTCTTCGTATCCATCGTATCGTAAAATAGTTTACGAAGAAAAAACAAGGGGTCAAGCTTAGTAAAAATCGTAAGCGTAGTAACGTGATTTTCGATGACAAAATCTTACGACGCTTACAAAATCTCGTAAGCTTCGTAAGTTATTTTACGATACGAAGAATACTAAGGATACGAAGAAATAATGAATACCCTCAATGAGTGACCACGGATTATTTTTGCCCAACTGCATTTCCTTTGTAAAAAATACTTAATTCAGCTTTGTATGACGGTCTTACTTTGGGCCAATGTACGGAAAAGGGTTGAGTTATGACGACAATGTTTACAATGTTCAAAGAAATTGAGGAGGAGATCAATTTGGTGGAATGCAATTTTAAATCAAACATCTCCTGGGACTTGGAGCAACATTTGATACAGAGGATTTTTTGTATCATCCAGTTTATATTTCTAGATCGACTTGACGTCTTTATTCCCAGCCGATATTTTGGTAGCCATCACATTCGGAAACTACCCCCTGCTCAGGATCCCACGTATGTTAAAGGTACTTATATCTATATGTTAAAGGTTCATTGGTTAATCTCAACTAGTGCAGAGTACACGATTATTCTGCCGCATTGGAAACCTACATTATATAAAAAATGCTATCACTTTCATAACTTTGGAACAACAGGATTCCATCATTTTTGTCAAGTACCTGCGTAACGTAAGTGAGGTCTATTTTTGACATTGTACATACGGAAAGTTGATTTCATTTCCCGAATCTATCTCAAAGTATATTATGTTAACGACGATAAGTTCGAACTTTTGATGACGATAATTGAATATGACTAAAAGTATGGTTACACAAGATAAATCACGTCATCGTCATCACCCATGTAACCAAACACGAATTAAGCAAAGGTTTCGAAAATGAGTAGGAATTCATGACTCGTAAACAATCTTGACAAAAGAATGTGATGCCATACGAAGGAGCTCTTGGTAACCTTTGTTACTGCTCCCACATACGAATGCACACAGTTATGTACGTACCTCACATTCGCCAAATTAATTTATTTGCAGCCACGTTAGTTACGAAATCCTGCACTCTCTTTGCGCGTGCATGTATGACTGTAGGCGTTAATTCAATTTCAGATTGACACGTATTGGGAGCTATTTCAAAGGTTCGACACTATTTTGGCTTCCCCTCATTCTGCACGGATAACGAAGACGCTGATTTACATGGTTTATATGATACACGCCAATGCCTGCGTGTACTACGGACTTTCAAAGTTTGAAGGACTCTGCTCCACCACTTGGACATTTTGTGCTGGCAAAGAGGGAAGCGCGTAAGAAGCATTCTCAACCGTGAATAAGTAACCTTGCAAGTTGCACTGAACTTGATGCCCTCACTTTTTCCAGAACATTACAATGCTCTTGTCGCTTCTAGTGATCACTTCAAAAATTTTAGCTCTAAATTAACGCCAACAAGGTTAAAAAATGAATCCATTTGTAACGAATCTCGTAAAAGAGAGATAATCTAATGTGCGACGAGAGCCGAGAAGGTTCAGACTTTTGAAGAGCTCTTTTTGCTCTTTTTTCCAAAGGCACATTTTTATAAATGAAATGAGGAGGCAGGTTCTCTTAAACTTGATTTCAACTCATCCCATAATACTCACAAGGGCATAAAAGCCCTCGTCTTCTTTTGTTTTGTTGCACTTGACTTTCACCGACAATCAAAGGAATTGTCAATAATGTCAATGGAAACTCGAAGCCAGTCCATTTCACAACAAGTTATATATAGCATTCTCTGACATCTTATGTATAAACATTGTTTCCGTCGTTGCTCCTGCTTTCTCTCCTTTTTCAATCTCTTCTTTTCGCTTTCTCTCCTCGTGTCAGCAAAACAAGTAACACGAGACAAAGTGTGGGGGCTCGTGTATGTGTGTGCTGTGCTTTCAACAAGTTTGTTGCCTACTGCTGAAGGGTAAAAATAACTGTCACTCACTGTAAGATCATCCCCCGTGTTCCAGGTACATCCGGTGCTTTTACTTTGCGACAAAAACGGCCACCAGCATTGGGAAGAACCCGAGGCCTGATAACAAAATGGAGTACATGTACATGACATTTGCTTGGTTGAGTGGAGTCTTCGTCACCGCCATTCTCATTGGTCAGGTGGGTGCAAGCTAATCCGAAACTAATGTCAGGAAAGTAATATTGCAAATGTGAACATGCTTGTATACGAGGTAGGTCTAAAGAAATACGTCTTTTCTGCTAATGACACTGTACATACAGACAAGGTTTTAAGTCCGTTTATATTTGCGTGCGTGCGTGCGTGACAGTGCATAATTCTGTATAACGGAAAAAATTATTGGATTGTCATTTGTGCAAGCTTGGAGTGAAGAAACTCTTATCTTGTTTTTTTAAGGTTCGGGATATCATCGCAACTGCAACCAAAAACCAAAATGATTACCGGGCGTCTGTCTTTGCTGCAGTGAGCTACCTGCATCGTCTGGGTGTGCACAAGAAGTTGCAAAATAAAGTCAAGCTGTGGCTTTCCTACACTTGGGAGCAGCAGAAAACTTTGGGTATGCACATATGTGCTTGGATTAACGAGCTCATTGTCATTTCAGCGGAAAGCTCGCATGTCACTTTCTCTCTGATATATGTCCTTCTGTATCAGATAGCGCAATTTTGTTGAATTATTTTACGTATGTGTGTGCTAATCATATCTGGAGTATGTGCTCGTCCTTATATGAACCTTGAAAAGTCCTGGATGATGCATGTACATATGTATGCATTGTATGCATGGTATATGCAATAGATGCCGTATTTTGGATGTGAAATTAGGAAAATTGACTCACTGCATACAGTGACCAGAACTTGAAAATATATGCTCACTCAAATTTAATATGCTTGCAGCTCATGTTGATTTGGTAACGTTTATAATGCATTAGAAAGTTAGGGATGGAATGAGAAAACCGTCTTAGTCACGCAATTTTCAATGTCATAACTAGACAAGAATCGATAAGAATGAGACATGAACTGCTTAATGGGAGGGAGAAGGAGAACGCTAATAGTAGTGATTCCGAAAAATGGGTTCAAGCCCAGATTGCAATCGCAGAAAAACCGCATCGCTTGTTGATATCCAGCCTTGAAAAAGTTTTCAAAGATATCGAATAAAGGAGTTTGAATGGGGTGCATCTTCAGCACTTTGGACAACTATGTATGCCCAGCCAGCCATTCGAACGTTGGTGACCTTCGTGGCTTTGTCGTCCTCTTACGTACACGTATTTATACCGCGTGTATGCATGTACCACCACGATGGCGCGTTAAATATTGATTCCCGTCGGATTTTCTCAACCATCACCATAAATCATTTAATGCTCTAGTTTAAGCTCGGACAGCCGCATGATGGTTGCTGCCTGGGCTCATCTTACAGGGTTCATCTTAAAGATTGAAAACCCACTTTGGTGAAACAATCAATAAAACTTTTATTTGTGCAATACCTGCGTAGAGACTTGGAGAGCACGGTTGAATGAATGGACGTAAGAATTTTCGCTTCGCTCTAATCAGAGTTTTACTTTTGCAGATGAAAGCAAAATACTAGATCTTCTTCCGGATAAGATGCGAACCGATGTGGCGTTAGATCTGCACGTATGTAATTTTGATTCCAATATTTGTTTGATCGTTTTCCTGTAATGTTTTTTTAAGTGCAGGTTGAAACGTTGAGCAAAGTGAAGTTGTTCCATCACTGCGAGGTTCCCTTCTTGAGAGATTTAGTTGTGAAGTTGAAGTCAATAATATTTCTGCCTGGCGACTTCATTTGCAAAAAGGTTGATATATGATAGATTATTACCGTTTATGCAAGTATACAGCTTGTTGAATTGAAGGGGGAGGTGGGACGAGAAATGTTCATCATTCAGAGCGGAAAGATCCACGTCATTGGGGGACCGACTGGGACCCAAATTTTGGTCACTTTAGGCGAGGGATCCGTCTTTGGGGAAATAGCTCTTCTGGGAATTGGGGGTATGAACAAGCGGACTGCGGACGTGAGGTGAGTTGTATTTAGTAAGTAAATAACTAAACAGGGTCAGACTGTGGTCAGACAGAAAATAAACATTTTCTCTGTATAACGATCCCCGGGTAAATGCACGACAAATGCATTCATTCATTCACGAATAGGTCATTCATCTCAAATATTGAATTTTTTTTAATTTGCACAATTTTGCATGATTTATTTCCAGTATTATGATGATGAAATAATTGTTTTCTCTGGAGCTGAGAAATATGAGGTAGCTCAACTTTGAGCGGATACTTATGTGTGAATTGGTTGCACTGGATGGACTACATGTGCAGTGCACTAAAAAAATCCGCCAAAAATGTCTGTCTTGGACGTTCTGCGGGATCCAACTTAATGTTTATGAAGATTAGCTTTAAGCCCCGCACATTTCCGTTGTGCACCTGACTGCACCGACATACACACATTCATGACTAAGGATCATATATGAGAATGGGGGTCATAGAATGGGGTTCTATTTCACCCCTGAATACTTGGTTGTTATAGGGCAGCAGGCTTCGCTAATCTGTTCGTGCTACACAAAGATGGTTTGGAGGACGCTATTAGAGACTATCCGACATCCCAAGAAATCATCAAAAAGAAAGCAAAGTGAGTAAAAGAAAGCCAAACACGAGTAGCTTTGCTTTCCCAAATACTGCTCACTTTTCCAACCCAACTGCAATTCCATAATGGAACTCGAGCTCGTAGAAATGTGTTGAGAATAGGAGTGTATAAAATGGAGCACATTTTGAGCGGATGATCATAATAATACGAACCAATGTTCTTATAGGAAACTGATGAAAGAGAATCTTAAAAAAGCAAGGGCTGCGGCTGCCACTGCCGCCCAGGCCGCAAAAGAGTCCGAAGGCAGCACTGATTCCACGTCACTTGTGGAAGGTGAAGTCATCATTAAAGTGAAGGAGGAGCCCAAGCTTATCGAAACCATGAAGCAGGTGAGACCGACCACGGATGAATTATTTAATGGAAAATCATTGCTCAGATATGCTTTAGTAAATATTTCAAATCTATTACTTCAGCGAATCATATTCATATGTACGTTTCATTGGATAAATACACTACATGCTTGAAAAGTATAAAGAGTTTCGAGTCATTCGAGTTCCTTGAACAAGACAATTGTCAATGAATAATTATTTTGGTTGGTGCAAAACGTGTCGGGAGACCACTTTATAAAATTGTTTTTGTACTTCAACAAAATGATCGGCTCAAGTCGAGCGCATTACGCAGTCATCCATTGCAATCATTTCAAATCAGCTAATGAATAAAGCGGAAATGAATTACATATCTAAAGAATAATTCCGTCAGGATTAAAGTTGTGTCTCACAAATTGGAATACAGGAAATTAAAGTACTTACAAACAAACCTGTGTGTGACAAACAATCAAAAATGTATGCATACAAGATGAACATACCCAAAACGTGTAAAATGTTTGGAATGACAATTTCCAGATATTTCCACTCGGGACAAAAATGGGCCAATACCTTTCCAGGGGGTCGAAGGGGACGACGGAGCTGGAAGTTGAATTGGACAGATCTATTGACCTTATGACAAGCTACCCTCCTACACCCTACGTTCCTGGGTCTCCAAATCACATCAGCCTTGAGCTCGACATTTCAATGATGACAGGAGACTCCTCCGATCAGCAGCTATCACCTCCACCGCCTTCACAACACCATTCGCCAACTGTCAACAGTTGCGTAATCAGCCCCACGCTCCGAAAAAGATTTGCAGACTTTGACCCTGCACAAGACCTTCGTCATGAGAGCCTCGCCAGCACCAGCAGCAGCGTGGATGAGCTGAAAGACTATTTGGATGGTGATGGTGATGATCTACGCGAGGGTTCCAACCTGCCAGACACATCCGCACCAAAATGTAGAATTGGTCCCATTGCACGTAATATTGCGATTGAAATTGATAAAAAAGCATCCTCCTCGACGGATGATGAAAGGAATCTGAGGAATTATGGGCAAGTTCCGGCAAGTTCTTCGAGAGAAGTTCTGCCATTGGAGCTGAGACCTCCCGTGTATCCCATTTTGCCTGAAACAAGTCCAGGGGCGACTTTGAGTAGCAGTGAAGAAAGCGTGGATCCAGATGGAATGACCACAAAAAGTGAGAAAACCAAGGTCAAGCGCTCTGGGAAAGAAATGACATCCAGAATGGCTGCAATCATTGCTTCTCGTTTCCTTACATCGATGAGGCCCAAGGCGCCACTGAAGCGACAACAAGAGCTGGAGGAACAACAGGATGTTGAAAAGACGGAAATGGGAAAGACTGTCGATACCGATGAAGACGTCGGCGATTCAGATTGGTCTGATGATGATAAACATGACTAGTTAAAACGAAGTTCTACTATTGTACATACTTACTTTTATGTAGATCTGCATCTGAGTAGTTGACCATGCTTTATAAATAGTACTGCTTATTAACTAGTATCTACCCAACTCTTGAATCAAAAATTTCGTATTTTACATTTGTCAACAGTGGCATAAATTGGCCATGTACTTTGAACGACCATGTGTATCCCAACTTTATGTATTTATGTATATTTGCATGGTTGCTTAAAATCGAACCTGCTTCACAAAATCTAATAAAATAGTTCATTTTGTGTATTTTAATCCCACTGTTTTTCTAAACTGTATAAAGGATGAATTTCACTGTATAATATCAAAAGTCATTGTGCATATAAATATGATACTTGGTTATTACTTGCGGAACTTTAAAATTCCCAGCCTCAGTCAAATTTCAGTGAGTTAGTTACATTTTGGCATGAGTGACACGACCGCTGCTGGCGTGAGGTCATGCGGGTCAAAAATTGTAGATCGAGTCGAGCAGGAGGTAACCACACAGGCGTCTCTCAGTATTATCTTACAACGGAAACAAATCAAAATCCACTTTGAAGTGGTATGAAATGTCAATTAAACATCACAAGACAAATAACACTCGACCGCATGCATGTCCTCCTGGTACAAAATCCCAGCTTTGTTTCCAGTAAACCACACATTGAACTAATATGTCAAAGTCTGCACTGGATTCCACCAGGTCACCGAATGCTCCTGTCCTCCGAACAAAATCATTTTCACCGTTGCTCGAGATTAATAAATACGTGAAAGGAAAGTGAAATGAGGGGCTTCATCTCCACCTCCAATTTGTTCCACGAGGCAGGCACCAACATGGTTTCATCGAATGGTAAATATGTGGATTTTAACAATAGTTAGTCAAAACAAGCTTTAATTAAGTGAATAACAAGGATTACTCGACGAAAACACTGGGATTGGCAGGTTTCATTGCAGAATAAAACATGGTGGGCGTCAGTCGGGAGTGCAACAGCAACATGTAATTACGTCTATAATAGATTAGCGAGTATGTGTGTGCGAACGAGGCATTGTGAACTTACAATAAACCTCTTTATACCGTGCAAACGTGTAGAGTAATGTCATGTAGTCGATCTTTTCAATGATTGATGCAATCCATTGAATTCTCACCCAATTCAACTAAACAGCAAGCTCCATTTCTTTAAAGTACGCACATATAATTAAATTTCATCAATAAATGGCAATTCAAGAACTTACTTTGGGTTACACAACACATTACGTACTTTACACAGAAACTCATGGGTGGTTAAACTTATAAATATAAGGACGAAAATGGAAAGCTGCCTTGTCAACTATATTTCATCGTGGGGTGACGAGAATCCGATCATTGGTGACATTTCCAACAATGAAGTTTTTGACACTCGTTGCCGTCGTTTGCGTCCTTCTTCAGAACACGGAGGCTGGAAACGATCGTCCGTACGGAGTTGACCAACAAGGTTTTACTGGTGCGGGTAGCGTGGGACAGGACGCAAGTGCCAATGGCTACGCAGGGAGGTAAGTGTACGATTGCCCCCTTGTCCTTGAGTATCTGATCCAGTGTCCAATTCGATACTGGATCATAGTATTTATTATATAGGAAAAAGAGGATTACGTAAAGTTTATACAAGATTAAATTGTGTAGTAGCCGGAATTAAGGTTTGGCGTTGTTTCGTAATTTTTCCGCAATAAAAGCGAGGATGATATGGGTTTCTAAACATTGTTCCAGTTCCCTGGTAGCACCACTCGCTTCGGAAGGATTCAACAGCCCACGGCAACGATATTCGCCTAGCTCTGCTTTCCCAGGTATGTATGAGACGCAGGAGTTACGCTTTATTGCAATAACAATTTGAGCCCTTTGTATGCATGTGGTTCTAAGTTGGCAAAGGAGGGGAGATGTGGGTTTAGTTGATAATAATAGCGGTAACTAAGAGGTAAATATCTATTCTCCTCGTCGTACAGGCAACCCCAACGGAATTGGTTTCGGTGGCTTCGGTTGGCGTCCGCAGCAGAGCAGTGGAAGATATTAAAATGCTCCGTCATCAAAATTTAATGTCGAACATTTTCAGCATTCGTGAAGAAATGCGGCGTCTACTCTTTGCCCGTACCATTTACACACCAAGTGCCTGTAGCGTCGCTCGTGCGTCTATAGCGTATGTAGATCTGACCCAATCAGCATTCATGGGAAAGACGTAAATCTGATCCAATCTAGAAATTAATTAAATTATTGTAATTGAAGGAGCAATAAAACAGTCCAAAGTCTAAGATTTAAACGAACGAGCATATTATGAAGTTCACTCATACATACATATAAACATCACTTTAAAACCAATTTGATTCTTCTGAATTCATTTTCATTGATGATCATACTGAAATAAATGCTATTTTGCAGGAAAAATAAATTAAGCTCCAATATAAAGTAACAACAACATGGATGTGTATGTATGCACCTGTGTTTGACTGTTTGCTCCTATTTTACGTAGGACTAGCTGATTATCCGAATTTCCAGTTCCCAACGTGTGGGTGGGTTGTTGGGGGTTCATTAGTGTTTGGTTGTTTCAGATTAAGTAGCTACAGCGTCAAATTAATCACTGATCACTTGTGATTAGAAATCTGGGTCGTGCAATTACTGTCCAATTGTATTTATTTGGTTCATCATTTTAATCAAACTTGATAATAGTATTTCGTATAGTAGTCGATCGCATACATAATTCTACTCCGAAATGGAACCACATACATGTTCGTATCGTATGTCTGCTCAAATTAATCATTTCAAGCAAAAACTTCCTCAATTTATTTAATAGTTTGGTTCTTTAGTTTGGATATTACTTTCAAATATGTATTCACATCGGGAATAGTTTAGCTCACGAAATAGTTCTCGGGTTTCCATCATCTTCAGAACGAACAAGGGTAATAATGTTCTTGATGGAATGTATTATACGAAGTTCTTGACTATATGTACAAGGAAAAGTGTTTTTGTTATCTATGAAGATCTGAACTGCAGCTCTCAATGCTTATGGCTCGTTTCTAAGCTTATTATGATCATCGTAAGTGGAGGAGACAAACTTTAACGAGAGCATATTCGATTCCCTCGTTCGAAATAAGTGTACACACATCTCCTGCGTGCGATCAGGTAGGATAGGTCACGATGATTAGCCCTCTTTCATTCCGAGCATGTGATGATGGGGTGGACAAGTAATGGAAACGTTTATTTCAAACTTTCTCCCATTTTTACTATTCTCGGTGTGCAATTACAAGAATCCGAGTTTGGCTCGTCCCAGGGGGCTGCTGTTACATAATTCATGGCGCATTATTAGCAAACGATTTCGTATACTGATGGACGTCTAATATATTTATAGGGTTGGAACATCCATGCTTATACACGCGCCTACGCTTCGTGAGCAGTTTTATGTGCTTTTATTACATCAGCAGCTCTCAGAATGAATTGTCCATATTTCCACATATAAAGATGAGAAAGGAGTAATGACTCAATTCATATGCTGGTTCTGCTGTTGAATGCGAGATTCGGGAGAGAAACGCCACGGCATTATTAAGCCGTACTCGTTCCTCACTTTGTAATATAGGACTTTCACCCTGGTGGCATAGCGTTCTCAAGATCGGCTTAAATTATTGGATTTTTGGTTTTTAAAAACTAAACTATTTTTTATGACAAACTAAGAATATGGGGACTTTCAATAGTAAAAATTTCATAGAATGAACTGGTTGCATTCTATGTGTCTTAGACGAAAATGACTACAAAAGTGATGACATATCACTCTCCTTGGTCACCAAAAGCATATGAAGTATGTTTATGAGATTGAGCATTTGGTGTCAATAAGAGATTGACATGAGATGTACTTGACTTATTATTTCATCGCTTTCGTACCACCAAGAATTAGTGGCTTGTTGCTTAGAGTCTCACATCATGGGAATGCAAGTACACAATCTCGAAATTTCGATATCGATGTTAGTAAGTTACTCCAGTATCGAAATCTTGAGATCTCGCAATAGTAAAATGCTCAAGATTACATGCCCTGTAAGTGTCACGTTCTGCTTTTGTCGTATTAAATCTCCGTATATATATATATAGGAGATTTAATACCACAAAATCAGTACGCATGCATATGCAAATGTATATGGCAAGACACTAAATGAATCATTGACACAATATGCATATCATTTTCTAAAAAATCTGTAAATTATATATGTACATGATTGAGAAGGATACAAGTTTTTAAAACTTGACAAAGTATGTCTTGCAGATAAGAAATAAAGTTTCATCACGGCGTCACTTTCAATAATAAACTCAACAAGGTGTATAAGCTCCATACATATGTTAAGCTTCTACTTGGGGGTATTAAAAAACGGGGACTTTGAACGCTTGTAAGTACATACATATGTCGCAAATTCGCAATGGGGATGAGATGACTGCCTTGCTAACTTGGTTCTGAGTTCAAGAGAGGAATTAAAAGCAACTTGAGATGATTACGACGGAATTTGCAACCGAGCAACGCATCTTCACAAACAGCCAACATATTTATCAGCGCCCAAAGGAACAAAACCTCAAATCCACTTGGTCACACAATGAACCTCTCGCAACTCGTAGCCTACCGTAACCAAAGATTCTCACAGATTCACGAGATAAACCGGCTTATGCCCAGCCAGACCTAGACTACGCGGATAGCTGCTTAAATAAGCGAGACCGACATATATTCCTTCTCTGTGCACATATGTAGGTCTCTATGCATGCCATGATGATGAACTACAATGCAATCTTTTTCCACCTACATTATAGCATCACTAGGACACCTATTACAGGAACACCTGTATGCATCGCATTCCCTCCATCCATTCATTTTAATCTATATAAAATCCACGCGTCAGTAGCAAATTCGAGTTTTATAAAATACTTATAGCTTAAATATTCAGAACGATAAACAGATTAGAGAACTTGGGAGAGAATGTTTTTTGTGATTGTGATTCTAATTTTTATTGTAAGTATATTACAGGTGATCCATCTACAATCAAAATTACAGTCAAAATAGCAAAAAAATTACACCTGCTCATCCTCTCTGATATTTATCTATATGAAAAGTTGAAAATTGGGGACTTGATATGGTTTTTTGAGACGTTGAAGTGATCCAATAACAGGATGTTTTTTATATGTAGGTCCTTTGTACATTGTAGGAGCGACAAAAGATGGTATATGTAATTCATCAAGTCTGTAAGACACGATAGCCATGCAGTGGAATAAAATAATGTACAGTTGGATAGCGTGGTTCACATTGGGCTTTGGTGTCTAGTCATGACCCCCAACACATGTTGTTGCATTAACGGAAGAGATTTCATAGAATGGCAAGTATACTTAATATTACTGGTTTACTAACTCACTGTTGAGGATGAGTCTCATGCATCTGCATCATCACACGCCTATCCACATATCTATCTCAACGTACTACTTAGCGAAACACAAAAACCTACATTTCAATTGTACACAAGATCAAAGTTGCCAAACCACCCGAAACTAAGACGGAAGATCTTTTATATTTCCAAAGTTTTCTCAATATTCAGTCCACCAGAGTTGTCTGTGGACAAAAATAGAGCAAATCCGGTTGACAATAATAACTTATTGTGAGTAGTAGTCAGTGAAGTTCTGTGATATTGGCAGTTCTAAAGTTATGGGGCGTGTGAATAACCTGACCGGAGTTCCTATCGTATTTCCGGATTCTGGGCACGATGGTTCGTAAATTAATAAAGATCTGTTTTCGAAGCGGCATGCGTAACACCTCGACGACATGCAATGTAGTTGAAAAAAAGTATGAATTATGACCGCCAATTTTCATCCCTTCTTTTTGCAGGCCCTCCCGTCGAACCTCATTATGACGATCGATATCTTCACATTTATCAATGGGAAAAATATGACCACAGTACGTTTGCATTTTGGTCTCTCTCATGACTGAGCTACTCACTTTGTTTATGTTCCACTGTGTTTGCAGCGAAATGGCATGATTGGATGCACAGAAACTGGAACGTTAGTTTATATGCGTCGGGAATTTACGTGATTTTAATATTTCTGGGCCAACACTTGATGAAGAATAGGGAACGGTTCAATCTCCGGAAAACACTCCTCGTTTGGAATATAATCCTCGCGTCGTTCTCATGCATGGGATTTCTCCGCTCAATCCAAGAGTTAATATATGAATGGACAGTTTCCCCAATTGGTGGTCTCCAACGCTCGGTATGCTTTGCGTAAGTTTTTTTTTAATCCTTGTTTAGTCAAAGTTTTTAGGTGACACATATTTCGTACATATTTTAATTCGAAATATGAAGGAAATTGTGTTAGCTTTGAAAATGCATGCCATGGTCAATGAAAATAATTCTACACGGATACAAGTATGTAACTGTGATGTCACAGTTTTATGAATGTGTGATAATGGTCCGTATATGTATGTATATAAATGTGTATCCCGAAATAATGAATGACTACTTGTGTTGCCTGCAGGGATAATCATAATGTGGCGACTTCTTTGTGGGGACTCTTGTTTGCTTGGTCCAAGATCCTGGAGTTTGGCGACACTGCTTTCATCGTCCTGAGGAAACAGAAGCTTATTTTCCTCCACTGGTTTCATCATATCACTGTCTGCATATACTGCTGGTTCGCTTATTCGTCCTATGATCCTTCAAGTCGATGGTTCTGTACAATGGTGAGTATTAAAACGTTGACAAGTATCAGGCTGGCAATTCAAATTGTTTGGTAAAAGCGGTTGTGCCATGAAAATGTTTGCTGAAAGCGACAATGGGGACTAGCGATGTAGTCAGATAAATAAACAACGCAGAAATTCATTAATAATCCATACGGATATCTTGACCCTTACAGTACAGTATCGCATATGTAAATATGTAATTTGTAAGCCTAAACCAAAATAACTTATGCATCGTACCGTGCTCGGATTGTAAATACGATAAGTAGTACTTTGTTAGCAAAATGATGATAAAATTGCTATATTTTTATTTCAGAACTATGCTGTACACATGGTAAGCAAACTTTTAAAATTATGAAAGTAGATATGAAAAAATATGATGCAAGTTATACGAGTTTTGAAACTGTCTGCAACAGTCAAAAGTATACACTAAAAAATTTTATTCTCATTTCAGACAATGTATACCTATTATGCAGCTAAGGTAAATTTGCAATCGTAACAATATGTACATGAAACTGGCCAACAAACTTTTTTATTCTCACTTTTCAAATTTCAGGCTTTGCATATAAAAATCTACAAATATATCCCGATGGCGATCACACTCTTCCAAATCGCCCAAATGGTCCTCGGTGTGATCATAAATATTAATACTTATTATATTAAGCGTAAGCATATATTTTTAATCTCGTGCGCTTTGGATAACAAATTAAATGTCATAATTATGTACGAATTTCAGTCTCTGGTCAAGAGTGCAGACGACCAATAAGCAACATTCATCTTGCTTTTGCAATGTACGCTTCGTACTTTGTTCTATTCGCCCGGTTCTTCTGGAAAGCGTACTTCCGGAAAACGAAGTCAGAATAATTATTGAATGATTGTAATAAATAGTTGCCAAAGTGTAGACCTGATGTTGACAAATGTAGCTTTAATAACAATTAATTATTTGGTGGAGACATTCTTACCTGATTTATTATTTATTTATTAGAATTTAAATAACAAATGCAAATGTATTACTTATCAGTCAATGGAAAAAAGAGTTAGACGTGTATGTATATAGTTACATATTTAATGGTTTGTTAGAAGTTAACCCACTGCTCAAATAATATTTCTTAATGTATACCAAAGTAGAAACATAATGTATACCAAAGTAATAAATGGGTTTAATTTGTTGACTAAGATTCTTCTTCCTGATGACGGACTAAAATATTAAAAAGGCATTCATATTGCATGATTGGAGTGATTCAGCCGTAAAAACTAGTTTAAAAAGTAATTTATTCATGGTAGTGGGTAAAATAATCTTTCCAGTGGTGGAGCAATTTTTTAATATTTGGAAACTTTCTAAATGTGCAAGCTATGAAAATATCAGTCATCAAAGGACATGTTGCAGCAAGTTATAAAAAGAGATAATTGCTCTCATGTGAGGATTTTTATATTAACAAGAATTGCAATCCTTTCATTCTAAAGTTCTTAGACGGAGAAAAATCCATCAGTGGCATGCAAAGAAATAATGAATAGCATGTGAATAACCCTGTTTAGTTGGAGGCGAAATTGAAACCAAAGTGAAAGTGAAAATCTTGGCAAAGTTGCTGTGAATCCTCAAGGTCGAATTTTGAGTCCGTCACTCATTGCTTGCTCTTTGGTCATAATGCAAGGCAGCCTAATCCTTCCAGTCCATTCTTCTCATTTTTGTAACCCTTTTCTCATGTCTGCTGCATGTCAATCTTGGCAGGGTCACAAACTGCAATGCACCTTGAGCACGCATATAAATATATCGAATTCTCTCTTCCAGCGACCCATCATGCCCTACTTTTCCTCCTACGTAAGGGACATCTTGTGATTGCGTGTTTTCTGCTAATGTCAATGTCAGAAAGAGAAAACTATGGCCCGTACTTGTATGCTGGACCACTCTAAAAATACCAAATTGACGATACAACTCTTGATCAGACCAACGCTATGCATAATGCTAATCCTAATAAGATAAGTTTGTAGCAGCCTTTTCATCGTCACTTTCTACTCTTGCGAGGTATATAAAGCCCCGTTCGCGTGGATTCAATTCAGTTCCAGCTAACAACCCCCTCGAGATCAATTTACTCGAATCTCTTCTCGGACTTGGTCAATCTCAAGCATCCACAATGAAAGCCACCGTAAGTCGAAAACAAAATAATAAAACGGGACCGTTTACATAACAGTGCATAATTTGCTAAATTACTCAAATATATTTTTCGGGGTTTGCCAGGTCGCCGCTCTTCTCTTCGGTCTCGTCGCCATTTCTGCAGCCGACTATGCCGGCCGTCTTCGCCAAGCCCCAGTCAAGTCGTACGGTCAGCCAGCCCCAGTGGTGGAGGAAGCACCCGTCGAGGAGGAGCCTCACGTGTACAAGGCCGCAGTGAAGACCCCCGTGCACAAGACCCCCATCCGCGTGGCCACCGACTACAACAGTGGATACAAATACGATGATGAGAGACACCGAATTGAGGACGACCAAGCCAAGAACGCCAAGTACAGCTTTGGTAATTAACAAATTTATGTGTTGTTCATTGTTCTGCCCTATTGTCACTTTTGGCAAATATTTTCATGTCACTTACTGACCACTTTTACCAACCAATTCGAATTAACTAACCTAGTCTTATCCTTGTCAACTATTTGATAATCGATGTGTACTTATCACTTTAGGATCAGCTATTGATGACGGCATCATGGACCACTCCCACATCCGACAAGAAACTCGAGATGGTCTCAAGGTACGACGCTTTATATTTAGATTAGTTGGCAGAGTATTCAACAATCTCTCCTCAAATATTTTTTTTTCTGAAACAGGTCGAAGGCTCCTATGCATATTCTGACGGGTACTTCAAGCGAGTGAGTAGTGATAACCATGCAGTTCTTATTTCTGCATCAAACTAACATTGTAATAATTTAAATTCTGCTTGTTCTGCAGGTTGTCAACTATGTTGCTGACGAAAATGGTTATCGCGTGGTCTCCGAGTCTGCTGAGCCAATCAGCGAAAGTGGTCCTAATGTCGACTTGGTTAATGGAAAGGCTGATATTCATACCCAGATTGATGGTGTTGATAACCAATACAGCGTCTCTGCAGCTGAAATCTTGAAGCCGATGAAGGATCTCAGCAAGCATTAAATTTTTTGTGCCAGTACTACAAATTACATTTATGATAGTCAAAGCGTTTATTTTTTTGGAAAATCGAAAATAATATTTTTGTAATAAGTTGTAATAACATAATAATGTCAAAAAGTAAATAAATAAATTGGCACACGGTAATAGTACTCAGAACTACATGTACATACAGCTAAACGTCTTATTTAGAAATGACATTTGGAATTGACAAACATAAAGATCATACAATGAATACAAGTAATTTGCATAACTATTATTATCTAACTCCTAGTAAACTACATACCCATTTAACATCTCTAATATGACATTATAACACAACGACATTGCATGCTAACATCAAATATTTTTTGTATTTTGCATATATTTTTTTCTATAACGTATTTTCACATCAAAAGCCCAAAATTTCATAAATATAATTTATTTAAAATGCTAGATTTACTACGAAAAGTTTGGGCGATATATTTTTATAATATAATCTGAAATATGTAATAATATATTAGTGATTGGGTTGATCTTTTTTTGCACAAATCCGGAACGGTACTTGTAATGTTGACATCAAATCTAATTTTAATGACTAGAATATTTACATAGCATTCGGTCCCACATTTTCATAGGTATCTAATTAAACCTGACCCTGTATAGGTTGTAATGTAGGTGCAAAATATACCATACGAAGAACTTTCTATAAATCTCATCCTCATTCCAGTCATACACATAGTTTAAGTTGTATCACAATAATGCGACGAATTTTCCAAGCGTATCAAATAAATTACATTTGAAAATCAAGAAACTTGTGCATATGCACAACTATAAATATATGTATCTGGAGATAATACATGTCAAAAATTCATACGCGCACACACATATGTATTTACAACTTTTAGAATATAATACGGAATCGCTAATATATAGTAAAAAGTCGCACAATTATATCATTATAATTTTGAGATACAGTAGCATATTTACATTTTCGGATTATGATTACTGATATTACAACATGAAGATTTTGCAAATAAGTAAGTACTTAGAGAATAATTTATAAGTATTTAAGACTAATAATTAAATACATCAATGTAAATACTGACTTGAAAACTTTACTTTTTAAGAGTGAGTGGAGTCATCTTGGTTGTCGACATTCGGAAGGAAGGAGGGAGGTACGTCTGTATTAACATTCGGTGCTGGAGTAGGCATGGATTACAGTGGACAGTGATTTGAATTTTGTATTCCCTAAAACGTAAAAAATACTTTTGTGAGAGAAATTGGGGATTTTCCACGGAAAATCTGAACAAGGTCTATGACATATAATGTGTCTGTTTCACAGGAACATGTACATAAATAAAAGTAACAAAGGACATAATGTAGACGGTGGTTACATAAATAAAATCGTGCAGGGTGTAAAAACTATATGCAAGAGAGGAGGCTTTAGTTGGCCAGGTTGACCATTTCCATTTGGGTGCTCAATGAAGAGCTGGGCCTGTCTCAGGAAAAATAGGTCCGACCAGAAGCCCTTGTGAGTTCAGTTCGTCGGGTGTAAGTGTAACTGGTGGAGTTGGATGACAAACCTCCAGTGCCAGTAGTACCTCTGGGACCGCAGTAATATGGATCTCCAAACCGGGCTTGCTGCTGATGACGGTGCCGACGGATCATGGGATGACCACGATTTCGACTGTTGTTGGCCCACTTCCTGCACCCAAAAGTGCGGAGGAATTCCGTCCTGAACTTCCCTGTGGAACAATTAATTGTTCTTCATTAGCATCACGACGTTGCATATTGTTAGCACATCGGTTAAGAATGAGTTGGTAAGAAGCGTTTTAATAGGTAAATAAATAACCAATTAGTGTTAGTTGCATGCTAATTTCAACTAATCTAGATTGTTAATTGCGAAATTTTACAATAGCACTTACAAAAAATTCGTCCCCGACTTACAAGAACAAAAAGCATACGCGTCGACAACACATGATTTGGCACAGTTAAAATGCTACATACTAAACTCTGACAAAAATGCGTATGAAATTTTGCTAAATTTAGACGAGACATGAAGCAAAATGTGAAGGGACATAAACTTGTTAGGACGTCACGTACATGTCATTACTGAATTGGCACTAAACATGGGCACATTCTGGTGAAAGCATGCGGCCACGTGGGGACGGGTGGGTGGAGAGAAAGCAGGGAAAGCAGCTGGACAAACGAGACGAGACAAAGCGAACTGATGTTGAGTGGCGGCTGTACTTTGGGAGGTGGGCGTTTGGTGTCTCCCTACACCCGGTGGACCACCGGGTGTCTGTGGTGGTTCGTGTAGAAGGAGACTCGAGAGGTGGCAGGGACATAGGATTTCGAGCACATACAGCATTCAAATGCTCGCTCAAACTCTCGACGAAATTTCCCTGAAAAAAATAAATCCATTTTTTGATTGTGACCTTGCAGTTTCCTTTGGAAGCAACCCAACAACAACGGCTTCCCCTCCCCATTGTGTTCTTTGGCAATTAGTGGGACCACAAGTCAACGAAGAATGAACAGCGGAAGGAGGAAACGCGACTTATTGAAGAAGAGAGGAATTGCCATGATAAGAGTTCGCTTTACGACATTAAAATATAACGAACATACATAATAATGAAGCACAAAGGGTTCCAAACACAAGTTCAGTCCGTAAACACAGATCTGACGATGCTGCAGCGGGTGATTGTTGAACTAATGATGAGCCTTGATGTATATATTTGCTGAATGTATATGCAGATCTTTACATGCAAACTCCGAACCAAATTACTGAACTGAACTCTTTGTTGTGGTTCTATGTAGCAGAACTTTCATTTTATGAATGCTTTCACCAATTCAGATACATTTGTAATCACAGCCTGAAATGTAACTACTCTTTTTTGGCAAGTAATTTAACAAGATCAGATCACTTCTCGGTATTGACATGAAAACACTAAAATTTCGTACGTATGTACATACGTACGAATTTACATACGTACATACGCATCACTACTCTACGCTTTCTAGTAGAAATGAACTTTGTTTTTAAAGTCAACATCAACACTGAAAGTTCTACAGAATTTGAGTTAATGAACACTCAAATCAATGGGACTAGAAAAGTGCAAATTCAGAAAGTTGAACCCCTAACTGAAAGTTGTACAAGGATATTGATAATTTATTCCACTCGTGACCTTGAATGATGACTTGATGATGATGACTTTCTTTAATGATGTCGGGTTAGAGTCATGTTGTTGCAAACATAATAACGTACATGGTACATTTGTGAGAACAGTGCAAGAATAAATCATAGTGCAATGTGTGAGTGTCAGCAAGAAAAATTTTGAAAATAGCACATTTATTAGGATGCTTCAACCAGACAGTGTATCGGTACAAGTGATCGCCGGTTGTTTCAAAGGCGCATATGTATTGTGATCGAATGATGCGATTGTGATGGTCATGCTGAAACAAACCCGCACGAACGTGTTGTGCGAAAAACTAAAAAACAGGCTTTGTTAAAATCGAGACTACAAAATACTTAGTCTTGAATACGTCTGAACGCATTTATTGTTAGAAAATCAGAGATATGGGACATTTGTCACCCTCGTGACGAATGTACGTGGTGGTGGGCATATTTTTTGTCTGCTTGATGTATCTATTTATTTACGACAACATTTACAAAAATAGCCTGTTGGTTTATCCAATAGTGCGTGCGACGAGATAAGTAAGTGTAAGTACATATGTATGCTAGACACTTATGGGACATACATCATCAAATGTACGTCATCAAAGACGGGATCATTTTAAAAATAACCGTTTGATCCAATGACAACACCAATCCAATGTTTACGATGGTTGCACATGCGACAGTTCTCAGTGCAAAACATACAATGGAGAAAGTGACGAGTAGCAACAACAAACATGCAGCAATAATACTGTAACAACAACATAACCCTCTTGTTGAGATCAGGTTCATTTCATGCCCGAGGGTTGTATAATAAAACAAGAGGAACACATAGCGTCACTACTTTCTACTACTGAACCCTGCTTCAAATGTACAACGAGCACTATAAATAAACCCCAAAGAGTCACCAATGGGGAGGGACGTTTCTGCGGCCGTTCTACTCTCAGGGCGATTTACCACAAGGAATCGCTTGTCGCCTGTTGCACTTCTTATCTACAATGTTATAAGTACGATGCCAACCCGCAAGTAGAGTGAAATAATAAATACTCAATGAATACTGGAAATTTCGAATGATGACGGAAACTCACCAGAGAATAAATTGTAAATTACGGGATTACACGCCGAATTGAAGTAGCAGAGCCAGTGGGAAAGCATCACGAGGTATTTCACTTCCACAGGTAGAGTAAAGACGAGGCTGTGGAGAATTTCATGAAAAGAGAAATCAGACACGAATCAGCAGCATGTCAAGTATTATTATATATCATAAGCACAAAAGGTCTCTTTTATTTGACTAGTTTATTACAAACGATTCATCCTCAACATTAAGTCTTCACCACCAACCTTGCAATGCTGTAAATGTGGACTGGGAGGTAGCACAGAGCGAACATGATGACCACAATAACCAGCATTTTTGCAGCTTTTCTCCTTGACTTTAGCTGGTAATCGGCTTGAGCTCCTTGGACGCTGGAAGTCCCTCGAAGAATCGGGGTCAGCACTGTCGGTGAAACAAACAAACCAACCAGACTTTTAGATGTTAGCCTCAATCATCCTCCTCAAATGCATGCGTCTTTTGTGACAATCAGACTTCTCTTGTCCTTCATAAAAACACATCACCCCCTTTTTTAGGAGCAACTTTTACAGAATCCAATAACTTTTCGTCACTCCATTTCCGTAGTCAGCTACCGTAACGAATAGATGAACGTCGTAAGGCCAACAAGGATGTGACTAGCGGGATACGAAACTGTTGTTTTGAAACCCTCACACACAAACATGCAACTCGTCATCAAAGTTGCCTTCATTCCGGAGGCAGAATTACTATCCAAGCAAAAGTTTTTTGGCTTTGAGAGTTAACGAATCTTTTCATATCTAAAAAGATATATGAATATAGGTTCGCTTAAATGACGACGAGGCAAGATTTTCATGTTTGCGTCAAATTTAAAATACGTTGCGGTATGGCACGTTGCTGCCGATCAATTTCCTCACACGTGTAAACGAGAAAACAAAAAAAGTCTTCCAAACCCCATAAGCCATGAAATTCCACGAGAGGATTATGATATCAAATAAATTGCACACACATTTCGTACCAAACTGTTCGTACATATATACGAACATTCTGAATCTCGATGTACGTATTTGATAATACATATCATTGTTTGTTGCAGTAATTATGCATAATCATCACTAACGACTGGCTCACTATTTTCAAGTGTAAATGGGATACATATTTAGATGTATTATTGCATATGTATAACTGTTATTAAGAATCTGGCTATATTATTGTTAGTGAAATCTAGATGTTGCAGTTTAAATGGGACAAATGTAGAATAGTAGACAAGTATAATTTGAAATGAAGCGTCGCTAGTTAGCATCCGAATTAGTGTGTCTTGATTGTTCCTTTATTCATGCGAAACACAATAATTAAACTCAAGGGAACCCGACTTGAACTAATTCTCCACTTTTCACCACATCAGGGACGGATCATGAATGAGAAACTTTCCTTTCACTGTTGCATACACACGATATGTAAAGTTTCAAAAAGTTTTAGTTTGATACATGTCTAGGGAGACGAGACTCTGAGTTTATGCAAAAGAGATTATCTCTTTCCATTTCAATTTGCGACTACTAGATTTATCTTAATTTGAAACAAAATAGTTCAACTGCAAAGTTCTGCCAGTATATTTGTATATTCATTAGTTTTCAAAATCTAATCCCCAAAATCCATTTTATTGCACTAGACCGAGAATGCCTCGAGAAGCTTAAATCCCTTGAAAGTCGGAGAATTCAGTGCATATTCTTTTATCACATCACTTTACGTACCAAAATAAGCCTTCATATGGCAGGACATGGCAAATCTTAATTTAACTTAATAGCACATTACCTCCAGCTTATGGGACAGATCAAATATGGGTTCACGAAAACTCTTGGTCGCGTAAAAATATTCATTAAATGCAACAACAATGAGTAAAAACGAAAATAACGCGGAAATCGTACATTTGTTCACATGATTTTGTCATTGAATACATTTGCTGAGTGGTCAGCAATTCAAAAGAATAAGCCACCAATTTAATACGAGTTACTGGCAATTTGACAAGCGTTTCATGAACGTCATCCTATTTATATGAATACAGTTGCATTAATTAATGCTTAAGTGATACTCGTATGAAGTGATACGTGTAAAAAAGAAGCCATACGTGGATGACGTTGGACATATTGCTGTTCACGTATCTCGATCCAGTAAGAAAAAAACTGGAAATTTTTTACACTTAATGCGGATTGTACATAAATAATCCAAGGTTGGTCTTCTTACTTAGGATTAGTTGAAAGTTGTTCATATTTACATACATAATTATTATTAATATAGGCTGTTGGTATTTATCCCCTAATCCTAAGAATGATGACCTTGTAGAACATGTTCGAGTCAATTCTGTCCTTTTATTTATTCAGTCAGTTTTAGTTGACGAGTCGACTTTGAAGTTGAAACTGGGTACAAGATGATTCTTTTTCATGCAATTGTTGCATGCCTAATTATTGCAGCATGTACAACTTCATCATCTGGAAGCTCTGTTCCGCACGTAAAACTAGCAACAGGTGAACTGGAAGGGTTGATTGGTGTTTCAAGGAGTGGAAGAGAATTTCACAAGTTTTTGAGCATTCCTTACGGCAAAGTTTCGAAACGATTTGCGGTAATTTCTGTGCACACAATATGTCGAACCCCCAAGCATTTTTCATAGTACTACATAAAAGCCCTTCTTGTATAGATATCGGAGCCTGCAGATCCATGGAGTGGTGTGAAGAAAGCCATCGATTCGGGCGAAGGATGTATATCCTACGACATGTTTGGTGGTGTTTCTGGCAGTGAAAATTGTCTCACTCTCGACGTTTACAAACCTATCACCAACTCGAGCAATGGTGAAAGCAAACTACTGGAAGTTATGGTTTGGATTTACGGTGGTGGGTTTATCTCTGGATCAACGGAATCCTACGATGGAAATTTCTTCATGGACAAGGACGTCGTTCTCGTCTTGATGAATTATCGTTTAGGAGCGATAGGATTCCTGAATCTGGGCACCCCCACCGCTCGTGGGAACCAAGGTTTGCTCAGAGCTAGAACTAACGTGTAATTTAACATAGCCAAAATCCACAGTTTATTTAGTTGCTTAATTGTCGAAGGATTAAAGGACCAAGTTCTGGCCCTCCGCTGGGTACAGGACAACATCGCTCACTTTTCTGGGGACAAGGAGAAGGTGACAATTTTTGGAGAAAGCGCGGGGTCCGTGTCCGTCTCCCTGATGCTGACCTCGCCGATGACGAGGGACGCTGGGTTGTTCCACCGAGCAATCATGCAGAGCGGAACTTCTCTCATGCCCGCCATCTACAATGGAGCGGATGGGCCCACTCTGGCCAGAAGATTGGGTCAGGCTGTGGACTGCCCCACCAGCAACGACGACTACTTGGTGGAATGCTTGCAAAAGATTGATCCCAAAATTTTGGGGGGATTTGGAAAATTCAACGACGAGTTTGTAAATTTCAATGTCTAAATATTTGTTATTTTCTATCAGCTAAACCGTCATAACGTTTCATTCAGGGATATGACGAAAACGCCATAATCGTCGGACCGTCATTTGAAATATACAAGCAAGGGGAAAATGACGACAGAATATTCATGAGTGAAGATCCCTACGTTTCCGCGAAAAATGGAAAAATTGCAAAAGTTCCCACAATAATTGGGCTCATGCACACGGAGAGTGGGTGGAGTGCATTGCCTGGTATTTATCTCTCACGTCACCACAATTGCAACCGTTCATCTCTTTGCTAACACAACACAATTTATTATTTTATACACAGTAATTAACAATTCGACCACGTTGAATCGCTTAAATTTTCAATGGACTCGTCGGCTGGCTTCGATGCTGTACATGAGTAAAACGGCAGAAGACCCGGGTTCCATCAGCGAACGTATAAAGCAACAATTTTTCGGTGGAAAGAAAGTTTCTAATGACAGCCAGGGCGTAGCAGAATTAGAGCATTTGTTAGACGAGAGACATTGGATTCATCCCGTTCGTATCTTGGCCCCACAGCTTTTCAAGCATAATGGAGGGTTTGTGTATCTTTACAATTTCACGAAACCCATGCTTTCCCTTCCACCACCGTTCGGTAAATACGTTTGTCTTCCACACACACTTTCTTATTCTGGTGTCGGAAGTTTTTTTACAATGTGTAACTTTATCAAAAAAATTAGGAAATGGGCTACAAAGAAAAGCAAGTCATGGGGATGATGTCAAGTTCTTTTTCGGGATTCGCGGATATTTTGCCAAGTTTATGCCAGGATTAAACGAGGACGAAACTAAACTATCGAAAACTTTGGTTGATATGTGGGTAGAATTTGCCAAACAAGGGTAAGTCCTAGCTGAGGACGTAAAAGGAGAAGAAAATGAAAATGGCATTCAAAGCAGCTTTATGCATTCGTGGAGAATGATGCCGATACGTAATGGGATTTATTTTCAGAAAACCGAAACCGCTGTGGGGAGCTGGTTCTGAGACTGGAGCAGAAACAATAAAGCATTGGCCTCCAGCTTTCACCACAAGTGACACAACAACAGTCGACCACCAACTTCCGACTTTCTTGTACGTTGATGACGAACCAAACGTAAATAAAGTTGGCGACTGGTACCAAAATAACGGGCAATTTTGGGATGGGTTAAGCTTGAAGGAATATGGAAAGAAATGGGTTTCTGAAAATTAATGAAAAAAATACTGCATCCTTACAAATTTCTTGACAAGATTTGCAAGTATTGAAAATGTTTCATTTCATCCAACTTTTATTTGTGACATAGTTAATCGCCCAATGCAAATAAATCGTGATCAGTGAAAATCTTGCGGAGAATCTCAGCTGGTACGTATAAAATCCTACTAGATACTAAATTAAGGCCGTATGAAAACCAAGGTTAGAATAAGAGATGGTCATCCGGATGCATAAAATCACTGCAGAGGGCTCACTTAATTGTAACGCAATGAACTTTGTCATATAAATAAGTACGTCACTTGACTAATGTGTCGACTGTTATCAAAACAGAGAAGAAAAATATACCAGAATTTTCTCGATTTCCGCTCGAGGCTTGCAGAATCTAGATTTTAGGAGTTCCACAAGAAAAACTTTGCCCATTGCAACTGTAACAACCTTCAGAAATTGGGATGGATAAGTTTTATACAACCCTCAGTCTGTTTGAAATCTTATTATTCTATCTTCTGCTAGACGTATTTATATGGAGTAGCGGGAGTCCAAAAGGCCGCAGACACACACAAGGCGAGGTAGAATTGAGAGATTATGGGAAACCACTACTGCTGGCTCCATGACTGTAAGAGAAAGTTATCCACCATGACAAATGCGTTATTGTGATAGGTGCCCAAAAATAACAGAACGCTGCCGGGCTTACTTCGTCACGTCTTCTGAACTTACAATATCAATTGCAAAAGCCGAAAATCAAACATGACGCGAAAGCCTCCACTCTTGAAGTTTTAGAAATTATTTCACTGAAACAGCTCTTGTCTCAAGCTCATGCAAACCTCAATAACCTATCGCGCTAATGTGGTTTACTTGTTTAGTACACACTACGCTGGGCACGTGGGCGTTATTGATATTCAAAATTTCAGTCAAAATATTCCATTTCTTCAGAAACCACAACCAAGTTGGCGAATTAAGATTTCAGAGAAGAAAGAAAGGACGCTGAAGGAGAAAGGCCTGTTCTGAATTTGTTGTTGTGTGTCATAATGCAAAGTGGTGGTGGTGGTCCAGCTAGTCGCACCTTATCTCAATTTATTGTCAGCAACCACGGAAAACTGGATTAAGGGACCGGAACTGTTGCGAACCAAGTCCAAATATTGTCATCACTCGTCGACATCACCGCAACATCATCATGTTGCCTCGTATTTATTTGAGGAGCGGCAGGAAGACACACACTAATTGGCTTTTGAACGACTTGCTGTTGACGAGGGTAGATTTTACAGCATTAAATTTCCAGGAACTGAACTTTAGTTTAACTGGCTTAGCAGGAGTCTGTCAGGAACTGCTTACGCCATGCACGCAGCCCAGTAATTCCGGTGTGCTATAGCAAATAATGTTGTCGTATTGACGTTGCTGCTCCAATTTCAAGTCCGGAGCTTTTATCATCGCATCTAAGCCTCCGGTTCATCCAATTTTCTGTATATAGAAACTAACTAACTAACCCTACTTAATTATAGACCTAATCACCCCAGCCACAAATTCAGGAGAAAGCAAGTCGTATTCATATTTATGGATTTAGCCTTGAGACATGAATTCATCACTTTTCAACAAAATTTGCCACAGACGAAATTGTAATATTCGGCACTGAATTCAGTTTTTATATCGCACAAGTTGGTCGTAAATTGAGATTTTAGTATTTTCAGATTAAAACATTGTGACTTTGCGACATTTATAGAATGAAAGTTTCGCACGTCACGTAGTTTTCCCTGTGGAACTTTTTGGCTTTTTGCTGATCACGAAAAGTTTAACACGGCATCATGAACCTTGACTTGGTGCTGAGTGGTGGGTCGTGCGAACCCAATGATGATGACGATTCGTCTTCCTTCTGATGATGCACTTTGCCCATATCAGACTTTTATGGAGTTAAGGTTATAAACGGGGCCCTATACCCAGGCTGCCCTATGCATGCTGGAATATTACCCTTTGTCTGACATGCTCCGCGCACTTTCTCCATCACAAACCAATCTGAATAGGATCTTCCCCAATCTCAGACCAATTTGGTCACAACGTCCGCCGTATATCTACATCACGGTTTTCACTGAGTTTTCACTCCCATTTTCTAGACGAGGAACATGTGTACGACAAATGCCATATATCTGCTCTGCATATATCGTAAAAACTGCTTTTGCGATACAAAGGAACAGACAAGCTTGACAAGAAGTGGACCTAAGTGACGAACACTATCTGATTTAAAAGCTCTCATTATAACGTAGTGTAGCCACCAGCTATCATTTTGTTGGCCAAAAATCATTGGTGGCAGGAATAAAGGGAAAGGTGGCTATAGAAGTGAAAGCCATCCGCTCGTGACTCGAGTGAGATTTTATGTGTGTATTGGTTGGCAGTGAGTGAATGGCTCCTGCCGTAACTAATGACAGTGGTGTGGGCTGTGTGTAGCCTGTGCAAGGAAGCAGTTGACCAACCGGGTTAAAATAATTTATTTCCTGACTGATAGCTTTGACTTTGAGGAGAATATAGATGACAAGAAGGCTTTGAGATAAAACACGATCAATCTTTAAAATGGCCAAGTTTCTCCTTTCCATTATCCATTATTTATAGCAAATGTCTCATGCCTCTTAAAAAGAAAGTTGGATAAGACGAGTGGCATTTTAAATGGCATGACATGAAAGAAAAGTGAACGTATTTATTAACCACAGTCTCTGCTCTTACTTCATTGAGTTTTATAAATACTTTTTTGAGGAAGTGAAAAGCAGAGAGTTGATGGTCACCATGAAGCAATATCAGTAATGACAACCGACACGGCCTGCTCTCATTTTATTCATCTTTTCATTGGCAATAAATATTTATTGCTTTTTAGAACTCACCTAAAATTAAGGCTGCATTTGAGGAATCATATAACCTTTTAGAAGAAGGGTACAGAATTGGAACCGGAAATTGAACTAGTATTCTTCGCAGTTTCAGTTTATTCAAATTTTCTCTCTCTGATTATTTCCACTTAATTTAACAGGAGGCGATGATGACAGTGTGCATTACGTAAACAGCAAATGAGAACAAGAAAATATTTACCATTATGCAAACATACAGAGATATGCACATATACAACAACCAAGAATGAATTACGACAAAAAATGGACTCGTGATTTAATTTGGTTGATTGGTTTAGCTCTCTTCTAACTATGTAATCGCATTAATTATGCTCGTCGAGTTTATTAGGACATTTGAACACGAAATGGAATGGGCGCAGTGGTGGTGCTGGTGTTAGAGAAAGCACACATGCTGAAATATTCCTGCCACCATTATTACGCTGACGTTTTCTGTTTAAGCGTCGCCAAAGTAAAGGATCCGGAGAAAACATTCACTTTCTCCAACGGAGCAGGGGAGCTGGCTTCCTTTGTTACGTATTTCCTTGTGCGTTGGGTGTCTGATTCTCAGCAGTGGCGCCACTCAATAAGCTCGTTTAATTAAAGACATTCTCGTTAATTTGATGAGTTTATGTCGTTATGTTTGGAAAAATATTTTGCCAGGAGAGTTGTCGAGCTGATTGTACGTACAATTTTTATGAGGAAGGAAACAAATTACACAATGAGAGGAACACAACATGCTTTTTTCCGTCGATAGTTCTCGATGCGATGTAAACAAATCCACAGGAACGGGTTATTTAGAAAAAATGTTGTCAAAATACCTTGAATTTGTCACAATTGTTTGCAGATAGCAAGACAAATTACGGCAACAAACCACCCAAAGTAACCATTAAAACCGTTGTTTAACTTTATGGAGCAAAACACGTTCCTATTACAACTTCAGGAAATAGCAATGGAGTTCAGTTAATTGGAAATCCATACTCTCATCACACGACGAGGTGAGGAATATCTTGACCAAAGATTGCGTAGTCACTTGAGGGACAAGAGCAACTCAAACAACATGCGACTGTTATGTGCATTTAATGATTTCCTTTCTTTGAGGAAATGTGTCATCTATGACGCTCAATTAAGAGAAAAGTATGCATGTGACACATTTGTGAGATACTTTGACCAATGGCGTTCGTACGATTCTTCACGTAGTGGTTAGTAGCGTTCCAATATGAGACTTTTTCTTCTCACAAATTGAAGAAGTTTGCTCAGGTCGTCAATGTTCAACGAGCCAAATATTGGTTTAGAGCAAATTAGTTGTTTGTTTACGTTTTAATTCCATGTTGTTGGTGGTCGGTCCGCGTAATTACACTTTTAAACGACCCTAAACAAATAAATCCCACTTTTGACGGTGCCCTCGATTAAAGAGAAATTGCTCTGCTATACATTAAAAGCAAGCCCATAGCTCCACTCAACTGTTTCCTCTGCTGAAAAGAAACAAAACGAGGCTTGGGTAAGTAATTGCTGAAATTCTTTGGAGCTGGATACTTCGGAGAAATCTGGAGCTGAGGGAATTTCTGAGAAGGATGCGAGCCATACGAAATGAAAGGAAATACGAGGTGCGAGATACCTCTGATGACTACATACAAACAAACATTCGTATATAATTCGTATATACGAAGGTAGATTCATCTCCTCCACGCTTTTGATACTAACCCATCAATTCGTTCCGTCGTACTGCTTTCCTATAATTAATTTATTCGAATCACATTCCCAATTTGCCATTTCATCTCTCAGAAACCAAGGGAAAAGTAGAACGGCTGTAAAGCACTGTTCGAGCCAGTTATGTAAATACGTGGTCCAGCACTTGGCAAAAAAAATCCGATTTCAAAGGCCACAAGAACTCACGGCCCGTGTGGTCGGTCAGTCCGTAACATTTGAACTGTGCATGACAAGTAACAAGTGGCAACATGCTGGACGGGACGTCTACTTACAAAGTAAATTAAATCTGAAAACCCTTTTGGAGAGTGAGCGCATAAAGAACGGACTGCGTATTTTATTAATTTCCCTTTCAACAGGATCCCTTGAAAGCTGCAAGATTTCAAATAAAAAAGTGACATGTATGCAAATACACCGTTTTATACATATAATAGTAGTTACACTGAATATATGCACGTACACACGTACTTATTGCGTCCAACCTACGAGTCTTTGTATGGCATTTGTTTTACATAATATTTTGAGTAAGAGTTGAACAGCTTCTTTTGAAGCATTTGTGCGAAGCGAGATTGGACACAGAAAGCCATGACCTCCCGCGACTGTGGCGAAATACTTTACATTCCCTGAATCGCGATTGTTTCTTTTCAACCGAAATAAAATTCTTCTAGATGTAAAATTCTTACTTATTAAATGCGAACCAGACAACTCCACTTTATGATCGCAACTAAAAATAAGTATGAGCTCAAGGCATTTAATTTCACATAAGAGCTGCACTGATTACATCACATTGCGAACAAGATACAAAATTTTATGTAATATGTCCTGTACTGGTGCATAAATTTTGTTCTTCTTATAAGCCAGTTGAATTTCATAAGTGAGTACTAACTCCGAAGAATTACAAAACTTACTTGTGTATGTATTAGCCATGCTCTGTAGGGAAAGCTCTAAAGAAACACTATGCATAAAAACTTATTCAAGATAAACACTGACGCGCCACACCCCTCTGCTGGTTAAGTCAGGAGGAAGTCTTTTGAAATTGTGAATGCTGGTGAACGTAGAATGAGGAGCTTAAAACCATAAGCACGGTGAAAAATTTGAGGAGAAAGTTGCCAAACTCCCATTGAATTTTACGGATCAGCATCTCGTCGTCGGGTAGGCATTTGCACGTCGCATAAATTTTGTGTACGTCGGTATGCATCTATTTAGAAGTAGTGCGGCGTGAGTTATTAGCACGGTCGATCGGTTGACGTTGTTTCTTACTACATACATATGCACACATTCATCAAGCCAAACCAGACCACGTGTTGAGATCATGTTGCCCGCAGAGAAAGTTGTTTCCATGTTTTATTGACAGGGATATCCAACCGCGTTCAGACACATGCTAATGCCACCGACATTGTGTGGGCCGTTTTTAGATTGCTCCACGTCAAAATATGTATCAGCCTCTCTGCGGTTTTATTGTTTGCGATACAAAGCTAAAGTTCAACAGCTCGAACGTATTCGTGCTTTTGGATCCCTTGAGTTTAAAAGTCATCTTGGAGCAAATACAATTCCGCTCAAAACTGAGAAATTCAATCAGGAAACGGCAAAGGCAACAAAGCTGCCGGATTTTCATGTCAATTGCGCAACTTGTTCTATGTAAAAGGACATGATATAGCGTAAATTTTAGTAATAACGGTATCCATATAACTATCTATGAAATAGATTATTTAATGGTGAATTTGATGTTTGCCAAGATATTCTCCGAAGTGTATTTACCTGAAATATCATACTACTACTTACAATTGCACCAAGTAAGGTCTTAGTTAGCATTCGTACGCAATAAGTACATTTATGTATCTGAAGTGTTTGCCTTGTTCACGTTCAAGGACGCCCTCACGAGGTTAAGTTCCGACATGAATCAATCTAATAATACGTACGTAAGTAATATTGTGGAAGAAGGTGAATTTGGTTCTTACATTGGGCCTGGCACTGGCCGTTGTGATGGGAGGATCCATTGGAATTGACAACCACGGTCTGCCTCCTGCCACTGCTCGTGACCGTGCTGGTTGTGGAGTTTCCAGGAATGTTGGCTGAGCTCCAGAGCACCTTCACAATTTGGTAGTAGGCAAAGCTCATGAATGTCAAAGGAATGGCGTAAAGGAGCAACATCTTGAGAATCGTGAGAGCTATATCCCACTGTGATTCCCTATTAAAGTCACATAACTTATTTATTTGAATATGTATACAAATTCACACCTCCCTCCCTCTCCGGCACATTCATCTTACCAGGTCGGTTTGCACTGCATGAAGTAAATCGTGTCGACGGGCACGTCTTCTCGTCTGCTCGTCTGGAGCACCACCAGTTCTGGAATATCTATTTGGAGGAGGAGAACCCAGTGATTTAAAAATTAAAATCCATTTGTAAGATAAAAATAATTGTTCTGCATCATATCACACGTCTAGCACATCAACCCATTCCACATGCACTTCCCCAACTTCTAACAGCAAGTTGCTATAAATTATTTAAACGGCGAACTTTGGTCACAGCGGAATTATGTAGGTCATAATGATGCTTGAAAACTATTGTCATATTTCGAAACAAAAACTTTCAATAACTTTTGTCAGAGAGGAATATTTCTATGCTACATATGCAAACGAATGCCTGGCATTTCATCCCGTGTGAAATTAAATTAATTCCTGATGACACCTGCTAAACGGAATTAAATTTGTTGTGACTTTGTTCCGAGGTCTTCCTGTCTAAAATCCAGCACACCATGGATCTTCCTGCATATGTTTCCAGTATTCATGCAGTATTATTGACTCATGTGAAACAACTACACACCGGATCTCCCAAAAATGTTTTTCGATCCAATTTTAAATTTGAATTGGAAATTTAGAAAATTCTAAAATACGTATAAATATCATGCAAATAAAGTTACATAAGTTCGTCAGAACGAAGGGCATTACATATACACATATGTACAAGGGTCTCCCATGGGTGTTCCTTCAATTAGCCAACGCTACCCATTTTTTATTTGTGAGTCGAATAATTGGATGTATTTTTGAGTCTTTTTATCTCTTGCTTCTGATTTTGGACCACGAAAGTTTAATTTCTCAGAACCATTGTCTGCGCTCACTTCACTTTTAATTTATCGTATGATACGACTCATATCTCTGATCTGGACGCCTTCTAGCTAGCTACATACAGTTAGATAAATATATCGACGAATCCGAAAAAAGGTTTCGTAGAAATTCAATTATAGGTACTCCAAGGAAGAGGAAAGTTCAGATTAGCCCAACTATTTGTATAACTTCATTCGCCGCCCACTCACTGCCTGGGCAGAAATTGATTGCACATCAACCATGTTACACTATATGTATTTCTTCAAAAATCGGAAATAATCAAAAAGGCTCTATCCTTGTATTTATTGAGATATTGATGAGAATATTCCTGACTACTTGGCAGCTCTAGGATTTACACACGTAGGCAAAATAAATACCATTTTTCATAAATAGGTGATACATAAATACTAAATCATACAAAAAGTTGCTGGCAATCAATAGAATTTGATAAAACTGTGAAATATTCAAGAAAATTGGAGTATGACAGGAAAAAATCTGTTGCCAAAGTTTGAAAGTTTTTCACGTGGCTAGGATAAATCTTGTTAGAGCAGCGTGTGTGTATTTGAATACCATTTACGCCATCCATGAGATATAACTGATTTAAACGGAAACAAAATTGCATCCAAACCATATTTTGCGAGTATCTGCCCACTGCAGAATACATATTTTCATCCAAGATACAAGCAAGCAAATTCAATTCCAGTGAAAAATGACAATATTAATAACAAGAGTAAAATTTGCCATTTTCATATTGCTTGCGACGAAATATAGCTGCAAAGATCAATATCACGGGTTCACATTTTTATTTTATGTACATGATCATCTATTACGGATCCTTTTTTCAATCTCCCATATATTTATTACAAAAGAATAATGGGTACATGTCCCGATTTCCTAGAAATCCTATCTTCACATACACATATCAATATATAAGAATAAATAATTGATTCTGCTAGTACTGGTTCTCCGAGTTTGCTAGCATCATGATCCGTATATGCCCATTGGCAGCGTTTTACCACACAATACGAAACAGGAAATGAATCCCAAACACTACGGAAATCCAAGATTTATGAAAGCAACCAGAAATGGAATAAACGTATTGAAACAGCACATGCACGTTATCATATGGCTATGTGCATACATACATTTATATGGATTTACTATGGAAGACCTGATCCATATGTTGCGATACATATAGAGTTCATCGTACATTATAATTTATTTGTTGTGCATGCAAACACAAAATAAATCTGTATGAAAATATAAATGGGAACTTTGATATTATGGTGAAATATTTTAGAAATAAGTAGGATTTTTGGTAAACTTTCTCCATATTTATAATATGCAGGATGTTTCAGAAATAGACTAAAATCCGATTAAAAAATAGACTAAAATTCGATAGGTTCCGTTTTCTTCTGGTAAAGTGTATCATGATACATTTCAGCAGCAATGCATAACCACCTATTTCTAATACCGTGTTCATGGACAAAGAGAAAATATGAACACACTATGCATGCATGTGGTGTGGGTGATGTAGATCGAGCGAATTTTGCATACTGAAAGTGTGTTCAAGGAAAAGTAAAAGTTCCAACTTACCGATAATTAGGGAGATGACCCAAATGATGAGGACCAGTCGCTTGGCACGTGCTGTGGTCGCTTTGAATCTCAGTGGGAAGCAGATGGCATACCAACGTTCAACCGAGATAACAGTCAGAGTTAAAACTGACACAGAAATTGACACGGTCTGCAAATATATTCAATAATTTTAGACATTTTGTTGAGGACAGCTTGTCCATATTGCTAGGTACGCTATTTCGTCACGACGATTCGACAGTTGGGTTGGTTGGTTACTTAGTTCACAAAGTCCTACCGCGGACCATAAGTTCGTCGTATAAGCATTAATTACAATAATTCGACCACAATGTGTGCACATTTCTTGCTTCGTGCATAAATAGATCAAAGGGATAACACAAAGCTGTTCAGCAGACTGGAATTTGACATCTGACTACTATAAAATAGGGGAGAAAGAGGGTGAAGTATGTCGCAGGGCACAAACCCACATATATACCTCACCCAAGTCAGAAGCCCGATATGAAAGACATTGGAGAAAGTTTGTAAAAGTCAGCGTCGTGAATGGAGAGCAAATAAGTTGAAAAGAATCAAAAATTTTCATCTGGAGATTAGGAAACACGTCAAGCTTTTAATTGGATGTGGAAAAGTCAATATCAACTTGAGTTCTTTAAATGAGCTGCAAGGTGCTCAATAACGCCCAATTTAGACTTTGCTGCTGTGCATAAAATGTCGTCATACATAAAAATCAGTAAAACCTTTGTCACCGTATCTTACACCTACGCGAACGCACAATTTCATGTTTTTGTGGGTTGTGTAAATCCCCCTCGTATTGGAATAACAAATGAATTTCATGAATCTCATTAGATCACGCCTCGTTTCTTTTTCCTTTCTCTCAGCTTTAATGATCACACACTGCGACCACACTGCTGATCACTTTTCCCTGATTCAGGAGAGATTGCGAGTTTTTAGCCTGAGTATGGACTATTATGGAACCATCATGTCCTTCTGTCTCGTGAAAACTCTTGTTAAACTCATCCTATCGAATTGAAATTTGGTACACATGTAGTATTGGGCAAATTAGGAGTTATGCTCAAAGATAAGCAAAATCGGTCAAGTGGTTGACCGGTGGGGGTCAGAAAGGTCGTGTGGAGTCGTTGGTGCAGAATATTTAGAATGGTAGAAGGCTAATATTCAGGACATGCTAAAGTCAAAATACATAACTACCAAATTATTATTTAGAAAGATCCAGGAGGCTGACCCGCACTCGTTTTTGAAATTAGTAGAAGAAAGATACAATTCGGGATCAACGCTACGGGCACATCAGGCCAAATAATATGTGATGTCAAATTTATGAATATTTTCGTGAGAAGACCCTGCAGGTTGACCCATACCAGTTAATCGAATTGACGGAGAAAGCTGAAATTTTGCATGCTGGATTGTAGAGGATTTTTGACGATTACCAAAAGTAAATAAATAGTAGCTACAAGCTTGGTCATCTTATAAAAATTTAGACGCGGACACCCTGACTCGGGCTAGATCAACATTACGTTTTGTTTTATCCTAACTCCATTCTCCACGCGAGACGACTTTTTGTTGAGATTTTGTGCACGGATAAGAATGAATTTTACATGGATTTCAGCCTTCAGAGACCTCGAAGGAGGGAAAGTGTAGAAATCACGAGAAAAACTGCCATTATATATAAAAAAGGAAAGTTAGCTCATTACGTGAGCAGTACGAGCCATTCTTCCCGGGGAACATCGCATTGCCTTAATAATTATTATTATTATCATGGACTGCTTTCCCAGATTCGCAGTTTATTCATTACACAATAGATTTTTTATTATTCGTGGCCGACCCGCTGTTGAAAGAACCGAATGTACAGATTTTAGTCATCATGCTTGACGTGGTTTTTCCATTTATGCGTACAAAACGTGCTCCACGATCTATTTGGAGATAACAATACAGCCACTCGTCCGCCAACACAAAAGAAAATAATACTGCGTATGTAGTGGGTCTACCTCCATGATTTGCTTACAAAATATATTTCAACGCATTTTTCATATAAAAGGCTGCTCCTAATTTGAGATTATTTGGAAACCCAACTCGCTTTGAAAGAACTCTGCGTAATGAACGACTTTAAAAAGTTTTATTTTTATATAGAATTTTAATTAGGACATATTGAACTTGATTATATTTATTGCCAGCTTTCGATCACAGACAGTAAATCTTCATCAAAAAGTTTGATTTTATTCCAACTAAGGCTAGAACGCAATAAACGAGGAAATTAAAAAATTCACAGAAATTACTGAAAATTTACTACGTCGGTTCATCTGACTTTTTCCCTTCGCCACCCGAATGACTTACCTGGCCGATTTTAAGTGATGATGGAGCAGGTGAACAAGAAATTTCAATCAATGCATTAGCAGCTGCAGCGATGACCTCCGCTGGGGAAAGTGCAGAATGTGCATTCTGTGGGTGGGGCGCTGTGGCAAGCATGCTTTGAAACCCACATTATTTTGAGTGACAATGTCCACTCGCAATGTGACAGTGCTTTTCAGACCCGCTGATCATGACTGACAAGACAATAGCTTTGCTGTCTGATAAAAGTATATGAAATTTAGGGCAGTCAATATTATGCAGCATTGCGAATGTTTTTCTCCGTAAACTAATGTCAAGATGATAAATATAACATTGCTTAACCTCGAGCTGGAGACAGTACAAAATAAGGCAAAAACTAATCCCATTTTGCGCATCTCATTCTGTTCCTTCATGCATATAAATCTTATCCTAAGATGGACCTTATTTCTGCTCATTTTCATATTGGTGCTGTCCAAAATGAAAATTGAGTTTAGCTGGTGGAAAATAATGTCTCAGTGAAAACGTGGAACAGAACGTGAAATTAGTTAACGTAAGTCTGCATGTGAAATATGCCTGGTCAGTAATTATCGCCGATTATGTATGTACATATTTACATCATATATGCAAATAATAAAATATACCTATAATGGCCAGATGTATCTGTTATGCATTATGCTAAAATTAATAAATAGTGGTTTATGACGTAGTATTTATCTATTTATTTGCGGACACAACAACGGATGTGCTCTCTTTCCACTAATTGGGCATGTAGATCCCCCAGATTCCCACTTATTCTAGTCATTCTCCTTCCTAGGTGTGTATAAACTTAAAGTAATTTCAATAAAGGGTTTCAGGATTGTTAGGGAGCAGCTAAACCGAGCAGTTATCAAAAGTCACGGGCAAAAGTTGACACGAAAGTGCAAATAAACCTGTCCCAGGAGTGGGCAAATAAAATGTAAAGTCGCGAAGGTTGTAAGCTTTGGCTTTGTGAAGAAGGATTACGACGGATTTAGCCTGGAAGCTGTTGAATATTCATAAAGTATGTCACTTACCAACCCCCAGAAGAAGAAGCACAAGAGTAAAATGCTGATTTAGGAAAGACAAGTCTGTTCAATAACAGCTCTGAAAAGTTTTTTGTGCAGGTCGTCGTTACCAACGAAAAGGCAATGTCCGAGCTTGTTTGTCGTCTTTGCTGTCACCTAACTGCATGCATATACATACAGACGACTGCTCGTATATAGTTCGTTAGTTGATGCATTGGTCAGAATATCTGCCCAGTGATGAAAAAAGTAATCCCATTACTCCTCGGTTCACTATTCAAACATTATTTTTGGATCCATTTCAGTTCATGAAAAGTTGGGTGAGTTTTCCAAGTTGAAAAGGCATAAAAGCATGGAAGGGAGCAGCATAGATGGAAAGTGTACAAGTAACTTCACTTGGGTCAACTTTGTGACTCTGGTCTAATAGGTCGGTGGAGACAGCAGAAATTGACTCCGCTGCTACGTGTTCATTCACCACCACCGGAAAGAAAAAGAGACTGGTTATTTTCCTGGGAAAGCTGAGGAGACACATCGTTTCCTCCTTTTCCAATGAACCAAGTTCATTTTGCAGTTTTCACGGTAAATATTAGATTTCCATTGATACCGCTATTCGAAGGTGTTCAGAAGTACATAGTTGAACTCGGTGGTCCCCATAACTCTCAATTTGATCGCTTTTCAAGGTTTTGTGCAAACAAGAGTGTTTTCAGAGCAAATAAACAGAAACCCGCAAAGGATGTCTTATTTTCATTAACTGGTGTGAAAAATTTTCTCCGCCTGAGAGATACATGTTACAATCTTTAAAAAACACCACGGATCTGGATGCACAAGTATATACATACGAGTCAATATTGGAGCTGTCCTTATTTGGAAGGTTGTTATGTGGCTTTCCATCCACCAGCCGGACAAAACATCTCACACGATCTGCTCAACACCCAATTCCATCTCCTGTTTGCTTAACTTTTAAACCAACAAAGATCCAATCTTTTCCTATCTGCGACAGAATCTTATTTACAGGAGGAAGTTTTGCAAAATGGTGCAAAAAATAAACCGGTTGGTTTCGGCTAAAAGAAGATGACAGTGTTGGAACATTTGTTATAATTTATAAGTTTACTCTGCTAATAAGAAGAAGCGAGTTCACTACAAGGTGCACGTCTTTAAGCAACCCTGACATTTTGATCATCATCTTTGATTTATGCCCAAACTTTGTCAAAGGCTGAATCATGATGATCATTTGATACAGTGGGCTGAGAAATTTTTCCTCGCTGTGTGCATCGTGTTAGACTAATTTTACAAGGCCGTCTGAAGAAGAGTCATATTTATGATGGGTACATGCTACGGAATTATTGAGATATACGTACGTATGTAAATAAGCTATGGGATTCTGTATAAATATTTTACACTTTTGCATCCAGGCTACAGTGATACGAATTATGATCTTCACTTACAAAACAAAGAAGCATCCATCTAGAATTTTACGTGGTGCATGTTCGCCCATTCAGTAAAACAGAAAGGTGGAGTGCGTGATTGATGAGCTGGGACTAATAAATTCAACCTGATTGAAGATGACAATGCTGGTGGTGGTGATGGAGAGACCCTGTATTAATCATTTGTCCGTAAAAGGAGGCACTTTGACACCTCCCATGCGTCACAACCTGCTTTCTTCTCCTCGACCATGTACCTGCCCCAACGGCGGCCGTCTGCCTCCACATCCTGTCAGTCTTCATACCTTCGCCATTTACTCTTAATTGTTGTCTTGATCTCGGTAATCTCAATT